TTCATATTAAATAAAAATATATATATATATATGGGAATTGAAAAATGGGATTATATACAATATTAACTATGTATTTATATTCACTTGATATAATATACTATATATATATATTTATCATTATACCAATGGGAGTATGGGAACTTGACCATGAAAAGTCGTGGACTGGTTTTCGCAACTGGGTTTTTTTCGTTCAGCACAGGGATGGTCCACGGATCAACGATGTTCGTATCAAGAATCTACCATCTGGTCTGGTAATTTAACATGGTTAATGTATGGATAACCTATGGATAACATGGATAATCTATGGATAATAATAGTTACCATCTGGTAATAGTTTGCAATTGAAAATGGCTATAGAAATAGTTGATTTACCCAGCTATAAAATGGTGGATCTTTCCATAGTTTTTTGTATGTTTACCAGAGGGTATAGCATAGTTCTCCAAGAAAGAACACATAGAACAAATACACTGTGACATATTGTGTTTGAATAAATACTATGGATTTTCTCCAACACATAGCATATTGGTCTCTTGGTAAAGTCCGAATCTAAAAAAAGTGAAGATGTTTTTGTTCTATATCCGTTTGGGAGTTTCTGAAATCTGTTTCGATAATGGGGAATATATCAACATATATTGACCTAACCAGCTATTTGTTTAGCCTGATTATATTTTCACATGCCAGCATAAGTAGTTTTTCGCAGTGACCATTTCTATCAGCGAATACTCCTAGGAGTGAACTGACAGAATCGGTTGTTTTGTGATTGCCTCAATCGAGTCCATTCAAATAAGAAAATACTTGCCTACAAGGTGGTGCCCCTGTTCGATAGCTAAGTTGGTGCAAATAACTCCAAAAACTATGGTTTTTGCTGGTGATATATCTATAGTTAATGGGATGATAAACCAACAAACATAACTTGGGGAGCACCACCTTGTACTGGTTAAGGCTCCTTTGTAAGTTCGGTTGAGTTTCCCTCTTTGATTTCCATGGAATATCCATGGATAAACGACCATAAAATGATGGGAAATTCCCACCGAACATCCTTGGATTTTGACAGAGTCGAGTCGCTGAGCATCCCACTGGGTTTCACTCTGATGGCAAGATCTGGTGATTGTTTTTTTTCTAAAACTCTCAAAACTATCACTGATGAGTTTTTGGTTGTATTTAAAACCATGTAATATTGTTTCTTTCCTAAAGCTCTCAAAACTATCACTGATATTCACTGATGATTTTCTTTTTGTATTTAAAACCATGTAATTAATTGGTGTTTTTTAGAATCTCTCTGATAGTTGGTGGCTGAATCCCCAAATATCAACATCAACATCCGTTAAAAATTCTAACTCATTTTCGCGGTTCTGGAAGAAGTCCACATATGTTGTCTTCACATTTTTGTGCTTTCCCAGAGGTTGATTGAAGACCAACTTTCTTCGGTTGTGATCCCGACCCAAAAATACACTATTCTGACACAACTTCTGACATACCATCTGGAAGTATTTATGGCATATATATAATATATATACACGTATAATTATATGTATATATATATATACATATATATACATATATATACATATATATATAGACATATATATATATATACATATAATTATATATATACATATTTATATTCTGACATAGTTTCTGACATTTTTTCCGGCATATGCTCTGACATTCTATCCGACATTCTCTCTGAAATGGGCACTGCGGGACCTCAACCACGAGCGCCGGATCTCAGTGGGCAGTGCCCGCTGCGACCTGGAGGTCGCTGTTGCTCTAAGAAAATCTAGAGACCCTCACCTGGCAGGTGAGGAACTAAACAAAAGATAAGATGTCATGCCGTCATGCCGTCATGCCTTACCAGCCCATTATTAACTTCAAACCTCCACATTTTTCTGGTTTAATCCGTGCTTGTTCATTGTTAAAACTTTTAATTAATCATGTTATATATATATATATGTGTTTTCCTTGTTGAATCATTCAAATCCCAATTTGTTCATTGCTAAATCAAGATTGTTTGCTACAAACATTCAAATTTCTTATAGTTCAAACGGCCTTCCCGGATTCAATTTGTCCCAGGTCTTTCAGCCTTCGGCGGCTGTGCGGCCCGAGTGCCATGGCTATGTCAGATGGGTCTTTACCATTGATCAACGGGTCAGAAGCTGTTAGAACTATGGTTACTTGGTTGGTGGTTTGGAACATGTTTTTTCGATATATGTTGGGAATAATAATCCCAACTGACTAACTCATATTTTTCAGAGGGGTAGGTCAACCACCAACCAGTTACTATAAGTATGATGATCCTGCAAGTACCGTTGCGTTGCTCCAAACCATTTGCCTGTGCATCATAACCACAAGGGAACTGATGGACATTTGTAATTTAGCCTCTTATCTATCCATGTTATGTCCTTTTGTGTCTGGGAGTGTGGAGAAAGCCTTTCGTACCCTCTGGTAATTTAACGTAGCAAACTGGGAAATCATATTTTTTGATAGGTAAATAACATAACTTATCTGTAACTGCGCCATTTTCCGTGGTTATGTTGAATAACGTGCAAGTGTAAGTGATGAATAACGCTGGTTAGTCTCAGATTACTATGTCCCCATTCTGTGGGTTATACCATTTACTATACCCGCACTGAAAGTAGCCGTTGTTGCGGTCCGCAGGATGATCCTCCAAGTACAAGGTGATCATGAGGATTTTGCAATGCTGTTTTTTCTTCGTACAAGGTGGTGCACCCGTTTGATAGCTAAGTTGGTGCAAATAACTCCAATTAAACTATGGTTTTTGTTGGTGATATATCTACAGTTTAATGGGATTTTAAACCAGCTTATTATAACTTGGGGGGCACCAGCTCCTATATTTATGATCTTCACTAAGTGATGATATATTTAGGATTTACAATTATATGAGGATATTTATGACGGCTCTGCGCTGGTTTTAAGACCAATCGATTCAGAAAGTTCATCGAAGGGCCGGGTCGTATGTCACACCCCAACAGAGTGGCATTCTGAGCCAAGGAATTGTTGTTTCGGAGACACAAATGTCTCAAATCCAGAGAAGTTCCAGTTCATCATTTTTTTTTACGTATTGGCTAGATACATCATGAGTCTCTGAGGAGGGCTACATGGCTTTGAAATTGTATGGCCCCGAGCCACTGTCAAGGTGCCACCCAGTTGTAAGTTGGTGTCTGAACCCCATGATGTAACTAGTTTGATATACCCTCTGGTAAACTAACATAACTATGGAAAACCACCATTTTTAATGGGTAAATCAAATATAAATGGCCATGTTCAATAGCTTTTTGTATGTTTACCAGAGGGTAACTAGTTGCCATGGGCGCTGCAGGGCACCTGGGTGTTTTGTTGCTTTTCTGGTGTTTTTTTTTTTTCTGTTTTTTGGTTAGTTTGTTTGATGATGGCGTGGGTTGGGGTGGGGTGGGGTGGGATGTTAACGTTCATGTGACGTTCATGATGTTACGTTGATCATGGGGTGGCGTGGGGTGGGGTGGGATGTTAACGTTCATGTGACGCTCATGATGTTACGTTGATCATGGGGTGGGGTGGGATGGGGTTGTTCATGTGACGCTCATGGTGTTACGTTGATCATGGGGTGGCGTGGGGTGGGGTGGGATGTTAATGTTCATGTGACGCTCGTGATGTTACGTTGATCTATGCTGATGGTGCTCATGCATGGTCCAAAGCTGCGAAAGTTTTGAAAGTTCCTTGTTTTCAAGTGAATCATCAGCATAAAGAATATGCTTCCACAATTCGTAAGGTGCCCAAAGGATTGTCCAAGATCAGTGGAACACAGACCATTGATTCAGATTGGAAATCGTTGAAGTGCTGGCTTCCCAAGGAAGCTTCCAAAAAAAAGGCACTGGTGACTTGGTGACCCACTCCTCAAAATTGGAGCAAAGGGTCTGGCAATGGATGTGGCGCAGAACCGAACTGCGCGGCAATAATTCAGAGAAACTTGCAGCCATGAGCAAATTGTTCAATGGATGAAATAGTTTTCAGGACGTCCAAAAACAGGCGTGTAACACTGCATAGGCAATTCCAATTGGAAAATCACGCGCACGCCCTTAAAACCACCAGGCGCCTCTCAGCGCCGTTCCCTAACTAGTTTGATATATCTACAATTATCTACCCCGAATCCTAGTCAAGCTACACATAGACATAAACCTCTGTGTATGACTGGGGCACATTTACATATCAAATTGGTGACGTATTCCATTAAATCCTCATGATGGAATAGGGCGTGGACATTTGGTATACGGTCTACTCCAAAAAGTGCTGGTCAATCGGGACAATTATGTTTTATGTTGTGTTAAAATATATTTAAATATGGGATTCTTTGGTGTTTTCCCAAAATCTTCAGACAAACTCATGAGAATTTCAAGCCTATTTCCATTGCAGTTAGGATGTTGTTTGAATTTTCATTACTGCAGGATTACTAGAAATGTGGTAAACTCCAGAATAATCCATCCCCAAATGTTACTCTACATATTTTTGGGTAACAGCTGTATACATCTGTATACTCCTATTTGGGATGATGTAAAATGACATAAAATGAGCCTCCCAATTATGGATGGTTAATGGGATGGTCCATGATTGGCTTTACCACATTTTACTATTCATGTGCCATGGTCAGAAAAAAAACAAAACATGATTTTTGGTCATGTGCTAAAACTCATAATAGCTAATATATCTCATGATTTTTGGTCATATACACGGTCATTAATCATATAGATAATATATCTCATATGGGCCGATGGTCATCCCACCATCTATAGGGATTTTGATTCCCATGAAATGGAGTGACCATAGGCAAAAAATCTGTATTATCAGCACATGATCAACATAATGTCATATGAAATAAGATGATTTAATCATGTTAATAAAATCACATTTCCACATTCTTGTAAATTTAGATATGTTATTATATATATATATATATTATACAATTACATATATTTATATATGTATACATATGTGTATATATATATATATATACGAACCCTAGATCCCAAGGAGAATTCCCCTGAGGTACGGCTACCGCCCTGCTCGGCGGAGTCACGTCGCCGTCGCTGCGCCTGATGACACGGACGCGGAGGAGTACGGGAAGATCGGTGTTCATAGAATGATAGCCTAAAAATAGTGGTACCCCCAAAAAATGCATGGTGTATAATGAAAAATCATGAAAAATCTTGTAACCATGAATGATTTGCGGATACCCGCAAATCATCCATGTTTTTCCAGGATATGTCATGATTTTTCAATATAAACCATGCATTTTTTGGGGGTACCCGAATTCTAGGAAACCTCCCAATAAATCCCAATAATAGTGTGGTGAATAACCAATAGTTGCGTGAATGCTTATGGATGATAACCATTCATTAAGAATATGTGGAAATAATAGGTATGATCAATAGCCAATAACTGGGTGCATAGTTATGGATAATAACAACTCATAGTGTCAAGATAAACACCAATAGTTTGTTGATTGTTCACAGGATAGTTGGTTCATAACCACGTGGGATAATGGTAAAGAATAGATGGTTTCTGCTGATGATTATGTAACTATTTGGGAATATTTGGGTTTTATAAGCAATAGATGATTGGGTTAATGTGGGGATAATAACCATACCTATTATATGGATGGTTTATTAGTGACAATAGCCATAGACCCGTCATGGGGACAATAACAAATAGTAACCAATAAATGGGTGGATAACCATTTATGTTTGTTTAACAGAAACTCTACATGGTTAATTATGAACACAACTACAATGAACAACCGTTGATTTTGCCCAAACGGATTGTATGGTTAATTACATCAACATGGCTTTAGTATAGGTGGGATTCGACCAATACAAATCGAGATTTGATTTATAATGGGCATATAAAGGAAATATATGGCAATATATCATGGAGACATCATGAGCATGGATTTCGTACGAAACATAAACTTGGGTATCCAACGCCTACTACATGTGTTGAGAATTAATCCACATGTGAAAAAACAATGATTACTAGGTAATAACCATAAAATGAAGATACATTGGGGATATTAATCATAAATATGTATATATATATATATACATATATGATACACATGGTTGTACTATGCAAATCAATGTCAATACTAGAGAACACTGATGATACGACCAACACAGAATGGGTGTATCCCAGGAATATTGACAAACATAGCAGCGATGCAGCCAACAAATCTGCTAACAACCATATAGTCTATTCCATGTCAAGGTATTTCAAGGATTTTTGGAAACCACATGTGGAAGCCAAAAGTATCTACACAGAATGGGAGAAAACATGGCCGGCAGCCTTGATGGCGATATCGTAGGGTGAATGCCAATGCTCTGCAAAGGGAGAAACTTCTGACCCTAGTCTCTGTAGCTGAAAGATACAAGGTGGTGCCCCACAATTATACGTTGGTGGTTTACTCAAATGAACAATCTTTGCTGTTTGGAAGCGGCGCTGTCTAGGTGAACCATATCCACATGGCTCGAAAACAGCAGTTTTCCCAATGTGCCTTCATTGTTGAGTTTCAAAGCATATTCAAGTTTTGATCAACACGTTTAAGACTATGTTTGTATACATTGCGGATGTCGGATGTTGACTGTAGATGTTCAACTTGGATTGCGGTTTAAGGTTCAATGTCATTGAGCTGGTCTTCTGGCCGATTGATCAAAGATCAATGTCATTCTACGCAATTCCCAATGAATTACCCTCTGGTAAACTAACATAGCTATTGAAAATGGCCATTTATAGTGGATTTACCCATTAAAAATGGTGATTTTCCATAGTTACGTTAGTTTTCCAGAGGGTATACAGCAATCAAAATCCACAATTCTATTTGACCATCTCCAAAATCCGTAGAATTTTCTGGTCATGATAACGGCGTTTTCATGGCAAGTGCTGTCATAGTAACCGCGGATTAAGAAACCCGGGTTGATCAATTAGGGTTGTTCTCCCCCCAGATAATGATACATAATCTGGTACTGAATATGGTAGTCACCCCAATGATCAGCAGCTGATGGGGTTGATTGTTTTGGGGTTGATATTATCTATATACATATATCATATATATATACATAATACAATGCTATATCTTATTTTTTCACATGTTATTATATTATATTGTATTGTATTATGTTATTATATTATATTTGTTTATATTATGTCGTTTTATATGATATAATATATATATATATACATAGATACCACAGCAATCCCCATCCTGAACGATGGTGAATCCTGGAGATTTCGGTCAGGATGCGGCCAATCGTTCCTTGTGGCTCGGCCTTTCTTAAAAGTTGGTGAATTTCAGTAGGTGAACTTTGGTTTATTTGGTTTATGGTAGGTATAGTTCATAGAGTTCATAGGGGTTTATCTTACAAGAAAATTTTGGGATATTTAAGTCTTACAACAGTTCATTGTTTTTTTTAGCAACTTACAGCAACATGTTGAACGATATTTTTTAGTTTTAAGCAACATTTTACCATGTGGATTTGAGCGCACTGGAGCAACACACTGGTGATGTTTAACCGTCGTTTTTTCAGAACACGGCCGAGCCAGGCCGACTGGTCGGCGAAAAAACACCGTCTGGATTGGGCCAACATGAATATTATATAGTATATATAAGTATATAATATTATACATATTTATTACATATTTATTACATATTTATTACATATTTATTAAATATTTATTACACATTATACATGCAATACATATAATAAATTAATTGTAAACATACTAAAGAAGCTATTGAAAATACACCATTTATGTGGGTGATTTAGTAATAACTAATAGTAAACATGGTGATTTTCCATAGCTATGTTACTTTACCACAGGGTAGGTTTCATTTGTTCAGGGGTGACAATAATCAGCAAATCTTTATGATTGGGAACTGTCCATGAACATCACGTGCATAGGAGTGCCTGATCACGCCCTGTTGATCATGGGGGTACCACTTAAGTATCAGATTATGACTATACTTGGAGAGTGCCCCCCTACTTGACAAACTATGGTTTATGAATCTGGGATGATTGGCAACTGATCTTTTAAGATATTGAGAGTTGAAAACTGACCACCACTGGGTGTCTCCAAACATGGCTACAGTTACCCTGATGTTGCCTGACTCTGTGACCTGTATCTCTTTCAACCTTTTTCTAGGTCGCCATTTTATATGTTCCTATTCATGAATTATATTTTTATGTTTGGCAGGTTAAACAACAGGAAACCAGTTTAATGTCCAGTGTCCTTTTCATGTGATACTAATCCGTTCGAACTGTTTCTTAAAACATGTTTAAAATGGAGACAACTCTCCTATCATTTCCCCTATATGTTTCAGATTTTGTTTCTTCTATTTTATCCGCATGTTTTCCACATATTTATACATCTAATGACAAGTATATTTGTTTACTAAATGTTCTGTTTCCACAGGTTGAAACCCACATTTTCCTATCAACGTTCCATCCTCTTTCCCCATTTTTTCCCACCATATTTTCCCGCCATTCTTCCACCATGACTTTCGGGCACCGCCCGGCCCACGAACCGCTAACCCAGGTTCCAGGAGCTGCCAGCGAAGCTGCAACCCGTCCTGGGTCGCTTGGTGAATCAAATGGTTTTCATAGGTTGATATATCATAATGGGACTTTTATGATGGTTATATAATGGTTAATCATTGGCTTAATATCACGAAAATATATCTATATATAGTGATTGTTAATAGTGGTTTTCATAGGCTATAAACCGTTACAACAATGGGAATATGATATCTATATCCTGGTTGGTGGTTTGGAACATTTGGATTATTTTTCCATATATTGAGAATAATCACCCCAACTCACTATACATGAAGCATATGAGATATGGATCTATATGGATCTACATGGATCTATACCCATATGCTCCATGGTGATGGTATATTTACATACATAACTGGGTGAATACCATAGGAATTCCAAACTAACTATGGCTATATTATATATCATTATAGATTATTAAAGATATTAAAAGTGGTTAGACATTATCTGGTTGGTGGTTTGGAACATGACTTTTATTTTTCCATATATTGGGAGTAGTAACCCCAACTGACGAACTCCATCATTTTTCAGAGGGGTTGGTAGGTCAACCCCCAAGCAGATTTCTGGATCCAGATTTCTGGATCTATATGGTAGATTGGGTCGATATATCTAGATGGGTTCATAATGGTTTTATAATGGTTATATATATATATTAATCTAATCATGGTTAAATATAGTGAATATTATCATGGTTATCTTATCATGGTTTTATAATGATATTATCATGGTTTTATAATAGTGAATATTAATCTAATCATGGTTATAATGGTTATATAACCATAATGATAACAATAGTGAAGCAATGATTAATATAATATAACCATGGTTTTAATTTAATAGATTGTAATAGCTAACAATAGTGAATGACTCCAATGATTACAATAATTTATCGATCGATGATCCAAGTTTACATGCGTTTACATAAATTTGAATCACCCATGGTTTCCGGAAACTGATCTATGTGAGTTTACAGGAGGGTATAGCTTATGCGACCTTCTACAAATGACCATCTTCATGGAATGACTTTCTTGTTGGTGACAAAAAATGAAAAAGTATCATATTCCCAAGCCTTGAACTGATGGGACAAATATTAAAATGTACAACTGATGGGAAGCTTGTGATATTGCCAGGATTTTTTCTCCATTCCCACTTATCAGTCTTGTTTGTTGTTGCTTACCATCTTGTAATTTAACATCAGCTGTGGTAAAGGGGCAGTTTAATAGGTAATTCATCTATAAATGGGCCATATTCTATAGCTATGTTAAATCACCAGAGAGTACCTGATGGGAAAATGCTGGCCCCCACCAACAAACATTTTGGTCCAATGGGTTATTTTTTGGGACTTAGGATATGACCAACCGTATGATGTTTTGTTGTGTTTGATTGCATTTTGATGGGACAAATTAGGTAAACTACTTTCAGAGAAAACCAAACATATAACAACATGATACAACATGTATATAAGCGATTGGAATATGTGAGATATATGAGGGGAATGGGAAGCCAATTACTGAGAAGAGTGTTCATCCCAAGGTCGCTGTTATTTGGATGGAAATTGAGGGCTCAGTTCGTGCTCATCTCATTGAATCTCTTGGGTAATTGCGGGAAATGCTGGAAATAATTGAAGATGTTGTTTCTTCACATTCCCACTTTTTATCAGTCGTTCTTTTCCTTGCTTAACCTCTTAACTTAATACAATTACGGTCGGTCACCATATTACGGTCGGTCACCATTTTGATAGGTAACACTAACACATCCAACTGAATGGTCATGTTCCATAGCTATGCTGAAATGCCGGAGGGTAATTCTTGCATATGTTTGCTAGTTACAGGGTTAAGTCCCATGTGTCTTGGGTGGCAAGTTGTGGCTGTTCCGAGGGCGACGCTTGCCGCTGTGGCAAGTGGAGGCGCGTTGCAGGTTGAAAACATGTTATCAATTCTTCCCTGGGAAGATATCAGTTGGTAACACGATCAACTCATGTGGCACGGTAAGCGCCAAAAGGTATCAGAAGGTGGCTATTTCTTTGCCATTTTCCACCAGTGATGTGATGTTTTCCGGGAGGGGAAACCCTTGGTTGCACTCCCGGATCACTGCCGGGTTTCCTTACGCGAGCAGTTGAGGCCGCGGTCATTGGCATCATAGTAGTGGTCATGCTGCTGGTTCTGCGCCTTGGTTGCCGATATGTTGAAGCAGACAAGGTCGTGGAGATTCAAATTCCAGGCATTCAATGTTAGCTCTATATCTTTCCATCATCGGCCAAGGATTCAAAGATCGCTATTCGGTCTTTGTTTTGGAGTGTACCATTGATTCGTTTGATCCTTCCTTCTCCGTCTCGTTTTCCCCTGTTTTTTTCATCGTTTTTGCGCAGGTTCTTTCTGCTGAAAGGCAAGCAAGCACCGGTCCCTGGGATTCACTGAGCTGGCTATTCATGGTGACTATGAGGATGTTATTGATATGACTATGTTTTGATTATGCAGGCCAGTAGGCATAAAAAAATAACTATGATTATTAAGAATTATTGGAGATTATTGGAAGAATTATTGGAGATTATTGGCATATATTTAATATATTTTGTATTCTGAGAATATTCCGATTCTGTACTTAGGTTGATGTCATTCCCAGAATTGGTTTATTGGAAAACTTTGGCAGATTTTAGCCCAGCAACTTTGATGGTGCCGTGTATTTTTGTCCTGTGTTTCTTTGTTCCTTAAACCAACCCATTCCTTTGTTAATCGTGATGGTTAATAGTGGTTAATGTGGTATAACCTAACAACAATGGGAATATGATGGAAATACATAGGTGGTTTGGAACATGACTGGATTATGACTTTCCAGAAACAGTTGGGAATATGGAATGGAATAATCATCCCAACTGACCGAAGTCCATCATTTTTCAGAGGGGTTGGTAGGTCAACCACCAACCAGATTATTGACCACCAACAACCACGGAAAAGTTTCAGCTGCGGCTACTAAGGCGCAGTCCTACACTTTGCCAGCACCATCCGCAGGTGGTGAATGGGGAGCGACATGATGACAGGAGCGGGATAATGGAGGTTTATAATATTGGAATCCATTGCAACAGTAGTATTGCATAAGTGTATATAATTGTGATATGTTTCTTTTGAGTAGCATTCCATGTATGAATTGGTTGGAATTCTAGATTATGGATAATATCATTGAGATAATTGAGGAGTATCCAACAGTAGCCAGAAATATGTGTCACAACAAGTGTGGGAATATTGTGAACAACACTTGGTATACCACTCCAGTCTCTGTTGGACGAATTTCTAGGTTTTCCGACTTCCCAAAATGAACTTCTCGCCACAGGGAACGATTGGATTTATAATTTGTGTGATGATTCTTACTTAGTAATGATTACCTGGTTGGTGGTTTGGAACATTTGGATTATTTTTCCATTTATTGGGAATGTCATCATCCCAACTGACGAAGTCCATCATTTTTCAGAGGGGTAGGTCAACCACCAACCAGCATTACATCTCAAGGAAAACTCAAGTAATTCCCATTAAATCACCATAAAACCACCATTAAATCACCATTAAATCCCTGGGTTACAACCACTTATTGTTATCCATCATTAACCATTATCATAACCACTAATATTAACCATTATTAACAGTATATTAACCACATATTAACCATCAACTGGTGGGATTTCACATATTGTGAATGTAAACCACTGGATTTCAGTCCCCATCTCTGGACGCCAGGGGATCAAGAAGCAGGTCGGCACCGGGACTGGGACTGGGTCTGATGGAATGGGTTTTTTTCGGCACCCACAGTTGGCCATTTTAAGGAAAAAATATGATAAACCCATGGATATGGATGGAATGGGTTTTATGATGTTTTATGGGATTCAAGATATGGGTGTTCCGCGACATGTTGAGACAAAACCATATATGTTTGATTGATGATATCTGTATGTTTGATGTTTTTGTTTTCCCCTTGTTTTTTTTGGAATATGGGTTTTCCATGGTTTTCCCCTAAATGCTGTGATCTCAGTTTGCTGCACCAAATCCGGCATCCCACGAGATGGGACGCAGTGGCAGTCTGAGTTGATGCTACGAAAAGGGGAATTCAGTCGACTCTCCACGGATACCCTCCAGTAAATTAACATGACGACCCTGCCAGACAGGGGTTGGAACATTTGGTCAATTTCAGGGTCCAACTGTTAATTTACCAGAGGATATCTTATGCTTAGAAAAATGATGCAGTTACCCAGCGGCAACAGAAACGCTTCTCACCACACAGCACCCAAGTTTGCGGTGAATGAGAAGATAGGAGGATTTCCACTAAGAAAGCTAATGATAGGAGATATCATGATCTTAGTCTTACGCAGATTTGACTAATCAAAAACAGTCTAGAACTGAAAGGGCCCCCTGCTTGTGGTAGTTCACATGTTCACATGTATCCAAAAATGTTGGTACCCTACATTTACATCATTTTTATTGGGCATTTTCCTTGAAATCAACCATCCAGCGATTATTCGGGGTAGCCCCATGACTTTTTGTGGACCCCACATGGGTCTCAGCGCGCGGTTCCGTGGATTTGCCCAGGTGAAGGTACATTGGACCAAAAATTGTCCCCTCCGGCCTGATTGGACAGCGACCTGGGGTCAGGCTGTGGGTCTCCTTGCTCGCGACTCGCGACACATTTTTTTTGGGGAAACCCGGGGAAACCGCACATATCGATGATGTTGTTTTGGATGTCAACCACGACTGGCTTTTGCAAAGCCTGGTGATGTAGGTTATGAATGGTTATGAAGATCTGGAAATTTGCCTGGGAAAATGGAGCTGCTTTGGTGTCCCAGAGCACCACCAGCTAAAGCCACCGTTTACACAACACACGGGGATTTCAGCTGGGTAACCGTCGATTCCAGCGGAGGATCGGAAAATCCCGAAGAATGGCCCTGACACATCGTCACCCTGTTGAAGGTTGGTGGTTGTGTTGCTGATTCATGTTCCATCCTAGTCAACAAATAACAAGTCATATTCACAATTTGATTGACAGTTTTCTTTTGAGATAGGTTGAGAAATTGGAGATTTTACTGAATGGTGGTACCCCCAATTCATCCAAAGTTAGATGGTTTTAGCATTTACATCTATCGTTTTGTGGGTCCCCCAGTTTAGGAAATACATGGAAATACCAATATCTTGCCCATATGCTCCATGTCATGTATAGTATATTTACCTACATAACTTGCTCATTTATGGGATAAATGTTGGTAAATCTTCAAGCACCATGGAGCGAATTCTGGTGATCGCCATCGCGGACAGGGCGCAGTCCTAGGCCGATAGGCTCACAGCTGCTGAATGGTTGATGAAAATATATTGGGATGAGACACCATATTTGTTACAAATTGAAAGGTATTGTACTCAACACATAAGAATATGATCAATAAACACGAGTAAGTGGTTGTCATTCATGTTTTTTTGTTTCGGGTGAACACAATTTTGTATCTAGTTCAATGCAGCCACATGATGTTTGCTCGATCTCCAACATATTGTGATCATCGTGATCCTGTAAACAGATATTCCGAGATTCCAATGCCGCTGGTCATTTGTCACAATCCAGTGATTGGCTAAAATGTTGGGTAAAATCCTGTGTTAAACAAATCAATATTTCCTGATGATTCACTGAATATCAGATTTTATTCATTCGACTGGGGGATTCAACCTCGGATAGTTGAGTGGAATCCTTTTTTTTGGGTCCACCAAGGATTTATCCCATAGCCATGGGTGAAATCCCTATTTCATCACCATAAAATCGAACAATATCCCATTCTATTCCACTGAGCTAATATCATCCCATGATATAGCCATGGTTAAAGCATGATATGGCCATGATATCCCAGTATTATCCCATGATTATCTCGTTATTATCCCATGATTATTCCATGAGATAGCCATGATTCCAAACTAACTATGGCTATATTATAGAATTATTAAAGATATTAAAACATGGTTACCCGTTATCTGGTTGGTGGTTTGGAACATGACTTTTATTTTTCCATACATTGGGAATGTCATCATCCCAACTGACGAACTCATATTTTTCAGAGGGATTGTTTTACCACCAGCCAGTTATTATTCTCGCACACAGAATATCTAAAGATATACCCTCTGGTAAACGTTTACTTAACTATCGAACATCACCATTTTATAGCTGGGTAAATCATGGTAAATCCACTACTTCGACTGGGCCATGTTCAACAGCCATGGTAAACGTTTACCGGAGGGTAGCCATGGTTTTAAAACCTGGACCTCCAACACGTCCTCCGATTCCAACACGTCGTCGCCATGGCGGCCACGGCGGGCTTCGCACAGATGGGGCTGCAAGCTGCCCGGGCTCAGGTGCCGGGCAGGGACCGGACCCTGTTGGGACCCGTGGTAACAAGAGATTTGAACCAAAAATCATGGTTTGTGATAGCAAAATCAGACAAGTCAAGCCGCATAAATTGGGGATTTAATCATATTTAATCGGAATTTGAGCAAGAATAATTGGAATTTACAGTTGACTTATGATAGCTAAGTTGGTTTATACCTCCAATAACAGTAGATATGTCGAACTACTTAATGGGTTTACAAAAGCAACTTACGTAACTGGAGGGCCTAGCTCCATTATACTCATTCTAGATGGCATAATCCTATGATTTAATATTATTTATGGTATACCAAGTATACCCCTATTATGCATAGTTCTTGCTGTTTAAATCTCAGTAAACTACCACAAATCTGTCCAAGTCCGAATAATTACCAAGAAAATCCCTATATGAATCCAAGTAGAAATCACAAAACTATATCAATCCCAATATAATTCTATAGGTATATTTAGGTATATAGAACTATATCAACCCCTATATATTGCTATATATCAATCCCTATAAATCATAAATTCCTATAGAAATCCCTCTAAAGCCGCTGCCCCAACACGCAGGTCTGTGTGTTGGGCGGTGGCGTGGTGGGCACAGCCATCGCGCGGGAGCTCGCGCAGCGTGGGGTGGAGACCATTCTGCTGGACGGGTCCCGGCGATGGAAATCTTTCCGACATCATACCCCAGTCATATGCTTAACCACTATTAATATGGACATATGGTTACCATAGTGGTTTTTATAGTGATGGTTTTTATAGTGGTTTTCATAGGCTATAAACCAACAATGGGAATATGATGGTGATCTGCTTGGTGGTTTGGAAGATGACTGGATCATGACTTTCCAGAAACAGTTTGGATATGTCATGCTCCCATTTGACGAAGTCATATTTTTCAGAGGGGTAGGTTGAAACCACCAACCAGTATTATTATTAATTAACCATATATTAACCATGGCATAATCATAGGGGTACACCCTTGAAATGGACATTGAATATATATTGAATGGGGGAAATTACTTTAAACTATCAAATTTTGGGGCACCCTATTTTCACACAAACCCCAAAAAAATAAATTACTTTACTTCGTGTGATCCCCACCATGACATTTATACATTTTCTTACTGGCAAATCTTCTGGCATTCTATCTGACATATCTTCTGACATTCTATTTGGCATTCTATCTGGCATATCTTCTGGCATATCTTCTGGCATTCTATCTGGCAAAACTTCTGGCATTCTATCTGGCATATCTTCTGGCATTCTATCTGACATATCTTCTGGCATTCGATATCTGGCATTCTATCTGGCATATCTTCTGGCATATATTCTGACATATCTTCTGCATTCTATCTGGCATTCTATTTGGCATTCTATCTGGCATATCTTCTGGCATATCTTCTGACATTCTTTCTGACATTCTTTCTAACTTTCTTCTGCACATTCTTTGTCCCATATCTTCCTACATGAGGTCCGGCAGGAAACACTTGGCATGGATACTCGCAGATGAGGTCCGGCAGGGAACACTGGGCGTGGCTGGTCGTGGTTGAGGTCCGGCAGGGAACACTGGGCGTGGCTGGTCGTGGTTGAGGTCCGGCAGGGAACACTGGGCGTGGATGGTCGTGGTTGAGGTCCGACAGAGAACACTGTGGATCGCGAGTCGCAGTTGAGCAGGAGGACGAGGCGACGAGGACGGACGAGGTACGACGAGGACGACAAGGACGACAAGGATGACAAGGAGACGAGGAGGAGAGGAGGAGAGGAGGAGGAGGAGAGGAGGACGAGGCAGGAGGAGGAGGCAACTGACATAAAATCTAACAACCCTCACCTGGCAGGTGGGGAAAAACATGATTTTGCCAATGATTAACCATGAAAGCCATACGGCAAAATCCATAAAATCCCTAATCTCTCTAAGAAGGTAGAGTAATTGGAGCCAGAAAAAACGATTTTGCTAGATACTAGATATTAACCATCACTCCTTTTAATTTACTTACATCCATTTACATCCGCATGATTTTCATCATTATACCATCATTCTTGATCTTGCCAGAAGAATTCACAAGAGCAACTCTGACTTTGCAACAGATTATAAGGCTTCCAAGGTCAGGAATTTTGAGGACAAAAGTTCTGCCGAAAATGATCGGGGGTCAAGGTAGCTGGCCGCCGGGATAACCTTTCCAACTAATTTGAGGCATGAGCGGTTAATGAAGACGTTGTTGATGGGTGGGGGGCCATTTGTTTGGAGAAGGGAAATGTATGAAACCAAGCAAAATTTGGAGAAGTCAAATAAATCAGATAGCCAAACCGGCCAAAGGTGGCGCTCCTTTCTTTCCTTGCCACGAAAGACAGAGACGGGCTGATTCTTTGCTGTACCCGTAGTTCACGACTCATCTGATGCGGCCTGCGTGAAACCTACTCAACGAGAACTTGCTTCAGACCAGCATTATGATGCTGGTCTGCAGACCAGCATTATGATTGTGATATATTATGATCCTAGTTATCAACATCAATATGAATCTTGCAATATGAATGAAGTCATGATGATCATCGTATCCTTGTTGTGTTTTGTACACCCATGAGATGGTTAGTAACGCCGTGGACTGGGGACTGTCTTCGTGGAATTAGGATGGGGTGGGGTGGCGGGGGCAATAACGTAACTTGGAAATGTTGATAGTACAAATTGATCACGAAATAATGAACTTATATGAACTTATATGAACTTATACATTACTGCTTGGTTGGTTTGGAACATAGTTTTTTTTTCCATTCAGTGAAGTCAGTTGGGAAAATAATCCCACCAACCAGTCGTGCCCTGCGCAACCAACCTCCACCCACCAACCCCCCTGCTGAGCGTGTTCCAAGCTACTTGAAGTCGAAAAAAAAAGGTGTAGCACCAATGTTCTGTCCCCATTATAACTTAATTAATGATAATTACCCTCTGGTAAACTAACATAGCTATTGAAAATGGCAATTTATAGTGAGTTTTCCCATGAAACATGGTGATTTTCCATAGTTTTTGGTATGTTTACCAGAGGGTAATGTATTTATATCCCCACATTCACTGTTGAAATCACCATAGCCTAGTTTTAAATACATCTACCAAAAACCCGACAGACATTGGAGTTCAACATCTTCACCAACTTAGCAGTCCTGGGGCACCACCTTGCAACTCAGAAATATACTGTGAACATTTCTGGTTGGTGCCCCAGGACTGGATAGTGGTATTGATAGTGGTTAATAGTTATATTAATAGTATTATTACATTAATAGTAGGTATTTCTGAACTATTGACAGTGATATATACTCGGAAATATTTTGGAACATTTTTTTAATAGTGATATTAATAGTGGTTTTCATAGGCTATAAACCAACAATGGGAATATGATGTGATGCTGGTTGGTGCTTTTGGAACATGAGTGGATTATGACTTTCCCATCATATTGGGAATGTCATCATCTCAACTGACGAAGACATATTTTTCAGAGGGGTTGTTTTGCCATCAACCAGATACCATTTACTAAGATACAAATTATAATACATTGTTTTAAGACCATTTGCTTATAGATACAACTAGTAACACGTACTAACCAACATCTATTTCATATGTTTTCCTCACAAAAAAAAACGCAACGCAGGAGAAGAACCGCATCGGCAGCGGCGTGAGCGGCGGCAACACGGGCATCGCTTGCACCCTGCTGGGCGTGGCCAAGGCGCGCCGGGGAATGTCGCGGTTTTCCCCCAGATATTCCACGTTACTTGGTGGCGAACTACCCACGGCTCGTAAGTGGGTTATAACCCCAGTGTTTTACATAGGATAAGTAGGGTTTAATCCACTTATAACTGGGGTGAGCTAACCCACTTACTAAGTGGGATGAGCCACCAAGTAGTTGATGTTCAGCAACAGTCTTTACAGTGTTTTCTGTTAGTTGATGTTAGTATAATTAAGTGGATGGTATAAACTAATGATTAGTAATCAACACCAGTGAGCTGGGGGTGTTTTTTGAACCATCATAATATGTTTACAAGAGATTTGTTGGTTTATAAGTGATAGGCGATAGGGCTTATGCTGAGATAGAATCTATAGTTCATTGGCCTTTATCTATAAACCAGCAACATTTCACTGGGTTTATGATGATATACAGTATCCATGGTAATTGCCCGCATAAATTGTGGCAATAACCTGTAATATCCCATAAATAGTGTGGTATATAATACCCTCTGGTTATTTAACATAGCCATGGAAAATGGCCCATTTATAGATGATTTTCCCATTAAAACCTCCATTTATAAGGGATTTTCCATGGCTATGTTAAATAACCAGATGGTACCTCCAATTGTAATTGGAACTGCACCGCAAACCAAGAAGCAATGGACTTTGCGTTAAAGTTGCATGACCCGGTCCATGGTTTACGAAGCTGTGGACCGGTCGGACAATGACGATGGGTTCCATCGGTGATCCATGTTCCATATAAACATTGCCTCGGCCCAATGGAGGAATCACCAATATCTCCTATCTATTCAGCTTATCTTTCAATTGGTGGGACATTTACCAACCCTCATGCTGTATGGGTGTGTCATTGTGTCTAAAAAGGGGTGATTTACCCAAAATCCAGGGAAAGCGATGATACACCAGTGGACCAAACCCAGACATCTCCAAAATTCTGGTGACGTATCCTGTTTGTTACAAGCCCATGGAATCTCAAAAACATGTTGCATAAAAATCCTCTGAAATCTCAAAGAAAATCAGATGTTTTTGTTGGTATCTCATTGAAATCCCCTCTGCTAATGATTTCATCCCCATCAAGTTTTTCCCATGGAGGACTCTCTGGAGCGGCAGTGCTTAGAGAGGGCTTTGCCTTTGACGCTTGGGAAATATGATGAAACACCAGGGGAAACCACAGGGATTTTAGCGGAAAACCATGGGGGAAACATGGGAACATGCTGATTTCACCGAGAAACATATCGACCAATGGTGATTCGCAAGCTTCAGCACCTTCATTTCCTGAGATTTTGTAGCCACAAGACGTGGATTTCCCACGTGAAAGGCCATGCTAAGGTTGCCAGACGCCCACCTTCAAACGTTTCAACAGTATGTGACCACAAACAAAATGCGTACCAGCATGGTACCGGCACTTGTATACAGCAAAACTCCGATCGAACATTTTGATGTCCCATTTCTCAACTCGGAATTTACAATATGTTAGGTTTATCTAAATTTTGGGGTGGACATTGCTATAAATATATATAAATCCTATAGCCATCCCCAGTAGCATCTCCAGGGAAAACCGAAACGCCCAAGGAATCTGCCCACCTACCAGTCCTTGGGCCTGCCACACAAAGCCGCTGGAGCGCTCTATGTGCCTTGGTGTTTGTGGTGTTTTTTCCATGTTTTTCCCACTACCTTCCAGCACTATGGGTATTTGCTACTATGAAGTGGTTCCAAAAAAAAATGGACACATTTTCCCACAAGGTGGTGCCCCCTAGATAGCTAAGTTGCTTTATAATTGCACTAACTATGGTTTATGTTGGTGATATATCTACAGTTTTCATGGGATTAGAAACCAACAAACATAACTTGGGGGGCACCACCTTGCATGGTTTCTCCGCTTGGATTGAAATCCCATCCCTACGGCGTTGGAGTTTTTTTTTTACATCCTTTTTTCCGACTGAAAGATATTGTTTTATCAGTTTTATCCCAAGAAAAGACAATGGTTTCTGGGGTCTGGAAAATTTGAACAGGGATGGAATTGCAATGTTTTCAAGCCGCTGAACAGTTCTTGTCGTTATTGGAATGAAGTGTGTGTGTGTGGGGTCACTAGGACTGTGATCCATAGCCAAGGACACATGTTTGTTAGGGAAAACCCCGCTTGATTGGTGCAGATCCGCCTGGTTCTTCATTGCCTCGTCAGTTAGTTGTTGTACTACATTTCCTGACTGATGAACACCTTATTCTGGTGGTGTTTCATCATGAATCCAATCATTTTGTTGGATCCAAATATAAAGTGCTCATTGTATGCCCGGCAATCCTTCAAACTTTGCCACCTCATTTTTTTCGTGTGACAAACTTACAGTACCGTTAAGGTTTGATCTTTTTTTTTGCTGGCTAAATTTTAATAGTTGTTTCTATATCTGGGTAAACACATGGTTTCCTATACATTTTGCCCTTGAATCAATCCATTGAAAGCTGGTCAGATGGTTGAATCCTCTGTTTTTTGCATGTTTTGTTGGTGAAGTCATGAACTGTTTTGTTTTGTTCGTCCATCAGTGACTTAAGCATCGAAACCATCTTTCATCCCAATCCCATCTTGGTGAATCCCATTTTTTTCCATTGTTTTCAGGTTTTTTTCATGGTTCAAACCATGGTTAAAACCATGGGTTTTCCCATGGTTACCTGGTTAAAACCATGGTTTTCATTGGTTTTCCCCTGAAACCATGGTTAAAACCATGGGTTTTCCCATGGTTACCTGGTTAAAACCATGGTTTTCATTGGTTTTCCCCTGAAACCATGGTTAAAACCATGGGTTTTCTCATGGTTACCTGGTTAAAACCATGGTTTTCATTGGTTTCTCCCCTGAAACCATGGTTAAAACCATGGGTTTTCCCATGGTTACCTGGTTAAAACCATGGTTTTCATTGGTTTTCCCCTGAAACCATGGTTAAAACCATGGGTTTTCCCATGGTTACCTGGTTAAAACCATGGTTTTCATTGGTTTTCCCCTGAAACCATGGTTAAAACCATGGGTTTTCCCATGTTTTTTTCATTCAACACCCAGGTGGCATGGAGCTCTGGGGAAGCTCAGACATTGGAAGTGCTGGCCGAAGAGGTCGGAGGGGCGTTTCTTGGTGGTTTCTCCTTAGCGAAAAACCCGAGGAAAATTGGATTTTTTTGCTGGCCAAACATGGATTTCATGTGATTTATAGCCATTTATAGCTGATTTATGATAGCTAAGTAGTTTTAGAACTGGAAAATGACTAGTTTGTTTTTGACCATAGAAGTCTATAGTTAATGGGGCTTCTAAACCAACAAGCATAGCTGGGCACCAGCTTGTATGGCTTTGTTTAAACATAGGATGGCCTTAAATCCACTGGCTTATCATCACGTCCGTTATTTAAAGAGCCGTTTTTGGGGACATACTGTACCCCGAATCCAGAAAGACCCGTCTTTTTTTTAAGAAGAAATAATGGATACAGATATAGGGGATATATCGCCAACCATTATTATGGTAATACTTGGTAATTAGATGATATTAGATGTATTTGCAGTTGATGGGATTTAAACGGGGATTCTGGACTTAAAAATCGAGCCATCAACGGGATATGGTCCCAGCAGAGGGGGCCTTGTGGCTTTGAGAGTCAAACTTTGTGGTAGGTTACTGGGTTGTTCTGAAAGGCTATTGGGAAGTACCCTAGTAAACATACCAAAAACTATGAAAAATCACAATTTTATAGCTGGGTAAATCAACTATAAGTGGCAATTTTCAATAGTTATGTTGAATTACTAGCGGGTACTGTAAAGTAAGCAGGTCTTTGTTTTCGCAGCGTATTTCCAAGAATATCTAAGCTAAGATCTTCCATGTGAGAAAGGACAAATTTGGACGGCTATTTCCACCGTGTCATCAACTATTAAGAGGCAGAGATTTGGACATTTGCAAATTGATTTGTCCAAAAATTGGGCATGCCCGAAATTGAGAACTTTCATGAGGAAAAATCATGATAAACCAATGGCTTCAATTGTGTTTCCCAACATTTTCAGACAACCCCACATTACCACCTATGTTATGTGCATAGCTTTTAGGGCTGTGAAAGTTGAGTGTATCACAATTCCTTACGGCCAGGAACGACTTTGGTCAATTGTGAGTTACAGTCTGGTAATTTGACAGTTTGCTATTGAACATTGCTAAATTGGCTAAGTTCGTTGATTCACCTATGAAAATGCTGATTTTCCATAGTTTTTGGTATGTTTACCGGAAGGTAACCAACAACAGTCAGACTATCAACTGGTTGGTGGTTTGGAACATTTTTTATTTTCCCCTAGTTGGGATGATGATCCAATCTGACTTTCATATTTTTCAGGGGGGTGGCTCAACCACCAATTAGTCAAGCAGTACACCCGTCGAAACCAGGCGGGTGAAGAGTGTCGCCGTCTCAACGCTGAGGACGCAACGTGGGTGATCGTGGGGGTACAGTTATGGCCCGACGAACAGTTATTTTTATATATTTTGTTATGGAATTAAATGGGTTTATAATGATATATAACCTGTTTTTATGGGTTTATTTCTGATATAATTATAACCTGTTTTTATTGGTTTATAATAAGACATAACCTGTTTTTATGGGTTTATAATAGTAAATTTATTTCCATTTATAACTGTTAGTTGGGCCGTAACTGTAGCCTAAGGTTTTTTCGATGGGGATTTCACCAACAGAAATTGGTGATTGTGAATGGGATTTAGCTTGATTTAACTAACATAGATGTGGAAAAAGCATGTTTTTTCAAACAAAAAACTGTCTTCAATGGATTTCAATGGTGGGTTTTCCACATCTAGGGTATACCACCAGAATGGCAGTTTTCTGGATGATTTCCACATTTTGGAGGATCCCACATTGACTAGACCGTGTGTATACACTTATGGGATGATATGAGTAGATGGCCATATTTGTAGTTGATTTACCCATAAAAAATGGATGCTGATTTTCCATAGTTTTTTGTATGTTTACCAAAGGGTATATGTATTATTATATATTGTATATATATATATTTATATATGCAAAGATACATTGACATTGATATTACTTGTGTACAGAATGGTTTATCCCCACACCCAAGAAGCCACAGTGGCAATGTATTCTGATCCTCGTCGCTGGCAATGGTGTGCCACCCCAGATGATCTGGCTACGTTGGAAAATGGTGGAAAAATATCTAAATAGACTCCGGTTTATGGTAAATCTATCGAACTAGGATTAACTAGGCATACAGTGGTGTATATGAAACAAATTGAAAGGCACAACCTTAAGAAACATGGTTTATATAAACAAATTATAAACAAACTATATAACTGAGATGCAAACGAACTGAGATGCACATTCAAGTACTTGGTAGTTGTGCTAGTTGGCATCCTGCTTCACACATCCAGCGTCTGTACCTCAACTTACGAGTGCCGGATTACTCCTACTTATGCCACATGGATACATACATATTATAATATTTATATATACCACAATATATATATATATACCAATATATATATACACATAGCCAATAGCCAGGTGTGTCAATTTATTATTTTTTACATAACATAACCAAAAAAACATGTGAAATCACATGGTAATATGCACGCTGCTGTGCGATATAAGGGAAGCCATAGATCCTGCACCTTGGGCGATACTGCTCTAAGAGCTTCCGCCTACCAGTTGTAACCTATGTGCAAAAAAGGACATGGAGAAATCCCAAGAATCATCGGTATAGAAATATCAGTAACCTTCTGTTCACGTATGGATGTGGACCCAGCAAGATGGTGCTTTTCGGCAGGTTGTTCATCCGCACAGCTTTGGACGGTTAAATCCTTTGATAAGGAGGATGACAATAACCATGATAGCAAGAATGATAAACAACATGATAACACTGATTGTAAACATACACCCCTTCCCCATTAAAGTCAAACACCGCCCCAAACAAAACCTCAGTAACATGTTCTTATTTGATCTATTCATCTATAGGGGTGCTTTCTGGGGGGAATTGCTCATATCAGGGGAATGGGATTACGCGCATGATCTTAATAGAATAAGCAATGTTACAGTAATGTCAATCATTTGAACCATTGTTGTCATGAACGGCATAGCGGCCAGAGGTTGGGGTATAGTTCGCTTTACTGATAGACATAGCATCGCAGTCTTGTGTACTGCATTTGTGAACGCGGCTCTGCTGGAGTGTGGCAATGAAACTCCCATCTGACATCTCCGCCACAAAGGATACCCAGACCCCTGCGAAGGAGCGATCCGGGCACTGCCAAACGACGCAGCGATGGCCGACATCGCCTTCTGGAGCCAGTGCTCCGCTGCAGTTCAACCGTGCCTGGAAGGATGTGATTCGCCGATTCGAACAGCTCAGGCTTCCTAAAGAGCGAGTAGCGAGTTTCGAAGATTGCAATCGCTGGACAACTTGCCCCTGACCATTCAGCTTCAACCTTCCTGGGACGAGAAATTCGCCGCTATCTCGGAGCAAAGGTTTCTGATACTTCCAACTTCGTATCTCTATGAATGTGTTGCCAGTGTCCAGCGGAGACCCCACCTCAGAGCTTGAAAAGGGCACCAGCAACTGCCAGCAACAAAGGAAATTGACATTTGACTGCCGAGGCTGAATCTAGTTTGTTATTGACAATGTTGCACCTTTCTCTATCATCAGTGTTTACTTGATTCATGTGTGGGACAACATAGATCTTTTGGCAGTATCTAGAATGAATAAACGCAAAGTAACTGTTTGAATCTAATTTTGAGGTTGAACATGAAAACACTTCATTAGAACCAGCAAAATCAATGTTTTTTCCCCACCTGCCAGGTGAGGGTTGTTAGATTTTATGTCAGTTGCCTCCTCCTGCCTCGTCCTCCTCCTCCTCCTCCTCTCCTCCTCTCCTCCTCGTCGTCCTCCTCGTCGTCCTCCTCGTCGTCCTCCTCGTCCAACTGCGACCCGCGATCCACAGTGTTCTCTGTCGGACCTCAACCACGACCATCCACGCCCAGTGTGCCCTGCCGGACCTCAACCACGACCATGCCCGCCCAGTGTTCCCTGCCGGACCTCAACCGCGAGTATCCGGGCCCAGTGTTCCCTGCCGGACCTGAACCACGACCATCCACGCCCAGTGTTCCCTGCCGGACCTCAAACGCGAGGATCCATGCCAAGTGTTCCCTGCCGGACCTCATGTAGGAAGATAAAATGTCAGATAGAGTGCCAGAAGATTTGCCAGGTAGAATGCCAGAAAATATGCCAGAAGATATGCCAGATAGATATGCCAGAAGATATTCCAGAAGATATGCTAGATAGAATGCCAGATAGAATGCCAGATAGAATGCCAAAGATATGCCAGAAGAGAATGCCAGAAGATATGTCAGATAGAATGCCAGAAGATATGCCAGATAGAATGCCAGAAGATTTGCCAGATAGAATGCCAGATAGAATGCCAGAGATATGTCAGAATATATGCCAGAACATATGCCAGAAGATATGCCAGATAGAATGCCAGATAGAATGCCAGCAGATATGTCAGAATATATGCCAGATATGCCAGAAGATATGTCAGATAGAATGCCGGATAGAATGCCAGAAGATATGTCAGATAGAATGCCAGAAGATATGCCAGATAGAATGCATCAGATTTGCCAGATAGAATGCCAGAAGATATGCCAGAAGATATGCCAGATAGAATGCCAGAAGATTTGCCAGATAGAATGCCACAAGAAAATGCCAGAAGATATGCCAGATAGAATGCCAGATAGAATGACAGAAGATATGTCAGATAGAATGCCAGAAGATTTGCCAGTAAGAAAATCTATAAATGTCATGGTGGGGATCACACGAAGTAAAGTATTTTTTTTAACCTTAGTGTTCATATCATCTATCCCCTGTAAACTGGTATGAGTTTAAGCACTACTATCATTACTGGTTGGTGGTTTGGAACATGACTTTTATTTTCCACAATATATGGGAGAATCATTCCCATTGACGAACTCATATTTTTCAAGATTGTTAAAACCACCAACCGGATCAATTTTCAGAGTGCTTCCTATTCTGATAAACCATTATTAACAGTATATTAACCATATATTAACCATCATAAACCATATAATAACCACATATTAGCCATTATTAATAGTATATTAACCATATACTGTATATGATATTTCTATCCGTGCCAGCTTCGGTCTTGGAACTGAAGAATCTTCAGGAGCTCTTGACGCTGGAGCCTCAACTCGCGACCTCTGCACAAGCTGCGCTGCTCGTGCAACTTGGTGAAGAGGGGACTACCGCTTTGCTTCCACTGCAGCTATGGCCCAACTAACAGTTGTACATGGACATATAACTCCTATGAATCAGGTTTTATATCATTATAAACCCACAAAAGTTGGGCCATACCTGTGGTTAGACGGTTACATCCGCCATAGGGCTGTTTTTTTTAAACTATCGTCCCATTTCACGGGCTTCACCCCTCGGATGTTAATGTGGGTAGCAGACTTTCAGACCGATGGGATGGGTCGAAACCAATAGCTGTAAAAGCATACAGATAAAACAACATATAAATAAATATATATATATATATATATTTATTGTATATGTTTATCACTGGTGATCAGCATGCTGGTTATCAAACAGAGGATTCGGCCACACGAAGGGATGTTACTTCCCGAGCAACGGGATATTCCCTCATGCTTATTTCCCATTGCAGCATTGCAATTGTATCCCATTAGTTGTTTTATCTGTATATCCTATATTAGTTGGTTATCTCTCACATTAATTTCCCACTAAATTGGCAATGATTTGTTGCAGTAAATTATTGTTGGACATAATAATGCACACTATGGAACTAGACCTGCATGGCGAATATCATTTTAGTACAAAATCATATCATATATGGATATACTTAATTCATTATATCATTAGGCATAATTTGTTATTATATACTGGTTATTGTTAAATCCATCGAGGGTAGTTTTATCATTGTCTGATCCACTATTATAACGAGTTATTATAATCAATTGTGGCTAATGAATATCAATAACACTAGTTTGTTTAAAGTACTGTATCATAATTTATCATCCATAATAATCAATTATGGATCATGATTATCAATCAAATCACCATTTTCTAGGTGCACCAACGAACTAAATGGTTTCTATGGCCATGTTCCATAGCGAAGGTAGTTCACCATTTTTCATTGTTCTACCACTAATTGGTCATTGGTTTCTTTTCTGCTTCGGTGGTTTGGAACATGAATTTTATTTTTCCATATATTGGGAATGTCATCATCCCAACTGACGAACTCCATCATTTTTCAGAGGGGTTGTTTACCACCAATCAGATTATTGTTATAACCATCATTAACCATCATCATAACCATTAATATTAACCATCATCAACCATATAATAACCATCATCATTAACCATATACAAGGTGGTGCCCCCGTTCGATAGCTAAGTTGGTGAACATAACTCCAATGAAACTATGGTTTTTGTTGGTGATATATCGAACCAGTTTTCATGGGATTATAAACCAACAAACAAAACTTGGGGGGCACCACCTTGTGTGAGTCAATCCCCATTGTTTGGTGATTGACAAGCCACCCCGTTGGGAATCATCCCATATTATTTACCATATAATAACCACTTATTAACCATATATTAACCATCATCAACCATCATCATAACCATTAATATTAACCATCATCAACCATATAATAATCACTTATTGTAACCACATAGTAACCATATATGTCACCATGGACACGGATCAAAAATCCCTTCCAAGGCCGGGCGAAACTACTGTGGACCCCGGTCTGGTGCCCTTGGCCTTTGCCGCGGATGCGCATCGCTGCGGGGCACACGTCTGGGAGCGAACCGCGCAGGCGAATTCGGTGAAGCCAAGGGGCCGGGGAAGTGGTGGATTTTGCTAGGAAAACCATAGGAAAACCATAGGAAAAATGGTGATTTCATGAGGGTTTATGGTGGTTTAATGGAATTCAATGGCACTTACCCGGCCTGGTAAACCTAGCAAAAACCTATGGAAAGATCCACCATTTTATAGCTGGGAAAATCCACTATTTCTATGGCCATTTTCAATAGCTTTTTGTATGATTACCAGAGGGTAACCAGCAAGAATGGTGGAACCCCCAAAGATGTCGAGTTGAAGTGGCGAATTGTTCAAAAATCGGACGTACGGGCCGACACCACCGGAAACCGGAAATGTAAAAGGTCAGTATCCCAAAATGTTTCTATTCCAGGTTGGTGAATTCATTAAGATATTTCAGCCAGATCACTGGTAGGGTGAATCATTGCAAACTGATGATGGTTGAAAGAAGACAGCATGGCTTTGTTTCCAGTGTCGGAATGGGTGTTTGATTGGAAACATCCCCAAACTTGCACTGGGTAAGTTATGGTTTCCTGTTCATGTGGCTTATTTTTGCTGGAGATAAGACGATGAGAAGCGGAACTTTTCTGGAGGGCAACCAGGATCAACCACCCAGCATGCTGGTTTGATGGGATTATGATATATCGTTATGTGATAACCCCACCAATATCGGAACTGACCACATGTAGTCATACATTTTCCCTGTAAAATGTGTATCTTATTTATGATCATGAAACATATCTACGAAAATATCTCAACAGGTGAAAACAAACTGGGCTTTTTCAGCAGTCCCAGAAATTCTCGGATAGGTATTGGATCAATGGGAGATCTCCAGGATCCAACAGATGGAGCTACCTTAGCACTACTATAGTACCATTTTTCAGGCCATATTTTGATATATGTTGGGTGTATATTCCCTGAAATTTAGCCCTTTGTTCAAGGCCTTACATCTGCTAGCTACCTCCATTTTGGTGTTGGGGGGACCATCCCCTAGAGAATTGCTTGGACGGACGATGACCCAAGGTTTGTCAAAACCAATGTGTGACCAGTTTTGACAAAAATGTCCAGTGATTGCGGATGAAATAACATTCTATACCAAGGTAAACACCATTGTTATAGCTGTTACAACAGCGAAAAAAACTTTTTTTGAGCCACATGTATATCATAATGCGTACAATTTTGTTGAGTTATGTACAATGCCAATGACAAGTGTAAGAATATGACCCACTATAAGAATGACACCTTTTTATTATCCCATACAATGTACATGGGCTAAATTTTGAATTTATACCATTGAAGATTTCACAGAACATTACATGTATAGCAACCTTTGAAAAAGATGCAGAACAGGTATCACAAGTTTCAATTTATCACTATCCTACATTTTTCTTGGACTTATCACTATTCTATACATGATTTTAAGTGGGAATTTGCACCTGCTTTCCGTTTTTGTTCTAGATCGCGAACAACGACAGGACCGTCCCTGTTTCCACGCCTTGGCCAGGCCTCGATCGAGGAAGTTTGTGGCGCCTGGCGTTTGAGGTGAGATTTCGGTTCCAGAAATGGGGAAAACCTAAATCATCCACTATGATATGGATATATGATATATGATATATGATATATGGATGATCCTATTAAAGTGGATGATGACTGGGGGTACCCTGATTTTAGGAAACCTCCATAACATGTAAAATGGAGATAAACCAACTAATACTGTATGTCCCGAAAACATGATGAATGTGGTAAACCCAATGCCATAAACCATCCCCTAAAATCACCATAATTGTTTGCTATAAACCATTCCCAAATGATAAATGGTAGGTTTATTACTGAGTTGCCCACATTCCCGGGGATATAATATAACCAAGACTTAGCATGGACGGTAAGCGAACATGACTGGAAAACAAGATAGTTCGATTATTTTCAGTTTACAACCCCATTTCGAACTAGGATGTTCAATTACAACGTGTTGTTTACCAACGAGTAATGTTTTGTTTTGTATGTTGATGAACATACACCAACCCAACCAGCCAAAAACACGTGTTTGTTTTTTTTGTTTTGCAAGGTATCTAGGTTGGCCATGGAAATTGAGGATTGTACCGATTGAAACGTGGGATTTCACGCAAAGGAAAAGGGCAATTAAGCAACAAAGAAGTTGGATTGAACCCTGTGAACCCAAATCAAATATGGAATTCCCATGAATTCCCAAGAATTGTCCATGCCATGCCATGCTAATCATGCTGTCCAAAATCCACCAGGAAAACCCGCTCTGACTCTTGTTTGGGATGTGTATCAGATCCCAGAATCGGATGTTAAAACTATTACATTAGCTATATACAGTGTAAACATACACACATTATATGGCAAATCATGTGTCACATAGGTTTATACAGCAAATACATTATATATATACACATGTACATGTATATATCATATCATTTGAGCAAACAGAAAATCATGCAGATCGTGAACGGCAAGAGTTTGCAAGAGTTACACATACAACATTGCTGAAACAACTTGAAGCCTCTAAATATCTATCAAATATATTGATGAACGCCGATATGGACACGGCCACAACACTGGCTCGCAACAAAGATATCAAGAAAAAAACCGGGTCGACTCCGAGTTATCGATGGTGAATACACCCAACCTGGATCAAAAGGGGATCACCTGACTCCGATTCAGGCTGCCGGGGCTGTTGCAGTCTCCCATCTTGACACAGCATCTGGTGAATTGCACAGGTTTTTTAGCGGATGAGTGGAACATGGGGGAACATTGCGGATGTCGGATGCTCCGTGGTGCAGATTTACCTAGATATTATCTACATTTGGAAGCATTCAGGTGTTGAAAAAAACCAAAGGTAAATGTTGATAACATATTCACCTTGGTGAATAATTTGGATGCATTTGGGATGATTGGGATACTTAACCGAAAACTTCCATGGAAACTCTCGGTTGTGGTGTAAACTTTCAGGGGGTGCCATGTAGAAACACGGCTACACTTGCCGTGGATTTAGCAAATCTGGCTGATTTGGAGCAGCCCTTGTTGGGTATTTCAAAGAATGCCATCCAGAATGTCGCTCAGTTTTATATTTTATACCATTTACCCTATCACCCGTTAGTTTTGAGGCATTCAACCCAGTTTTCTTTTCTGGTTTCGAAGTGTTCAATTCATTCCTGGTTTGTTTCACCAATTCTTGACCTGTAATTTGTGTTTTGTTTTCCCGGGTATTATGCAAAGTTCATCCCTTTTCAACTAACTCCAATTTCTGGGTGTATATACAGATAGCAATATTTATTCTAGAGTATGCCATAATGTTCCACATTTTTTTGAGCGGGAGAGAGTGGACCAACTATTAATCTGAGGCATTGTGATGCTGTTCCTTTTAGTCATTAAATCATGGATAATAGTTAAGTGATACTGTGTTTCCCTGATTGTTCCATGGTGATACTCGCCAGAACATAATTGATAATTGGTGCTATACCCTATGAAAACAGAAATCCTATTTGTTATTATGTATATTGCCTGTCATCATCAAATCCCATACTTTAATTACAATGTATATATATTTTATATATAACTATAAAACTATATATATATATATACAATATTAACTCTGTACCACCCAGTTTCTTTTCTAACTTTAGCAAAGCTGTGTTTTTCACTCTGCACCACCCAGTTTCTTTTTAAACATTATATATTAGACGGTATAGCACATCATTTATCATGGTATGGTACCCAGGCCCTTCCTTCGAGGCCTCACCGCGCCGCACAATTCAACGAAGACCGACCTGCGCTTCAAGCCACGGCGAGGTGATCTGAAAACGATGATGGGAAGATCATGGGACTTTTTAATGGTGATTTTAATGGTGACTAAATGGTGACTAAATGGTGAAAATGGTGGTTTCATGGAATGTATTGGTGATTTCAATGGTGATTTTAATGGGGAAAATATCATGAACATATGGAAACATATGGGAAAATGGTGGTTGAATGGAATGTATTGGTGATTTTAATGGACATTTTAATGGTGACTAAATGGGTTAGAATGGAAATATCATTGGGATAAATGGGAATATCATAGGAATAGCATAGGAATATCATGGGAATATACATATCTGGTTGGTGGTTTGGAACATTTTTTATTTTTCCATATATTGGGCATGTCATCATCCCAACTGACGAACTCATATTTTTCAGATGGGTTGTTTTACCAGATAATTATTAACCATCATTAACCATATAATAACCATATATTAACCATTAACAGTATATTAACCACAGATTAACCATCAAATGGTGAATATCATGAATCATGAAGAAACCGGTCTGGATCTAGATCCAAGGGACTTCGTTGCATCCTGTCATGATTGGTTGTTGATTTTGGACGGTGTTTTGATTTCTGAGTTTGCGTGAGCAAAACAATAGCAGAAACATAAGCATCCTATAGAAGACATAGTGTTCTTGCTTGCTTCAATTCATTATTTTAAGCGGGGAAATGGTAAACAATTGGGCTTCAGGGGTACCCCGTTTAGAGATGTTGTATGCTTGAATAATATTTCGGTGAGATGTCAGCATCAACGACTATGTAGCTATCATATTGGGCATGGATGGTTCATTGCTTTCCTTGGCGAGCACCAGAGATGTGTAACTTTTTGCGAGTTAAACGCCATCCCCAGTGGATATGAACAGGTCCAACAGATTTCAAACTGATTACCCTCTGGTAAACATACAAAAAACTATGGAAAGATCCACCATTTTTAATGGGAAAACTCACTATTTCGACTGGGCCATTTTCAATAGCTATGTTAAATTACCAGAGGGTAAACAATATTTTGAAAAACAAATAGTGGGAACATCTACAAACATCCACTCAATTTGAGGATTTTTAACCAACGCATCTAAAACAAAAAAACAGGTTTCAACAGTCACCCACTAAAGATTTCCAGCGGGATCTGAGAATCCAACAGAATCCGACAGATCGGTTTCCGGGAAAATTTACAGGAACCCACTTGTTTTTTCATGGTAAAAACCATGGTGTCCTGTCGATTTTCCCTTGAACCAATCCAATGAACTGGTTGGTGGTTTCAAACATGACTTTTATTTTCCATGATATATGGGATGTCATCCTTCCCATTGACGAACTCCATCATTTTTTCAGAGGGGTAGGTCAACCACCAACCAGATAATTATTAACCATCATTAACCATCATCATAACCATCATCATTAACCATGATTAACAGTATACTAGCCACATATTAACCATCAACCAATTGGACTACCTCCACTAGGTTAATATGTGGCTACTATACTGTTAATATGTGGCTAATATACTGTTAATCAACTACCTCCAAGGCAAAAAAAAAAAAACACTAGGTGACTACCTCCTCTTCCGGCGCCCGGACGCTTCGGCCACCCCTCCACTGTCGCGGCCCATTGGGGCTGTGCCCACGCCATTGGCACGGGGGGTGTATGTCTGGCCCACGGTGTACCTTGGAGTTGTGGATTTTCTTTGGTGAATGATGGGGAAATGGTGAAAATCCACTAAAACGTTTGGTGGAAATCCAGCAGAGATTGTGATTTTCCATGGAAATTCATGCATGGGATTAAACCAGTTCAATGGGAATTTCACGGGATTTAATGGAAGATATAGCTCTCCTTTTCTTTGGTGTTTGTCTTGTAAAATCCTAGTTTTATCAGCCACGTGGCTGGAAAATCCCCCAACTCAATGGAGGGTAAATCGTTCGCTGGGATGTTCAATTGCTATGTTTGATGACCTGAGGGTAAACTTTCTCGGAAATCCGTTGAACTTGTCATTTGGAACGGCTAAAAAGCATTGTTTTTTATATGTTCCAGGCTTGCTGGGAATGATGAATCTGCCCAGACTGTTTTAAGCGGAATGGTTTTCCAACTCATGGATGAGAGGTCATATCCATAAACAATACAGTCTATAGTAATATGATGGAGATCTAGGCAAGGGATGCCTCGTCAGCACTTGGAAGTATTGGGGTTTGTCTGAAATTAGAGTACCCCAAAATCAAACGGTTGCCCACAAACCCATTTCTAGGTTGTGTGCATGTGAAAGAAAGACGTGTTTCCCAATGGTACAAAACCATACAATTCCCCAAATTGTGATGATGAAATTGTTTTATCATGTTTTATATACTTGAGATTGGATGAACAATTGGTGCAACAAAATTGCTGAAGAATTGCTTGAACACGGTTTTTAACCAATGTTAACCATGGGTTTTCACAGGTTTTCACCATGGCTGTCACTTCGAAAAATCGAGGCATGGCGATGTGCTTTGCGGGCCAACGAATGTGGAGCAGGTGGCCAAAACAAACTTTGCGGATCCGGTGATTGGCACATGATCCCCGGAACATGTATAATTATCAACCATCAAAAGGATAGAATGTGGTACCCTCTGGTAAACATACAAAAAACTATTGAACATGGTGATTTATAGTGGATTTACCCAGCTATAAAATGGTGATGTTCAATAGTTATGTTAGTTTACCAGAGGGTAAAATGTTGTTGACATTGAAGAAGTACTGTTCTATCTTTTGGAGTTACTATGAGGCGTTGTAAATTGATCATCACCTCATCACCACAACTGCCCTGGTTTTTCATCGGAAGCAACCCGAAACGCGTCGATGATCAATGGCCAGCTTGGGCACTTTGCAGAAAAATATAAGTGCAACATTATGTATTTTTATGAAACTGTGGCATGTTGGGCTATGGAATAATAGAATAATATACAGTACTCTTATTGTTCCGCTATTTTATACTATTTGTGTATTGGATTTATAGTATTATAGTGCAAGTGTAAGGATTGCTGGGTGTGTTTGAGAATCGAGCACCCCTTTGTGGCCCTGTTTGACGGTTTATGGATTGCAAATCATCCCCAAATTGGCATACAGGTAAGGACTCTTGTCATACATCATCATCCTGCACCTTTTTTTGGGTGTTACCATCATCATTTGAATCATCCCCCATATCCCACAATCATTCGCACTTATGAAAGTCACTTCCATAGTTAAAACTTGAGTTTTAACTTGGGGTCATGTTATCCAATGATATCCCAAACGATATTCTGCTAAATCATCATTAAGCATTTATGTTCACCACCGTTTCACCATCCATTAGCTATCGCAAACCATGTTTGCTTTTTTCAAAAATGTAACACAAAAAGGTGTGAAGTTCTGAACTACATATACATATATATATATATAGGAAGATAAATAGATAGATAGGTAGATAGGTGGATAGGTAGATAGGTGGATAGGTAGATAGGTAGATAGATAGATAACTGAGTTAAGATAATCATATGTGTATGATCTGATTTAAAGGAGCACTCCGAGCTGCCGCCGCCCAGCGCCGAGACCCTGGAGGCCTTAAGAGACAAGGCGAGGGATGTGGAACCAAGGGCCTTGCAGTTGTTCCCCACCTGCCAGGTGAGGGTTGTTAGATTTTATGTCAGTTGCCTCCTCCTCTCCTCCTGCCTCCTCCTCCTCGTCCTCCTCTCCTCCCTCCTCCTCGTCCTCCTTGTCTCCTCCTTGTCGTCCTCGTCGTCCTCGTCGTCCTCGTCGTCCTTGCTCAACTGCGACCCGCGATCCACAGTGTTCTCTGCCGGACCTCAACCACGACCTCAACATCCACGCCCAGTGTTCCCTGCCGGACCTCAACCACGACCATCCCCGCCCAGTGTTCCCTGCCGGACCTCAACCACGACCATCCACGCCCAGTGTTCCCTGCCGGACCTCAACCGCGAGTATCCACGCCAAGTGTTCCCTGCCGGACCTCATGTAGGAAGATATGGGACAAAGAATGTGCAGAAGAAAGATTAGAAAGAATGTGCCAGAAAGAATGCCAGAAGTCAGATGCCAGATATGCCAGAAGATATGCCAGATAGAATGAGAAGATATGCCAGAAGATATGTCAGATATGCCAGATAGAATGCCAGAAGATATGTCAGAATATATGCCAGAAGATATGCCAGAAGATATGCCCAGATAGAATGCCAGAAGATATGTGCCAGATAGAGTGCCAGAAGATATGCCAGATAGAATGCCAGAAGATATGTCAGATAGAGTGCCAGAAGATATGCCAGATAGAATGCCAGAAGATTTGCCAGATAGAATGCCAGAAGATATGACAGAAGATATGCCAGATCATATGCCAGAAGATATGCCAGATAGAATGTCAAATAGAATGTCAGAAGATATGTCAGATAGAATGCCAGAAGATTTGCCAGTAAGAAAATGTATAAATGTCATGGTGGGGATCACACGAAGTAAAGTATTTTTTTTTGATATACCTGGCCTGGTAAACTAATATATGGTTAATCTATGGCTAATGGATAATCTATGGTTAAAAATAGTTACCCTCTGGTAAACATACAAAAAACTATTGAAAATGGTGATTTATAGTGGATTTACCCAGCTATAAAAAGGTGATTTTCAATAGTTATGTTAGTTTACCAGAGGGTATATGAAGCAAATATATGTTATCTGAAATATATGAACTTGTTTTTTCAACACTGGTATTTACAAATGTTTACACATATTATATTGGAAACAGTTGGAAACCTTGAACTATGACACCAATATTATTTGTAATAACATCCTGGAAACGCTTATATATATATACATACATCTGGCTGAATATAAGGGCCTCAAGTGGCGTCACCATAAGATGATTTCGGAGGATTAGGAGAATCATCCGAAAATGGCTGAATTTTGAAGGTTTTGTTCAAGATGGTGAAATAGCCAAAAACATTGGTATGTCCTAAAATTATGTATATCCCCCAAATGACAAGCAAATAGTGGGAAACATGATTGATGATCAACCCATGCTTTTTTAAAATACTCTAAGACAAAACCATATGAGATGTTCATAGAATTTCTCAGGGTGATAAGGATGTTTTGTTTGATCATCATCATCATCATCAACAACAACAACATTATCACGCATTCTCCTCCCACTCCCCCACACCGTTTGGGGTCTCTTGCCGGGATAATGCCCCCCAGTTTGAAGTTGCTTTATAATAAACCATTATAACCCCCACTAACTATAGTTATATCTACCATTAACCATAGAATTCAGCCACTTAGGGGCCCCATCCTGTAATAAATAATAATAAATAATTGGCGAAATTAGGCGAACGTGCCCGTTAAGCCGCAGCAAGCGCAACCCTTCTTGCAGGAGCGCGCCGAACAAGAAGGCGGTCTACAACCGGCTGCCTTTGTTGCTCACACCGAGCTCTTTTTGGCCGCTTCCTGAAGGCGTCGAGATTAGTCTGGCGGCGGACATCACGTACGCAGGCCCTGAGGGCAAGAACGAGAAGCCCTTGGCCACGACCGACGGTCAAATGGAGGCGGGGCTGGCTGCCCAATTTTTTTGGGGCCGGGGGGGCGGTTCTCAGGGACGCACGGGACAGATCGAGCCCCATTCCAAAAACGGCATCGCCGGAGCACCCTGTGGTATATGCTACTCACCAATACTGGGGTGTCATCCCTTTGCCAGAGTGGCTCCAAGGACTATCGAAGGGCATGGTGCTCATCGATCACTTCCTAAAGGAAGGGATCCGGCTCCGCCAGAAGACGGTCAAGCTCACATGGTTTGCCTGCGCCTGGACGAAATGTATTGCTCCTGCTTTTCTTTGTCTTATTTAGGCAATGTAAATCCTTGCCAAAGCATCATAAAAAGGCAACGGGCAACGGGTATTGAAGTTATTGCCCATCGGGGGTAGCATTGTGATTGTTCGCAAGCTAGGACGCATCTTTGTAGAACCTGTGCAAAAGCTTTTGTGGCAGCTAACTTACTATATGCCAAATTCGTTCTTTTGTATATGCGGCATGCGACAGCGTAGCACCCGATAAATTCGAATGCACCGGCTCTATGCAGGTGTGCCTGCGGACCTGTGCGGCTTTGACTTCATGCTGTCTTCTGCAAAGCCCATGCGCGGGGCAACGCTGAACTGCCAGCTTGGCGTTGCGCTCGCTATCCGCGCCCTTGCCATGAAGTCCCCAGATGAGCGTGTGGAGGCCTGGCAGCTGCTCCTCAAGCTCTTCAAAGCCCTCCAGGCTTTGGGCCAGACCAAAACTAGAAGAAGTTTTTTTTGTATAGGGGGCTTCTGTTAATGCAAAGGTTCCAAAATGGGGATATCAATTTGGTGTGATTTGGCTTAGTAGTATGCTATGGTTTTGGTCTATTTGTTTCTTTTATATTTGGTTTACTCCAGTGTAAAAGTGGATGGCGCTAATTATTGAAGTGCGCCGTCTATAGACCACTTGAGGGATGGGATGTTTTGCGCCATCTATAGGTTCCCGACACACGTTGTTGAAAACAACCTATTTTCCTCTAGGTTAGTTTAAACTTAGTATTAAGATCTGAGGTCCATTTTTTTTGGAAAACCACAATTGTGGATTGCGCCATCTATAGATTACCACCGCGTTCCATTTGTAAAGGGAAAGGGAAAGGAGGAGGGAAAGGAGAAAGAAGAAAGGGAAAGGAGAAAGGCAAAGGAGAACGGAGAAGAGAAGAGGGAAGTGAAGGCAAAATTTGGTGAGAATCCAAAGAAAAAGAAAGCAATCGCTATTTACCAAAAATAGCGATGCTACTCGGGGTCGCGTCATCTGCCAAAAATAGCGATTTTATTGCCAGGCTGCGCCATCTACCGTCGCTATTTTTTTTTTTTTGGCGCCATCTATTTTTACCCCGGTGTGGTTGTTTTCAGCTTTCTTTCGCATTTCTCAGTATCAAACAACCTATTTCCTCTTATATCTTCGTTTCAAGAATCTGTTGTATTTTTGATTGCTTCTCTTACCTCATTCTGTTTCATTCTGTCTGCTAATTCTTGTGCCACCTCTGATGTTTTCTGGGATTCAGAGTGTATATTTGGCAGCAGCGAAACTTGTTTCTTTACATTCACGCATCACAAGACACGGTAACCTAGCATCCACATTGGCCTGTGCTTTAAACACAAAAAAGGAGGAGTTCATTGCTCATGCGGCGGGTGATCATGTAATGTCATGTAGTGTAATGTATGTATTGTATGTATGTCTGTATGTATGTATGTATGGATGTATGGATGTATGGATGTATGGATGTATGGATGTATGGATGTATGGATGTATGGATGTATGGATGTATGGATGTATGGATGTATGGATGTATGTATGCATGGATGTATGGAATGTATGTATGCATGTATGCATGTATGCATGTATGCATGTATGCATGTATGCATGTATGCATGTATGCATGTATGCATGTATGCATGTATGCATGTATGTATGTATGTATGTATGTATGTATGTATGTATGTATGTATGTATGTATGTATGTATGTATGTATGTATGGAATGTATGGAATGTATGGAATGTATGTATGTATGTATGTATGCATGTATGCATGTATGTATGTATGTATGTATGTATGTATGTAATGTATGTAATGTATGTAATGTATGTAATGTATGTAATGTATGTAATGCATGTTATGTATGTTATGTATGTAATGTATGTAATGTATGTAAAGTATGTAATGTATGTAATGTATGTAATGTATGTAATGTATGTAATGTATGTATTGTATGTAATGTATGTAATGTATGTAATGTATGTAATGCATGTAATGTCTGTAATGTATGTAATGTATGTATTTTAATGTATGTAATGTATGTAATGCATGTAATGTATGTAATGCATGTACTGAAATGTAATGAAATGTTTGCAATGTATGTAATGTATGTAATGTATGTATTGTATGCATGCAATGTAATGTATGCATGCAATGTAATGTAATGTAACGTAACGTAACGTAACGTAACGTAACATAACGTAATGTAATGTAATGTATGTATGTAATGTAAAGTAATGTTATGTAATGTATGTTTGTAATGTATGTAATGTATGTAATGTATGTAATGTATGTAATGTATGTAATGTATGTAATGTATGTAATGTATGTAATGTATGTATTGTATGCATGCAATGTAATGTATGCATGTAATGTAACGTAACGTAACGTAATGTAATGTAATGTAATGTATGTATGTAATGCAAAGTAATGTTATGTAATGTATGTTTGTAATGTTTGTAATGTATGTAATGTATGTAATGTATGTAATGTATGTAATGCATGCAATGCATGTAATGTATGTAATGTATGTAATGTATGTAATGTATGTAATGTATGTAATGTATGTATGTCTGTATGTATGTATGCATGTATGTATGTTTGTATGTATGTATGTATGTATTTATGTATGTATGTATTTATGTATGTATGTATGTATGTATACATGTATGCATGTATGCATGTATGCATGTATGCATGTATGCATGTATGCATGGATGCATGTAGGCATGCATGCATGGATGCATGTATGCATGTATGCATGTATGTATGTATGCTTGCTGGCTTGCATGCATGTATGTATGTATGCATGCATGTATGTATGTGTGGTATGTGTGATATGTGTGTTATCTATGTGATGTATGTAATGTAAGTAATTTAATGAAACGTAATGTAATGTAGCGTAGTTTGATGTATGTATGTAGGTTTTTCTTTGTTGTTTAGAGTTTTACATATAGATTTTCACTTGTATATGTAGTTTCATATTTAAATATAGATGGATGAATAGATAGAAAATAGATAGAAACAAACACATAAATAGATGCTGCAAACAAATAAACAGATATCATAAGTGATTCGAAGACGCATTGCCATGGCTGATACAGCTTCTGCCTCAAGCCGTCTTGCCTGTCTTGTCTGTCGTGCAGGTGACCGTCGCTGAAACCAACGACCGGCATGAAACAAGCTTACCGGAGCTCACCCGCGTGATTGAAGACCCATACCACACCGCGACGAGCTCGGGCGCCAAGCGCTCTATCATCGCTGGCACGGCAGTGCTGCCTTTCTTTACAAAATTATTTCTTCCCAGGAGGCGACCTTCGCTGGCGAGTACCTCGTCGACGGCGACGAATTCACCATGGCCGGGTCAAGAGGACCTCGTGTCCTGCTACAATTGGTGGCGGGGCTACACGAGGTTCTCAGCCGTGACCCGGCCATGGGTGAATTTTGATGTGGACGATGAGGTGGCGGTGCTTCAATGGCTCCCGGAGTGGGTTTTGTGGCAAACCCACCCGTTCGAAGGCTGGTGGGGGCCAACGTGGTTCGTTGCTCCCATAGATAGCTAAGATTGTTTTAAAACCCATGAATACTATACTATACATATATCTACCATAAACCATGCTTAAACTAGTTATAAATCAACTTAACTAGCTAGGGGGCTCCACCACCCGTGTCACAAAGTTGGCAAGGGATGCCAAGCCGGAAACTCTGGTGATGATCCCTGCTTTGGAGCGAAACTGTCGCTGTTGATCATCAAAACTACTCATTTCTTGATTCCGCTGTCACGAGGTGATACATCCTGGACACCTGGAGGGCGCCTTCAACAGCGAGATGGCCCAGCAGCGCGACCCGCACTTGGAATTCTGCCAGGGGCCGTGGTGTCTTTATGCCCAAGCGGGTCCCTGGAACCGCCTGAAGGCTTGAGGGCAACTCGGGGGAGGGACCGTTGACACGCGTGTGTCTTTTTTTTTCCCCGATGAAATTTTGTCTATTCATCGCATTATCTATAGCTAGTCTCTACCGCTGTCCATCATTCTCGCCTGTCGCGGCAGCTGCAGGACAAGCAGTGCTTCGTGAAGTTCAACGGCAAGGCGGCAAGGCCTACGCAGGGCCTATCGTCGTTTGGCGCAACCCTGTGGTCATGCCTGGTGACATTGAGGTCTGGCAGGCCATGCCTTGGCCGGAGGACGGAAGAGCAAGCGCGTGCACAATGTTCTTTCGCGAACCGGTTGATTAAGAATAAATTGCTGCAACAAGGAAGGCATTTGAAAATAGCGGCGTAAAAAATATGTAAAAGAGAAGACGCCACGAAGAGAGAGACATAGAAAGAAAGAAGGCAAATAATAATTTGACCCATGATGGATGCTACTACGCAGCTTCTTCCCACACTGATTCATTAAAAAAAATTGATACTCACTCCATAATACCCCATGGATGCTAATGTGCAGCTAATTTGAACAACACGACCCCGTCGTGGAAGCTACTACCCAGCTAATTTCATCAAAATTAATCCTGTGCGACCCTGTATGCATGCTAACCAATTACAGTAAAAACATGATTTCACAAACATTGCACCCTCATGCACGCTAATCACAAAATATCACAAACTGATTTCAGTAAAATCGATGCCTCAGCTAATTCCCTCCAAATTTAATCGGCTCAACCCTTCATGTATGCTAGTTCAAAACTCAAACTTAACCCCTCATGGATGCTACTATGCAGTTTTTAGTTCACAACCTGATTTCGAAAAAAAAAACTAACACCCCATGATACCCCATGAATGCACATGCGAAGCTAATTTCAACAATACGAGCCCCTCACGGAGGCTACTGTCCAGCTAATTTCATCAAAATTGATCCCTTCATGGATGCTACGACGCAGCTGTTTCCATTAAAATTCATGCCTTATTGATGGTCATTTCCAACTATGTCCCTCCAAATTCAAGCCATTCAACCCTTCATGGATGCTAATTCATCACTGAGGTTATCAAATTTGATACCTCATAGATGCTACTATGCAACTAATTCCCATAGAATTGACGCTCCAGCAGTGTTTATTTGCAAGCTAATTCCAGCAACATTGGTTCATGGATGAATGAAAGCAACATTATTTCGGGGGGTTTGGTTTTTTGACTCCCTGACTGGACCTTGTTGACTTTGTTGACCTATAGGGGGGGTATTAATCCGGTGTTTATATTAAGGATGTTTTGTTTGATTTTAAAAATTCCCCGCACTCCGCTCCAGGCTATCTCTGTGTGTCCTGCCTTGGCTGAGTGGCCTGTGGCTGGGGCCTATGCAGGTCACTTGAAAAGCGGTGATGTTTGGTATGCGAATGGTGTTTTAATGGGATGAAAATGATGAATAATATGGTGTTTACATGTATTTATGGTAATAATGAACAGTATGGTTATAATTTACGATGATGTTTTCATGGGTCTTTCACGCTTGTTCTACATTGATGGGTTGTAAAAGTTTTTGATCATGATGTAATATTATGTAATGAGTAATGATCATGATGTATGACCATTAGTATGTTAAAGTTCTTGGTCATGATGTAATAGTATGTATCACCATCAGGGGATCACCATTAGCCAGTTATCAATTAACTACATGTTTTAATGGGGCTCTAATTGGCTTATGATAATTAGTTGTTCATGGATGATCAGTGATGTTAACCAAAATGCACCCCTGAACCAGCAAAAATGTGACCATAACCAATAGGAATGGGGCTGCAAATGGCTGCAATCAATAAACTTATCTACGGATTTCGGCGATTTCTATAGGTCACGGATATTCTTGAATGCGTTGAAAACCCTACTCAGTAGTGTTAGGTTCTTATGCTCGCAACCATCTCACGTACTTTCATTTGAAGTGAGATGTTCGTTGCGACAAAAACATATCTCAGTGGAAGCGGGGAGAACCGTCACTTCAGAAAACATGGCAAGCGCTCCTTCGATGACGAACCAACCCCTGGCGTGCTGGAGGTCTGAGACCGGCATTAGATCCTACAGTTTTTGGGTCCGACTACTTTTTGACACTTGGCTGTGGGGTATGCGTAAAACCATGGCCGCAATGGTTGACCCTGGCTCCAGGGTTTTGATGTTTTGATCCCATATCTTCTTGCGGAATTCCGATAGACACCGAACTGGTCACCCCCCTTTTTGGTTCAGACAGATGGAGAACTGCAAGCCAAAAGTGGGGCGAACACGCATTTGAACAGGAGATCACTGATATTCATCGATGAACAGTTCGTATTCATTTGAAAAGACAGTTCAACTATATATTATATATTGCTTATATATTTATATATTAATATAGATATTTCATTCATTGATGTCATCCACATCAAGTTTGCAGGTCATCTCCTATAGCAATATTATACCATTATTCTTTTCAGGAGTCCTTGAATCTTCACCGGAAGATTCACCAACTGCCTTCGCATTGTCCAAAAATGAAGAGCATCCTGAACTATCCACATTTGCTATATCAGACAAACATCAATGATATCAAGTTAGATTCCTGAAATCCCTAGATGTTTCTGGAGATTTCTGGAGGATCGTTGTCAAACGCAGCTGTTTCTCTAGGGGATCTGAGGAACACGAGCCAAAAGCCGGCCGGCCATTCCTTCACGACGGTCGCAGGGGTGCGGAGTTCCCTTGGCATTTCAAGCGGTTACCTCGAGGTGGTTTTGTTGAGCACTAGTTGTAAGGGGGTAAAACAATGTCATCTGCGCCATCCCCCAGTCATCACCATTTTTATAGGTGGTATGTTTACCATTCCCAGTCATGGGTGGTTTGTGACATTGATTTACCCACATTACACACTATAGTCATTTAGACGTTTGACTCAGTTAACATCCCAAAACAAGGACTATACATATCTATACATATATCATGCTCTGCTAGTTGTATGATGTTAGATGATCCTAGTTCTGTTAAATATGATAACAAATATATTTCTGTAGAGAATCTTTGGGATTTACCCTTCATCCAACATAGATCCTGCCATGGGTTTAAGGTTGCAAGACACAGTTTCCTCTTGAAACGGGCAATTCTCAGGGTCTATGCTAGACTATATCACATGTATAGATATATGTATGTCACTTGTCAGAGAAACAAACGCCAAGAGTTGGCTGAATCAGCCGGCAGCAACTGTTTGGGCTGAATCGGCAGAGAAAAAAACTTGGAGATAGTGACCCACCCCCCAGAACTAGGACCATGCCTTGACTAAACCATATTTTCTGAGCAAATAACGCCCTCACTGTTCTCCCGAACCCTGGAATCATGTTTTTGTTAAGGGAAATGTTTGTTTCTGGGGGGAAATCATCCCCATAGCTGGCCTTAATAGATTTCAGGTGAAATATGATAATTTACCCCAATATTTTCAATATTGGAATGGAAACATACCCTTTTCGCATATTTACCCATATAATTTATACTAGTTTATATTCCCAGACATAGTTTAAAAACATCACCATTTGACATTATCACCATATTCTTAATATTAGTGTATTAATATACTATCACCAGGTAATATACTGGTGGGTGGGTAGGTCAACCACCAACGAATCCCAGGTACCGGTCTCACCGCCTCTCTGGGGATCGCCAAGATGCTTTGTGACAGGTGAGTTGTTGCGCTGTCTGGGGCGGAAAGGCCAGTTGTTTGGGTTCACTGTATCCAAGTTTTTTTTTTATAGTTCTTTTTGAGAAACACGCAGTTGTGTTTTTTTTAGAAACACCCAGGTGTGTTTTTTTTTAGAAACACCCAGGTGTGTTTTTTTTAGAAACACCCAGTTGTGAAAAATCCATGCAAATTACCGACGGATCCAGGATTGGGAAGTTCCGAGCGGATCCGATCATGGATTTTAACATTGAGGTTTTAAGTGTGCAGATATGGTTGGTTGAACATCGTGTGAAAGTCATATTCCATGCCGTTCCATTCCATTCCATTCCGGTATTTGAGGGGGTTCCAGATTGATTTTCAGGGATGGTAATGAGTTGGTTTGCATGGTTAGGTGGGACTGCTCCACTAGTAAAAATTAAGCACGCTGAAACAGGAACCCATTTTGTGGCCATGAGTAAATCCAGTTCTACCTCGTTGGGGACCACTGTATCACATTTTGTTTCGATGTGTTTTCTATTTGCAAGGGACGTGTTCTTGTCTAATTACATGGAAACATGAAAAACATATGTTATTCCTTCTAGATTTTAGTTGACAAATGTCATGGGTTGTGTACCTCCCACGCAATTAGCCCGGCGAATGCAATCTACATCGGAGCAGTTTCACAATGGGATTTGCACAATAAGATAATGTTAAACGTATTCCAAAACGTATATGTTTGACCATGGTGCGACTTGCGTTCCCATTTCAATCCTTTATCAAAACTGGTTGGTGGTTTGGAACATTTTTTATTTTCCATATATTGGGAAGAATCATTCCAACTGTTCCAACTGACTAATATTTTTCAGAGGGGTTGAAACCACCAACCAGAAAAACATGTGTGCGTTCCGATAGCGGAAATCGTTGGTGTGACTTTTTTCACATGGTGTGCGGAATTCCATGGGGAGAGCAATCCCCCATAGAAACTTGGTGTGACTTGCGCGGTTTCCAATAGCTGATTAGTAGGGTTGCTGTACATGTTTATCAGATATAGTATCAACATGAGAACATGGTTGAATTGACGCTATTTAAGGTATTCAGATATAGTATTAATAACATGACAAAATGGTAGAATTGATGCTATTTAAGGTATAAGCATGGAGTTGACCTGCAAAAGGCAGAGGCCATGTTGATTTGGGACATTCTCTGGTTCGTTGATCGAAATCCATACGGCATCCCATGACAGTTTTCAGGAGCCTGGAAAACATGAATTTCTGGTGGACTTTCCATCTCATTTTAGGAAACACGTGTGTAAGGTATTTGTGTTGGCTAAATCCATATTTTGTTGGGAAACAAATCCCACTACATTCCCATTTTGCATGATATTCCCATTATACATACCAGAGACTTAAATGATTACCAATCATACAACCATCGTTCATCTAACTATGAATCCAACATGTTGGTTGTATATTGCCATGATATCCCCACAATGCATGCTTGGTGTTTATATCTGATTGGTGGTTTGGAATATGACTTTTATGACTTTCCATGTATTGGGAATAATGATCCCAACTGACTTTCATATGTTTCAGAGGGGTTGTTTTACCACCAACCAGATATTATATATACTATATATTGATCACATGCATGAAATCCATATCTCTGGGAGTCTCTGGTCTCTGATAGTTACATAGTTAAATCATGTTAAATCCCTCTTATAGTCTTATAGTCACGTGAATCCATATTATCCCCCTGGACAGCCTGTCCACTATCCTGGGACAGAAAAACATTAGTCCTGAATTGAAAATCCTGAATCGCTAATCGTGAAATATACCCTTCAACATCCCATTCAAATCAATTATATACATATATATATACCCTTTGGTCATTTGTTACAGTTCGCCATGGTATAGATGGCCCATAGAAATAGATGGTTTACCTATTAATAGCATGGTGGATTTTTCCATGGCAAACTGTGAATGTCACAAACAGATGGTTTTTTTCTCTCCATTTTTGGTGAAATCACGGTGAAATCCATCACCGTCCCATGGGAAAATCCATGATGGCTATGTAACAAATAACCAGATGGTAATGGAATATGCAATGGGATACCCGGCCTGGTACACATACAAAAAACGATGGAAAGATCCACCATGCTATTAATGGGAAAAACCATTATTATAATCATATTCCCATCATATTGGTTTTTCCCATCATATTCCCATTAAACATATTTCCATCATATTCCCCATGTTTTTCCGTGACATCTCTGCGCAGGCTTGGCTTTGCAGAAGCCGCTTCCCCTTCGCCGACGCCGGCGTCGCCCTTGCTGCCGGCCTTGCGGAGCTTGGCGGAGCCCGGTGGGGGCGATGTGTGGGTGATGGTTGTGTTGATATACGTATGTTGAATATTGTTGTTTATGTAACTAATTTGATCAAATTTGTGTATATTCATCTTGAATATTGATGATATTCCAATATATATATATACACATAGTCATCTCATAATATACATATATGTATATATATATATATATATGTCAAATTCATTTTAGATGATTTTTAGATCTATGTTTATATGATATGTTTCAAAGTATATAGCTCAGTAATGTGTTGAATGTGTCTGTTCTTAGCAATATTCAATATATACACCAGGTGATTCCTCTTGGATTACCTATTTCTCAAAAGACATAAACAAATAGAGTAACAACTGAAGATTTCGACAGCTGGTGCAAACATGTTGCTTCTGAAAACAGCATTTATACATCCGTCATCCTCCAAACTTCATGAATTTTCATTACCAAACCCTACCTAACCCCAATGGAATGAAATGTTGTTTCTATGAACCTTCATTTAGGATCAATTAGGCCTAATTTGACTCAATTCAACTTCCACGAACCTCATTTTCAGACATACTAACATATATTAACATATACCAACATATACTAACATATACTAACATATACTAACATATACTAACCCATGATTAGCCCACTATTCACCCATTCTTAAGTTCTGTGAAGCCAGTTTGTCTCACTTCAGTATCTTTAGCATGGATCACCCTCTGGACAATATACCCTATAAAGGGAGGTTTTAATAGGAAAATCTACTAGCCACGTTTGAATACCAGATCGTAATCCCATTATATCCCGATAGAATCACCATTATATTTCCACTCTCCAACTATTTGATGGGATGACCACCCATAAATCACCATTGTTGTTGGGTAAGTCAGTATCTCCCATCAAATCCCATGAAATACCATTGAATTGCCATTAAATCGCATTAAATCCCATTGAACTCTTATATTTACCCATGATTTCCCCATCATGAACCCATGGCTCTGCCGTTTCTTTCCACAGGAGACCTACGCCGAAACGAAGGGCTTTATCGAGCTGGCGCAGCGAAAGTGGCTGGTGGCGCATCCGTGGCTTGGCCATCGGGGTTCCCATGGTAGATGAACTGCCGATCGAGGATATGAACGGATTTAGATAGAGACTATGATATGAAAAAAAACATGTTATGATATTTATAACTATTTTTATGTTTGCTTGCTATTGACATACACTATGTTTTTGTTTTTATGCTCAATGATATAATATTACGTGATAGGATGATGATTGGCATGGCAATGTGGATATTTACATATTGTTGATTGTTGGTATATAATTATTCAAATGCTCTTATGGTAGCATATGTTGTGACATGATATATATATAATATTATATGTGTGTATATGTTTAAATACATATTTATACATATTTTGTCGTATTCAGTAGTAATATGATATAGTATTATATGACAATACCCATGATTTTCTTGTGGCAAAGCCAATGCCACAAATCATCCCCACTATGTAGAGGTGTATTATTGGGTATACGTAGCCCTAGAAATGGGATGATGTAAAAAATAATTACTACCCTCAAATGGTTGGTGTTTGTTTGTTTTTGTTTACACTATTGATTAATAGGATACACATGATTTATTTATAGATCTATACATGTATCTGTTGTATAGAAATATGAACATATATAAGCATATATATATATAAGATTATTATATATTTATCAGTGACTATAGACTATTTACATATAATACATTGGACTTGTTTTATGATTTAAGGTACATTATGTTTTTTTTTGTTGCATAATATATATAAATATGAATTACACTATACAAGAACCATATTGTGTTTTGGAAACAACAATATACAAAATATTGTGGGACTATGTCACGTATAGATCTCTATGTGTATATTGGCAGTTGTATAATTATGTATGAATATTCCAGTGCAATACATTTGATGCTACCATATTATCTTATATATCCTAGTATGGTATACTGACATTGCACAACAATATGTTGTTGGTGATGCGATTTGATAAGGCATTTAACATTAATATCCCATCATATCTAGCATGTATTATATAGTTATTATGATATCCCTTCTCCATATATACGTATATTGTTTGTTTCATGGCAATATTCATGATCCCTTTTTTACATATACAATATCATACACTATATATATACCCTATAGCATTTATTCAGTATATATCTATTGAGTATATATTTTAATATATAGTAATATATATGTAAATATTATATTATATTATGTTATACTATCTAATTTATGGTTATTTATTGACACATACGACACATAGCGCCCAAGGCAGACTTGCCTTGGCCTGGCCGCTACGGCCGGTGTGGCCGCGATGCCAGGCGTTGAACGACGAAGCATTGGGATCCAAATGGGAAAAGATATGGGAAATTGTTTTTTTTATTAGTAAATTACCTATGATATACCTATGATTAGGAATATTCATACCGAATTTCATTGTAATTTACTATTCAACAGTACATCTATATAGTACTTTACTAGTAATTTACCAAATTTCCAAATTTCATAGCACATTTCATAGAACTATTGTTGTTATACCAAATTTATTACTAAATATTGTTGTCATACCAAATTTCATAGTAATTTACTATTTACTATTTCCACAAATGAAATTACTATTTGTTATATAGATGTGAATACATAGTAATTTACTATTCAACAGTACATAAATATATATATATATATTCACAAGTGAATCAATAGTGTATGAATATTAGTAATTTAATAGTGTTTGAATATATATATATATATTCATGTATTCATAGTGACACGTTCTGGTGAAATTTTAGATGTTAGTGAATTGTGTTTAATAGTAGTTAATGAATTATTATAATTAATACACTTTATTGAATTGTGGTAAATACTGTCAGTCAATTACTTTAATTATTAGAAAGGTGTGAATGAATTAATATAGTTTTTGTTATTATTGAATTACTATACTTAGATTAGCATAGTTATATATATAGATATATTATACTGAATGGTTTGCTGCAATGTTATGACTACTTATTTTCAATGGGTTAGTGAAGTAGCATTTTTCCAGATGCGGGTGATTGTTTTTTTCACCCCAAAGGGCCATTGAAACAGGTTTTTTGCAACCAGGTCAATGATGAAAATCGGGTAATTACAAAGGTTAATTGATGAAAAACAATTGGATTTGTGAACATCAATTGTACATATAGCATGCCAAATCTTATAGAGCATGATGAAACCTCCAATTTGATCCTCTAATGTAATGGAATGGAATGCAATGCAATGCAACGCAATGCAATGTAATGTAACATATGTATGTAATGTAATGTTATGTTATGTTATGTTATGTAGCGTTATGTCATGCTATGTTTTGCTATGTTATGTATGTATGTAAATACCCCAAATGTCTAGAATAATGCATATATAGACGCATTGTTGTTGATAGGTCCAGAACTTCCGACCATGAAACCACATCAGGTCCCTCAGAGCGCAGTGGCTCTGCAGCTTGGTTGACAGGAATCGCACCTTGGACAGGGTCAAGGGAAGACAAGTTCGGGGGTTCGAGGTCAAACCAACAACAACCCATCAATATAATCAACCCAGTGTTAATGTTGGCAAACAACCCATTAATGTTGGCAAAATTTGGTGAATAACGGTTGATCATATTTCTTTTAACATCAACCCATTTTCAACCATTATCAACCAATATTAACCCATGAAGTATTCAAAACCCCGGTCGGTTGATTATTATAAAGGGGAATATACTAACCATGATATTGGGGATTATCACTACCCATTAAGGGAATCACTATTAACCTCCCAGAATAATGAAATGACTGATAGGGTTTGAACACTGCTCAAATGGGAATTTGGCCATGTAAAAATGTGGCAGTTGCCACCAAAGATGCTGGTTTTGCCATCAAACATGTACATTTAACAATCAACAATCGGGATTGAACTAGGAACAGTTCAGAAGCAAGAACAGGTGCGATGATAGGGATGATTCTGGGTAGAGTAGAACAACACCACAGTCCGATCAACCCCCATCCATGATGCTTAAATTTGCAGGAACCACCACCAAACATGTTGATTTCTCATGATGTCTCAATTCTTGGGCTGGAATATACTAAATTTGGGAATACACATTTCTACTTTAAATTACGTCATATCATGTCCTACCCACAATGTATTCCGAGTAAATCTACCCAATCCCAGTTGCTTCATCAGCTCATCATCCCAGCCTTGTTGAGTACATACCCTCCGGGAAAGTAACAGTTTGCTATTAAAATTGCCCATTGATACTTGATTTACCTATTATTTGACATAACTATTGGCAAAAATCCCATTTATACTTGATTTAGCTGTGATTTACCTACTAAAAGTGGTGATTTTCCATAGAAAACTGTTCATTTACCAGAAGGTAACCCTGTGAAAACGATCTCCATCTCCAGATCCAAGGATGGACGCAGCAAAGATCTGCACGGCATCCTGCAAAAACCCAGCGGAGCTATGGGATTGGGCATGGAATGTTTGTAAAAATAGATGATAAGACATTCAACAAAAACCAACCAATAGCATATCATATTTCATTGAAGTTTTTTGTAAAAAAAAAACAATATCATAGAATTACATTGCAAATTTTCTATATAAATTGAGAAAAAACATCTATGCAATTTACTATATATAGATATATTAGAAACCATGGAATTCAAAAAATGATAAATGGATGGAATGTATGAACTCATGAGTTCAAACAATCTTTGGAATCAATCATATTTTATTGATGGAACTTATTTGGACAGCCATAACATATCAATAAATGATAAGACAATCAAAAAACCAACCATGTCGATTTGACCGAACTTGGCCAAACAACTATTTTTTTTGGTATGTCTGCAACATCATTTCACCGTGAAGAAGAGGGTCAAAAAACTGTCACTTCCCTCCGTGCCTTCTGATCCCACACAGATCCTCGTTGTACGGCCAGGTCCTTGTTGAAGAAACAGAAGACGAAGATCCTGATGCATCAGGTGACATATCTCAGCCACATTGATCCCGTGTCATTTTCGTTTCGTAGATATATGTAATATATATATACACATATTTCGCAACCCCCAAATTGATAGAAACGTAAAATCCCACTATAGTATAGTAGCGGTAAATGGTGTTTTTTTCTTTTGTTGGTGCTTACTATGTATGTTGTTTTTTCTGTGAAAAATGTGTTATCATGGCCCTTTCATGGTAAGCACATGATTTAATCGGAATTTGTGGAGAATTGGAGAGACAACCAGCTTAAGATAATTCGGGTTTGTCTGAACATGGAGTATACCCCAAGAATAGCTATTTCAAATAGAGATAATGGTGATAGACCAAAAATGGCCAATGAACAATTTCCAGAGATGCGTTTTTATCACTACGAACGACAGTAATCTTTCGTAGATGCATTTGGTTGGTAAACATTGTTATTATCTGATATTGATTAATCTGGTGAAATTATAACGACCTCACTGTTCTCCCTCACTGGAATCATGGCTAATAAGGGAAATCATCCCCAAATGGCCTTAATTCAGGTTAGTGAAATATTGTAATTTACCCAGATTAATGTGGTAAACCCAATAAGAAACCTACCATCAAGGGATGGTATTTACCACCCATTAGTGGTAATTGTGGGGATGGTTTAGCATTGGGTTTCTCACATTCTTTGCCGTCCACTCGATTTTTCCCAGACACAAAACCAAGTTACGCCATCGGCTTGGATCCTCGCAGTTGTTGTGATTTTCTGCTGTCCCTTCAGGTTATCATCGGTTGATGACCCCAAAACACCATGACCATCATGACCTCGCTGCCAGGTGATTGAGAAGCAAAAGCTGGAAAGGATCTTGAAGGATATCATGACTTTGGAAGCGGAAAGAAAGCAAGAGGCGCAATATCCGACATGGTCCCTGTTGGGGCAGGTTTCACGGCGTTCACGGTCCACTTTGCCCATATAAAATGATATTAAACGGCTAACTTGGTAAATATGAAACTGATGAGTTGGTAAATACACATATATTACCCTCTGGTAAACTAACATAGCTATTGAAAATGGTGATTTATAGTGGATGTTGTCCATTGAAAATGGTGATTTTCCATAGTTATGTTAGTTTTCCTTGTCTAAAGCAACTGATTGCTTATAGGCGTGTAGTGGCGTCTATACGTTCGCGGCAGGCATGTCATCCTAAGTCCCATTGTTGGGAGGCATGTCCTGCTCATCTGCACCAATGTAGACCTGCAGGCACACATATACATATCTTACAATCTGGATCATTCAAATATAGGGCCAAACATCCCTATATAAATATATATATATACAAATAAATTCACCATATTTGTTCATACATTCCTCCACAAATATCAGTTGTATTTCAACCCCCCCTAAAGATAGGTGGATTCCCTTCCCAAAAACATCCAACATCTGGGTGCCAGGCTGCCGAGATCGACCCTGAAGCCGTGAAAGCCAAAGCACAAGACACCATCAAGGTTCAGTCGGCCCTGGCTGGAGAATGTACCCTCTGGTTATGTCAAAATAGCTATGGAAAATGGCCATTTATAGTGAGTTTTCCCATTAGAAGTGGTGATTTTCCCATAGTTTTTGGTATGTTTACCAGAGGGTACCCAGGATGACTGGGGAACTTTGACCAATCATGGAGATTTCAAGGGTCAGTGGCAATGAGCGTTCAGTGGACCCTGCGTCTTCCTTAGAAAACTCAGGTTCATTGATAGGGATTCTCTTGATGGATTGTGACAATCGGCAACATATATGGTTAATATAGTCACCTCTATAAGCATCAACCGGGGTTTTGAACATTGCTCATTGTTTGGGGTGGTGGAACAATGAAGATATCAAAAATTGTGGTCAAGAGGACAGCAGGAATGTGATACACAGAAGATTTTGCCATGGCTGGATTGGTGGGCTCTTAGCAATGGAAAGAACTTGAACTCACCCAACTAACATAGACTCTAACTTAAACCATGTGTTTTAGTTTTTTGTAAACGTTTACCAGGCCGGGTAGCCTGCCTCCAAACAGAATCCACATGAAATTCTGGGATGAACCAGTGGAACTGGGTTCCACAAGTGTTTCCATAGTGTTATCACGTGTTATATTCCATATATATGGTGTTATTGCATATAAGTGTTTACCATACATATAAAATATAATATATATATATAGAAATATATATATATATATCTATAGATATATATATACTATAATATATATATATATAATATAATATAATATAATAAAATATAATATAATATAATATAGTATTATATAATTATAATATAATATATATATAATATAATATAATATAATATAATATATAATATAATATACTATAATATAATAAAATTTAATATAATATAATAAAATATAATATAATATAATATAATATAGTATTTTTTTATTTAAAAAATCTATAATAGTTTAAATTTAAGAACATATCATATAATATAATTAAAATATTATATAATATTATATTTAATATATAATAATATAATATTATTTCATATAATATTACATTATGTTATATAATATATGTAATGTATATTTAATATACAGTAATATATATATATATATGTTCCATTTACCATGCAATATATATAATAGTATATATAATATACTGTAATATATATATATATATAGATATATATCTATGTTCCATTTACCATATATAACATATATATATATATATGTATTACGGCTTTGGTCCCATAGTGTTCTACCTGCAGGCTGTCGACATCTCCATGAGCAAGAACATGACCACTGCCTTGGCTGCTGGGCAGAAGACTTGGAGGGTTCCTAAGTCATGGGAGACCCCAAGGGATCATCAGAAATTCATCACGGTCCCATGGTTCATAGGGAACCTCAAGCTGTTCTCCAAGTGATGTTGGATGATGGTTTTTTGGATCAAACATGGTCCTTGGGTCACAACAAGTTTCAGAAACACCCAAAGGTTGGGAAAAAATGAACCTGAAAAGGGGTGGGTCATCACCCCAATGACGATGGGCTGAAGATCTCAATGTCAAGCCACGACTTTGGTTTTTTGCCACCTGCCAGTGATATGTTCACCACACATTGTTCGGCGGGCCAACAAATAACATATTTTTCACCAATCAGTGCTGGGCGGTACCCATGAATCTGAGATAGGGAAGGAAAAGTTCACCAAGTTCTACATCATGATCCAAAGCATGTTCGAGTGGTCATTGTACCTGTTTCTGGATAAAGCCCCATCCAACATGCAGGTTTACTCAAATGAAACTTGGTGGATCGGCCCACATAGTACAGTAAGTGGGTTATAGAATATTATAGTACCATTTAAGGAAACCATATAAGTAGATATAAGTAGCACAAGCAGTTTTATTCGTTATAACATGTTACAACATGATGCATCAATTGAGCACAATCGCTTATGCAAATATCATGCTTCCAGTGGTGCTGTAAGCCCCAGGCATGGGCCAGTCCCCCGGTTCCAGGCCTACATGATGCCCATGGTCATGCAGTCGCCCCGGGCACGTCATATGGATGCGACGGCATGCAGTGGTGCTTCACCGGATCTTAGCAGAAATATGGAGATTTAATGAAGATATTTTATCAGATATCATGGAGATACATAGTGGAATAGTGGCGTATGTATAATATGATTATATATGACCAACGATTTGCAGTTCGTCATAATCCTAATATGAATATGGGTTAAACTCGGTTACACCATGTTAAAGCCTATAGGCCCACTTTGTCAAGCTTTACCAGTTATTTTCAGATTGGCCAGGGTATCAGGGTATTGACGCATAGCCTTTGTATGCCTTTGTGGTGTGTCTGAAAATGGCGGTGTACCCCAAAATTGCCATGTCAAGAGGCCAAGAATGATTGGCCAACAATTGTTTGGGTTCCCTATTCTCAGACAAACCCATGTATATATATATAACATTATTTTTTAAAAATTAATGGTGTGTATTAATATACCATCAATAGGTTTGATAATAGGATATCCTAAAATTATGTATTTTGACATTTTAGTGATATCATATCCCATATGTATCCTTCTCGATAGGGGTTTTTACCAGCATGCCTATGTCTATTTAGATCACACCATATTACACCGATCAACTTGTTAAGCCATATACTAGATGTGACATAACTGAAGTATCATATCCCCACATATGAACTATTTACTTCCACTAGCATAGGTCCAATACTCAACCAACCAGCGTTCCGTGGAAGGGGGCTGTTTGATATCAGGGAAGGGGCTGTTTGAAACACGGAATATGCAAAGAACATGTCCATGTGTATGAACACATATGGAAGTTTCCTGAAATAGGGGTACCCCCAGTCATCATCCATTTTAGATTGGGATTCTCCATGCAATAAACCATCTTATTGGGGTACCCCCATTTATGGAAAACCTCATATATCCCATGATATCTAGAAAAATTGTATTAACTATAGATATTAACTATATATATATACTATACATATATATATGCATATATTAACTATAGATATCCCATCATATGTGGGATATGTGGGCACAATGTATGCCACCAAAATGAAGGCTAATCTGTGCCTCCGTCCTGACCTAGATCTCACTGATCTCACCAAGAGCTGCGGTTTGGACAACTATAGCTTGCAGAATTGGCATGAAGCGTTTGCAGGATCTATATGGATCTATAGTTATATATATATAATTGTATAATATATATATTTATATATATATATATACATATGTACATATTGATATAGATCCCACTACTTGCTACCATTCCAATAGATATTGATCTTACTATGCATCGTTTTTTCTTTTCGGGACGGTTATTTCTTGCTGGGATTTCCGGATCTCTGAAACAAATCTGGCCTTTTCAAAGTGGCAATGTTGAGAAATATCTCCAGATATCTCCAGATATCTCCAGATATTTGCAGATATCTCCAGATATTTCCCAGTATTCATCAGTTATTCACCACTGTAAGTTGATAAACCAAAGATATAAATTTGTAGATCTTCATTTTCCGACAGCAAAAATAAATCGCCATCCTGCATGGTACCCATGGTACCACGGTTCAAGGTGATAGCGGCGCGATGGAAAATTGCGCAAGAGTCAACAAAAAATACGTGAGCAAATCAAGTTGAATCTCCTCATAATTTATGTTGACTTTATATGTTATAGCCATTGTATAAATCAATAATTACAACAAGTATCCTTATCACGTTAAGATGTAACTTGACATCATGATCTCTGGCACCACATTCCTTCGTGACAAAAAATCGGGCCACGCTTCCGAAGAAACGGGTCGCCACCATGGATGCTTCCACGTTGGAAGTGTGTGAACGTGAACATCTCATTGAGGACGCTGCGGCTTGCATGGGTGGATTGACATGACGTGAAATAACTGGAGTAATGTCAACCCCGGATTAATAAACCCTTAGGCTGTTTAATTGGGAGGGTACCATTTAAGTATAAGATTATGACTATTGGAGGAGTACCCCCTTAATTAATAAACCATGGTTTATTAATCCGGGGTTGACATTAATTACTCGGATTGGCAATGCCTCTCAACAGTTGAACACGCTTGTAGACATGCCATGCTACATGGAGCATATGGGAGCAGGGGGATGTACCAATAAAGACAACCATTGGCGGTAGGGGACGTCATCTGGTTGGTGGTTTGGAACATTTTTTGTTTTCCATAATATATGGGATAATCCTTCCCATTGACGAATATTTTTCAAGATGGTTAAACCACCAACCGGGAATAAATCTTCGAGCCCCAGAATTGTGCCTGAAAACCGATCCGATGGATAACATCATGTTCTTGGCCAATTCCCATGGTTTGTATTGGTTTAACATCATTTTCTTCCCCAATTCCCATGGTTTATCATGATTTTCTTTATGAAATCGCCACGTACCAATCCCCAGGAGCACATTCCGCGGCCGCAGTCGGTGCTCCGCATGGACCTATCGCATTACTGGATCAGCAGAGTGGTCGCCCTGGGTGCAGGTGGCCGGGGCGTGGAGAAAATTCGGGAATTTCCCAGGGGAAACGGCCCATTGAATATATGATTTACCTATTAAAAATGGTGATTTTCCATGGCTATGTTGTTAAATGATGGATGGATGATGGATGGGTGTTTCAATGTTTTTTGTGTTCAAGGGATTTCAAGTGTTTTATTTTCTTTTTGAGTTTTTTGTTTAAAGTTTAAAGGAGACTTAACATATGGTCTGATTTTTTCTACGTCATGGGACGTAACCAATTTCAGAATGGGACTGAAGACAGTTGGAACATGTAAATGGTCCCATGTTAATGTTATGTTGTTTGATACCCTGAAAAATTAATTACTTTACTTCGTGTGATCCCCACCATGACATTTATACATTTTCTTACTGGCAAATCTTTTGGCATTCTATCTGACATATCTTCTGGCATTCTATCTGGCAAATCTTCTGGCATTCTATCTGGCATATCTTCTGGCATTCTATCTGACATATCTTCTGGCATTCTATCTGGCATATATTCTGACATATCTTCTGGCATTCTACCTGGCATATCTTCTGGCATATCTTCTGGCATATCTTCTGGCATTCTATCTGGCATATCTTCTGGCATATCTTCTGGCATTCTATCTGGCATATCTTCTGGCATTTTACCTGGCATATCTCATGGCATTTTATCTGGCATATCTTCTGGCATTCTACCTGACATTCTATCTGGCATATCTTCTGGCATTCTATCTGGCTGTTGAGGTCCAGCGGTGCACACTGAGCTGGGCAGGTCCTCGGTTGAGGTCCAGCGGTGCACACTGAGCTGGGCAGGTCCGCGGCTGAGGTCCAGCGGTGCACACTGAGCTGGGCAGCTCGCAGGTTGAGGTCCAGCGGTGCACACTGAGCTGGGCAGCTCGCAGGTTGAGGTCCAGCGGTGCACACTGAGCTGGGCAGCTCGCAGGTTGACGTCCAGCAGTGCGCACTGAGCTGGGAAGCTGGCGAAGAGCTTGGCGACGATTTGGCAAGGTTGGCAAGGCGGAATTGGAGGTGGAAGAGGCGGAGGCGAGGAGGATGGCGAGGAGGACAGCTAGTCGAGGAGGAGGAGGCGGAGGAGGAGGAGGCGGGCATGCGCTCTGATAAAATCTAACAACCCTCACCTGGCAGGTGGGGAAAACCATGTTTAATGTTTGCGCTAAAAACCAATGAATTTCATGACGATCTATTTTTTCGACCGCAAAGTTAGACGAGGGGATTTGATGGATCTTAAATGGTATACCAATGCTACTGGTCGATGAATATATGCTTTAATGATGTTGCGTGTGTATGTATATAAATATATATATATATATCTGGTTGGTGGTTTCAGACATTTTTTTATTTTCCATATATTGGGAATAGTAACCCCAACTGACTTTCATATTTCTCAGAGGGGTTGAAACCCTAATATTTTTCACGATGGTTAAAACCACCAACCAATATAATTATATTTATGTGTACACATTATGGGACGATATTTGATGGGATATATCACCGTTTCTGCACGATCATCTGATTAAGCCATAGATAGATGTTCGTTTGGAAGTTCGATGATCAATTGGGGAATCATTAAACCCACTACCCTCTGGTAAACCTACAGAAAACAATGGAAAGATCCACCCTTTTTCATGGAAAAAACACCATTTTGAATGGAACAATCAACTATTTCTATGGCCATGTTCAATAGCTGTTTGTATGTTTACCAGAGGGTATGTCAAAAAATGGGAATATTTGGTGAGACACCGTATGATCTATATATTTATCTACATTCTCATATGTTTCACCAGCTTGAAATATGATATATTTGGGTGTCTACCTGAGCACTGGATTTACCAACAGCTTCTGGCAATTTGAACTGGGAATATGATGACAAACCAACAGTTTTGGATCAAACACATCAGACATACACAGATGGATCACCAGGGGAATTGATGAATATTTTCTTGGGCCGGGATTAGCATAACCGAGGGGATCATTTGATTGGAAGAACTTTGGTGAAGATGATCAGATGAATAGTCAGATGAAACATGCTGGCGAAAACATACTTGGATGAATTGGTTGTGAAGAAAACAAAACAACGGGACTGGAAGATATCATTTCGAATTTTTGTATCTACGATTCATTCATACTACCCTCTGGTAAATTAACATAGACCCTGAAAATCACCAATTTTTAATGAAAACTAGTGTTCCAACCCCTATTTGCCAGGGTCTTTGTTAATTTACTGGAGGGTATTTCAGGGTAGCCTTTTCCAATTGCGAAAGCTCTGGATGTGGACCAGATAAGACAAGCGATTTTTCAGCCAAGAAGATGGCAACTCCGGAGGGTGCCTCAATTTCCATGGCCGGGGTTAATTTCCTAGGGGGGTTCATTTGGGTGTTCCAGGACAATAATTTGTGAAATTCTGTTGTTTTAAGCATGAGTTTTCTTGGGGGGTTCAGTGTGAAATTCTGGTAAACCGACTGGTGAATAGTTGGTTGAATTCTGTTACTTGTAGTTCATTTGAAATTTTAACACGATTTAGCCGTCAATGAGAGAAAGAATCATGTCCCACCAAAGATTGTGTTTTTGTTTGGTGGGCTAACCCGGCGTAGGCCAGGGTTTCGTGCCCGATTTCCACAGGGTATCCCTGATCCAAAACAACAAAAAATCTGACCATAAATGGGTAGAAATTTCAGACTCCATGAGTTGGGCCAGACATGGTAATCTGATGTAAGTTATGTAAGACCCATTTTTAAGGTCCCATTTAAGTTGTGGCTACCCCATTTCTTTGGTCCACTGGAACCACGGTGAAGTTGCACAGGTTTCACTTGTGCCCTCCTGCTTGCGCAAGCGCTTGGGCCAAAGGTCGGGAAGCAAAGTGGGATCTGGTGATGGCTAGGCAGAATAGGTATATCATGGGGATGTAGTGGCCAGAGACTGGGATATAGTGGATATATGATATATAAAATTAATAACATTGTATAACCAAGAATACATTGAAATGCAACCTTTTGTTGACCGGATTGCATTTGGTAGGGATACAATGGATATATAATGGGGATATATATATATATGGATACGGAAATATAATTGGGTTTACCACATTCATGGTGATGTAATGGGTATATAATTCTGAACTGGATACTTCATTGCGATTTCAAGAGATATAGTGGATATTTTTGATGCAATATGTATATATATATATGTGTATATACATGTTTTACTCTGTGGTAATTTAACATAGCTTTTGAAAATCACACATTTATAGTTGAGTTACCCGTTTTTTTCCATGGTGATTTTTCCAGTTCGCAAACTGTAAACGTTTACCAGAGGGCAACCCACAATACATTAGAATCCCCACAAGGTGGTGACATTGAGAATTGTACCTCTATATCTGGTTGGGAGAAAACCTGGTGATTATATTTATTTGGGTTATATGAATTTGGAAATAGAAGAAAGTGTTGATGTTTTTTTACCTATTTGCAGATAGATTCATGAGTGAATAGCCAATATATTTCACGCAATAGCTATATATATATATATGTATATATAAAACTATATATATATATACATGTATCGGAGATATTTACGGTGCGCTGAATTCCATTCCACACATTTTTTTGCCCGCACTACTTGCCCTTTGATACGAGGGATCTCTCATGCCAAGTGCCAATTGACACGCAGGTTGCCAGAGGCAAGACTGAAGGCATGCGGCCAATCGTTTTTTTTTAGTGTGGACGTATGAAATGTAGATATGATATGTATATAATTTATAATCATATATGTTTAAAGTACTTGAAAGTTAATTACATGCTGATATTTTTTGATAAGTATACAGAGACTTTTGTCTATAGAAATGTGCTATAGGCTATAGGGGTTAGTCCTTAGCTGAGATGATCAGGTCTTGATCCTCAAAAGATTTGGTGGTCAAAACCCATGGTTGATAAATGGATGTTTATTCACCAAAAAATGTTTACCCTCTGGTTATGGCTAACATAGCCATTGAAAATAACTGTGCTATTATTAGGTAAACCATCTGTTTCAATGGGCCATCTATACCATGCCTATGTTAAATAACCAGAAGGTATTAAATGTGTTTCCCACTTCGCCTTTGTTTTTAGCATATGTACGCATAGTAATTGCTCAGAACATGGACATATGGAATATGGAATGACCACCCTGCGCCAAACGGTGTGGCATTGGGGCCCCTATAGTCTAGGTTTTACCGTAAGAATCAATGAGTAAAGCATGGTTTTAGGAGCTTTTCAGCCATATTGTGAGTCTGACATTTGTCAGTTCCGGAGAAAAAACAACGGATATTAAGGGCCAATGATCTCATGCGTTTCCGTCCCGGAAAACTGTGTGAAAGTGGTGGCCACCCCAATGCTGGTTGGTGCAAATTAGTTTAGTTTGTCGACTCTGAACCTATAGATACAACTATTCCTATAATTGTACTTTACATTCTACATCACTATATATAGTAAACTTAGTATGGACACATTTACACCCACATAATATACACATATATATATACGCATATACATAATACATCTTCATATACGTATATACATATACATTATACATTATACATACATACACAGATACATATATACATACATACACAGACATACATACACATACACATACACAGACATACATACACATACATACACATACACAGACATACATACACAGACATACACAGACATACACAGACATACACATACATACACATACATACACATACATACACATACATACACATACATACATACATACATACATACATACACACACAGACATACATACACAGACATGCATACACATACATACATACACAGACATACATACACAGACATACATGCACAGACATACATACACAGACATACATACACAGACATACACAGACATACACAGACATACACAGACATACATACACATACATACACATACATACACATACATACACATACATACACATACATACACATACATACACATACATACACATACATACGTACATACATCAGTACATACATCAGTACAGTACAGTACATTACAGTACAGTACATTGCATTAAAAAACAATACAATACAATACAATACAAGACAATACATACATACATACATACATACATACATACATACACACACAGACATGCATACACAGACATACATACACAGACATACATACACAGACATACACAGACATACATACATACACAGACATGCACTAACATACATACATGCACTAACATACATACATACATACATACATACATACATACATACATACATACATACATACATACATACATACATACATACATACATACGCAGACATACATACACAGACATACATACACAGACATACATACACAGACATACTTACACAGACATACATACATACATACATACGTACATACACAGACATACATGCACAGACATACATGCACAGACATACATACATACATACATACATTCATACATACATACATACACAGACATACATACGTACGTACATACATACATTCCATTACATTACATTGCATTGTATTGCATTACATTACATTACAATTCATACATACATATTTGTTTATACATTATATATATTTACAATGGTACAGCTGGGGTCATACCTATCCCAAGACGTTATCTGCGGAGGCGGAGGTGGCCAGTTCCTTCAAGAGTGGAAGTTTGAGGCCACGATCTCCGCTGAGTCGCGTTGCATTTACCAACCGTTACCATTTATTTGTATAGTATTATTTATATATATATATACAAAGAATATAAAGTTTTAGCAATATAAATTTAGAGTTACTCATATTTGATTCATATACATATATATATATATGGGTAAATTATAACGACCTCACTGTTCTCCCTCACTGGAATCATGGTTAGTAGTTAGTAGGTTAATAAGAGGGAATCATCCCAAAATGGCCTTATTTCAGGTTAGAGTCAGAAAGGCCTTGAGTGAGGATGCCAGGATGAGAGGTAGGTTCGTGAAGGCAGCCATGGAAGCAATCAATGAAGAACACCGGTATGAAGTGGAGTTCTACCCCTCATGGAACGAAAATGCGGTACGCGAAAAACAGGGCCATGGATACATCGTTTGGCTGCACTTCAGCCATTCCACCGCCAGTTGTGAAGTGTTCATCGATGAACCATATTTCGGCACGGTAGCGAATCACTTTGAGACAAAGCTCGCAGAGATTTCAAAGAACACCAGAAAGGGAAAAGGAGTAGGCAAAGGCAAGGCAAAAAATGAAGAGTACAGAAAGGGTAGCAGCAAAGGTGCATATGCCGCCTTAGATTTTTCTTTCGACGCCAAACAACCATTCTGGTGTAAGTTTATCCAGGTACATGACTGGAGAAACAATGTGCATGTGAAGCAGACATTGAAAGATGAGGAGACGGCACAGGGGCAGATGAAAACATCTGAAGGGTAACCCCCAACACCATGAACTATCTCAGTATGAAGAAAGGACTTCTCAGTGTGAAAGGCAGAGTTTCAGTGTGAAGACCACAAATCTCAGTGTGAATACCGCAGATCTCAGTGTGAAGGGCACAAATCTCAGTGCGAATATCGAGACTCTCAATTTGAAAAAACCCAGTGTGAAACTAGAAGCATTCAGCGCAGAGCGCTTTGGTTTGAAAAAAGATGTGCGCTGCGGGTGGAGCAAGATGCAACTGATACAGTCCCCCAAAAATATGTTTGGCCAACTCCCCTTCAGTTCCATCATCCAACCCCACAAATGGATAGCACAGGTGAATATAATTTTACTTCGAGAAGAAAACCCACCGTCGCGAGGAGAGCCGGGTTGACTGCGCCTTTGGTGAAACCAAACCCATGGAGGCAGCGTCATCTAAACGTGCGATCCCACCATACTACCAAAAAAAAACTAGAAACTCCAATGAACGCAAGTGCAAGCGAGGTAAAAGAAATGGAGCTAAAAGAATCGAGCGCTATATCGAATGGAGGAACATGCGTAAGTTACATAGACAACTACAGCGTCAACTAAACCATGAGGGTAGTGAAGCGTTGAGGAAGGTGACTGCAGCCTCTTCACCTGGTGTTGCAATTCAAGATGCTAACCTGCTGTATAATAATTCCGCTTTACAATCTAGGGCGCGCAGTCCAGCAGTTAGAAATCAGGCCAATACTAGTAAAAAAGGGATTCCTATGAGAATACTTTGCTCCAAAAACCACAGGATTGTCATTGAAGAATGGAAATTCCACAGGGCAAAAGTTGAGAGACGCAAAAATGAAAGACGCATACGGATAGAGAGTTTGAGAAGACGCCGGTCTCTAGCCCACATCGCGTTCAACACGCCAAAAACACAACAAAATGCAGCTGATTTAACACACTCCTTACCCTATGGTCAGACTTTCACGACTTGGCTTTGCTTAGCGGAATTGTTTTTTTTGGATTTTTCTTGGTCATTTTTATTGTGTTTTTTTTCCTCTCGTGTGTTGCTTTTACACTTATTTTCATTTCTCGTTTGCTCTCGTAATTCTACTTTGTACCTTTACCCCACGTTCAATATACTTTCAAAATAACCTTGTTCCACATCCACATTGTCCACCTTGGAAGAAACTGAGCAAATGGATATTGATTTCATGGTGCCATGTTTAAGAACAAGAATCTTGTTGACCAGATCATGGAGATATTTTCCAAGAGGGAAAAATAATTCAAAACCTCGTTTGACCTTTGCTCTTGGCTCTTGAAACCTGGCTTGCCCCTTCAAGGTGAAGCTGTAACAGCTTCCCTTGCACCCAATCTTCAAGGCAAAGCTGCTCCGGCTTTCCTTGAAGGCTTGGCAATGACAGCTGAAGCCGACGGGGCTGTTGGGGCCAGGCGGAAATGGAGGAAATTGGGAGCAAAATGGCAGAGTAGCTTTCCTTTAGACACTTCTAATGTCAGCTTGGGGTCATGGCTAGACGAGCAAGACGAACCATGGGGAATCGGTTGCAAAGCTTGCCGGTCAGCAGGTTGCATGGGCAATCTTGCGCAATATTTAGTGACATCAGAAGCTGGCATTCAAAAGGAAAACTTTATGAAGCATCAGAAGCTTGTTTTGACTATGTGTCGGAGAAAGACCTTTGTAAAATGATAGGCCATAATGTTCCTGTGCCACTGATAGGAGAAATCATGCAGGAAGCCATGTTTGCCGCAGGCTTGATCAGCGAGAAAAAACAATTCCTTGCTAGTCTGCTAGTCGGTTTCAGCTGGACTGGCTGCATCGGCCAGCTTGGCTGCTTCGGCCAAAGTCACAATTCATCGTCACGCTTGACATGGGGCCGCGTGAAAAAAAGGCGCTTCAAGGATCCAATTTTATGACTGGCTTTGTTTTCCTGGCTTGACTGTCTTTGATATTTCACTTATACTTGTTACCAGAGCGAAGTTCCTTGTTCCTTTAAAAAACCAGACATCGTGTCAACGCCAAATGATGCTGTTTTTTAGGATCCTTTGGCTGCTTCGGCCAAATGATGCAGGGTTGTCCCCCCAAAAAATATGCACAGGAATGTCTGAGACATTGATCTCTGGAAATGTAGAAAGTGTCGTCGTCATTCGATTCGACTGGTCGTCGTTAAGGATTCGGCAGTTTGAAGTTTGAACATTTCTGAAAATTTCAAAAAACTCGTTCAGAAAGTTCAAACCAAGAATTCAAAGCAATCCTCGGAGACACAAACATGAAGTGAACAATGCGTTATACGAAGCTTGAAATATAAATCTGTTCGCTGAAAAGGTAAATTTGTAAATCGCTGCTGTCTTTGATTGGAAAAATCCGTTCGGCAGAACGAACCCTCAAAAACGTAATTTTGTAATTCGCGGCTGTCCTTGAAATATTCCAAAAAAAATCTGTTCGGCAGAACGAACCTTCAAAAGCGTAATTTTGTATAATTCGCGGCTGTCCCTGAATAATCGAAAAAAAATCCGTTCGGCAGAACGAGCCCTCAAAAACGTAATTTTGTAATTCGCTGCTGTCATTGAATTTACAAAAACGGTGGTGTAAGGAGAGGACTGTTAGTCCTCTCCTTAAACGCCGCGCTGCTGTCAGTGAGCTGTGTAAGAAGAGGGCTGTGAGAGGACTATTGAAAAAAAATCCTTAAAGCAAAACAGCATTTTTCAAATAGTTCTCTCACAGCCCTCTCCTTACACACTTAGCTGCTGTCAGTGCGGCATCTAAGGAGAGGACTGTTAGCCCTCTCCTTAGAAGCCTCACTCAAGTCGTTTCTCGTTGTTTTCGGCTCACAGGCTAGCTACACAGTGTGTAAAGGCAATAACCCACAAAGATAAATTCAGTACGTGGCTGCCTCAGAGAACTGGCATACGACAAGGTTGCCCTTTAAGCCCATACCTTTTCATCTTGACTATGCACGCTTTGTTTCATGATGTTCAAAAGAGGTACAACGACCCTCGTCATTCCAAATCCTTCCAAGTTCCAAGGCATCAATTTCCATGAGCTTCTTTTCGCGCATAATACATTAATCGTGGCAAAAAGTTTCAAGTCAGCTACTAAATACCTCCATTTAATTGAAGAAGAATCTGATTACTTGGAACTAAACCTGAACAGATCAAAATGCTGCTATATCGCGTACAACTGTCAAGGACAAATTCGTTTCCAAAATGGAGAGCCCATGAAATCTTCAGAGGAAACCACATATTTGGATATATTTGGGAGCGTCCGTCACGCAGCACATTGACCTTAAACATGAAATCAGAAAGAGAATCTCTGCTACAATGGCCATACTCAAAAAAATGGGCATCTTTTGGATCAAAACACATTGCAGCAAGAAATGGAAACTACTCGTTTTCAACGCCGTCATCACTTCTAAAGTCCTTTATGGCTTGGAAACTTTGGAACCCACGGAAGCAGCTGGAAGGCTATTAAACACGTTTTTTTATTGCAGCGCAACAATTTCAATGAATATGTGTATAGAAGAGCCAATGAAACTATCAACGCGCCATCAGAAGGATCTGGGAGACAAATCAAACCACTAACCGAAATTCTGGAAGACAGAAAGCTGAAACTTCTTGGGCATGTCTTGAGAAGGGATGGGCAACATCCACTACACCAAGCTGCGTTCTCCACAAGATCCGCGCTCCCACGGGAAATCGAACACAGAAGACGAGGCCGCCCACGACAATTCTGGACAACTAACCTAACAATATGCGTAAAGCATGGGAAGTGATTAAGACGCATGATGCTACGCAACCGCAAATACCATTCGACAAGAACAACCGATCGATGCGTGAGAGGATTATTGAACAAGCGCAGCGATACCAACCCCCATTCAACAAAGGAAACCCAATTTGAAATGCTCAATGTGAAAATTGTCCTCAGTGTGACACCTTTACTCAGCGTGAAGCTTTTGCTCAGCGTGACACCTTCACTCAGTGTGAAACTTTTGCTCAGTGTGAAGTTTTTGCTACATGGGAAGATTTCGTTTCAATAATACACCACCAAGCAGTGAGCGAGGCCCTAGGTTCTTGAAAGTAGGTAGGACCTAAGCGGGTTAGTGCCTACGACCTGTGGCAATGTCCATGCTATAGGTTTTGGCAAAAAAAAACTCAGATATATACAAAAAACAATAAAACTGAGTTTGAATCTGAAGCGGCCTTCCAAAGGTCAGAGGTTGGTGACCCTGCCGCTGTGTTTTGTTTGTCAAACATATGCATATAATATTATATATATATGTATATATATATATATATGTATTTATATATATATATGTATATGTATATATATAAATATATTTATATATATATATATGTAAACATATATATACATATTCAAAACATATTTTTTTTACGAATTAGAGTTGCTAATTTTTGATTAAAACAATGTCAATTGAATATGTTTGTGTAAGATATTTTTGTTTATCACTGATTACACCATCTCATGATTCAATAGTGGTTTATAATTGTCATTTGTTTGTATATAATGAAACTGAATAGATACATACACAGTGTACGCAGGTGTAGAAGTGCAGCTGACCGCTGACCCATGGTTGTCAGAGCTGGAGATATTTTAAGGGGTGGTACGTGTTGCTGTATCTAGTGAGCATGGGGTATACAACCAATGGTAGGGATTTAACCAACTGAAATTAGGACAGAATGGATATATAACCACTGATGTCGCTGTAAAATTCAGTTATGTGGTGGTTTAACCCACCTTTTTGGGGGGGTACAATTAAGGGGGGGTATGTGTTCAATGGGATCTAACCAATACATATAATAGGTGGTTGGTCGTTTCAAACATGTCAACGTCCAACCATATCTGGGATGGTATCTCTGATGATCAATATTCTTCTGTGGTGGCTCAAGCACCAACCAATCATTTTGAACTATTTAGGGTTGACCCTATCTCTTTCTTGACACGGAATAATGCTTATCATGTTCATATCTTCACCCATATTTGGTAATATGTGAAATACCAGAAGTGTATTGAAACTCTAAACAAGCCCGGCTTTTGGGTTGAACATGGACAGTCCATAGTCCAATCAAAATTCATTTTTACGAGGGACTACGTAGCAATTTCATCTCAAAATTGTTGGAAACTGGCTATATTTACGCCAGTTGTATAGCCAACACTTTGCCTGGCACATCTCAGGGGGAATTCCTCCAGTAGCGGTTCTACCTAAGTGTGACCAATATATTCCAATCAAACATCTACGGCATCAACCATTAATATCACATTGATGTAAAATCAAAGATATGCATTCCTCTAAGTTTAAAGTGTGATCATAAATCAGTTGTTCTACAGGAAGGATCTACATTTCAATGAACATTTACCGGACGCCAGTATTCATCATGTTATCACTTCAAGAATGAGATTTCCCTGCGAGTTTTTCGTTAAACCAATCGAATGATTATTTATAATCCCATTCCCCATCCCTGTAATTCTTAAACATCCCCATTGTATTGTACCAAAAAGAAAAAATGGCTTCACGAGTTTCATCCCCCAACCATGATATTTTTGGGTGTGTTTCATGGAGGTTTCCTGAAATGGAGGTACCCCCAGTCATCATCCACTTTAGATTGGGATTTTCCATGAAATAAACCAATCAGCACAGTGGGTTCGCTCCGCACAAAAATCGTCGGTTCCCCGTGGCGGTTCCCACAGGAAGTGAATGTGAATTCGGGCGACAAGGTCTTCGATGTTCTGTGGCTCGGCGTTCTGTAAAACAAAGGCTCACTGTGTTTCCATTCATTATCCAATATGTTTAATATAATATATCATACAATGAGATTTATGTTACAGGTGCATATGTATATATATATATACATATCCATACACCCTTACACATACATACATACATACATACATACATATATATATATATATATTTATTTATATATATATATATACATGTACATATATATATATTATATACATATTTAAACACATGTATGATTGTATACTATACATGTCTCACAGAAAATCCGGATGTTTTCCACGGGGTGTGATCTCCTTTGGGCCCTGCATGGCCCTGGCTTTCTCAGCAGTTTGCGACCTGGAACGTCAGCAGTGAAGATAACAGGTAAAGCATCTACAAAGGGGCCGTCTGTACCATAGCTATTATTATTATTATCATTTTTTTATTATTATTGATGATGATGATTATTATTGTTATATTTTTAGATTTTATATTTATATATATATATATATATTTAACATTTAATAATAATATATATATATATATATATTTATTTATTACATAATTTATTTTGATATTATGTATAAATATAACTATACATGTATAGTATAATTAAATGGCCGGAGGGTATGACCTATGAAACGTTCCAGCAACTACATTTTTCTTCTGTCAACATTAAAACAAGTGGTGAATCATCCCAACATGATTCAAAATTGGAATACATGAGTCTCATGTCAATCCACATGTTCGATTCTTAGTTCCCATATTCCCTCCCCACACTCCCCCAGTCTCCTCCACAGTTACGGCACTAAACATTTATAAATGGGGTTACTCCGAAAAAACTAGTTGGTTATATCTCATTATAATCCCACCCAAATAGTTGTTTTTCGGGCCATAACTGCAGTTCTGACTGAACAGACCGAGACTGACCGCGACTGTCGTAGGTTTAATCAGACCCTCTACGACTGCATCGAGCCTGTGAAGCACATCGCTGACAAACGAGGCCGCGAATCGTTGATTTCAAGTCACTGGATTCAGCGAAACTTGGATGACCTTTGGGTACCCTAAAATGACAGGGTCCTGACATAAACCTAGAAAACCTCCAGATGATCTTCATGACATCTCTGAGTTCATCTCCATTTTTTTTGATGATCTTCATGTTGATTCATGTTTTTGTTTCTGTTGAGCATGTTGACTGACATCAGATAGGATATTGATATTATCATCTCAGACAACCAGAGGGCGAACTTGGTTGCAACCACAAACGGGGCAAGAACTATGGTTTATGGTAGATATATGCAGATTAATATGATCAGATGCTATATAACAACTATGGTTAAATATATATATATATATTTATTTAAATATACATATAACTATATGGTGTATGGTAGATGTATCTGAATCGTTCATGCGGGTGAAATAGACCAACTCATAGTTTGAGGGCCACCAGCATGTGTGGATTTGCGCGAAGAATGGACACCATTTCGCTTAAGGTTTGGTTTTCGCTAGCTATTCTGAGCAGAAGTGTTGAGATTGAAAGATACTCTACATCAAAGGGTTTCTTCTTAACACGTGGAAGTTTCAAAATATCGACTTGTGAAATCTTGCGACCGTCCGAGTTCTCTGATCATTCGAGGGGCGCATTCAATATGATATATGGGGGTACCCAAAAATGGATGGTTTATGTTGGACAATCTTATTAAAATGGATGATTTGGGTGGTTTATAGTTTATATTGGACAATCCCAATCTAATATGGATGATGATTGGGGGTACCCCTATTTTAGGAAACTTCCATAGTCATCGGTCAATCTCTGTCTTAGTCAAACCCCTCTTCGATGCAGGTGCTGATGTGCAACTCTATGGGATTGAACCCAACCAGCCAGCTATGTCATGTACCCACAGCTGCTGAGTCTGAGACATATCCCTAATGCTTGGAGATAAATGCAGGAAATACGTCCATTTGTACAATCAGTTTGATATAGTTATTTCAAACCACAAGCATTATTTCCTGTAGATGTCGAACCATGTTTCTTTGTTTTTCCCTCTGTAGATGTCCAACCATGTTTGTTTGTTTTTTATTTTCATTAGTGCGAATAAGCCAGCGAAACACATGTTTCAACGCTGGTTTTGCCAAACATGAGGTACCACCCCCCACCCAAATGGACTACACAAATTTATCCCTTTAGGATAGATTTTTTTTGCGGGTATACTCAGCATAATATTCACCTAGATATCGGGACAATGATTAATTTAATCATTATATTTTTCTTGAAATATCATAGAAAATGCCACCATTGTATCCGCAAAAAGTGGTTGTTTGTCCCATGAAATAGCGGGTATCATTTCATACACGTATTTACACATCATAGATATTTATATATATATATATAAATAAACAGTTCACAGATAGCACTTGTCACATACCCTTTGGTAAACCAACATAACTATGGAAAATCACCGTGTTGTAGCTGGGTAAATCAACTATTTCTATGCCATTTTCAATAGGTATGAAACAAATTACCAGAGGGCAACTATATTATTAACTATAGATTATCCATATATTAACCATAGATTATCCATATATTATCCATAGACTATCCATAATATATATATATACATCATATTACCATATTTTTTGTTTTGTTAACACATATCATATATATATATATTCATATTTGTTATAAACCAAACTAATATGTTTCAATAACTATGTTCAATAGATATGTTATCTTACCAGGAACATCACTATGTTTGTTGGTTCAATCCCTATTAATCACCATGAAATCACCATTAAATAACCATTATATCACCTTAAAATCACCATTAAATAACCATTAAATCACCTTAAAATCACCATAACATAACCATAAAAGCACCATAAAATCCCATTAAATAACAATTAAATAACCATTAAATCACTAAAACATAACCATAAAATCCCTATCTTACCAGAGGGTAAACCAACCCACAAAACCAGCACTTCCACCCCCCAAATCGCCAGGTCGCTGCTACGATACCATCTTCGCTCGGCAGCACAAGTGTTATGCTCTTCGAAAGGCCGGTGGTCGCGGGTAGAAATGGGTTTTGTCTGAGAATTTAGGGGGAAAAACAAAAATTGATGGTAAATCAAAATTGATGGTTAATCAATGTTAAGCATCTATTTTTGTCCAAGTGTTATGGCCAATGATGGTTAGTCATCATTGGCTTCCTTAGTTTTATAGCCGTCGTGGTATACCACATTTCCAAACCCTCATGGAGGTTAGACGTTGCTGTAGTTGTACCTTATACTTATCGCAAGTCGTTTGGGGAACATGTTATTACATTATTACAGTGTTGAACTACAATGCAGTCCTGACTTATTTGCATTTTTGGGGTGAAGGCATGATCCTGGAATGTGGTAGCCCAATTTCACAGATTATGGTGACCTTACGGCTGATTTTGGATATTTTTGGATTAATAAAGAACAGTTTAGTTACTTATATGTAATTGTTACACGGAAGCATCTCCAACCGAGTTTGTTTCAGGCTGGGTGAAGCCATCAATGAGCTTCCATAGAGTTACCTGGTTGGCGAACCCCAATTCATAGCTTGGATTCGTGAATGTTCTTTCCCAAACAATAGTTGTTTTTTTGGTTAAAAATAACGGTTTTGATTCATCCCCAGTCCCCAGTTAGTTTTTTTCAGAAGAAATGCCACGGGGACAACAGATGCAATGGATTTCTTATGTTATGAGCCCATCCGATTTGAGGTAGATTGTTTGTGACCAAACACTGTTTGCAAGATAAGGGAAGGAAATCGCACGGGGACTCCAGAAAGCGCACATGGAGATATGGAAAAGCAAGCAGATGTGTAGATCATTTTCTGATGGAATTCCATCATGGGTTTTCTAGAGGTTAGTGTCTGCGAATCTCACCCTCTACCACTAAACCCCAATCCACATGGATAGTAATCCCACGACGGTGTTCTTCATACCTTATTGGAAATCAAGGCCTCTAACCCATATCCTGATACTACTTGTACACGGTCAAAGCCAAGTTCCTCTGCTTATTGTGCAGTACAGAATTTTCTCATTGACTTGGGGTTGGTTGATGCGGAAGAATAGGGGCCAGCAGTCAGGTGTTCTCACTTTGGCCTGTGGTTTGACACACATGACACTTGTGCAAAAGAGATGATTGTGATCGTGGCTTCGCACTCCTGCCCCTGCCTTCAATTGTGCGGACGTCTTGGGTCAATGCTTTGACCGCAAACTTTCAGTGAAGAAATTGCCGGAAAGGAAGCCCTTGACAGTGACTATATTAAAGGTGATTCTGTTGCCACCCGAAAGTTTGCAAACTTTGGAATCAGAGAGTTTCCCAACTATCAAGCTATGGGTTAATGTCATAGCCTCTGGTTAACAACCTCCTGGGCATATCAGCATTTAGGGGTACCCTCAATTAAAAACAGGGTGATAAAATTGCTGTGAAGGTTTTAATGTTCTAACTATTCTAAGTATGACCATAACAATTATAGCATGTTTAATCCTATTCAAACTATCATAATTCTATAGCTATTAGAACTATCACAACTAGTTTAACTATCAGGACTATATACAGTAATGATTATTCGTACATATTTTCTGGTAGTTTAAAAGCCATTACCCTCTGGTATTTTTCACGTAGCTATGGAAAATCAGCATGTCCATGTTCGGTAAATCATCATTTTATTATAATCTACAATATGGACAATCACCATTTTCGAGTTCGGTAAATCATCATTAATTTATCATCTATAAATGATGAATAGTTGATGAATAACCATGGAGTCCATGGAAATAACCCATAATTCATATAATTATCACCATGATGTTCATAACTATCACCATTTTTCTTACGTTTAACCGTTAGTTGGGATAGTCGGCTCACAGTCGGAACCGGCCTTGGAACCACCGCCAGGAAGAGCCGCCGGCGAGTTGCAAGCGCACCGTGAAGTGTTTGCAGGGCAAAAAGGATGAGACACTTGGCGAAAAGACGTCGGGGGCTGGATGGATTTTTGCTAAGGCTTGGCGAATGGAAGAAAATCACCATATATATATAGTATATATAGTGTACATATATATATATATAGTATTTTTATATATACTATGTGTATATATATATATAAACTATAAATTTTACATATAGTATATAGTGTGTATATATATACTCTATATATATGTATAGTGTATATATCAGTATATATATATATACTCTATTGATATAGTGTATATATCAGTAAATATATATATATACTCTATATATATATATATATAGAGTGTATATATATATATATGTATATTAGGTAAACCATCAAACGATCCATGGGCCATGGCTTCCATAGCAAACTGTTAGTCATTATTGGTAGGTAAATCATCGAACAGGCCATGGCTTCTATAGCGAACTGTTAGTTTACTGGAGGGTAATCGGGAATAAACCAGTTTGATAGGCGAAATGATGATAAGTACTGGAATTGGGGGGTGTCCTATGTTCAGACATTTTCTGACTAACTTGTATATGTATATATATATTATTTATGTATATATATATATACACATACATACATTGTAGACACATCCTTTGGTAGACTAACGTAGCTATGGAACATCACCATTTGCAATAGGTAAATTCATCGAACTAAAGGGGGCCCCGCGTTCCATAGCTACATTTGTTTACTAGAGGACAAATGGTGGTTTGAAAGATGGGACTGTATGAATTGAAACAATAACTAATCAATGTTGGGGCGGAAAATGGTGTCAAACCAAGTAGTATCTTAGAAGGACTATTATGGAAATATAACCAACATCATGGCTAATTATATGGATAGACGGCTTAATAATGGGTATTGATTTAATCATCATGAAATTTGAAGGTTTAACTTCCAAAAGCTGGGATGTAATTGATATGTTATTCTGGCATACCCTCTGGTAATTTAACGTAGCTATTGGAAATGGCCATTTATAGGTGATTTACCCATTAAAAATGGTGATTTTCCATAGCTATGTGAAATTACCAGAGGGTAGTTCAATTTGAATGCAATTGGGTAATTGGTATAATATCATCTGGAGGACTTGAGTCGACTAATGGGTTTACCCTGGGGTCGATGATATCTATGGATGCAGTTTATCCTTCCTAGATCAACCCAGTGACTAGTGATTGATACAAACTCGTTGAATCCTTGGATGGACGTTCTTGGAGGGTCATTGGCTATAGATGTAAAGAGTTACAGTTCTTCATGGTTCTTTGTGTATACATATGTTTACTTTTGGAATTGAGGTAAATATGCACAGTCCGTTTAAGGTGCCGGCTATACTTCCAGATGGTTTGTCAGGATCTATTTCAGAACAGTGTGTCAGGATGGGGATTACTCGAAGTAAGCTTATCTTTTGTCCCCCATTTGTGTTGGTAAAATTTGTTCACTTAAATCCCATTTGTTTGTTTGCCAACCATGTTTATAAGCCCCATTAACTGGAAATATATCACCTATAAACCATAAACCCTAGTGAAATTGGAGTTATGTTCACCAACTTAGCTATCGTTTGGGGGCCTCACATTGTATAACCCAAAACCCACCGTTTTTTTTTGCCGAAGTCCTGAGAGACTTGGCTTCCAGGAAGCCGATCAATCCCTGCGAGTGGCACCTCGGTTCTGGGATGGTTGTGAGATGGCCACGGAAAGGGTGGAGTTTTCAATGGCGATGCCTGGCATGATTTCACCAATTACCATGCTGATCTCATGCTGATTTAACCAACAATAGGGAGTTGATGGGGATTTGACCAACAAGAATACGGTGATGTTTGCTGTGATCTATAGGTGAATGTCCCATCAAATAGTGGGATAGTGGCAATATAATAGGAATATAATGGAGGTTTCCTAAAATGGGGATCACCAAAACCATAGATTTCAGTCCTAGAACGGTCTAAGTTTGGATGACGGTCTAAGTTTGTCGAAGTTTGGATGACGGTGTAAGTTTGGATGATTTGGTTTAGCCCTATCTTAAGACTTCTTAAGAAACCCCCAAGTTTGGACTGAACATGAATTAAACAACAGAGAGAGAGAGGATTCAACTGCAAACCGCGACCTGCAAACCGCGACCGTGAGAGCACATGGAAGAAGGTTGCTCAAGTGGCAGTAACCAAGCACCGCGACCACGCTGGAACGAACGACATCATCTCCGGAATTCCATATTTGGTTCAACTCCTCTTTGACACTCAGAACATCTTAGAACCATCTCTGCTCCATTTGCACTTGCCGACGCTTCACAAAAAGAGCCGAACCCACCATTTCGAAACTCCCCCTCAGGGCAACTCTCACACCAATTTTACCAACATGTTCACTGTTGTTGAACTCAAACATTCTCGTCTACTTGTATGAACAATTGGTATAACACTCCCCGTTCTATGCATCTTCTTCGCCCATTTTGCTAAAAACCGAGACCAGTGGAAGTGTTGTTCCCCCAAAGTGAAACGGAATAACCTGCCGAGGGACTGCTGCTGCAGACGTGTAGTTCAAACTTTGGACTGTGTTTCACTTGGGCACAACATATAACCTTGAGATCCATGACATCTACGAGATTGAATCCACATTAGGCTTGATGGGCCCATGGTAGATATATCCAACTATACTTTTCATGGGCTGAACATTCACCAGCAGGAAACTATTGACAATCAAGCTATGTTCATCCCTGGGGGGGGCAAGAGCTTGTAGATTTCATATCTGCTTAGTTGTATCACCCTTAAAAAAATATCGCACCAGCCTGCAACAGTGGTTGTGTACCCACGGTTGGACTTGTGATCCGGATTAACACATGATCATGTGAATGGGAATTTCAGGATCCAACAGATGGAGGTACGTTAGTACCATATAAGGCAATAGTTTGTGGTGATATTCACTTACATAGACCTAAAAAATGGGCCTTGTATATGGTTTTTGCTGACGAAACCATCCCCAAGTTTCTTAAATCATTGCATCTGTCACTGTCATCCCAAACAACTTTGAGCTGTATGGAAGGACGTCATGGATTGCTGGTTCTTTCAAGTAGTAGATACTGAGCAAAAAATCTGAACGTGGCAAAAAAAAGTGAACATATTATGTCTATCTATCTAGACTATAGCGACCACATTTGTCCTCACCATAGACAAACATCATCAAAATCAAGGAAATCCGGCCCCACTAGCTATATTGATAGTCAATAATCATGTGGTAAACCCAATAAAACATCCCCCTTCCTATAATTGGGTGTATAAATCATCCCCAAATGGTCGGCCCGGCCTTTTTTTAGTTTTGCCACATGAAATTCAGATTGAATCCATGACAAACAACACACAGTCCGCAGTCCCCATTCGAACCCGGATATTGACCCAGACACCATGGTCCGGCCGGACCCGGACACCCTGCATCCCTGGATTTGGGCCACCAGGCTTTGCACTGGTGGCAACAGAAATCAAGCATGGGTGGCTCGGCAGCGAACTTCGGAGCCGATGTAGCCTTGCTGTCAACAACCCATAGTCGTCGCTTGCATAAATTACATGAAATCGTTGGATTGATAGAAAAAATGGTAATGGGTTTCAATTTCCCATATTTTCCCATATTTTCTATTGAAACATCCTATCTATACATGGGGAAAAGCAGCCAGTTTCCTGTAGATGTTGAGGATCTGCAATGGCAAATATCCCATGGTGTTCTGGATTGGCAAATGGGCCAATGGCTGGGGGTGGGGGGCGTTAAATGTTGTTAAACACCCAACATTTGGTATGATAAGGATTGATAGGGTCTAATGGGAATGTAACCAATGCTCATAGATGTTCATAGTTATGGGCTCCGGGTGCATAGAACTAATTAAAGTATTTGTCAACCGCAATTTTCATGGCAAGGCCGTTGAATGACAGGGTCCACATTGGGAGAGTAAGATAACCGCTGTTAGTATAATGTGTATAGTAACCGCCCAAGAAGATGGAAAAGTTGTTTGTCAGTATTTCAGTGGGATGTTACTTTTCTATCTTTTTGGCGATTGCTATATTAATATAATGCTATCAATACAGTATATACATATTTATTGATAGGCATTTAAAGCTGGTAACAAAGCTGATTTATCGTTTCTGATCATGATTCCTTTTGACATTTGTTTTTAATGGGTTTTTCAAGCACCCATTGTTGTGACAAGATCTCCCCACTTCACAGGTCGTGGCACACTGAAAACTAGCTACTGGATGATGGTAAATCGTTACGGAAGTTTCGCGCTTACCCTCTGGTTATTTAACATTTCGCCATGGGAAATGGCCCATAGAAATAGATGGCTTACCGGCTTACCTATTAAAAATGGTGATTTTCCATGGCTATGTTAAATAACCAGAGGGTACATTGCAGGTATTCTCTTTGTTGCTTACTGTTCCCTGACACGGTGCCAGAGATTCCTACAGGATTGTTGGTTATGAATTTGTGGTGGTGAGAGCAGCGCTTCATTCGTACTCCGCAAGGGGAAGCCATCTGAGCGGCGGACAAAAAAAACCTACTACTGGCAATGGACATGGCCAAAGTGGGGGGTCCCCTATCGGTTGTGAGGGTTTTCACACTAATTTGAGCATCCCAAGTCCATTTTTGTGCTACTTTAGTTTTCCGCTAATTTTGTCAGTTACTCATCTATACAACTATAGATACTATAGATGAATCTCCACCATACATCCAATAGTTAGCCAAGTGAAGTAAGCCAACTTACCTAGATAAACCCATATGTTGATGGATTACATCACTTTACCCAACTTCACTTTCCTGCGGGATTTCGGCATTGGTCTTAGGGTGACGTCCCAGTGGTGAAGCCCATGGTTTCATGTTCGGAAATCCTATAGGACATTGATGTGTTTTTTGTCCATATGGGTATGGGTCAAAATTGGGTACCCCAATAACTAGATGGTGAGTACTAAACACAGACTAAAATCATCTAAAATCTGAGGTTTTATTGGGCTTCAATTTTGACCCATACCTATATCTATATAAGCGTGCGGACTGGGAATTCGCCCGAGTATCATAAGCCTCAGGTGGAAGAGTAAAACCCAGTTAGGCTTTAAAAATGGCCGTTTCAGTAGCTACATCCGAGATACCTACCATATGTAAGCTCTAAGCAAGTTGTAGGGATAGATACCCCGCCCCCAAAGTCTATTACTTTATATGATAAAGTCACTCCAGTTATGGGTATATGAAATGACTCTTGAGATTTAATGGTTCAAGCCCATACTGCAATAGTTGTGAACATCATCCCACTGCAAAAAAAAGCGCCCAAAGCCCGACTGATTGGAACTTATAGCTGTCATATGTGTATATATATACATATATATGCGAATATACTATAATTGTGAAAGGATGATTGATGATTAGTTAGGAGGTCAAAAACAATGTAACACCTAACTCATCATCATACCTGTTAGATTTCTCAATGTTTCTCGCCAAAGCTGTGTTAGTTAGGAGACCAATTGTGGAATTCCATCCTGACATGTCCATGGAATGATTGGAATGACAGCGGGTAACCTCCATAGAGATCCTCGATGTTTATGTGATCGTCCCATAAATCTAGGGTAATGGTGAGCGTAAGGCACTAGGCTTATCACATAATACATATATATATATATATTTATATATTTTATTTATTTATTTATTTATTATGGTATAGATATATTTAATTATATTTATAGATATGGATAGATATGTTAGGTGCTCATCAGATATTTTTTTATATTAGGGATATCTTAAGGTAACCATCAGATACCATATTTAAGATATCCCCCAGAGATATTACAAGGTGGTGCCCCCCAAGTTATAAGTTGGTTTATAATCCCATGAAAACTATAGATATATCACCAACAGAAACCATAGGTATTGGAGTTATTTGCACCAACTGAACGCTATCGAACGGGGGCACCACCTTGTATAGGTGCTCATCAGATATATTTATTATATTAGGGATATCTTAAGGTAACCATCAGATATCATATTTAAGATATCCCCCCAGAGATATTATAAGTACAATCTGTAAATGGCTCATCATCTCTCCGACTTCGTGATCCAGGTCAAGGAGCGCTGTGACAAAGCCGTGCACGATGCGATGCGTTGGAGCGGGACGCTGGGCATGGCACGGGGAAGCCATGGGAGGCTGGGTTCACATCCCCAGATCTTTGTAAAACATAGGGAAAACCCATGGAAAACCACAAGAATAGGGTGATTTATAGTTTTATATATATATATATTAGTTGAGATTTATGAGAATAATTCTGATAGCTGAGTTGGTGGACACTTAACTATATAGGTGTTTTTTAGTGTTTGTGATATATGTATATGCATGGAAGAACTTTGACGGGGTTTATAAACCAACAAACATAACTGCACCACACATTATTATGCAACCAGGGCAACACTTGTCCCCTATTGGCAATGAAATATAGCAACGGAAAATCAATTATTTATAAATCATGTTCCCATTAAAACCACCATTTACAGGGAACTTTTAATTGCCATCTTTGATTACTGGAGGGTAAACACTGGGGAAACCGGTGAAGGATGCAACTGCCTCAAACCTCAGATGGTGAGGTGGAAACATTATGGATTTTTATTGGAATTGTCTATAGATGAATGTTGATTCTTGATGATAAGTTATCATATAAATACCAGTTCCCTTAATGTTGATTATCATTCCGTTAGTTTATCATATTTAGATCATTTTGATTTAGGGTGGGGCTCGCAACGAACATACGCAAGGATTTGACACGCTTGCAACCGGTGGCCGAGATCACGAAAAATCATCCACATCAACTGATGGATATCAAACATCGAGAGATGTAATGGTTGGTGAATGACATAAATGGAGGAATATGTACCCTCTGGTAAACATACAAAAAAACTATGGAAAATCACCATTTTATAGCTGGGTAAATCCACTATTTCTATGGCAAATAACCCATGTATAGATGATAAACTGGTTGGTGGTTTGGAACATGACTGGATGATGACTTTCCATTCAGTTGGGAATGCCATCGTCCCAACTGACTCAGATTTTTCAGAGGGGTTGGTAGGTATACCACCAACCAGATTATTATTAACCATCATTAGCCATATAATAACTTTTTTAAACCATTATTCACAATATATTAACCACATATTAACCATATATTAACCATCGAATGGTGGGATTTTCCAGGTGTTCTTAGTATCCTTCACCTGTAGTGAATAGCCCTTGAAAGTCGAATAATTCACTTGGGTGTTTTTACACCAGAAAATCACCCAGGCCTGAATTTTGATTTGATTTCATGACCAGATAGCCTCTGGTAATTTAACAGTGTGCTATTGAAAATGACCATTTATAGTGGATTTTCCCATTCAAAATGTTGATTTTCCATAGTTATGTTAGTTTACCAGAGGGTAGCAGCAAATACCAAGTTTTTTGTTGTTTCAACTGGTTATATATTCAATGTATGTGTATTTCATATGATTAGATTGTTTGACAATTATTGGAATTTACTGCAGCCAGCCTTCTTAAAACATGTATATATATATAATTACACATCTGGGTAAATTTTAACGCCCTCACTGTTATCCCTCACTTGCGTATTAACGAAGCGCAAAAAGAGCTGCAGGAAGAGCGTCAGAGAAGCGCAAAAAGAGTTGCAGGAAGAGCGTCAGAGAAGGTGCGAGGTAGAAAAAGATCTCGGAGACTACAAGGACGATCGAGAGAAAACAGACAGGGCCGCTGCAGAAGAGGAATGCGGTTGTTTTCGGTTTTTGCGCTGACGTTGTCACAGTCCGCTTCTTGCAAGGGAAATGGATGATGGCCGCAACTGGTGGCCGAGATTAGAATCCACGTCAACTGATGGATATCAAACATCGAGAGACATAATGGCTGGTGAATGACATAACTGGAGGAATATGTACCCTCTGGTAAACTAACATAACTATGGAAAACCACAATATTTAATGAGAAAACTCACTATACATGGAGCTGGTTGATGGTTTGGAACATTTTTTGCTGGTTAATAGTGTTGGTTAATAGTGGTTTTCATAGGTTATAAACCAACAGCAGGAATATGATGGTGATCTGGTTGATGGTTTGGAAGATGACTGCCATGGATTATGACTTTCCATTCAGTTGGGAATGCCATCATCCCAACTGACTCAGATTTTTCAGAGGGGTTGGTAGGTATACCACCAACCAGATTATTATTAACCATCATTAGCCATATACTAACTTTTTTTCCCCACCTGCCAGGTGAGGGTTGTTTAGATTCTCCTCCGCCTCCTCCTACTCCTCCTCATCCTCCGCCTCCTTCTCCTCCTCCTCCCTCTCCTCCAGCTTCTCCTCCACCACCCGTGCATCCACTCCCATGTTCACTTCCGCCTTGCCAACTCTTCACCAAGCTCTTCGCCAACTTCCGCACGCAGTGGGCACTGCTGGACCTCAACTGCAAGGGTCTGAGCGCACTGGGCACCGCTGGACCTCAACCTGGGACCTTCCGAGCTCAGGGACCCTCCGAGCTCAGCGAGCACCGCTAGACCTCAACCTCGGACCCTCCGAGCTCAGTGAGCGCCGCTGGACCTCAACGGCCAGATAGAATGCCAGAAGATATGCCAGATAGAACGCCAGATAGAATGTCAGAAAGAATGCCAGAAGATATGCGCCAGAACATATGCCTGAAGATTTGCCAGATAGAATGCCAGATAGAATGTCAGAAGATATGCCAGAAGATATGCCAGATAGAGTGCCAGAAGATATGCCAGAACATATTGCAGAAGATATGCCAGGTAGAACGCCAGAAGATTTGCCAGATAGAATGCCAGAAGGTATGTCAGAAGAGATATGCCAGATAAAATGCCAGAAGATATGCCAGATAGAATGCCAGAAGGTATGCCAGATAGAATGTCAGATAGAATGCCAGAAGGTATGCCAGATAAAGTGCCAGAATGTTTGCCAGAACATATGCCAGAAGATTTGCCAGATAGAATGCCAGATAGAATGTCAGAAGATATGCCAGAAGATATGCCAGAGAGAGTGCCAGAAGATATGCCAGAACATATTCCAGAAGATATGCCAGGTAGAATGCCAGAAGATATGCCAGATAGAATGCCAGATAGAATGTCAGAAGAGATATGCCAGATAAAATGCCAGAAGATTTGCCAGTAGCAAAACGTATAGATGTCATGGTGGGGATAACTCGAAGTAAAGTAATTAACCATTATTAACAGTATATTTACCACATACTAACCATATATTAACCATCAAATGGTGGGATTTTCCAGGTGTTCTTAGTATTCTTCACCTGTAGCGAATAGCCCTTGAAAGTCGAATAATTCACTTGGGAGTTTTTATCCCAGAAAATCACCCAGGCCTGAATTTTGATTTGATTTCATGACCAGATAGCCTCTGGTAATTTAACAGTGTGCTATTGAAAATGACCATTTATAGTGGATTTTCCCATTCAAAATGTTGATTTTCCATAGTTATGTTAGTTTACCAGAGGGTAGCAGCAAATACCAAGTTTTTTGTTGTTTCAACTGGTTATATATTCAATGTATGTGTATTTCATATGATTAGATTGTTTGACAATTATTGGAATTTACTGCAGCCAGCCTTCTTAAAACATGTATATATATAATTACACATCTGGGTAAATTATAACGACCCCACGACCCCACTGTTTTCCCTCACTGGAATCCTGTTTAGATTGCAGGAAATCATCCCAAATGGCCGAACAATGCAGGTAAGTGAAATATTTTAGTTTACCCATATACATATATAGTTACAATTTAGATACCTCTGTATAGATACATATAAATCGATACCTCTATGATATTTATATATATAGGTGGTTTATCCCATTATTTTTAGGGTTTCAACCATCCTTTTGGCGATGCAGGATTTGTTCCATCCATAGTATCATCCAGTAGACTAAGAGAGCGGTGGATGGCCCATGGATGGCCCGGCCTTTTTTTCCTCCGAGGAAATGCCTGGATCATGGCTGCTTGGAACTGGCGAAATATGTTAGATCTTTGGGCGATACTGAAAATATAATCTGGTTGGTGTCTTGGAACATGAATTTTATTTTCCTTTTTTTTGTGACTATTAATCCCAACTGACTAGTATTTTTCAGAGGGGTTGAAACCACCAACCAGTAATATGCCTGTACATGGATATATATATAGGTATACCTCTATAACTTGATATATAGATAGAACTATAAATTATGATACTTCAGCATATGTTTTACAGATATGGAAAAAACAATGTTATCCATTTGTATGGTTACAGGATAGTAACTTTAGGGAATACTTAAGATATACTGTATATAGTTTTACTGGGATTTAATGTGTATATATATACATATATATATGGAACTGTAACTTGATGGAATTCATGTTTTCAATTCGGACAAACTGAGATATCTGTGGGACATACTTGAAATTCATAGACACTAAATATTGAAATTTTAGTTATGTGTTTGAACACGAACCAAGGTATGATATGTTTACATACCTACCCTTTATAGAACATAGCTATGAAAGAATACTTACATGATGAAAAACTACCAGAGGGTGAGGGTAATCGTTATACCTATATAACATAATACAAATACATGTATATATATATATATTGATTTTCACTGTATTTAGATACATGCAAATATACAATGCCCCAAATTATGTTATTTATGTTTGTTATATTTCGAATCACGGGATACCAATGTAACATATATTTGGATGATTGCCTGTAGTATCTGGTAATGTGTTTGGTTTCGGATGGTAACTCTCTTGCGTTTCCGAGGCTCTAGGGTCTCTTCAGGAATGCTCATCTCGACCGATCCAACTTGGACGACCATATATGGAAAACAAAAACCCTCCCTTTGAAAAAGTGGAGCCCTAAATCATTTCCCAAATCATCAACAATATTAAAATACATAATCTGGTTGGTGGTTTCAATCATTTTCTTTTTTTCCATTTCATATATGGGATAATCCCAAACCCATTGACTGACTCATATTTTTCAAGATGGTTAAGTCATTACCAACAAGTTAAAAAACATGATTCTCTCATTTTCCCCCACACTGTTTGGGGTCTCCAGCGCTGGGCGTGGCTTCCGCCAAGGTTATGAGCAAAGGAGCTTCGAGGCGGGCAGCGATTCCTGTGTAAGGTTTGTTTCGGATGGCTGGTAAACATATACCAAAAACGATGGAAAATCACAATTTTTCATGGGAAAACTCACTATAAATGGTGATTTACATTGATTTACCAAAAACGATGGAAAATTCAATGAACATCAGCATTTTTAATGGGTAACGAGCTTTCGCCATGGCTTCAACAGCAAACTGTTAGTTTACCAGAGGGTAACTGGGAAATCATGGAAGTTTATTGGGATAAAAAAATGTGTTTGATGGGGGATATGAGATATTCTTCACCAACAATTAGGGTTACGGGGATTTACTGAAGATGATAAATTTTATATGGTCCCAATTGGAAATCGTTTTAGGGAATCTACATGGAATATGTTTTTTGTCGGGGACCTCGTAAGCAAATCCAAGTATAGAGTTTTAATTGGGATATGATTGGGATATTGATTCAGCATGTTGCCTTCATCCCAACTGACTTTAACTCATATTTTTCAGAGGGGTAGGTATACCACCAACCAGTTGAGTTCTATACATGAACTATAGATCCATATAGCCTCTGATGATTTGACACATTAGCTATGGAAAATAACCCCATTGTCGTGAGTGAATGTTCCATGCTTATTCTCTCATGGTGCAAACGTGTTTCGATGATGTCAACTCCACATGGAACTGTCCTACAGCCATGGAAAGGTAGCCTGAAAAATTGTCCATGACTTGGTTTGTAGGATTTTTTTTATGTCAATCCTCCAGCGATTTTCAGGGGTCCCCCCCATGAATTGGAGGACCAAAAACGTCTTCGTAAGAAATCCTCAAACTCGTCCTGGTCAAACTTGTGGTCATTATTTGGGTCATTATTTGGGTCATTATCCCCATTGGTTATTGGTATATGATACATATATCTTGACATATAGCATACATGTTTATGCGCCCCCCCTTTGTGATGTGAACGTTGGTTGAATGATTCGCCCTAGTAGCTAGTTCGTTATAAATACCATAAACCATACATTACTATAGTTGCTAAGTTGGTTTATAACTCCCCAGTTATAAATACCATAAACCATAGTGAAATTGGAGTTATAAACCACGAACTGAACGCAATCTCGTCAACGGGGGCCAACTGAACACTATCGTGGCCGGGGGCCTCACCAATTCATACCATTTCTATGCGATGATATTTCTGGTTGTCGGACTGGTCAAACTTGTGGATGGTTAACTGGTTGGCGGACTATCAAGAATAGTGCTGGTTAATATATAGTGGTTTTCACAGGCTATCAACCAACTGGCCAGGAATATGATGGTGATCTGGTGATTTGGAACATGATTTTTATGACTTCCATATATTATTGGGAATTTCATCATCCCAACTGACAAAGTCATATTTTTCAGAGGAATTGCAGCCACCAGCCACTTAAAGCTGGTTCGAAAAGCTGTTCTTACTATCAAACTCCCGTGACTCCCATGTTTCTTGTTTTGCTGAAACGCCCTGTCGCCTTGGTGTCAGAGTTCCATTTTTGCTGATTGATTTGTGATGCTCACAGGGAACTGACAATGGACTAGATTGACTAGATCCTCAAAATCCCATCGAAAAAGCCCAATTTCAGTCCCATGTTTGGTGAGGCGTCATGTTAAGTCCCAATTTCTCTGGTGAATTCCCACTCAACAACCTTGAACATCTTGACTGGTTGGTGCTTTTTAACATGTTTTTTCCATTCAGTTGGGAATAATCATCCTCCCAACTGACTTTAACTCATATTTTCGGGGTTGGTTGAAACCACCAACCAGTTGAGTTCTATACATGAACTATAGATCCATATAGCCTCTGATGATTTAACACATTGGCTATGGAAAACAACCCGTGTATAGACTGTATCTGATTGGTGGTTTGGAACATTTTGCATTTTCTCATATATTGGGAATAATAATCATCCCAACTGACTTTCATATTTTTCAGAGGGGTAGGTTGGTATACCACCAATCAGATTATTATTCACCATCATTAACCATATAATAACCATCATCATTAGCCATCATCATAACCACGATATAATATAAACCACCAGTAACCCATGTATAGAACCATCCAGTTGAACTTCCCCCATGGCTTTCTCGCTTTCTCTTCCCGGCGCGAGGCCATGGAAGACGTGAACGTTCTGTCGCAGCGCTGTGTCGATGAGACCACAAGCACCACGACGCAGGTGACCTGTGCTGCGATGACAGTTTGCCCGGGGGAAACCCATGGGAAACCAATGGGAAATCCAGTGATTTTATTGGGAAATCTATGGTGAAGATACATATGGTGAATATGATTGGGAATATTATATAGGATATATATATATATATACATATACATATATATATATATATATCACCTATACACCCATGAATGTCTAATATTTATTGAGGAATTTTCAAAATTATATACATTCCCTATGGATCCAAGCACTGTCTGAGAAGGTACAAAGAACTATCCAAATTATAGCAAATTATGCCCCAAACACTTCCTAAGAAGGTACTTGGATCCATAGGGATTAGTAATAACTGGTGATATACATTATTTGTAGTAAATATCTGGTGATATACATAGTAAATATTTGGCTAGACATTCTGTGCCTATAATACATTGCATATAGATTGCAGTATATTGGAATCTAGTAATTTATAGCCAAAGTGGTGTATTGGGAATGTATTTTCCAATATGGCCAATATGGCCAAACCTTTCAGATTATAGTGATTTGTTTTTCCCGGATGCTTGGGGTGAAAAACCATCATGGGCCAATGGGTTTACTGTAGTAATGGGGAAATGATATGAAATAATGAGGATCTACATTTTAATATGGGTTTAAAAGATTGAAAAACAAAACGAAAAAACATTGGGACTTGCTGCATTTTACCCTCGGGATTTCGATTGGCGGATTTTTTTTTAATGTTTTCGTTTGGGGGAAACCGACGGCATGAAACATGGGGATTTCACCGTTCCAAGCCATGGGGATTTCGCCCCGAGATCGCTATTAGTTCTCGGTATTGCCTATGGCAACGGATGTTTATGGCAGACACAATCTGGTGGTTTGGAAACATGACTTTTATCTATCATATTTGGGATGTCATCCTTCCCATAAACGAACTCAGATTTTTCAAGATGGTTATTGCACCACCAACCAGCAATATATTTATACTGCATCTTAGTATAAACCAAGTGACCTGTTGTTAATCGTTGTTCCGGGATGTTCCGGAGAAGGCAATATTTCCTTCAATATAATGATTCATACAGTAATACATGCAAATGTGACCACTTGTCATTGAGTTATCCATGTTTAGAGTTTCTTTGAAAACCAGCTGTCTTTGGGCAGCCGGCACAGTCTTCGAAATGTGTGGTATCAATGCTGGGCAGCTGTTGCCAATGTAATACCAGATGTCCAACAGATACATACTGTAAACCAGGAAAACAAGTATATTTCCCACAGTTTGTGTCCAGTGAATCCCACAGTTTGTGTCCAGTGAAACATCACTGTTTGGTGATGTTTGGTGCAGGACTCATTCATGGTTCACCTTCCCAAAGAGAGATCAAAATTGCTGTTTACACCGCCTATATGCTGTTTGAGATATCAACAGATACAATCATCTACCCGATCTACCCCACATATGACCCAAGTCTGTAGATCATATGTTTATATTCACCCCAGCTAGTTTTTATGGATTATCGCTCTAGTGAAAAAAGCTGGACTAACCAAATATGTTTATCCTACTCAACGGGGTCAGAACATGTTATAACCACAAACTAATTTACTAATTGTTGTAACCCCTAAGAATCAGAATCAATCAGTAAGCCGCGGTTTGTCCAACAACATTGGAAAGCAAGTAAATTACTAGATTTTTACCATCAACCCCACCCCGTTAGGCACTATCAACTTACTAATTTTGGTTATTTTTACTATCAACTTACTAATTTTGAACCAATTAACCCAAAAACTAATGGTTCAAAAGCTGATTGCCCTGTGGAACAAGGTTGGGTCACATTTCTTCTGCTGGGCGCTCCTTGGCTGTCAGATGGAAGCAGCGGGGGGCCCTTGGGGTTTTAGGAAACTTGGATGCCTCACCATAACCCGACCTACTATAATGGGATATGATGAGATAATAATGATAATGGGATAATTATGGGATAATCATGGGATAATCACGTGATAATGTTTTCATTCAGATCTTTCATACCAGCATTGATGTGGATTTTGTCTGGGAATGTTTCATGGTATATAACCGTTACAATCACCGTATTGATATGGCAGACATCAAAAACAGTATCTGGATGCGCAAGTTCACGTCGCTTTTCGGAAAAAGCCAGCCTCAGATTCTGACCCTTTTTTTTGCTATGTTCGCGTGGTTAAACTGCAGCATAACTATGGAAAGATCCGCAATTTTTAATGGGTAAATCAACTATAAATGGTCATTTTCAATAGCTATGTTAAATAACCAGATGGTAAAAGACGTGAATGCAAAATGAAACTGCAAATGAAACTGAAAAAATGCATTCAATTGGCTAAGCAATGGACAATTCTCTATACGGATACTACATGATGCAGATCAGATTTGTTTGTTGAATGTGCAGATTTGCAAAACCGACCATGTCATTCTGCCATGAAAGAGAGACGCCTTTGACCATGGCAGTGTGCATTTTCTCTGAGCCAGGGGTCGACGTCCTTACATATATGTGTGTATATATATATATCATTATATATACACACACACATCACTATACTACAATGATGTGTAAGGATGTGTGTGTATATATATATATATCATTATATATACATCAGTCAATTCTCGTGGGGTTTGTTTCAGTTAGAGTTGAGAAACATCCGCAGGCTGAATCTCCAGTGAAAATTTCAGCTGATGCCGTAAGTTTTGGCCCAGTTTGGCCCATGTCCAAAATAGGCTCTCAATATTAACGGGTGGACAGAAATCCAGCACGATAAAAGACATAGCTACAGCTATGAAATTAACCAATAATTGTAGAAGAATGAATCGTACAAAGGCTTGTAGCGGCTACAAACGCGATTCATAACTGGTTGGTGGTTTGGAACATTTGGATTATTTCTTCCATATATTGGGAATAATCATCCCAACTGACGTTCATATTTTTCAGAGCAGTTGAAACCACCAACCAGATAAGGACAATGACATGTTCAAGAAGAGTCATGATAGGAATGCCGGGAATGATGTCATCGCCGTGGCGGTGGTTTCAATAACTTCGATATATATCTACCAGATGTACCATAGGAAAAAGAATCACCAGTTTTGACATCGACCATAAATCTGTTGTGCTTTTTGGGAGACCAAACTGGCGGTCGTCATCCCAAGCGGAGCGGTGTCAGGTTGGTGGTTCCATGGACCAATGAAGTGGACCTGCTGCTGATGCAGCAGAAGCTGAAGAAAGGCCCGGGCCATGGCGAAATTCACGCCGCGACGGTTGTGGATTTTTGCAGCAGGATGGTCCAGAATTATTGTTTGCGTGAAACGATATACTGTTGCTGTTGTTGTTGTTGTTGCTGGTGGTGGTGGTGTTGGTGGTGTTGGTGGTGTTGGTGGTGTTGCTGTTGCTGTTGCTGTTGCTGTTGCTGTTGTTGCTGCTGCTGCTGTTGCTGTTGCTGCTGCTGCTGCTGTTGCTGCCGCTGCTGCTGCTGTTGTTGGTGGTGTTGTTGTTGTTGTTGCTGTTATTGCTGTTATTGCTGTTATTTTTTGTTATTTTTGTTTTTTTGTTATTATTGTTCTTGTTCTTGTTCTTGTTGTTGTTGTTGTTGTTGGTGTTGGTGTTGTTGTTGTTGTTGTTGTTGTTGTTGTTTTTCTTCTTCTTGTTCTTCTTGTTGTTGTTGTTGTTGTTTTTCATAATTTTGTTGTGTATTGGCTGTTAACAATCTAAGTGAACAATTGGATACCACAAATAAAATACTAGATTCATGATCATAATATCCTTTAATCATCTAATATTGAGACTTTAATGGTAGCAAGGGAGCCTTATGGTAAAAATAATTTTATTTATGATGTTTTAATGATTTTAATATGATTAAATTTATGATTTGGATTTTTTCGATTTTTTATTTATGAAAAAATATGATGAAATTTATGGTGAAATTTATGTTTTTTTTTTTCCGTTCTGGCATTTTTATGTTTTTTTTAATGATTTTTTTTAATGATTTTTTAATGATTTGTTTCTGATGTTTTTATTTATTTATTTTTTATTTTTTTATTTTTTGTTTTTATGATTTTTTTATGATTTTCATGCGGAGAAAAACCAAAAAAACATTAAACAAATCTTTAAAAAATCATAAAAAATCATTAAAAACAACATAAACATCATAAATTTATGTTTTTTTAATTATATTTTATGTTTTTTTTATGATATGTTTTATGTTTGTTTTATGATTTTTTATGATTATTGTTTTGTGTTTTCTATTTTTTTCTTCGAAACCAAGTGAAACTAAATCATGAATTTCATCTTAAAAAATCATAAATTCACCCATAACAAAATCATTAAAAATCATATCTGAAAATTTCCCGTTTCTTTCCGACATAGTGAAATCATAAAAAAAAACAAAAGAACATCACAAATAATATTATTTGTATAATTCGTGTTTAAGCTAACGCTTAAAGTCTCAAATCTAATATAGTTATTCCTCTAGTCATATAATAACCCAATACACGTCAATACTAGATTGGGTTTACATCTTAAAATCCTTTGATCATCTCGTACCCAAATGGCTGATGGCATGTTTCTTTCGGTGCAGATATAGCAGTGCTGATTTTGTCAGTTAGATCCATAATTCCTGATTCCTGGTTGGGTAAATTAAATGTTGTGCTGCTACGGCATCTCAATCACCAACTGCTTTAATTGAATCAGGATGTTGGAACTTATTGGCTACAAAGTGGTACAGCCCTACAATGTGAGGCCCCCGTTCGATAGCTAAGTTGGTGCAAATAACTCCAATAACTATATGGTTTATAACATGCTATAACTATAGTTACTGGGGCGAGTCTAAACCAACAAACATCACTGGGGGGGTGCGCCACATTGTAGTTTTGTTTGTTGGTTCATGTTGACCCTGTAAACACAACCGGCACAACCTAGTGAAATAAACTAACTTAGCCATTGGGGCCACCGCCTTGTATATGTCACCAGAAGCTTTGCCAACATAAATATCCCCATGATATCCCTACTATACACTCAAATCTGGTTGGTGGTTTGGAATATGTTTTATGTTTCCATAATATATGGGAATCATCATCCCAACTGTTACTCACTCATATTTTTCAGAGTTACCACCAACCAGCAAATTTTATCCCTACTATACACTCCCTATGGATCCAAACACTGTCTGAGAAGGTACTTAAGCCTCCAAATTATAGTAAATTATACCCCAAACACTTCCTTTCAGAAGGTACTTGGATCCATAGGGACTATACACTATACATCCAAATGTTATCCCCCATGATATCATCCTGGCCAGGGATCTTCGAATGCGATGGTCACGAGATCTATTCTGATAGGTGCGAAAAATGGGGCTGGAAAATCATCGGTACCCCTTGGTGGTCCCATAGCAATAAATGGGGATTTCTCTTACCAGAAATGTTGGCAAACATGGAGATCTAGTGGCAACAAAAAATGGTGATGTCCCATAGTTGGTGGTTACCAGCAGCGAGCAGAAAGTTGACCAGCACGAAAAATGGGGGATTTAAGCAACCAACTTGGGTATGTGGCATGCCAACTATTGGGATTTAGCATGATTTAGCCCATGAACATGTTACCCAGACCTAGACCCTCCAAACACCTACAAGAAAGCTGAAAAGTACGAAAATGTATGAGGTAAAACAGACTTTTGATGGCTAACAGAGGGTTTATGAGCAGTTTTACGGCTACTTTCATGTCATGCCTTGGAAAAACTATGAAAAACGTTCAAGTGACGTGGATTGCTCTTCCTTGATTCTGTGCCTCGACACAAGCATTGGTTGTTGGTTGGATGTTGCGACATCATCCCTCCGGGGTCCATTTCTGTGATAGTTCGATAGATCGAACGGGTAAAACCATATAGTTACCCTCTGGTAAACAAACGTAGCTATTGAAAATCACCCAGTCGAAATAGTTGATTTACCCAGCTATAAAATGGTGGATCTTTCCATAATTTATGATAATTATGTAAACGCTTACCAGGCCGGGCATCACAATTAAGCTATAGTTATCACAAGTTTATCGCCAACGAAATAAGTTACCACAAACCAACCATATCAATCCGAATCAACCCCCATGGTTTATGGCTTAAATTCAAGGAACATATGGACCGTACATGACCATGCAAATTCTCACGATAAATTCACCTTTGTTGTGAAATCCAGGGAAATGCACATTGGTGGTATCAATACAGTGAAGGTGGATACCGATCCTTGGCTGCGCGCATGTTTTGATGCTGGTTTCAGTAAGCCAAAAATGTTTTTTTTGTTGATGGGGATAGAATGGAGATATAACCAATGGTAACATATATATATTCACTACTGGTTGGTGCTGATATCAAATACGTTCTATGTTCAATGATAGACATGGGATGATGGTAAACCAGCCAAACATATCCAAACATATCCAAATATGGGGGATATAGTGCCCCAGCGTATATTTTGAATAGGTTGTACTAAAAATCATGATTGAATTGATAGGGGGTTCGCTACCCAAAGATCAACATAGATCAACAAAAATGGGATTTCATGAACAGACCAAGGGGCTGAACCAAGCAAGACCTCCGAACATGTGCCATTGGGATCAATTTTGTTGGAAATTCGGTAGAACCCAGCTGGCCATTACCCACTGGATCCTTGTGAAACTGTATTTTCAATCGGTAAATCATCTTGAAATGGGCATTTTAAGTCCAGCTCTGTTAAATTACAAGAGAGTAATCTTCTTTGTGAAATTTCCTAGGGTTGGAATCTCTGGCTTTGCCAAAGCTAAAGATGTCAGAAGCAATTGAGAAGTGTTAACCATCCCAAACTCATGGGTAGTGTACTCCCATTGAAATAGGTGGCTGTCTGAACATAGGGTACCCTATGAAACATCCACTCGTTCGTCATAAGCTGCTCCCTGCTGAGATTGCCGTAACATGGGGTCTCCATTTTTTTCAGACATACCCTCTGGTAAACAAACAAAAAGCTTTGAACATTGCCATTTATAGTGAGTTTTCCCATTAAAAATGGTGATTACCAGAGGGTATCCATCTACGATTTGTCACAGTGGTTGCAATCTGGTGTCTCGAAGACAGTCGGTGGATGCCTCGTGTCACTCAGGATCTTCACTGCAAGATGAACAAGCTGCTTGGCGGATGGTTCGTCTGAATGTGTTATGCAACCAAGGTGTTGAACCTCAAATGAGCAGTAATCACAACCTCAGATTATTGGTTATAGCACATAAAGGCTGGCTGGTGGTTTGGAACAGTTTTTTGTTTTTCCATATATTGGGCATAATCATCCCAACTGATTCATATTTTTCAGAGGGGTTGAAACCACCAACCAGTAAGGCGTTATACTACCCAATAGAACAGGCATTATCAGAATCTCATCAGTATAAAGGGATAGCAGGCTTTTGAACACTGCTGAAACAGACCATTGATCCCTGAACATTTCTTCAACAGCCCTGTTATGAAAAAACAACAAACCAGAGAAGAGCAATATCATGTTCAATAGGCACGCTCGAAATTTATGAACAAGTTAGACATTGAGAGGATACCGAACCATGTGTCTTACATTAATGTCAGCTGCCCAGCAAAAACACATTGGTTCTGGTTGGTGGTAGGAAGATTTTGATTATTTTTCCACATATTGGGAATGTCATCATCCCAACTGACGAAGTCATATTTATCAGAGGGGTAGGTACGACCCACCAACTCGGAAAACCAACCCCAGAATGGATTAAAGGGAATATCCTGAACAGATGTGCAAACTCCATGTTTAGTGATAACATTAACTAATTTATGATACATATATATATATATACATATATAAATATGTATTTGATATATATTTGATATATTATGATTAGCTGATATTAGCTGCAGCTGTTCCCTTAAAACCACCCCCATCATTTGATGACCACGCGCACTTTTTTTTCGCACTTCCCACCGTGGGCCATGACGATCTGCACCGAGGATCACACTCACCATCGAAAACACCAACATCTTCCGCGCAGCGGCGTGGCCCAAAAACCATTATTAACCATCATTAACCATCATTTACCATCATTTACCATCATTTACCATCTTTAGTATCCCAACCATTTAGTCATTCGCGTGGACACGAGGGGATTGTTTTGTTCGCTGGAGGATGCTGGGAAAAAATCTCACATTGTTGGTGGTTTCACCCATTTTGGACTGAACATGACTGATATACCATCTGGTTATGACTAACAGTTCGCCATGGAAAATCACCAGTTTTAATAGGTAAACCCAGGTAAACCATCGCTATGTTAAAAAACCAGATGGTATATGACGATTTCGCATCAAAAGTAATTGGATTGAAGCCATCAAAAACAATCGGTCGATTTCGCTGGTGGAGCACCCAAGAATCGTAACCAGGAACGTCCAGGGTGAGGCTCTGAATCGTTCCATAGTGGTGTCATGAGGATTTCAGGCCCATGACAACCACAGCTTCGACTGATGCTTACCCTGTTGACCATAGAAGTGTAGAGGTCTATAAAAGAATATAGCAGTCTATAAAAGAAAATGATTCATGGAATATATGATAGCAATTATATAATTTCTAAATTCTATATATATATATAGATGTATATAATATGATATATATATATATATATATGTCATATAGTAGGATGGATGGTCCTTGTAGCCATGCTTCACAGGCTCCCATGCTCGTGGCTTTCCAACCAGTCGTCAGGTCTGGCGAAAGGTCCTGGATCGCATGGTGTGGATGGACTATGAGTGGACCGTGAAGGCGTTTTGTTCACCCGGTTTGTTCGATGGTGATCTGGGGATTTTTCCATGACAATGGAATTGATGATGACAGTTTTCATTGCTATTGGTATGATATTGGTATTACTGGTATACCCTATTTTTTTCGATGACAATGGGATTGACAATGGAATTGATGATGATGATTCAAGGTGATCCACGGGGGATGAGAATGATCCTCTGGTAAACATACAAAAAGCTATAGAAAATGACCATAGATAGAAATAGTTGATTTACATCGTAAAAATGGTGATGTTCTATAGTTATGTTAAATTACCAGAGGAGAATTGGTATTGGTGTAATAGTGGGATTACTGGTATACCCTATTTTTTTGATGGCGATTGACAATTGTGATTTTCCATAGGGCTTTACATGGCTTTACTGGTTTAACCATCAAGAAACGGTGTCCATGGGATATAATGGGATTTATCCTCTGGTAAACATATAAAAAATTATGGAAAATCACCATTAATAGGTAAATCAACTATTTCTATGGGCCATGCTCAATATCTATGTTAAATGACCCATTTATAGATGGGTTTCAACATGTCTATGCCATCGGGATGCCAGTGATATCAGGTTGACCACCGGAGAGTTGACTCGTTGGATTTTTTGATTTGATGATTTTTCGGGGTTGAGAAAAGGTTGACCAATGGATTTATCCCATTGATAATTCATACATCATGATGATATGTTTCATAGAATATGTTAATGTGGATCAACATTTGATGATCAAATGGATTTTAAAATATCAAATGTGTATCTACATGTTCCATCATTTTTCCATGGGATTACAATGTTGATATGTTTATTCAATTGATATCTACTGGTATAATAAGAATATATAAGAATCACTAGTTGACCACTGAACTATTTTCAAATCTCACCAGGCCGTTTATTTATACCTGGGGGCCTCATCGAACTCTGATGAAGCCCGGATGAACATAAAGACGACCTCACCATAAATGGAACTAGCCAAATTTATCTGATTTTATATTTGTGAATCATTCTGATGGAGCCAGATTTATTGTTTCCATTGAACTATTTAATTATTCATATCTCATTACATCTCATCCTTACCCCAAGTTAAGTTGCGTACAATCCCCAGTATATTACCATACGAAATGTAAGTACCACCCATATCTCCGTTATAATTCCTATTGGTTGATGGTTAAATCACATCAAATCCACATCTTTGAAAAATGCTTCAACTTTGGTTTGAAAGTTAAAACTTTCAGAATCCCCATTATAATCATTATATATAATAGTTAAGTATATCATTATATCCTTGTATTTATGATATATCCATTCAGTTTTAAGGTCAAGTCCCACGTTGTTTGGACCGTTTTTACATGGTGTGTGACTCTCTGAAAAACCTGCCAGGCCGACTTAGACTCGGTCTTCGTGCCCAACAGGCTGCTGCACTATGTGCAAGTCACTGGGACAGTCAGAGAAGTGGGGGTTTTAACTGTTCGGAGTCAGAAGTAATGGTTAATAGATGGTAAATATTTGGTAAATATGGTTAATAATGGTTCAGAATGGTAAAACAATGCCATTTTTACAACCATCCCTAACAAGCCATCGCCATAAATTCATAGGTAAGGTATAGACCAACTTACCATTCCCAGTCGTGGGTGGTATAAACCAATTGTTTTAGCCACATTTTATGATGACTGATGATCATGGGTAGTGGATTACAATGGATTAGAATGGATTAGAATGGTAAATTGATAATGGATTATACTAGCGGATGAATAATGGAAAAATAATCCTGTGAACAATGGATGAATAAGTTGTGATTATAATGAATGAGACTGGGCCCGTCTTATTCTATCGTCAATGTGCTATCACACTAATTAGTTTCTTTATACAGCATTAATTTCTGTCAATTTTAGTCACGAGGGATTTCTTTATAGTGGACCCTAAGTTTCATTAGAATGGTTTAAGGGAAAACTTACAGGAAAACCTGTAGGGACAGTATTTGATGGGGACCAGTCAGTTTTCTGTAGATTTTCCGCAGTGAAAGTTATCATCCAGGTTTTCGTCATTGTTCAATAGCAAACAACATGGAAAATGGCCCCTCCCAGTTGGTCCTGTGCCATGGGTCTGGGGTGGGTTCGCCAATATTTGTAAGAAACCCTTCAATTGTTGCTATTTAAGGGCCCACCAATAAACTATCATCGAATTTACTACTTTACCAAGTTCTGTTTGTCAATGATTGCTTTCAGATATCAAAAAAAGAACAAGAAACATCACCATAGTTTACCCAAACAAATGCCTATCAATTTTATCAATTTTGCCAGTAAAAATCACATGTGTTTCAAATCTCATTCTAGGTTTCTGAAAGATGGCTGTGTTTGAAAATGGGGTATAGCCGGTATAGCCCCAAATAAGGACCAGCATGTTTAAACTGCTGGATATACCATATTTCTTAGTTAAATGCGATCCTCCATCCTGATTATCACCTAAACTGCCAGCAGAAATATGGGATCTTATTGGATATGACCATAGATATGTCTTTTTTTGGGGGGGGATGGTGTTCATTCCAGGTGGGTTTTTTGAGGTGACCCTGACAGACCCTGACTCAGCCAGCTTGGCTGAGGACCCGTGGATTCAAAACCATGCCCAGGAGGGCAATGGGCTCTGGTTGAACAACTGCTGGCGCGGCTTGTTCCTTGGCTCCGGGCGACTGAGTGGTGGGGAGATTTTGCTGATTTTTGCTGGTTTTTTTGACTAGAAAAATACCCATATGCGAACCATGGGGCTGGAATATTTACCAACATTTACACCATGGCCCAGTTATGTAGGTAAATATACTACTATACATGGAGCATATGGGATATGATTGTATTCTAATCCGTTACTCCCGGTCATATTAGTTGCACTTTCTCGGAAACCATGGTAAAACAAAGGGGCTGAAGCACAGTTGATCCATGAAACTGGGGAAACATACATTGGTAACCATGAAAGATTAGGATTTCATGGTTTCACCAACAACAACGGTGGTTTCTGAAACTCGTGGACATATATGACCATAAGTGCGAATATTTTTCGAGACCTATGGCGAAGCCTTGAAATGAATAGGAACCAAAGACTTCGAACTCCAGTTTTTGAGGGTATTTCACATGGGCCAATTTGGCGTCGATGGATGCGGTTGATGCGGCTGCAGCGGTGGTGCCCCCAAGTGACATGTTCCTTGGTTTACCACTAGCCATGATTTACTGTCTAGAGGACATCCATTGCCATGTTCACCAAGACCTGAAAACTACTTCGAGGAAGACATCTACCTTTTCAATCCAACCGTCAACCAATCGTGAAATAAAGCTACTGAAAGCTATCGTTCGGGGGGGCCACTTTGTATGACAGGGGGGTCATAGTACCTAGCTCATCATCACTGGCACCGCCATCATCACTGGCACCGTCATCATCACCACAAACAACATAATGACCACCATAATAACAATACTAGGAGTAGCATCCATCATTATTGTTATCGTTATCGATATCGATATCGATATCGTTATCGTTATCGTTATCGTGACCATCATCATCATCATCATCATCACCATCATCACCATCACCATCACCATCACCATCACCATCATCATCATCGTCACCATCATCACCATCACCACCATCATTACCATCATCACCATCATCACCATCATCACCATCAGCACCAGCACCACCACCATCAGCACCAGCACCAGCAGCACCACCAGCAGCACCACCAGCAGCAGCAGCAGCAGCACCACCACCACCACCACCCATCAATAAATTATAGATACATGAGATTACGGGGGTATATGAACCATATGTTCTACTAATCACTAGTCACAATAGTATACTATATATATCAAACATGTGTACAACCATATGTAGCATAGCATATTTACTACTCATGCATATAATATTATGAACATATATATATATATATGTAATATACACGTATTATTAATTATGTACCGTAGCATATATATATAACCACACAATTAATGACAATGATGATTAGTACAATTAATGAGGTATATATCAGTTCTTTACCACTAATAACCACTAATCTGCTTGGTGGTTTGGAACATGACTTTTATTGTCCATTTCATATAATATATGGGATGTCATCCTTCCCATTGACTTCCATATTTTTCAAGATGATTAAAACCACCAACCAGGTTATTTACCATCATTAACCATATAATAACCATCATCATTAACCACATATTAACAGTATATTAACCACATATTAACCATCAAATGGTGGGATTTTCCATAGGTAACCTCTGGCTATTACCTAATAACCACTAATAACCACGAATAACCACGAATAACCACTAGTACCCACTAATAACCACGAATAGACTGCCTTCGTCTCGATCTCCTCTTCTCACCTTTGAGGCATGGGCCTATCGAAGTGCTGTCACGCCAAGCCATGCAGGTCGCCCCGAGCTTCGGTTCGCGGAAAAACCTGGGATTTACCATGGGAAAATGGTGATTTACCCTCTGGTAATTTAACGTAGCTATGGAAAATCACCATTTTTAAGGGGAAAACTCACTATAAATGGTGATTTTCCATAGTTATGTTAAATTACCAGAGGGTAATGGTGCTGACAATGGGATCTGATTGGTGATTTCATAGTTTTCATAGTGATGGTTTCTGTAGAGGTTAATTGATTGGCTATAAACCAGCAACAGGAATACGATGGTGATCTAGTGCTTTGAAACATGACTGGATTATGACTTTCCATTCAGTTGGGAATGGAATGTCATCATCCCAACTGACTTTCACTCATATATTTTTCAGAGGGGTTAGTTGAAACCACCAAACAGTAAAAATCTAAAAGCATCTAGAGCAGCGGCTTAGATATCTTGAGATTTTGAGAATCAAAATGTCCAAAGATCCAAGACAGATCCGGACTTCTAAGAAATTCTATGAGATGGCTGGCATTTCCCCAGCATGTCCCCCACCCCAATGGACCAAATAGAATGGCGAATTCACCAAGCATCCAGTGGCACGTCTGGATGATGGGGAAAAATATCCACATATTAATGGCATCACATATTAATGGCATGATGTTAGTTATCACCAAGATAATAATGGTTAAACGTGAATCATACTCGATATTACTGGGCTAATGATATGAATCATGAATGTCAAGAATTGAAAATATTGGTTCATAATGAGATTACTTGGAAATATAAATTCATGGGCAAACACAGGGCTTAGCGTTTTGGGCGAATCAAATCACCATTTGTGATTTGGGGGTTACCTTTGGGGGGTTGAACCCCTGTCAAAGGAAGGAACAGTTAATCTATGGTTAATATCTGGTTAATCTATGGTTAATCAGTTTTAATAGTGGTTAATAGTGGTTAATAGTGGTTACCCTTTGGTTATTTAACCTAGCCATGGAAGCCATGGCCCACAGAAATAGATGTTTAACTTGATGATTACCTATGAAACATTGTGATTTTGGTTAAATGACCAGAGGGTATCCTACTATTTGCTGCCATGGATGCCAATCAGTGCATATATATATACAATGGAGCACCCCCCAGTTACCAGTTGGTTTATAATTTTTAAGCCCCAGTAACTAGTTCGTTATAAATACCATAAACCATAGTTATTGGAGTTCTGTTCACCAACTGAACGCTATCGAACGGGGGCCTTGCATTGTAAGTAAAACAGTTGATTCGTACGTCCTCACTGATCCACCTTGATCCCAAAATTGGAGGTTTTCCGTTGGCAGGGCACGGGTCAAGATGAAAATATCATGGGTTTTTAAAAAGTAAATATGGTTTCCCATATCTAAAGGCAAACACATCTCCCATTTTTTGGACTTGCGGTTCTCATTTTCAGTATTTGCGCATTTGATGTTTAATTATGTGTTTGATGATTGAAGTTTCATGTGAGTTGCCTAAATTCCCTGTTGATGGGTTAAATTACATTTTGCTAGGTATCTCGCATATTTCTCTAAGGCGGTGCACCCCAGTTTTGTTATGTAACCCAAGAACATCCATCTATAGATCTATTTGCCACAATCCATAATTAAGCCAGTGAAAAAAAAAAACACAAATTGGCTGTTATGAACTATAAAACTAGGTTAAATCTAGGGCTCCCCATTTTGAATCTAGGACTCCCCATGTTTTTGGTTAAATCTGGCGGGCTCCCCATGGCCAGATCTACAACAACCGATGGCTGCAATGCGAAGCGGTGGCAGAAGCCAAACCCCAAGAGGCATGGCAGCGATGTCTGAAGATGTGGGATACCTCCCAAATAGCATAATATCCATGGAATATATCATACTAAATGATTTCTGAGGTATCCCAGAAATATATCATTCAATATATCATAATATATCATTCCCTATCGCATAGGATCCATGGTGCTGGTATATATGCTAACATAAAGGGGGTATATTGATGGGATCCATGTTACCATATATAGCATACATGGATCCTATGGGTATGGATCCAGACGTACCTTCAATATTATATCATTCCCTATGGATCCAGACGTACCTTCTTAGAAAATCTAAGAAGTTCAATTATTTAGGCCATGATTTGCAGGGTGTCTTGTACCTTCTCAGGAGGTGTTCGGATCGGGATTTCATAGGGGAATGATGATCAACATTGTCTTGGGAAAATCAATAGGAAAACGGCTGCGTTTGACCAAAAAAAATCTGAGAAATGTGGGATTGTCTCAGGGATTTGCCTTTCCAATTTTGGGAGCGAAGAACGGTTAGGACATTTGCTGAACCGGGGCTTTTAGCTATCAATGTGGAGATGACGAGGGATGATAGCTAATCACATTTGAGTAGAAATGGGTTTGTCTGAAGGTAGTGTGCCCCAAAATTACTGGTGGGACTGGGATTAAGCAACTTCGAATCGCACAAAAACACATGGGGGTGTGATACAACATATGATTTGGGTGCACGACCAACAAAACTTGTCATCAGACGGGCTGGTGCTTTCTTCAAGAGTTCATTTATTCTGCATCCAACAAGCACACGATGATGCCGTAATTTGTCCGAGAACGTGTCTCAGCAGGTGGCCTTTACCACCCACCAGAAACCAAGTTGATGCGGAGATCAACCGAATCTCATGTGGAGGTGTCCAAAACTGGGGGTAATGTGGGTAAAACAATAACAAAAACTATCCCACAGTCATCGCCATGTTTATAGGTGGTATAAACTTACCATTCCCAGTCATTTTTGCGCTTTTGTTTGATGATTTACCCACATTACCCCCAGTTTTCATCCATTTGTCATAGGAAGTTTCATAAAGTTCGGGGAGCTGGCCGCAGGATGTGTACCTCCAAGAGTGCATGCAGACCTTGGGGATTTGGAAGTCAGACATGAAGCATCTCTTGGCCGAGGAGCGAGTTGAAAGCGTGCTTAGCTTCCAGTGATAGGGATCTGGACTGAGTATGACTATTCTATGACTATTCTATGACTATTCTATGACTATTCTATGACTATTCTATGACTATTCTATGACTATTCTATGACTATTCTATGACTATTCTCGCGTATGTTTAAACTATCTGGTTGGTGGTTTGGAATATTAGTTTTATTTTCCCCTTCCTAGTTGGGATGGTGATCCAATCTGACGAACTCCATCATTTTTCAGAGGGGTTGGTTGAAACCACCAACCAGATTATTATTAACTATCATTAACCATATATAATAACCATATATTAACCATATATTAACAGTATATTAACAGTATATTAACCATTATCAACCATTATTAACCATTGTCAACCATTATTAACAGTATATTAACCACCAACCAGCTATACTTCGAGTCTGATTTTCTTCTTTGAAGTTTGACGAGAGTTCCATCTGTGGTTTTTTGATTTTGATGACAAAAGAGTCCCCTGAAATTTGGGGGGAGAGACTGTACCTTTGAAGTAAGTGTTTGGAGTCGTAAGTCTCACTATCATATGAGGCTGTGTAATATACTGTTAATATATGGTTATTATATGGTTATTATATATGGTTCAATGCATGTTCAATGTATGAAAAATCAAAAATCAATCGATTTTGGGCTGGCCATGGCCTGATTTTCGAAGGGTTCTAGTTGGTCAGGTCACAAGCGATTTCTGGCCCCAAAGGATTTGTCGATTTTGGTGCAAATCCAGTGGTTTTTTTTGTGACTCGGGAAGCACTGGTGACATATTTTTTTTGGGATCATATGCCACGATATCCATAAAACAAAAAAAACAAAACAAAACACATATGGATATATAAAATCAAATAACATAAAATCATATAACATATTTTTATAACATCCATATCTCATCCACTAAATATTTCTGTGAATATCGCGTCCATATCCCAAAACAAATCTAGTGCCCTTCAGCACCCCCATTGATCCCTACCACTTGGACATTGGAGACGCCTGGTCAAGTCTCATCATGGAAGAAAACGGGCCATGGCTTCTACAGCTATCCACAGCTATATTAAGTAACCATATGGTATGATTTATACTGTGGATAGGAGAAATCCTGCAGCAGTTGATAGGTGGTGTATCCCATTATTTATTCCAAGGTGGTGCAGGATTTCTTCCATCCACCGTGTGTTACATTATTGTTGTTTGTTATTTTGACTTTGGAATGTGTTCATGGTTGTTGTAATTGTCATTATCAATGTTGTTATTACTGCTGTGATGTTGTGACTTTCATTCCTCTAGGGTAAACTAACACAGATGTCGGACATCAAACATGTGTATATCGATTAGTTCAACTACGGTTTCCCCATCTCACTATTTCTATGGTAATTTTCTATGTCGCTATGTAGAAAATTACCAGAGGGTAACATCTATTATAGGATTATACCACAAAACATCTACTATAGGATTATACCACAAAACATCTATTATAGGATTTTATCATATATTATTGGGTTCTCCCATCTAATTGCATTGTTTACCCTAGGGTAACTCTACTGCTTTACTGCTTTACCAGAACTGACCAGGAAATGACCAGGAACCGACGGCCATGTTTTGAGCGGCAGGACCATTGCGACCATCATGACTTCTGGAAATGCGAAGGGAACTTCGTGGCCTACCACCCCTTCAAGGCGACGAGACGTGAACTAAGTGCATTGGATGATGGGATGATTAGATCATAAAAAAATCTTTGGAACATGACTGGATTATGACTTTCCATATATTGGGAATTTCATAATCCTAACTGACGAATATAAGTAATTGTTATAGATACTCATAATATGGTGATAGTAATCATATAGGGAGCCCCGCACTTTTTTTTTACTGGTATGTTTTACTCAAATGAATTGGTAGTATCTATTATAAGAATAAACAGTTCTTACCACAATTTACTGTAATTTATTGTGATCTGCATTTATTATTGTATATTAATGTAAATCGTGGCTAAAACATGGACAAAGAAATCATCCCAAAACCATCCAACTTTTCAGGCAGTTTCTGGCGATGGGCTGCTCAGAGTTTCTACTGTAAATATATCTATTTTTATTTTTGAAAAAAAAAAACATCCATCAAAGTTTGGTGCCTATTTTCCCGACCATTGCTATACAGGGAGAATTACCCAATCCATTGGTCCTTTCGGAAAGATCAGGGTGGGTCCTTTCCATCCCGACTCGCTCTTCACCATGGAGTGTGTTCAGAGTCATTGAAGCGGCAAAATGGATGGTGTCATGTTGAAACCGATCAAAAAAGTCCGAGCGCATGAGTCTGACTATCGTATATACCAATTTTGAATCCTACCTTTGTTATGTTTGTCAACGTGTGGTCTTGGTTGAGTAAGATACATGTTTCTAGATACACCATGGTTGAATCATGCTTTCTCCCATTCCTTTTGTTGGTCAACAATCCATGTTTGGCTAAGGTATATATATATCCCAATTTAATGTAGGGATTCTGGTTGGGTTTCAAGGTGATACCATGATTAAACATGGTTTTTGGTAGATCCACCCTAGTCAAACATGTGTTTTTTGACATCTTCCATGGTGAAGTATGTTTTGTTTGTCATTTCATCATGTTTCATCATGGAAAAACCAAACAAAACAAGCAAAACATGGTTAAGTATTTATCATATTTCATCATGGCATGTTAAGTATTTCATGGTTTTTCCATGATTTTTCCATGATGAACCGCCTTTTTTCGCGTTTTTTGTCAACCGTAGATTCACCAGGAAGAGAAGAAATGGATGGAGTGCCGCAACAACTTGGGCGACGACTAGCGGACTTCGCTTCCAGTGGAGTTCCAGGGCGGTGGGGGATGGTGGGATGGATAGAAAATGATAGCCTGGTATATCATAACTGGTTGGTGGTTTCAAATATGACTTTTTTTCCATTTCATATATGGGATGTCATCCCAACCCCATTGACGAAGTCATATTTTTCAAGATGGTGAAAACCACCAACCAGCATGGTGCTGGAATATTTACCAAGATTTAGCCCATAAATCAGCCAGTTAGGTAAATACTATTCAAAACACCTGTTGGTTGATGATGAGTTCGGGGAAATGTCTATCACACCATGGGAATGAACCATGAAAGAGCAAGATAGACGAGCAAGTCAATTACTGACCATGGTGATAGGTTACTGTGTTGTTTTTTTGGGATATATATATATATATGTATATATATATATATGTATATGATATATATATATGTACATATATATAGCTTACTATGGTACGCTACTGTCAAAAAAAATGGTGCAGAGCGCTCCGAACTGTCGCTTTTCGGAAATGATCCCCAGCCGAACTGAGCAGCTGAGCAGAGCTGATCCGACGTACGTTTTCCATCCCCGTGATGGGTTGAGCTACTGTTTATAGGCAAGGCAAAGGTGCTGAGAAATAGGAGATGTGCTTGAACCAACGGTTGGGAAATGATGAAACATGATGAGACATGTGATGTGTTCATGTGGGACATGATTTTTCAATGGTTTGGGAAGCTGCAAACTGGGAAGCCAAACTGGTGCATTGTTTGGGAAACCTTGGACAAGTTTCTTCACATGACCACAGCCATCATTGCAGATTCGATGGACATTGTGATTTTTCCCAATCTTCAATCTGCAATGATCATGTTGATGATTTATCAACATGTAAACAGACAGTGTTTTTTTAAACCATATCCCATGAAATCTGCATTAAATCACATTTTTTCTGCTGGTTAAAACACCATGTTGTTGGGTTTCCATGTAACAGATAGCCAACTTTTCTCCAACATTTTGAGGTTTTCCTTAGCCAACATCGGCAACATCTCCGTCCATGTTGGTCGCTTACCTGGCCATCCCATGGTTTCAAAGCCAAGCTGTTTTCTATCTAATTTGCCACCAACAATGATCGTTTAAATATGGACTACACTTGTAAGCACTTAAACAAAAAAAACACTTGAAGTAGGGATTGAAATCTTACCCATGAAAGTGTCCCAAGTTCCTGCTGCTCAGTACATCCTGGATGTATGTCTGGATGACATATATTTATGTTATTCCGTTATAGGCATTCCCAGGTGTATGTGGGTATAGAAACTCTCTGTTCGATGCTTGATGATCCATTGAAATCTTTGTTAATTCTGGATGTTTCATGGTTTACTCATTGTTTTTCCAGGCTTAAATTCCATATCGGTGGTGATTTTGGTCTCATATGTTTGTTGACAAATCCCGAGATTGATTGTGATTAAGTGTTAAACTTCGGTTAAACCATGTTAAATCCCAAAATCTATGGATGAAGGGTTCAATCCCCATGTTTCGATGATTTTTGGGTGACTCCGCACGAAGTCCCCACGGTATTTCGCATCACCGGCCTTGCATAACACACACGCCGTGAACCGACGCCGGCCAAGCCGCGGCAATGCGCGGTCACGCTCGAGGAGCTCGGCAGAGGAGCTAGAAACATCTAGAAAAATCTATCTACCGGAAGCAGTAGTGAACCTAGCCTTGAACCAGACTTTTGGACCCTTTTTTTGGGGGATGCACCAAGTCACCCATGGTTGGTCAATGCCAATCTACACGAACTCTTTCTCTAACTCATTCGAAACCATGTTGATGCCGTGAAAAAAGACACATGTTTAATAGCCTCTGGTTATTTTTCAGCAAAGCCACCCGATTTTATAGATGATTGAAGATATCAAATGATGCTTTACCTATAGAAAATGCTGATTTCCATGGCACCCGTATGGCACTGGTTGGTCCTTGCCATGATTTCGATGCTCCTGCCACCTTATCCTCCACTTCTAGGTAGCCATCTCCCACCAGTGGCGCCACACCTGTCGTTTCTGCCAGAGCCTGGCAGCCATATTAGTCGTTTATTCATTGTTTTTATAGGAGTGATCATCCCCAATGTATTGGATACTATAAGCCCAGTTAATTAACATCAGTTAACTATATGGGGATATGAAAAGAACGTCCTATAATATTGTAACACTATATATTGGTAACTATATTGTTGTTAACTCCTGGTTAACAACATAACCAGGAGTTTTGGTGCTCAACTCCTGTGATTTCGGAAATGAATCGGGGCAACATTGAGAGCACTGGTCGTCGCTGTTGTTGTTTCCATGGGAATTTCCTAGAAAAACATAAGGAATTTGAATGATTTTAAATACCTGAATGGAGCTCTTATAAACCTCTAGAAATTGATGGTTTTTCAGAAATAAAATTTCCATGGTAAACCATCAATTACCTGGAAATAACTTAGAATGCGGGTTCTGCTGTTTTTCGTTTGACACCTTTGATTGCGGGATAGTTTTTGTTAAGAACGCGTTGCTGATTGTTGAAGATTTTGATACGGTATATGAACCATGACGGTTCTGGTACCAAGATACTGTGACAAACATGGCTGCTTCACAGTCATGAACTAATGTTTCTTCTTGATGATGGTAACGAAGGCAAACCCAACACCCCATTCAACAATCGCCAAAATTACCATGGGTTGTACTAATCCTCCTTGGTAGGTTTATGGATGTTGATGGCAGTCTCCCGAACTTCCAGATCATTCAGAAGATGGTGAGATTTGGAATACCCAAAGATATGGCATTGGAGATTGATCATTGTTTTCAGAGATGGAAGCGGAAAAAATCATTGACAACCCAATGTCTATGGTTACTTCAATGAGAATTTTAGGACCCTACTAAAATAGGCCTTACCTAGGCCTTAGATATGGAAAGGTCATAGACCATCCAATGTTTATGGCATCCCCAACCTTGGATGGGTAGAAACTAATCCTTTAGTGCTTTGCTATACACTCTGGCTATGACTAACAGTTCGCCATGGTATAGATGGCCCATCGAAACAGATGAATTTCCCAGCGGTCGAATCCTCTATTTATTTTGGGGATTTTCCATGGCGAGCTGTTCAATAACCAGATGGTAAATGGAAAACGATCATAACCAGAAAGATGACATTTCTGTGTGGATTATCACAGATTAAGATGATTTTTGCCATTGATTTTTTTTGCCATTGGTGGTGAGACGTGGCGCTTGCGACAATTCCATGCACCCCATACACCTGGCAATGCCACGTGTTTTTGTTGATTGAGTCGCTGCTATCATCGGTGTGGAGAATTGGATACCAGGTAAACTCGCAGAAATTGGTCATGTCAGAGAATATTCATGCAATAAATGATGCCTAAATGGGCCTTATGTTCCTAAACATCTGTGACGACGTCAAAGCACCCGAGGGTATACAGAATGCTACATGTGGGTTTTCTGGGCATGAGCAGAAATCCTGCACCATTTAGTAGATGGTCCCATTGCAATCCCATTAATTTACGGTGTTTTTATAGTTCCGAATAGTTACCAACTGCTGATTCGGATTTCGCAACCATCCACAGTAGTGCTCAACTTCCCCCTAGTCAACTCCCTGGCGATTGAACTTGTGAAGGTGCCGCCTCAGTTAAACGTTTGCATATCTAATTTTGCTATATGGGGCTTTCCATAAATGGTGGTACCCCAATAGCTGGATGGTTTACAATGGAAAATCCCAATCTAAAATTGATGATTGAGGGGTACCCCCATTTTAGGAAAGGTTCATATGTTTTGGGAGGTGATAGATTGGACCCCACTCTATCCCCAATAGATTGCCTTCCCATCTCTCATGTTCACTCCATTATATATATTGAACTAGTTCGATATATATATATATATCTATATCTACCATGAAACATAGCCGAATTAAACATGAACTGCTTGGAAAGTGTATACAGTTGGCAACACATAGTATTTACAGCAGATAATTCTCTATTGTCCTTGCAAAAGTTGAAAAAGAACTTGAACTTTTGGAAGCGGCACACCCCATGTCCCATTCATGTCCCACAAAAATATCTCTTGGCCCTCTTGGCTGCAGAACATATAGATAAATGATTAAGAGTAAATTAGGTTTTGGCCTCCTATATTAAGATTCGTGTATATTTTATATGATTGGGGCCGGCCACTCGAAAATCTATGATTTTGGGCCAGTTACCTTGGACTAAGATAACTGGCCCGTTCCAAAAACGGCACGGCGACTCCGCAATTGGCAAACTGGCGAGGATGGGTCACCTATGGGACTTTGGCAATAATCGATGGTTATCGCTTAAAATATGTGTTTGTGGCATCGTACAATGACAACTTTGATATAAATTTGCGGGGTTCAAGAAAAATGAGCCACGATTTTAAGGATCATACATGTTTGAACCTCAGTATGTCAGTATGATCGTTTCTGAAAGTAGTGGTTTTAAATATCAAAACGGGAAGACTGGAAAAATCCTCAGTCCCGAGCTGTCCGGAGTTTCGGTGGTTTTGCCAAACAAAAGCCTTGCCACTAAGTGGCAGAAAATGTTCATCCTGCTGGATTTTACCACAAAAAAAGAGTGTGTCTGAAAATAGGCGACCCCAAAAAAACGTGGGTGGTGTTTCTCATGAATTCCGAAAAAATAACCTTGTGATTTGGAGGGTTTTTTGCTGCATATAAGCCATTTTCAGACAGATCCATACAGTTTTGATACAGTTATTGTAGCCTTAGCAGTTGTAAGTTATGTATATATATACATTTGGCTCAAAAAACTCATTAAGTGATATGTATCACGAAAGGTTGCAGGAGTTATTTCATCCCATGGCCACAACTGGTTTAATAGGCCATGGTAATATATTTGCTGAGGCAATTACCTTCAGATTTCAAATGATTTCCAAGATAGTGAAAGCTGTATTCTGAAAGATGGTCAAATATCATTGTTAATAGCTGTTTATGAACCCTTCTTTATAAAGCCTACTTGATGTTTGTGAAGCCGTGATAAAATGTTTCTAACCTCGGCGTGTTGTGAACACTCTATGCGCGTGCTAGAATCAGAATTTGATGTATGAATCTTGTCGGTTCAATATAAGTTCATCCTTCAGTAGATTGAGATCGATATGGAAAATAGGTATTCCATGATTTTTTTATCATATTTTATCATAAAATCAACGGAATAAAAATGCCATAAAAATCCCATTAAAAATATGATAAATGGGGCAATGTTCAATCTGCCAACAAGTCACTCATAGATCGCCCATGGGAGTCCCATTGGTTTTCCAGCCATCTCCGCGACGATATTCGGCCATCCCTTGCCCGATTGCCGTTGATCTTTAGTTTCTGTCCCGATTGGGGGCGCGGATGGCAACCTTTGGGCTGAGAAGATTGAGAAAAGTGGTGTAATAGCAGATAAACAAATGTTTTTAATGTATACATATATATTTATATATAATGATATTTGTTTATATATATGTATATAATATAATGATATATAAATAATGATATATATATATAATTATATTTTTATAATATAATGATATATATATATATATAATATAATTATATATTTCATATTATGATATATATATATATATGATATAATTATATATTTATATAATATAATTATATTTATATAATATAATGATATATATATATATAATGATTTATATATATAATGGGATATATATATACATTTAATTATATATATAACGATACTAGATATTATTGGATATCATGTATCTATGTGGAAGCGGCTCCAAATTTAAGGTCCGATCAAGAGTTGGAAAACCATAGGCGAACCATTCCCCCGATCCACATCAAAACGCAGATCCATAGGTATCCATCACCGCGGAACGATCCATATCTGTTTTGGAGCGACAGCCATGCAGATACAGAAAGACAAAGACTGTTTAGATATAGAGATGGAGGTAGGGACAGAGATAAAAGTAGAAACATATAGGTTATATATTATACAATATTCTTGAAGACACGACACTATGATATGATTCAGTTTAATTCAAGATGATATAACACGGTATGAGAGAAGTAAGGTCGGAAAAGCTAAGCGAAGCCAAGCTAAGTTTTGGATAGAAATACAGAAAATTAGATAAATCGATGTTTATATGTATAAATACATATGTAGATAGGTAGATAAGAAAGAACAAAAGAAAGAAATAAAGAAAGAAAGAAACACACAATTTAATAGATAGATAGATAGATAGATAGATAGATAGATACGTATTTGCATATGCATCGTATATGTATACTGTACACGTGTATATATTGCTATATTCGTTTATACTTAATTATACCTAATACTTGTGCATGTGTGCATACTTGTATATTTGTATATACTCGTACATTTGCAAATGCATTTGGACTTGTATATGTTTTTGTACATGTCAATGTCTCTGTTTATGTCTATATACATGTATATACATATGTATACATCCTTTAATGTATGATATATTCAGATAGCATATTCATACATACATAATATATATACATATATATATACATGTAGAACTGAAAGACCTTCTAGAGTTGTATCTTTTCATTCATTCACATTAGGTTTGTGACATGGTGTTTCTGCAGTGGGAGATATCAAAAGTACTGGATTTCAAAAGATCTTTTCAAATCACCGCGGAGTAAGCCCTGATTATGCGCCGTTGCTCCTAGATACTTCCAGTTAGACCATGGTTTGCCATCCATCCCCGACCGGCGGTGACCACATTCCTCCAGGGAATTGAAACAATCATGGCGCGGCCCCAACTTGCGGTTGTTTATTGTTTCACCAGCTTAGTGGGTATGGTCTAGTTTTGATGAGTTTGTTGACATATTGACACAAGTCATGTCCGTATTGCTCGTGTTTGTAGTTTGATGAAATTATGATCTTCGATGTTGGAATCCTCTCGACTGTTCCATCGTATCTCATGATTATATTAATGGTTGCTTTTGCCATCATGTTATAGTTGCTTCAATCCACATGTTGGTTGTGTAAACCTGAAATGTTGGTTGCTTGTAACCATGTTGAAACAATGTTTCAAATTGATTATGTTGGTTAAATTCCCCATGTTTGGTACATTTTGTTGGTTTTGTTGTTGTTGCTGCTTCTGTTGTTGCTGTTGTTGTTTTTGTTGTTGTCGTTGTTGTTGTTGATGCTGCTCCTGATCTTATGTTTGTCCTCCTCCTCATCATCATCATCAATCTGAGCCCTTCTCCCGTGTTACCCCCATGCCATTTGTTTTTTGATTACCCCCTTGTGTTGGTATGATATCATTAGGATATTGCAACGGTTGTTGCTCAAATCCCAGTGTCGTTGATCTAATCTCCATGTTGTGTTTGTTGGTTCAATCTCATGTTTGACTGATTAAGTCCCATATGTATAATATATATATATATATATATTTATATATACATTGTTATATGTATATATCAATATATTATACATGTATACATGGCTCTATATATATATATATATATATATATATTTGTATTATATATATATGTATACATGGCTATATATATATAATCTATGTAATCCTATACATCCCCATGTGTCCTTATTGTTTAACGGGACGTTGCTGGCAGCCGTCGCCGCTGCTAGACGCCAGGTCGCAGAGAATCTATGAGACTATTGACAAACGCTCCAAGAAAGCACAGGTGCACTTTGGGGTGAAAGTGCAAGGTGGTACCAGCCAGTTATGATGTTTTTTGTTTTGTCAGCTTCATAATTGTTTATATGGTTTACCAAACGTATATATATATATATTGTGTCCTCTCAGTTATGAGTGGGTCTATTTTTTAAAACATCTAGATTTATGATATGTATATATATATATGATATATCTGTGATTTGCTATCTATATATATATATGTATTTAAAACTATATATATATAATATATATATATATATATATATACATATATATGATCAACTGTAGTTCTTGCTCTGAAACAACGGTAACAAACTGGGGCACCACCTTCGGTGGCACTGTCTTGGCAGGAGATGATCGCACGCGCGGCTGTAGAAGAAGTGCCACTTATCACTTGAGTTGTGGACGGCTCGTTCTTTGGGATTGTACCGTTCCAAAGTTGTGATTTTACATGATTTTACTAAGGGACATGGGTAATTACTTAACCAACAATCATAGGAAATTCATAGGAATACTTTATGGGGTATTCAGCTAGCAATCATAGGGATATCTTATGGTATATATATACACACATCCAAGGTATCAAACAACTAATGTTGGCAAGAAACATGTGGATGTTTTGACCAAAACTCCGCAATACCGGCAATACCCGTGATCACATAAGGAGGATGCCAAAAATTCACTGCGGATTTTGACCAACACAATGCTAAATTTTCAAATGTTTTGAACATCTTTGAACATAACTTGCTCCAAGTCCCTCCAAGTCCCTTGACCCTCTAATTTTGGGAATCCAGACAATAGACCCTCAGCCGTGGCAATGGTTGTATGCTATGTGGGTCTGTTGGATCTGTTGGATCGTTAGTTCCCGAGGATGGGCAGCCTGGCTGCAACCAGTATTTGGACGACCAACGAACATGTCACTAGATGTGAACGCGGCAGAAAAGTGACTCTTAATTTTATAAGGTTACCAGTGTTTTTTTCCAGTGTCTTTTTCACATCTGGTTGGTGGTTTCAAACGTTTTTTGTTTTCCATAATATACGGGATAATCATCATCCCAACTGACGAACTCATATTTCTCAGAGGGGTTGTTTAACCACCAACCAGACATGATTTCTTCAGGTATGTCATGGTATGCCGGTATGTTGCTGAGAGTGCAATCTTTGTCCAATGGACTGGGCAATCTCCCACGGAGCCATCTTTTCGGCATTTTTCAGGTTCCAAGATCCGTAATGCCAAGCAACCAGCAGATCCCTCCGGTGGAGTTCTTTCATGGAAAGGGATGAAAAAAGGCTACAACGCCTTCAGTATATTGTCGTATATCCATGGAAAAAAATATTTGAAGATCGGTTTCCTTTGTTGTGGTTTTCCTTGGATCAATGTGTATTACCAAATCAGAGTTTCAATCTGATTACATGACCATGTTAGAAACCAGTTCACCGCATATTTATTCGGGTCGATTGGGTCGATCAGGATTCATGGTGGATCTCCATCATGTCACAATAGAACTCTTGATGTCCTCATTATATCCCTATGATATTCCATGTCTGGTTTATCAAGATCCAAACCCTAGATTTAAAAAATAACAGTCAAGTTCATGATGTCCCCATTACCCTTCATTACTCACCAGTTAAAGAAAATAAAACCTAGCTATGGAAATCCCACCATGAATGTAGAACATGTCCTTGGGTTTCCTTGGGTTTCCCCACGTTTACCAAAGAAAAAACCTCACCAAAGAAAAGAAAAAGAAGAAAAAAAACATACCAATCTTCCCATCATATCCCCACGTTTATCTCAGGAAAAACCTCACCAAAGACATGCAAGACGTCTTTGAAGTTCAAGACATCAAGGTGGCAAAAAAGCCTTCCGAAATGGTGATGGAAGAAATGGAATAAACGGACAGCTGATGTTTTGTTCACACAGCACCTATTACTATACAAAGCGACAGATTTTATAAAGATACAAACTTACCAACTAGAAAACATACTCATATATAGATATATTATATATATATAATTTCAGAATGGTTTATAAAATCACCATATTGCCATATTGCCAGAGACCTTGTTGGGATGGCCCGTAGAATTTCTGTAGAATGGATACTGGCTACATCTGGGTGGTTTATAAACACATGATAACGCACGACAAAAACACATCAAAATGGAGTGTACATATATTTATATACTGTATATATATATATATATATGTTCCTAAAATAGGCGATACATGATACATGACGTTAGGTGACCCAACTTATTTATTTTAAATACAATTGAGGTATACTGTATACCCAATAGTCACAGTCCTATCCTTCCAACATTTAATCCCCCAATCACGGACCCGAACATGAGTAGGATAAAGAAATCAAAGCCAAAGCCAAATTTCGGATACTGAAGTAGGGGAATCATATCCATAGTTTTGGGGTGTAGTTGGGGTGACAAAAATGTGTATAAGTGATACGTATGCGATTTTAACCTCCATAAGTTGGGATATGGGACCCCTACAACTATGGTGAACTATCACCCACTTATTATGGTTCCACTGCGCCTCCAAGTATGGTTGGACAATGTTGGACAAATGGTTAATAGTTATTTCAGGTGAGTGACATAATATAATTTAACATGTACAACCCCACTGATATACTTGTACTCTAATTAACCGCAATATACATATTTAGACAAATATAATCAATACAATTATCCATGACATAATTTACCCAGATACACCCCACTCAGTGATGATCTTTGTTATCACCGCGCAGGGACAGATCTTCAAGAGCTTGGGGGAGGCGGCCCCAAGAGAGTGGATGATTCAACTCGCAAAAATGCGGATTTAGATGATTATTTAATATATATATATATATATACACATACATATATATATATATATATATATCAGCGTTTATCACAGTCTATCACATATTTTGGGATATATTTCAACATGTTGATGACTTATACACTCTTATAATAGTAAATAATATCAATTCATATTCAGAAAACAAACAATATATATATATAATTACCCATGCTAGTATGTGTTTCGAAGTGCGATGTTAATAAGTTAATGACTAGTATCATCTTTTATTTTCAATTGTGGGCATATTCAAACATGTATGAAAATGTCAAACAAATGGATTTGATATGGATTATATAATTGTCAAACAGAGTAATATGGAGATCCAACCTAATAACCCAATGAAACACCATGGAACTCATTCAGGGTATGCAAATCCTGGTCATTCATTTGGTGAATTCTTCCCCAATACCAGGCAAAAAGCCATCTTGAGCCAACAGCTGCAGGATGGAATCGACTTTCGTGGGATTTTTTGATCGTTTTTGATATGGGCAATGATGACTAGCCTCGCCAGTAATAAAGGTAACCCCGTTCACCACTTCCTGGAGGGGAAATTATCGGATTTTCTTTCTTCGCGAGCTATGGAATCCGAATTGGATGACTGGATGACTGAAAAAGGCGAAAAAGGTAGACATTTAATAATCATTCAATTCAAACGTGGCACTTGGTTCATATCACATATATATATATATAAGATATTTTATATATAAGATAAGATATATATATAATATATATATATATATATATAACTTATATACATATATACACATTGTTTTTAAATGTATATACACACTGTTGGTGGTTGCGGAAATCAGTTGGTGGTTTCTCCAGCCAAGGCGAGCTTTTTTCAACGATATCTTTATCACCGATCCAAGGTGCAGGATTTCGCAACCATCCGCAGTATGTATACTACTTGGTGGCTCATCCCACTTAGTAAGTGGGTTATAACCCCAGTTATAAATGGGATAAGTAGGGTTAATCCACTTTTAACTGGGGTCATGACCCACTTACTAAGTGGGATGAGCCACCAAGTATGCTTTGAAGACCAACGCTTACTGCTTCAATAACGGTTCATCTAGATGTGTGTATATCACGATCGTGGAAACTAGATCTGGGTATACATAGTATGGATCTAATGATGTATTATTCATCTTTTGAAACTCAATAGTCAAATTGAGTGTTTATGTATCTTGGATGATGTATCAATATACTACTCCAAAGCAACATGACATAGGTATGTATATATATATACACCAAACTACATGTATATTCCTCATATATATATAAATGGTCTAGCTGTGGTGGTTTCAGTTCCACCAGCTCCATCATTGACAACTTGCCGCCCAGATCGACACCCCATCCTTGGCCACCATCATTGTAGCTGGGCAAATGGTGAAAATGTTTGGAGATTTTGGAGATAAGATTTTGGCTCCAAGATAAGGCTTTGTAACTTTGTGCCTTGTTAAACCCAACGAAACTAGATGTTGGCTATTTCATGTTGGTAAATAAAGCAATGTTTCCTAGCTGAATTCTCATCGTCATCCCCATTCTACAAGGTGGGCAATAAGAAAGAATTGCGATTTTGTTGGTGAGCACAACTAAGTGAACAATAGTAATATCTAGTAGGTTCTAGTAGATATATTATCTACTGAATCTACTAAGTTGATAGATATATCGACTTGATATATGTATATATATATATATGTATAGATATATATCGAACTATTTATGGTCGTTCTTATCGATTGGACAGTAGACAATGTATAGAAGATAGAGTCATATCTTTATTGAACACTTTTTTTTAAATCAGCAATACATCCTTCGTATACTGAAAACACTTTTGCCACTAGAGGGACCAGCTTCCAGTTGTGGCCGTGGGATGCCATAGGGCTTTCGTCATGGCGGTAGCCCAATAGATTTATCGCTGGATGGTGACTTGTTCCATGGGAAAATCACCACAAAACGAGGGAAAATCATGGAAAATCTCAAGAAACGTATTGGAAACCTTTGGGGGTACCCCCATTTCAGGAAATCTCCAAATGATCCATCATTCAATTTGGAGAAAATCATGGTTTTCCGGCATTCACATTTACAGGACACCATCATCGCGTAATTCACTGAGTTCCCAAATCGTAAAGATCGTCAACATCCACTACTTCTATCTAATGGCTTACAATGGGGTGGTCAGGTGTAAAGCTGTGTATATATATATATAGTATAGACAACAATTTAAGCGTGCAATCGTCTTTTGTCCCTGGAGGATTCTGCCCTGGTTCCAAGAGGCACTGTAGCATATGGCGACAAGAGCTGGACTCTTCACTGCCGAGGAAATTGAAAAGTTGGAAAATATGTATATATACATATAACGTCCATATTTTATACAGAAAACCACCGACACAAAAATTAGCAGTATCAGCTTAGGATAGTAATTGGCTTGAATGCCATGTGTTGGGATGTTTCTCAATATTGTACTGCTATAGACTCTAGACTATAGACTGGTAATTCCATATCTCCCAAGTCCCCCAAGCAAATCCCCGACAATGACTGATGAAGTTTTTAATGTACTTATTATATGTTATGATCACAATTGTAAGTCTTAGTCTAATCTCCTGTTTGTTGGTGTTATCCCAAGTTTCCCGTGTTTCACTTTTTTTTTAATGTCAATATGTTAAGGTCAACTCCATTAAGATCTGATAATTAATCCGATTCTACCATATCTGTCCGGAAATTCCACATTGAGTATCCATCAAAAATAATACAAAATATATTCTGAACACATATATATTTCACATATTTATCAACTATATCATATTAATTCATACTATGTCTCTTTTATATGAATATGTATTCATATTATACATATACCCTCTGGTTATTTAACATAGCCATAGAAAATGGCTCATTTATAGATGATTTTCCCAGCTAGATACCTCCATTTATAAGGGATTTTCCAAGGCTATGTTAAATAACCAAAGGGTATATATATATACATACTTGGTGGCTCATCCCACTTAGTAAGTGGGTTATGACCCCAGTTATAAATGGGATAAGTAGGGTTAATCCACATCAATCACTGGGGCTATAACCCACTTACTAAGTGGGATGAGCCACCAAGTATATATATATATGTGTGATTTGTATCCACATAACATCCCCAAGGGGATTGAACAAAAATCAGCAGTAAGGCGAGCGCATTTGCTCCCGCGCAGCTCCGAGCGTCCCTTGATAAATAGCGCTGGAGGGTTTCACGGAGGGTTCATGGAGGGTTTTATGGAGATTTTATGGGAAATTCAGATTTATGGAGGTTTTATGGGAAAATGATGGAGATTATATGATTTTATGAAAGTGAGAACTGAACTAAGGGCTTCCTGTAGATCATGACAAGTCATCAATTATATGCATCAATAAATTCAACTAAATTTATTGGATTGGTTTAAGGGAAAATCTACAGGAAACTATCGTTTTTACCATTAAGATCATGGGGGTTTCCTGTAATTTTTCCCGTAAACCAATCCAGTGATATGGTTCTGAAAAGGGGGTTCATGGAGATCTTATGGGAAATTCATGAGAATTGTTTGGGCGATTTTTATCGGAAGTTTAGAAGTCAAACTTCCGACAATATGGACAGATGGAAAAGCAGAGGCGGGAAGAGTCAGAGAAGAGAAGATGAAAGAAGATCAGAGAAGAGAAAGAGTCGGAGGAAAGAAGATGCAGGTGCGCGAAAAGGTACAAAAGTCGCGAAACACTGTGTTTTCCCAATGATTTGTGGCTCCGGAGGGTCGAAAAGTAGGCTGGCTAAAGCGGCGGGTGCGGAGCCATCTGGCCAGATGAGAGATGAAAAAGTGCACGCCGTTGCGGCGCGAAGCACATTTCCGAGTCAAAATGTACAAAGCATACCGATCTCGGAGCACTTTTGGAAGTTGAGATGATGAAAAAGTGCACGTCATTGTGGCGCGAAGCACATTTCGAAGTCAAAATGATAAAAAGACCACATGCTCGGACCACTTTCGAAGGTTCAGATGTGGCTTTGCGTGGCAGGTGCAAGGGATTCCCCACCCTGCCAAAGTGAGCAGAATGTGAGGATTTTCTAGCATGTCCAAAAACGATGGCAGGCCTGGGACATTTCAAGAGGATTTGCAAAGATGCATTTCGCGTGGCAGGCGCAGTACAAGAGACATGTTCATCATAGATGTTAGGAGGTCAGGATGCTAATTTCCTGAGAGGGATTACATTTTGGAGCATTCTTTAGGTTTGCTAAAGTGATTTTGCGTGACAAGTGCAGCACTTCGTATGACCTGGCATCACTTTTTCGTGGCAGGGGGAGTACTTGAAACAGATGGAATGGAAAAATCGCAAAACGTATTGGTACGAGGCCGTCAGCTCTGCACTCAACTTTCCAGTTGTGAAGGAGGTCTCGCAGAATTGTTTCGTTTTTGGTGTTGCTAATTCGAAAATTGAGGACGTCTCCCAGAATTCTTTCGTTTTTGGCGTTGTCAAGTTCAAAAATTGGGGAAGTCTCGCAAAATTGATTTGTTTTCAACCTTGCAAAAAGACAGATAGATAGAGAGCTAGACAATTACAACTGCAACTACAACTACAACCACGCAACACTACCACTACAAATACAAAAACAAATGTAATACGCTACAGTACACTAATTACACTACACTACGTTAATTACACTACACTACACTAATTACAACACAGTAGGCTACAACTACAACTACAACACAACCAGAAGTTCAACTACACTTTTCAACTACACTTTTCAATTACACTACAACTACAACCTTAACAACTACAGCTACAAGTACATCTACACTCAACTACAGCAACTGCAACAACTACAACAACTACAACTACAACAACTACAACTACAACTACAACAACTACAACTACAACAACAACAACTACTACTACTACAACTACATTTACAACTACAACTACAACAACTACACTACAACTGCAACCGCAACTGCAAATGCAACTACAACTGCAGCTACAACTACAACTACAACTCCAACTTCAACTACATTACAACTACACTACAACTACATTACAACTACAACCACAACTTCCACTACACTACTCTACACTAGACTTCAACTACAACTACAGCTACAGCTGCAACTACAACTACCACTACACTACAGCTACAACTACCGCCACAACTACAGCTACAATTGCATTGCACTTTGCTGCACCACGCTACATCCTGCAGTTAACGGGTGAGGTGACCACTGCAAACACTCCAAAAATCACAACCACCTATCGGTCCATCAATGGATTCTCTCTGCGGTTGCATCACAACAGCTCACCTCTGGTGAGGTCATGGGATTCAATGTGGGATCGCATGTAAAAAACGGGAGATCAATAGCTATATCCCATGAATATTTCATATGAAGAATGGAGACAAACGCTACCTTAGTATGCATTTGATATATTAGGGAAATCGATTTATGGGATACTCATCGGGTGCAATGTTGTATGTTTATATTTAGATATATTTATTTATATTTTCATATATATATATATGTTTATATATATATATATATATATTCAACCCTGATATGCCCAATGGAATTGTGACGACCTCACTGGACTGATGGTAACGGGAATCATGGCCTTTTTTGGAGGAACTCGCACGGTTCGCTTCAGGTTAAGAATTATAGCGAATAGGTTTTATAGGGTATACCATTCATAGGTGAATAGTTTTCTATGGATAGTTGTATTCTGATCTATCCAGATTGATGTGTGGAAGGAGTGCTCAAATGAGGGATTAGTTGAGGCCAAGAAGCAGCAATCCGTGGGGTGTCTGACTGCCACATCACTAGAGCAATTTAGACTTTAGATGAAATCAACAGAAATGGGAAGATACCCTCCGGTGTCATCAAACGTAGCTGGCTGGAAACATCTCCATTTATAGATGATGTTTGGTTACCGGTTACCACAGGATATCCAACACTAGAAATCTCCGACCACCCAAGAGGATCACTGTTGATTTCAGTCTGAACAGACTCTATAACAAATGTATCAGTTCGATCACTGAGCATATATCAGTCCCAGCACAGCTCAAAACTGTTTAGGTGACCTTGGTGGGGGGTGCTTCCCATGAGGTTTTCCATGGGAAACACCCAACCATTTTTATCAGTTTGGTGGTTTCATTGGTTTTGTATTTTATTTCATTCCCACTGTGCCATTATCCGATGATTTCATCATCCCATAACTAAGCCATTATACCATATTGTAACAACACATTATATACTCACGATTTACTCACACATAAAATTCACGTATAAACTCACACATTTTCCCATTGGTATCAACCTTTCTCGCTCCTGGCTCGTTGTCCTGCCTAGCCATCGTGCAGCGTCGTTGAGGCTGCACATCTCCAATGCCATCAGTCTGATGACCGCCGCTTCGCTTTGACAAACGCGTTTGTTCTGCGGGAGGAGAAGGAAACTGTGAGGTCCGAGAAAAGGCCATTGCCTAACAACAGCCAATGGTATTGTAACCATGGGGGTTCAGACTTTTCACCAACAAGGTTTATGGTTGCCAGCGACCATCATTGGGATATATGGATGAATATGTTTCAGTTATAAGCAAGGCGAACTAAGGCGAACAACTACTCGGACGGGTTTGCAGAACGATACTGAATCAAACCGTTTGTACCCATGTTTTTCATGACCCAAGGTCAAAGGACGAAGTGCCAGAAATCATCCCAGTAGCCTAAGGATCTGCGGGGAGTTTTAGATCATCATCAACTATAATTTTCGTATATTGAAACTGATTATCATGGTTGGGGCCATCACTAATTAAAAACTAAAGTCGGGGAAATATTTTTTGGGGGGCTTACCGCATTATAAATTCAACTGGAATGACATCAATCAAATGCGCACTTTGCATAGCACACTAGTGTAATGCGGTTAAAACAATACTTACCATCCCCCAAATCACCATTTTTATAGGTGGTATAAACCATTCCCAGATGGGTGGTTTATGGCATTGTTTTACTCACATTGCATGAACTCACTCAGTTTTGCAACAATGACAGTTTTCATGTGGCCTCTGGAGTCAAAACCCCCTTGGATACCGAAGTCTTCGAATTCGGCCGAAGCGGCAGCGGCCGCTATTTTTTGTGCATCCTCCAGCGACAAGATTGTAATACTTTCACTATAATGAGCTACGCAGTCCGCAGAAAAACATTGGAAATTTCACAGTTTTGCAGTATTGAAGCATGTTGAAACCCCTGTTGGTTGATGAAAATAGGAGATTATAGTATGTGGATGTCAGAATCATTGTCATTAAGGGAATCCCATTCTCAACCAAGCAGTATAAAAGGATTTGGATCTTAACTGATTTGTATATGACTTGGGTTTCTAAGCCAAATCAGTTTGTTTGAATATAATGTACTCTTAGATACATTTGCTCGTTCATCATCATCATCATCATCACCATCACCATCACCATCACCAGCATCACCGTCATCACCGTCATCATCATCATCATCATCGTCATCATCATCGTTATCCCTACTAAAATGGCAATCAATTGCATCGAATATCCCATGTTCAGAGCCATTTCTTTGCGGTCAGGGATTCCAATTCTTCGAGCCGTGTCCAGGGGGAAACCCATGGACGGGTCTCTGGCCACCCCACCAGGCCTCAACTGATGTCGAAGGATAACATCAGAAAGTATGATCATGCACCAGAAAATATAGAAACATTGGCAGAATTTACGCCAGAATATGTGCCGGCATATTTGTCAAATTATTTGTCGGGATATTATTCAGAACTCATGTGGACCACTGGATTTAGTGATGATGCTGAAACGCTTCATGAGCCAAGCATAGGAAAGCATTTCCCGGAAATGATCTTGGCTGGTGAGTCGGTATCTTTCTTGTAGCTGACAACCCAAGTCTTCAAGGCCATGGGACAGAGTGAACCACATACATCTGACTGGAGAAAACCACGTCTCGACGCACTGGCCAACAACAACTACAATTTTGCACAGGAAGCCGCACATGTGCATGTATGATGTTGCAGAATTCTAATGGTCCCATCCTGCGAGTTTCCAAATCGCAGCTAGTGAATGATGCAAACAACCTGGCCATCTCCAAGTAGCAAAGAGACGGAGGGCCCTGGGCAGCAACTTTCCGTTTCGGCATGAGATTTTGCGACACGAGAGGAACTTAGGCACAAACAACTTCAAAAAAAAGCACCAAACCTGTAACTATGTTTCTTGGAAGGTTTCCTCAAGGTTGCGGGCAAACTTTGCTGCCACAAGCGGATTGAGATGGGTAGAGATTCCGAGAAGACAGTGTCTGGGGTTGATATCAGATCACGCCCCAACCACTGGCGCAGAGTCTATGGCAATGAGTAGCAAACGACACCAGCGCTTCGCACGACCAAAGACTTTGTCAGAGCATTGGCCATGTTTCCCAATATGTTAGGTCCTACAAGTTTATAGGACACGGCGCGCTGAGAAAAACACATTCTTACCTTGTTGTGTTGTCAGTTGCTCTTGAACCCCAGGTCCTTGTGGTAGTCATCATTGATGCCCTAATACTGGTGAGTGACAGAGGCTTGGCGCTTGATTGCCATGATTCCTCATCCGGATCGTTGTGGGTATGGGGAGCATGTTTTGCACTTTGCCCAGACGTCTTTAGAGGTTTGAAGGCAAACCTTTCACAAGAAACGCATGAACAATCCGTTCTAGTTGGATAGAAAGTCGCACACGCATGCGAGAGTTGGTTTCAGCACTCATGTTTTTTTTCACGGAGTCAATCAACCACTGTTAGCCCGACAACTTATGTGGAAAAAACGTCTCAAAAGTGGGGTTCTAGCAAACCGCGACAGTCCCTTACCAGGAATGTAGAGGTGGGGGTGTGAAGTGAGCTTATTCGAACTGGTGATGGTGTGAAGTGGACATGTTGCAAAGTGGTGATGATGTGAAATGGACATGTTGCGAAGTGGTGATTGCAGAGAAAATATGATGTGAAATAGTGATATGGTGTGAGGTGGTGATGTAATGATGTCAGGGGATGATGATGTGATGTGTTGTAGTTGAACTGTTGGTCTGTTTAACTATTGAACTGTTGAATTGTTGTTGTTGTTGTTGTTGTTGTTGTTGTTGTTGTTGTTGTTGTTGTTGTTGTTGTTGTTGTTGTTGTTGTTGTTGTTGTTGTTGTGAAATGACGATGATCTGAGTGATGATGTGAAGTGTTGGTCATTCCGGTCACCCGCAACTCCGTATTCCTCGGCAAACATGTCCTTTGAAACTAGTTGTTAAATCTACTGGTTGCATTGGCGCGAGCAAACGGCAAATGGTTCAATGCGTTGTTGAAAATTTCATTGAAACTTGTTTGTTGTATATACATATATATAACTAAATATATGTGTGTGATATATGGTATATTTCAATAAATGATATATCATTCAATACCGTCAGGTCTCCAAAATATCGCAAAAAATGGTGTTTACCATGTTATACGTCAAATGATTTCCAATTTGTGTGTTTTGGCGCCCCTTGCCCACATACAGAAAAACACAGGGGAACTTGGTTCCGAAATTTCAATGCCAATGAATTAAATGTGATGCACCGATGATATGACATTTTTTTCGTTCGATGGGTGGGATGTTTTTCATGAAACATTCAATTTTTGTTTCACAAAACTTAACGCATTCATTTTTCAACCGTGTTCAAACTGTTCACTATCTGAAGAATTGAAATTTGGTTTTGGTCACTTGTCCTACTGAAAACGTATTTCTTCAGCTACAGGATGTTGTTTAAAATAAATGATTTCGGTGTGACAGGTTTCACGTGTGACAGGTTTCACGTGCCAAAGTTTCGTGGGGAACAAGGAGGCACGATTCACGGGCCTGTTGTTTGTCAAATGTCTAACTATTTGTTGGTCGACGTGCTAGAATAGATGGTTGTTTGGTGGTTTCAAGCATTGTTTTTTCATAATGACGAATATTGAAAAACGAAAAACAATATCTCTGGTTCATGGATTCATGACAGGTAGATGCCAAAAATCCAGAACATCAGGGTATACAAGTTCACATCATGAGTAGTTGGGTGTGTACCATACACATTTGTTGTCATGTTTTCCGCTCCCAGCAGTTATATAATTTTAATTTGAGGGATTTTGAAACCCTAGTGTTTTGAGATGAACACATTGAATCATGCAAATCAACAAATTTGTGGTCAGACACTTCAAAATTTAAGTCGTGTCTAGGAGAGGCTAGGCTACGTTTAGTATTGTTGTCACCCTTTCAATAATGATTCGATTTTTTTCAATTCATTGTTTCCCAAAATTGGTTGAAAATACAAATTACATTATATTAAAAAAAAAATATTTGGGATCAAACAAAAATCAACTGTAGGTTTCCTGTCCATATTTATCATTATTTTTCTATGTAGATGTTTTTCTTCATTCGGTCCATTGATTATTTTGTGTTTTTGGTGCCCTCATGTTGCGGGGCCAGGGCAAACGCGATGCAGTGGATCTCTGGTACAAGTCGCCCGCCAAAGATCGGTGGGACAGGACTTGTTGACGGTAATCGAACATAGATGTGATATAGATGGCCTATTTTTGTTGTAGACAATTTACCTACTGTAAAATGGTGATTTTCCAGTTATCTTGCCAGAGGATATGCTAAGGTTACCTATTCAATCCGATTCCTACATTTTTGGGCCCCCTATTTGTGTGTTAGTTCCATTCATCAAGTGTAGATACGCCCAACCTAAATCCTAGTTGTCGTTGTCATGTCATCCATGTACCAATCTGTGGGTCCCAACATTGTAGGCGAAAAAAAATCGTCGTGTCTCAAGCTGTCACGCCGCGAAACCCGTGATTAAATGATATCAAATGGAGGTTTCCAAAATGATGGGGGTACCCCCAAATCATCATCAATCATCCCAAATCATCATAAATCAGCCCAAATCATCATCAATCATCCCATGTTACAGGGATTTTGTATTCTAAACCATCCAGCTATTGGGTACCCACCATTTTAAGAAAGCCCCGGGCCCGCAACTCATGGCTTGATCTATAGGGCTACCGGAGTTGATTTACCCGACCTGAAACATGGGTTTTTCCATGTTTTTTTGTATGTTTAAAAAGAGGCTACCTTTTATTGTTGGAAACACATCTGGTATATTACTGTGATTTTTTTCTAGAGGTAAGAGATGGTCACTCCAAAAGGTGCGAAGCGGAGTTGAAATGTCTGCCTCCCAAACATATACCATGGAATTATAGGTGACTTTTGACCATAGAGCTTGTAAAGAGAAACATGGAATATTGGAGCTCCCAGAATGCGCTGGAGTGCTAGTTTTTGGAGTCATCGAGGCATCCACATGCTAAAGTGATGCCCAAATCCACCATTTTTTTAAAATCAGCCGGTGATCAAACATGGCTGGAAATTCCTGAGCTCAATTGTTATGTGGGAAAATCATCTATACATGGTGGATTTTCCATTGTCGTGTTTGATTACTAGAAGATATATGTCCCATCAAAATGAGGGTAATTTCCCTTTCATATTTCCTATATCATATATATATATATATAAACTTATATATATATATTACCAATATTCTCGAATTATATCCAGTTACGTTTGTTGGTTTATGCTCACCCAGTAACTATATAGTTTAATATACGTACCATAACTAATCGTTTCTCGAGTCATTTCTACCAACTCAGCGATCTGCGGGTCCTCGTTTTCAGCAATAGCTATATGGAGGTTTCGTAAAACAGGGGTACCCCAAATGGATGATTTACCATGGAAATTCCTATTTTAGGAAAACTCCATATAAATAGATACAATTTAATATATATATATATAATATGGGCAAATTATAACGACCTCACTGTTCTCCCGAACCCTGGAATCATGGTTTTGATAGGGAAATCATCCCCAAATGGCCCAACAATTCAGGTTAGTGATTTCTTAATATATTTTCCCATATCCATATATTAGCATACATATATATATATATGTATTATATGTATTATATGTATTATATGTCATATCTCCATGATCCAGGGTCGATCTGGGCATCGCGGCATTCTGCGTTTTGGTGCGTCTTTGGACCCTTCGCAGCCTGAGCCCATTGATACAGGACATGTTTTGTTGGCGGCTACTGTGGATTTAATGTTGTTTACCCTCTGGTAAATTAACAGACCCTGAAAATAACAATTTTCTGAAACTAATCTTCAAAACCCCGATGACTGCCAGGTTCTATGTTAATTTACTGGAGGGTAAACAACATTATGGTTCCATTGGGTCATTTCACTAGGTGATTTCAATCGTGATTCACTAATTCTTGTGTGACACGTTGGACACGTTGGACTTATTGTTTTGTTTGATCATCATTATACATTCTTAGTATTGTATATTGTAATTACTGTATCTAGTATATTGTATTATGATTGTTTATCTCACTAGATTGACAGTTGTTACTGTAACTGTTCTTACTTTCTAGTGTCATTAAGAAATATTATCAGCGAAGCGATATTCGGATGGACCAACACCATAGATCAATCGTTGTGTTCTTTCGGATATGAATCCCATTTTCCTAATATGATACACACCCATCGTATGATTTGTACGGTCCCAGTGAGATGTATATAAGAAAAACACGGTTTTTGGCAGGTGTTTAATATGAATGGGGGAAGGAAGTGCATTTACATGTCTCTTTTGTTTACTCATCATAAGCGGGTGGTATAAAACGCACAGCAAATAGGAACATACGAAATGTAAGTTAGAACATACACCTGGGTATAAGCCCTGGGTTGTTTGTTGGGCTGATAGTATTCAGCACTAAATCAGGGAGCAGATTACACCAGCAAAACAACAATCTAGGGTTTTCCAAAAAATCAGATTTATACATCACTATATGATATACACTGATATGATCTGAATACGGATATCTTGTACTTGTTATATATGTCAATATGCACGTACATTATATAAATATCAGACTTCACACAATCTCAAGTTGCGTATCGTGGGTATTGCTGCAAATCCTTGACTTGCAGCCCATGTTGGCGAAGAAAATCCCAAAACTGTCGATCACTCATGCATTTTGCAACTGTCCTGATGGTTCCATATCATGATTGATTTCATCTATTTCATCTACCCTCTGGTAAACTAACATAGCTATGGAAGCCATGGCCCATAGAAATAGATGGTTTACCTATTAAACATTGTGATTTTCTAGTTCGCTATGTTAAATTACCGGAGGGTATATCCGACTATATCCTCCATCATCCTCCATCGATATGCACTGAAGACCTCCCAGGAGATGAACAATCCACCTATGCTGGAGATGCAAGATGATCCTGTTCAAGGCAGAACAGAAACAGAGGCTGTAGGTATCAGCGGAATATCATATCATATAATTATATTATAATGTAATATAATATAATTTAACATAATATAATATAATATAATATAATATGATATGATAATATGCAATGGTACCAACATATATATATATGCAATGTGTATTTACATGGAGTGGTGTTTTTTTGCCCCTACCAAAAGAAACGGGATGGTTGTTCTTCTCATGGATTGCATTTAGACAGATGCTATGTGAAGACGCGTGACTTAGCATTTGTTAGGAATTCCCAATGGAACTAAATAGCCGATTGGTGGACCATGGTAAATACGGTCCCTTTGACGGGACATCTGCACACCGGCGTGTTCACAGAACAGATCAAATGGGAATGGTGCTCAAACCTGGTGGCCTTGTGAACATCCCAAAGAATGAACATGATGATCGACCTATGGTTTTAGCCCACTCACATACCATGTAGGTTCTAAGAGATGTTAGATGTTGGTCTTCCGTTCTAGCATCCAGTCCCCACTTGAGTGGTCCGTCCGTGAATGCTATTTTTTGGAGAGATTGCCTGCATGTGCATCTCAATTAGTATGTGGATGTAATACTGTAAGTGGTTCATTATTTATAATATATATAATTATAATTACACATGTGTATATATATAATTACACATATGTGTATATATATTATATATAATTACATATATATATATACATATGTTATATATATATATATTGAGTATTATAGCCCATAGCTACTTGGGAGAGTCCATATATCACCGGCTTTGCTATGCTTGTTTTCTCCGCTGATTCCTGTGATCTCGCCAGCACTGCGTGCTCTGCTGGCCTACTACCTGAACACCGGGTCAAGGGCCATCATGAGGCCAGATCTTGAGATCTTTCGGTTTGGTGGATGTGAGACACTGACGACTAGTCGTCAGTCCATACAACATTGGTGACTGGTTGGTGGTTTGGAACATGACTGGATTATGACTTTCCATTCAGCTGGGAATGTCAGCATCCCGACTGACGAACTCATATTTTTCAGAGGGGTTGAAACCACCAACCAGGTGAAAATGTTGATGATATATATATATATATATGACCTTTGACAGACTCCACCATACAACCTCCCGCATCATAAATAGTAGGAAGGCCATGAAATGATGGAACATGTTGGGGAACACCCAAGAGAGAGAGAAGGATAGACAACACATAGTGTTGAGCATTGGCAGGTTCAATTACTGTAAGTTCCAAGCTAGAAATCTTGAGCTTGAATACAAGGTGTTTTTTTTGTCAGCTGCTTTTGTTTGGTACAAGACGATATTGCAAGAATTCTCCAGTACCCAGTTTTTTCTTGTCGGTATCCTTGTAGATTAAATTTCCAATAAAGTATATATATATATACACAATTGTTTTGTCACAACCCCCCTTGCTCTTATGGTTGACAAAAATTTTCCCGGACACTTCATCTTAGTGAAAATATAACCTATGGTACTTCAACAATCTTCAACATAGCCAGGCAAAATCGCCATTTTTAAATATGTAAAACATCTATAAATGGGCAATTGTGCATAACAATTTGTCCAGGAGGATGCAAGTGGGACTTGACCATGTTAATCTCAAACAATGGAAGCGTAAGACCCAAACAATCTAGATGATGATGATGATGATGATGATCATCATCATCATCATCATCTGGTTGGTGGTTTGGAACATGACTTTTATTTTCCATTTCATATATGGGTTGTCATCCTTCCCATTGACGAAGTCATATTTTTCAAGATGGTGAAGCCATCATCACTTTTCAGTGATTTACAGCTGATCCCCCCACCCCTTCCGTTGCACTGCGCAGGGTGGACGAGATCACCGAGTCGTTGATCTACGCGCTGAGCAATTGGACGGTGCTCTTCAATCTGCCGCCTGGCGTGGCATCGGTGGCTGACGGCCAGTGGTGAACAAGGGCCACAGTGAAAGCATGTGATATGGCGAAAGCAGTGATACATGGTATTTCCCCACCTGCCAGGTGAGGGTTGTTAGATTTTATCAGAGCTGTTGTCCTCCTCCTCGTCCTCCTCCTCCTCCGCCTCCGCCTCCTCCTCCTCCGCCTCCTCCTCCAGTTTCTCCCGTGTGCACTGCTGGACCTCAACCTGGGACGTTCCCAGCTCAGTGTGCACTGCTGGACCTCAACCTGGGACCTTCCCAGCTCAGTGTACACCGCTGGACCTCAACCTGGGACCTGCCCAGCTCAGTGTGCACCGCTGGACCTCAACGGCCAGATAGAATGCCAGAAGATATGCCAGATAGAATGTCAGATAGAATGCCAGAAGATATGCCAGATAAAATGCCATGAGATATGCCAGATAGAATGCCAGAAGATATGCCAGATAAAATGCCAGAAGATATGTCAGATAGAATGCCAGAAGATTTGCCAGTAACAAAACGTATAGATGTCATGGTGGGGATAACTCGAAGTAAAGTATTTTTTATGGATCATGAATCATGAAGCATAAATGGGCTGACTTACTGACTTAGAACTGGTGAACTGGGTTATTATAGACCAGTTTCATTGGACCAGTACATCCTATGTATACGATTGAATACTGTCCATACCGTTGGGCAATCTGGCCTTGCAACGAACAGTCTTTCAAAAAAAAATCCATTGTTGACGATAGCAATCACAAAGTACTATCCCCAAACAACAACATGTGCCAGATCTAGCTTACCTTCTGGTAAACTAAAATAAGCATGGACATCACCATGTCTTTTATAGGTGAATCAATGATCAATGAACGACGTAGGCAATTTTGAGCCTCAAACCTGGCAATTTGTTGCTCCAATGTGCTGGTGCCTCCCAGTTATTCATGTCGGCTTATTGTGAAAAGCCCATACGTTTGCTGGTGCCCCCCAAGTTATGTTGGTTTATAATCCCATTAACTGTAGATATATCACCAACAAAAACCATAGTTATTGGAGTTATTTAATCCCATGAAAACTGCTTCGATATATCACCAACAAAAACCATATAGTTTAATTGGAGTTATACACGCACCAACTGAACGCGGTCATGGCCGGGGGCACCACCATTTAAAAAACCTGGAGAAATCCATACGACCAGAAATCCCATGAGTTGGAGCGACCGAGGATCTGGATCGGCGTGGCTGGGGACTTGGTGCTGAACACTCCCTGGTCCTCGTGCCATGGTGCGCCGCGCCGACGTGCCGCAACGGATTGAGATGGAGATGAAGAAGGGGATCACCATGCCATTAATAGGTACATCCACGAAATTTCTATGGACCATGGCTTCCATGGCGAACTGTGAAATAACCAGAGGGTATAGATGTAAGATTGATTTCATTGAATGGGTATTATAGATAGATGAATGGGGATTAATGGAGATAATGTATAACAGCTAGAACCACAACTTGATGGATGTCATGTTTTCATTGATAAAGTCTGATAAAGTTTGATAAAGGTGAACAATACCAACTCACGTCGCAACATCACTGGAATGGTGGGAATTGTAGGGGTAATTATTCTAGCAACACATTTTTTTGCAGGTGTGCCGAATCATCAGAAATTGTCCATATATGATGATGTAACCCCAAATCGATAGGGATTTTGGTTTTCTTCTGAAATGATACTAAAGGTATCTATCTCCCCACAAGGTTTCCGTGCATCCAATGACCTGGAGTTGAACTCTTGATTTTGGGAGTTCCCAGGTGCCTGTGAAAGAGACGACTGGAGAAACCTCCCAGTTATCCAGCTATTCGATTGGGATTTTCCCATGGAAAAACTCACCATCCACCGGGGCATCATGGAAACCTCGGGGTTGATCATAATTGGGGGAATCCCAGAGGTCAACTTCCGCGGCTCATGTGGTGCTTGCTTCAAGTGAGATATTCTCCAGTGAACTGAAATAGCGATGGGCAATCACCATGTATTTCGCGGGTAGATTATGTATAAACAAAGCATTTTCATCTATGTTCCATCGCTAAAACAAAAAAAGCCCAGAGGGTATGACCCATGACCCGTTGCGCACCAGATCCCGGCCTCATCATTCTTCGGATTCGGGTCAGGGCCTTGGGTCAGACTCCAGGCTGGCAATGCCAGGCATGTTTCCACTGACCATAGCTATCCTACCTGGGATGATCCGATGATCCGAAAAATGACGAGCATATCTTTCGGGTGGATTCAATGGCCAGGGTTGTTCTAATCAATCTGGAGCCTGGAAAGCCTCCAACGCTGTGTTTGATGTGGAAAGAACGCTGTATCGAATTCTATTGGGTATCTCTACAATGTGGGGCTTTGCTGATAGCAAAGTTGAGGTTAACTATGATGTCAGATAGATCCCGATATATCGGACTACTTCAAAAAAATAAGAGGGTTTAACCAACAGACATACATGTGACATCATGTGACATACAGCAACATGTTCGGAGCACCGCTGTGCCACGCTAAGTTCATCCTCTTTTTGATCCTCATCGTGCCTGTCCTGTCCGGATCTCCAGTGAGTCGATTTTGTGTATAAATCCCCCAAACAATTAATTAGATAACCATCATTATAGTCATAACTGTCATTATAGTCATCATTGTTATATAGATCCCCCAAAGAATTAGGGTATGATAGATAACTATTTGTGATAGATAACTAAACTTTACTGAACTTATTTATGATACATCTATATAAATAGGGTATCGGATCAAAATTAGATCCCCAAAAACTTGGATCATGGCCTAAAACCCAAGAACAAGAGAATCTGCTGCTGCGGTCCTTGAATGTTGACCCCGAGGTTGAATGTGGTGCTGTTCTTCGCTGGGCGCATGCTGAATGGCGAAGGCGGGAAAACGAGATTTCCGACATCAAATCATAGGTAAGGTGGTAAAAATAGCTAGGTAAACAATTTAATTTATGGTGGATGATATATATATATATATTGTTATATACAGTATTATATATAATTATTATATTATATATACACACTTCAAGAAAGCAAAGGGGGGGAACTGAAGCAACTTACAACTGGGGTGGTCCTGCTTGCAGAATTGAAACCAGCTAATTTTCGTTGGTTGTCGATCCATCCATCCATCTAACTTAATCGAATCTAATCTCATCTAATCCATGCTAATCTAATCTATCTACTGTATCTAGTTTACCTATTGATGTGTCTTTTATTATGTTAATCATATCTATATTCTGGTTGGTGGTTTTTATTTTCCATATATTGGGAATGTCATCATCCCAACTGTTACTCACTCCATCATTTTTCAGAGTGGTTGTTTTACCACCAACCAGATAATTATTAACCATCATTAACCATATAATAACCATCATCATGAACCATTATTAACAGTATATTAGCCACATATTAACCATCAAATGGAAGTTTCAAGGCAGCGTGTTTGCCAAGTCAACCCGACTGCCAGCCCAGGACTGCAGATCTCTTTGTTAAACTCAGCCAGCAAGGTCACCCTGGGATGATGGGGGGGCCAGTGGTGGATTGATGTGGACTACGTTTAGCTGATTTCATGGGGACTTTGGGGATAGATTTTGGAAATAAGATGGGAGAATGGGCTATATCATATACTATATCACCAATTTAATTGATGGCATTTGGTGTCTGAAAATGGGAGATTCACCAGACAATTGTTGCAATTTTAGTTGGAAAAGATGGCCAACCATCAAACAATAAATGTTACAATGGGTTGATTTTGAGATCCATGCTATACCAGGTAGTTCAGGCTTGCACTAAATTCACTAAATGGCCACCGTGGTTGGAGCACCGTGGTTGGTGCTGGTTTTCTATGGACATATTCACATTTTCTTTACATTGCCTCATACATGTTATATAACATATATATATATATTATTATATCCATTGAATATAAGGAAGATTAACGAAGTATATACTTTCTACGACCTGTACATTTAAATATCCTGGATCCAATTATGTTGCATTAGTCAAGCAAATGTACAGTGAATCGAATATTTTTGGTCCATTCCATGCCATGCCAGGCGGATGAGAGTCTTGGTATTGGAGTGCCCTTGTGCTCAATACTTGTACAGGCGCAAAATCGGGGAGGTCAGACTTGCGGTACCCAAAAACAATATTCTCTTCGAAACTTAGGGCCTAAGGGGCAATTGTCTGAAACCATCTAAACATAGTGCCACGGATATACTAAGAATATCCAAACTTAATTGGAATACCACAATAATTTAAACATATCCCAACATCCGCAAGACAATCTGAAATTATACAATCGTCCAAGAATCATGCAGTTCAAATGTCCCAAAATGTATGTTGACTATTTTTAGGTGCCACATCATCCAGGATGAAGTCACATCATCCAAGATCAAAAAATATGAAGTCACATCAGAAGGCTGGTGAACTTCAAGCATTGTCTATGTTCATTCCTATTTGAAAGATGGTTGCATGTCTGAATTGTTTGTCTTGGGCATAATGACATGATCTCTGAGTGTTTTTTTGGGGGTTAACTAGACAGACAATGTATATATGAACACATTCTATTATGATATGATTATATAGTATTATATCTTAAAGTTTTAGATATACTTAGATATACACAAATATAATTTAATTATATGATACCATTTCATGAGAACTGGATGACTTGTTTTTTGTTGTTTTCCCCTCCCCCGGGTATAGTCAGGCTTTCTTCATCCGCAACAAGCGCGACATGATCAACATCCAGCTGAAAATTCTCCAGATGAAGAAGGCGCCACGTCGTGGCGAAGGGGATGAAGCCGGGTTTCGGAGACCCTACGACTTCCGTAGCCAACTATATATATATATATATATTGTTAGATATTGTTAGTTATTTATATATATATAAATAAATACCATGATATACCATCCACATCCATCTATACCATATATCATGATGTCATAACATAATTGATCTACTACAAATTGCTTGAAATCCATCAATACATTTCTTCCCTATTGCCATGAAATCCATCAATTTCCTACTATGTCCTATATATCAGTCTGGTCAATTTTCAGACTTCGACCCTGAATTTCAATCACCCAGACTCTTTGTGGTTTCATCATGTTTCATCCTCCAAGCCCTGACAGCCAGGGTCATGTGAATTTCGTGGAGATCCAACCCGTATCGCAGCTGCCACAGGAGGAGGCGGAGAAGAAGCGCCTGGAGGCGGAGAAGGAGTTGCAACGCTTGCAGGGCGATGAGGCGCGGCGGTGAGCCTCACCGGTTAAGCGGCTCCCGCGGTGCGAGGGGAGAATGGTGACCCATAATAAGGGACGAATATAATCCTTATAATGGTGACTTGCTAATAATGGTGACTTAATAATGGTGACTTAATAATGGTGAGAATAATAATGGTGAATTGATAATCATGGTGACTTAATAATGGTGACTTGATAATCATGGATACGATGGGTGAATGGAATAATCATGCGATAATACTATTAGTATCATTATGTATCATTCAAATTTCGGGGATTTCATCAGGAAATCACTCGTCTGATTTGGCAGGGCGCTGGCGCTGTTGCATGGCGAATTGCATGAGAGTAGCAATGCTAAAGCCTCCAACCGACAATGGCGATTTCATCAGTGCTTCGGCTTCGGACAGCATTTTTCGTCGGCGCTCAGAACTCGACTTCTTCTTTCCGCGACAGCCACGCCGGCCAATATGGGCAAGCGTGGGCCCAGGATTTGCTCAGTGAACAATGGGGATATAGCCGATCTATATCGGAATTTCATCGGTAAAATATGAGATAAGTTGCCTCCAAGTAATCAAAGAATGGAGAACAATGATGTTGGGATGTTGCAACATAGGATAACTTAGTGGATTTAACATGATTTAATCAACCAAAATTGGTGTTTTAACGGGATTTAGCAACCATGTGATATATCTAGAGAGATTTAGTGGCATGTTCACGTGATTTAATATGATTTAAACAAGAAACAATGTTGTTTAATAGGGATATGGATGCAATAGTGGGGGTGGGATGTTGGGATTTATTTGTTATGTTTTTAAGAAATGGTGTTAACAACAATTTAGTAGGATTTAGTGGGAATTAACCACTGAAGAAAAAGTAGGAAATCTCTGGGATGGGCCTGGGTAGGTTGATACCTTCAAGGAAACTGAGGCCGCAGGCCGTCTCGTGAGAGAAAGACAAGTTCTCTTCATGCTGCATGACTCAGCACGAACATCAAGCATGGAGCAACCTACAAGGTGGTGCCCCCTAGATAGCCAAGTTGGTTTATAACTCCAATAACAATGGTTTTTGTTGGTGATATATCTACAGTTTTCATGGGATTATAAACCAACTTATAACTATGCACTGCAAGACCTTTTCAGTGTCCAATTGAGGGGTGGGAACTTGAAATCGGCGGTGTCTTTCGAAGCTGAACAGAAAAAAATCGCCACCAACAGAAGGGTAGCATGGTGAAGTGACCCATACCCAGTGAAACTCATGGTAGAGAAGCAAGAAACAAAACGGAAACCCATTAACTATATAACAAAACAAAGACGAAAACCAAGTGAAAAGGGTACATCACCGACTCAAAACTACAAAACTACTACGCTCACACCACAGCTCGGAACGTAGGAGTTCGTGGAGATGCTCTAGTCAGTCTAGTCTGTGGTAAATCCAACATTGGGGTCTTGCGGAATTTTAACAAGCAAACATGAGGATTTTTGTTGATCATACCAGATCCAGTTACTCAATTTATGTCAATTTCGGTTTTAGTGGGATGGAATCCGGGAATTATTCCTGGGATAATCAGCATGTTGAACCAATCAGTAGAATAAAAGTAGGATCATGATGACAAGACCCAGTCAACAATGATGATATCAATTAGCAAATTGGGAAGATACACAAATACATCAATTTATTTTTGAGCTTAGGATGGATCAACTGGGGATCAACTGGGGATTCAATGGGGACTCAATGGGGATCTTTTCTCAATCATGAGGGTATTTACAACACAGCAATTCATGGGGTAATGACCCAACAGTGCACACTAGAATTGGCATTTGGCAGTCAAGGCCCCCAAGATTTTGACCCACGTCAAGACGGAAGTCCTGCTGTTCAGCACATGAAGAAAGTATTTTTATCTGTTTCCTGGATGTTTTGAAGCTACCCTCTGGTAAACTAACATAATATGGAAAATCCCTATCTTTATTGGGTAAATCCACTATTTCGATGGCCATTTTCAATAGCGAACTGTAACACATTTCCAGAGGCTAAAAATCCAAACGGAGAACTTTCCGGCTCCCGCGAGCTCCAAACGCTTCTGTGCTGCGATCACTCCGCCAGACGTCTCAAGATTCGCAAGTTGAGACTTTGCAGCATCAACTGCAGGAAGAGGCCAGCGGGTGGGTTGGAGGCATCAAAACGCTACAGAAATAGCTGGCGTATGATATATCTGGATAATTTTTATACCTATATAACCATAGGTAGGTTATTATGGATTACATAGGATTATATAGGGTTATACCTAAATGGATATACACTATGGAAGAGTGTGGAAGAATATTTGACCACCCAAAATGTGTGCCTTATTTTCCCGACCTCCGTAGCTGAAATAATTTGATGGTGTGGGAAAGGACAAACCTAACCATGGCTGGTGCGTCAAAGTATGTCAAAGTATGTTTCTGGGGGAGAATGAACTCTACTATATAGCGCTAGAGTTGTGGCCCTTAACACATACAAGTGGGATTATGATTCCTGTAATTAAGCTTATAATATGTATTCTTGTATATACATGTATTTCAATGCCAATTATAATTGTTTACTGGCTACAACTGTAGGTATTCAAGTGTTTTTTGGCCGGGTTTCCCCGCCCGCGAACGTCCAGGCCGGAAAGGATGACAACCAGGTGGTAAAGGAACAGGACAGCGGAGAGTTTCACTGGGGAAAACTTGAGACATTACCATGAAAAACCTCAGGGATGTCAACAGAAACTTCAGCAATTCATGGTCATAGCATGTAGCTAGAAAGTCTGCGAAGACATGTGGAATTTTACCAATGAAAGGCAGGGCTTTGAATGGAAGCGTCAGTATGTGGGCAAACTGTGGTGAATGGTTGGGTTTGAGGAATATGTTTTGACCCCCTTCAAAAGATTACTCTTCCAGAATATGTTTTGCTCTGTTGTTTCGGCCATATGCCCAGAATCGGCAAAAAGGAAATTTCGCAGGAAAACCCATTTGGATTGAATATGTATATACAAATATGTATAAGCATTTGTACATGCCCGGGATCTTATTTCAACCAAGGGGCAGAATATGGGTCTGAAATGGGGTACCCCAATGGTTGTGTTCAGTATATTTCAGTGCTAGACATTTTGGGAAGTGAATTGTTCATCCAAGATGGGTCAAGATGGACATCATGCTAGCTGGCTTGCCCTTGCAGTGGCTGGTTGAATCCTAACAGATGTCCTGTCTAGGTTTCATCAACGCGAATCAAATCTACTTGGTCTCGCACCCCGGTAAATGGGTTAGTTCACCCCAGTGAGAGCTGGATGTAAATGGGGTGAACTAACCCAGGCAATTCGACAGGGCAAAGCCAACTTCAACCACTGTTCAATCCTTATTGGTTGATGCGTCGTAAAATCCCACTAGCAACATCTAGTAAAACTAGTACGGTCTCGCCCAACAAATCAGATCTTGTTGGTTTTGTGGATTCCCATGTTGATGGTTGATGATGGTCGCATCCCAGAAATCTCCAGAAGATTCTTGATCGTTGGATCGAGGTTTCCGGTGCCCCCAAATCAGTCATTGGACTTCGAACTTCGGACTTCGAAACTTCGAAAGCCGTGGTTTGGAGAGCCGAGATCCATGCCATCAGACACATCCAAATGTCATAGAGCTTGGTGATATCCCATTTCCCTTGAGACCACCATCAAAAGGAACCACAATTTTAAATCCCAATATATCCCATAAAACCACAATTTTCAGATATTAGACACCCCCAAAATATTGGATAAACCATATTATTTTCAGACACCCCCAAAATTGGTTCATGGTCAGATCCCCATACGACCCATGCGTTGTTTCTCAGGAAGAGCAGCGCGAGAAGGTCCTACAGGAAGCTGAACAGGTGAGGATGGAGGGGATGATGTCGAAACCAAATAAAACATACAGTTATGGCTGTTTACCAGTTGTAAGTGACTATCACTGGTTATTTCTATGGCATTTTACATTACTTGTACAGTAGCTGGTAAAGGGCCAGAATTGGAGGGATTTCACTGATTTAACAATTATGAATGATTATTATACCATCATCTGGGAGAGTTTACCTACGATTTTATGGGATGATCTAGGGGATATATAGTGCCGGACATATACTTAGAACATTGGTTTTGGAATTCCAAAACATGTTCTAAGTAGAGATCCTGGACCACTACTTAGAACATATATGTTCACGGGATGTTCTAAGTAGAGGTTTTGGGGGTTCCCCCATGTTCTAAGTAAGAATCTCCCCAGCTATCTACGTGCATTTTTGGAAAATCCTGTGTATATATAATATATTTTTAATATTGTAGTTGTCCGGCACTATATATTCATATAATAAAAACTTTCCAAACCTGAGCATTTTTAATATTGTTCGAATTGTAGCCTCTCACCTAGAGCATCCGGATCCATTCGCTCATTTTGTTCAGCTCAATATATGTACCTATTTATCTCGAATCTCGTCCCGCTGTAGGCTTTGGACCATTCCAACCGCTCAATCGGTCATATAATTTCAATATACCTCAATATACATCTCCATGTATCTTAACGCAACATCACACCACCTGTATATATAATATAAATATGCAGTGTTAAGTTGTATGTATGTATACATATACATATATTTACATGTATATATGATGGCATGTTCTAAGTAGAGGATCCTCATATGTTCTAAGTCACTTAGAACATACGTCCCCCTATTCGCCGAAAATGTTCTAAGTAGAGCGCGCGTACCCACCGAAAAATTTCCAAAACGATGTTCTAAGTAGTTGTCCGGCGCTATAGTGGGATTTAAGATGATTTGATGATATTTGATGGGATGATTCGACTCACCATTTCCCCGTTTAGTGTTCATAGGCTGTGGATCTAGCCAACATACCTACAACAACTATTGGCTGGTAATTTCAAATTCCCTCTGGTAAACTAACATAACCATGGAAAATCACAATTTTTAATGCGTAAATCCACTATAAATCACCATTTTCAATAGCTATGTTTGTTTATCAGAGGGTATGTCGTATGTTCAACCATCTACAAATGGGATGATCATCCCTTTTTGGTGGTTTGGAACATGACTTTTATGACTTTCCATTTTTATTGGGAATTTCTTACTCTCAACTGACGAACTCCATCATTGTTCAGAGGGGTTGTTTTACCACCAAGCAGATCCCGACAAAAATATGCCGAGTTGAAACCTGCCAGTACTGCTGGATTTTTTTCTGTGAAGAGTCCAGTGGGCACTTCCCGCATCTCTTTTGCAGCAGATGGTCAGACCTTGTGAGCATCACAGGCCTCCTGGATGGCGATGCATACCTTGAGCTGTCTCGTTGGCACAGAGGCAGAAGTGAGATGAAAGCTCGTCTGCCGATGGTTTCTTAGGGGCATAGATCAGTGGGCATTGCGGCAATAGGCAGTATCTGGCTGCCAGGAAGTCGGCTTGGTGATTGAAGATGGCACCTACAGTCCAATGCTTCCAGCGCTGTCTTGGCAGGTGAAATCCCCCAATGGTCCTCAAAAACCACCAATGTTGCTTTGACCAGACAAAATGGTGGTGTTTAAAAACCAAAATCGGTGGGGGTCAATATGAAACATGGATTCAAAACGGTCCTGTTACCATCAAATATCGGGTTTTAACAGAAGCAGCACGCATCCGGTTCACTTCTGGGCAGTTTCTTTGTTGTTTTTTGGTTTGGCTTGTTATTGTTCCTACATTTTAGCACCACTTCTGATTCGCGCGAGGTGGTTCCTTCCAGTTGTAAGTTGGTTTATAAATATAATTAAATAACACTTCCTGAAGAACAAAAACATCAAGAACCCTAAGAATTCTTCTGAGGTATTTCGGAAAAAATACGAAAAACCCAGAAAACCTCGGTTTTCGATTGAAGACCTCGGGTATTGATTTTGAACCCGTACTTCACCCGTACCTAACCCGTACTTTCAGAATGGATTAAAATATGTTAAAATACCCCGGGTTTTGTCAGAAAAGCTCGGGTATTATACTCAAAGCCTAAGATTTCTGCGGGTTTTGGTTCTCAAGGTTAGTATAGTTCCATAATGTTCCATATAATATATTTATATATACAATACACACATATATATAATATTATAATATATATATATATAATATATATATACATAGTAAAAACATCGAGCTTGGTGAAGTAATCCAGCCGAGCAATCCGGAAGAGTTCCCACCTTTTCTTCGTCCGCACCGTCGCTGTTGCAGCCTTTCACCAGGTCTTTGGTCTCCTGAACGAACGCGCCAAGAAAGCCAGCGGTGAAGCAGAAGCGCAGGCGCTGCGTCATGGGGTTTCCTAAGTCATGGGGGATCCCCAATGGTTTCATGGATGGTTTATTTAACATGGAAAATCCATATAATCCATATTAAGTCCATATTAAGTCCGTATATTAAGATCATATTAATCCATATTGGATGATTTTTCGGGGTAGACCCCCATTCAAAAAGAAACGCTGGATCGTGCTGGATCTGTGTGTTGGGAATTTGGGGGCAAAACGACCTAGTTGACTTCGGTATCACACCAAAATCAGGGGCAAGCCGGGGTATGAATAATTAAGGGTTGCTTATTGATCCGGAACATATCCACATTCATTATAGAATTTTAATGTTTTGGGAAACATGAAAATGAATAGAAAGTAAACATATTCATCCTAGGTTCGGATTGGATATGGACCCACCAGGATGGGCATGAAACCAAACGCAGTTTTGGAATGAGACATACTTGATGATCATTGATGAAGTATGACATATAAGACATATAGCCAACAACATGGGGGTACCAGAAGTATGATGAACATGGAGCCTTCGGCTCGAAATTGGTAAAGATCAAAGATGCCCTCCAGGTGAGTCTGCTGTGTCGATGTCGAGGCCCAGATGGGAGCCCTTCAGGTGGGCCCGCTGGTGACGTTACCGACGCCAAGGCCGTGCTAAAGACGTGATCGATGCTGAGAACGCTCTGAGCCAGATGACTTTTTCAGCGGTCCTTGACCATGCGGAGCCCAGCGCGGCCTGGTGATGGGCCAAGGAGGACTAGGAGGACAAGGCGGACTAGGAGGACTGTTGGAAAGCGGATCGGATTAGCATTTATGGGCATATATCATTGTGATAGGGATGTCATGGGGATGCAAGCAAATACAATAGGGAATTTGGATGAAATTGGAGCATTATATTTGGACTAGCTGGGATATCCTGGATACCCTCTGGATTTAACAGTTTGCTATTCAACATGGCCCGCAAAAGGTATATGGATTATTTACCTATTGAAAATGGTGATTTTGCATAGCTATGTAAACGTTTACCGGAGGTAGTTGATTCTAGCCGGAGGTCAAACAAACCCAAGACGAATCGGATTTGGAAAGAAAAAAATCACCGTGACCAAAAGCAATTCCTGTATATAGGTTTCAACTGCCATTGTTTTGGGGATTTGATGGGATTTACCAGCATTTTTATTGAGATTCAACCCTTAAATGGTGGATTTTACATGATTAAAAACCAGAATGTACCCTCTTGCAATCTAATGTAATATTAGGAGCACCTTGTACGTTTCATCAAAAAAAACATACTGGTGGATGTGCCATTGTAAGGTTCAATGTTCGGAGAATGTATGAATCATGTGCTTCAAACTCAAACTTTAAATTATTATGTTTAGGCGGATTCGTTTGGATGTGATGACATGTGATGTCAATCTCTCATCCACGCCATGTTTTTTTTGCTTGCACACCTGGATGTCCCCCAGCATCACGTGCCGATAAGAAAATGCTCAACAGGGATTTACGTGAATTGAATTGGGTCTCAAAGATTGCAGAAAATATCAAGTAGGTGTCTATTATATTCTATTATCCTTCCCACCAAGATCAAACACGCACCACAAAAACACTTACAGTAGGTTTCGAATTTAGTGCTGAGGAAATTGGGGTCATTGATTGGGAATATTCAATGGTGGAAGGGATTGGTGGAGCAATCTAGATTCACTAGTAGATAGCTCAATTGGTTTATGACTAGGATATGACTAGGGTAACTATTGTTTCATATGGTAATATGACTAGGTTAGCTAGTCTTGTTAGTTTATGCCTGGATCGATATATTGAACTAGTTAATTAATTAATATAATATATATATATAAGATATGTCGATATGGTTAATCAATCAAACAACTTACAACATCTTATAACTGGGGGGGCACTAGAAATGCCTTAAGTTTCACCGCCTTTTTTCCACCAATTTTTGTTTGGCGACTGCAGAACCGCCAGGTGAAGAAATGGGAAGAGGGCGATGGTGGCGAACTGCTCCAAGCCATTAGCAAGGGCGAGGCGGGCATTGTGGTGAGGTCTAGGGTGTCCACGGTGTCCAGGCGGTAGTTTTTGATGCAACATATTTAGCAACCAAAACAAAAGGATGGAAACGTATTGTTTTTTTCGAATAGTGATAAATATACGTATATATATAATTTTGATAAATTACAATTCATTTTGTTTGGTGGTTGCTATACAGTAAATCGATGTAAATCCGTGGGCTGGACTTGGCATTGTTGAACCATGAGGGATGGGCTCATCTGTCGGCACACATGACATTCTTGATTAGTTCCATCTGAATCTCCAATTTTACTGACCAAAAGCAGATGTTGAAAGTGCAGTTACTCAAAACATCATGGAATCATCCATAGCCGCGACGCGTTTTCAGGGTGGAGCAAAGTTGCAGGAGATGCTTGGACAGAATCTTGACTGCATGGGGTCATGGTTGGTGGAGGGTGTGACTCTTTTGTTGTGTGTATGATACAATCAAAGACTACTGTACAGCTTTTGGGCCTCAACAGTCATAAATTGCATTATAAGTCCTCTATATATATATATATACATGAGGTTAATTGAGATTATATCATGTTATATCATGGAAATAGTAGCATTTGTTGATTTTATTTGTGTTGTAAATCGAGTCATTTTATACACCCTCAATCTTAGCAGGCATTGTTTTCAACGCATCACCTGCCTTTGCTTTTTTCCCGTCGATTTGGTTGGTCAAATCCCAAGGCAGGTGATGGGCGCAACAGAAACAACAACAGCAACGGCAGGTCACAATTAAAGGCAGGAACAAAACAAAGATAGCAATGACAATTAGCATCATTAGAATCATCATCATAATAATCAGCACTGTCATCATCCGTAAAACAATGACCTTTTGCTGATGATAGCTATAACTTTGTCGAACATTATGGCATACTGATACACAACTAGTTGAAACACAACGCTTCACCATGATGAAATTCATGGTCATAGCAATATTCATGATACTGACATGGTGAACATGATGTTTCGAACAATATTTCCATAGACATGATTATAATTTTCATGATGATGCTCATGAATATTGTAGTTTTTGGATGGGTTTAACACAAAAATGCAGGATATCCCTTTGTTTGATGGTTAAAACCACATTTCTATAAACAGGTTTCCTGGATATCCTATGAACAAATGCAGGATATCCCTGTGTTTCTAGGATTTTTACCCATGTTTCATGGTTCATCAAGCCACCTGTCGTCTCCGTTCCGTCAGGGTGGACATGCAGTCCATGGCCTCGCAGTACGCACAACAGGTGCGTAATGGGAGATGAGAACTGCCCATAAACACATGGGTCATTAAATGTCCCCATTGAACATCACCCAACCATTAGGTATATGGTCCATAATGGCTACTATAAGGTGATGCCCAATATTCCCAAAATGGGACAGTTACCAACCCCTGAAACAGTTAGGAATTGATTAAATAACAAACACAGTGAATGGATGGTGATACTGTAGTACTATAAAGTATCTATAGATATCTATAGTTGTTTTTTGTAAATGGTACCTAAGTTACTAGTGGATGGTTAGTCAAATTTGGTAAATGAGATCTAAGTGGGCTGTATTTGTGTCACTTCTACACTAGCTCTCCGGTTAAAAAATGAAGTGAAATGGATGCTCCAAGACTCTTTCCAGTCCTGATGACCAAGGCAATCACCATTGTGATGATGGGGATATAATGACATGATGAACCAACCAATTATCAAGTATGTGTTCATACTAATCAACCAACTCATCCATTTATTATTGATGATGATGACGACGACTATGGTGCGGATGATGCGGATGATGCGGATGTGCTTCCGCACCCAGCCGCAGGCACAACAAATGGCCGGGGATTTGCAGAACCAGGCACCCAAGCGAACAGAGTTGGGTGTGGAGATCCCCTTCTTGGATGATCATCACAGTCGAAAATAGCCACAGAAAGTGACACATTTTGACATGCTTCGATGAAATATCCCAAGCATGAAATATCATGACATCAATTTATTCCCCAATCATCCCCAATCCAGCAAGCACACAATACATACTTAAGACATAAAAAAAAAACAATAACAGGTTGGATAGTACATGTTTAGCATTAACCATGTATCTCTTTTACCATTTATGGACAATCCATGGTTAATGCTAACCATATTCAATGTAAAGTATCTATTATTTACATTAAACCATGGAATGTAAATGTACATTTATCATAAAATTTAGAACCATGTACATATTACCCATCGATAATTGGGATAATATTGATATTGGTCATATACCCTCTGGTAAACATACAAAAAGCTATGGAAAATCACCATTTTATAGCTGGGTAAATCCACTATAAATGGCCACTTCCAAGTGCTATTTTGACATAACCAGAGGGTAATGTCATTGGCTATCCTATAAATAAGATATCCCATCAGTTATGTCCCTATAATATCCCATCATGCATGTATATTTTTGTTGTGGGTACCCATGTTGACCAATCTCCATCTCCCACCATCTCCCACCACCGCTGCGCCAGGAATGGGTGAAGGACGCAAGTCAACGCGCTCAAGCCGCGGTGGCGGATGCACAACAGCGTGGACAGGTGCGCGGTTGCGGAGCGGACGTGGACAGGTTCGGCTACCCTCTGGTAAACATACAAAAAACGATGGAAAATCATCATTTTTAATGGGAAAACTCACTATTTCGACTGGGCCATTTTCAATAGCTATGTTAAATTACCAGAGGGTATGGTTTATGAACGTTTATGATACCTACAACTTTATAAAGCAACTTATAGCAAAACCAAAGAGATTCTTTAGCAAAATGTGGGTAACATCTATGGTGAATAATCACTAAGTGTATTAATTACCATGGGTAAATAATCATTTTTGCTAATTAATAGTAATCCTTACTGTGGTGAATGTCTATACTACTTAATGGGAATGATTACTATAATAATTGGTTTTAAAAAAATCATTAATTGTATTTCTACGGTTAATAGTCATGCTGGTAAACAATGCCATAAACCACCCATATGGATTGATGGTTTATACCACCCATAGGAATGGTGATGATTTATATTTTATGATTGTTTTGCCCACATTACATTCATACAGTAGTGAATTTCCATGTGTAACATTAGTAGATCACATTGAACATACTGTACTTTTTTCCAGAACAATGAGTTTGCAATGTGCTCACTACTTTTCGTCTAGTTTGTGTCAATTTATAAAATGTGAACGTCAAAACATAGGAAACCTATATGAATGTTGTAAGTGTTATTGTTTAGTGTGAATCAATTTTACTAGTTTCTTCTAGCTTATAAACATGTGTAAAGTTTAAAAGTCGAATACATTGGATTTAGTATTTGGTTTCCCAAAGTTTTAGAACTCAGATACTAAGTGGGTATCAAACACATCATGTTGATGACATGGATATCGGATGTATTCTACAGAAATCGGTGCACTATTAACCACGGGGAGTGTAATGATTGTAATGGAGAAGATACGATCTGCTGATAGTGTTGCGGCGTATGAATTTGGTTTCCCTTTACTGAATGGTTGCTACATGTATGCCCCCTAAATTTAATATGAAAACCCATACCTAATAGGCTGATTGGTGGGTTGGAACATGTTTTTTTTTTCCATATATTGGGAATGTCAACATCCCAACTGCCTTTCATATTTTTCAGAGGGGTAGGTCAACCACCAACCAGCATTACATCTCAAGGAAAACCCAAGTAATTCCCATTAAATCACCATAAAACCACCATTAAATCACCATTAAATCCCTGGGTTACAACCACTTATTGTTATCCATCATTAACCATTATCATAACCATTAATATTAACCATTATTAACAGTATATTAACCACATATGTTTCTTGGTGTTCTAAGGTTTCTTGGGGTGTCGCACCAACCTGACCAACCCAATGGATCAAAAGCAAGAGTTTCAGTAAGACAACTGTACCAAATGTTGTATCTAGACCAGGGAAGATATAGTATATATACACATGTTATTATAATATATATATAAATATATATATATATATATATAATAACACATTTATATATATATATATTTTTTGTTCCTGAATCATGCACTTGCACTTGAATCGGCGGAATCCACCATTCTCGAATCTCCGCGGAAACCCATGGGATATCCGTTGGCAACTCGTTGGCCGTTTACCAGTTACCCGGGCTGGTAAACGTTAACAAAAAACGATGGAAAGATCCACCATGTTATAGCTCGGTAAATCCACTATTTCGACTGGGCCATGTTCAATAGCGAACTGTTAAATTACCAGAGGGTATACAGTAAGTGACTAACTGGTGATTTCTATGGGATTATACATTCCAAATTATAGGCTTTTGTTAGTACTTATAGCTGGTATTTCGGGCCATATGGCCCAACTAACAGATCTAATAGTTGTTTTTTTTTAATGGGTGTATAATGATTTATAACCTGACTTATAGGATGGTAATGATTTATAAATGATTTAGAAATGGATGTATAATGATTTAAAGATTTATGTTTAAGGCTTCCCATGTTCGTTGCATGCCCATTTTCCCAAGGACTGGGGGTGTCAAACATCCTGAATTTCTATCGGTTTGGGCGAGGTTAAACAAACAAACATGCTATTCTATCGCTTTTGGCAAGGTTAAACAGTCGAGCCCACTGGGGATACTGGTAATCTCACATAGCCAGGGGAAAATGGCCATGGTAAATGGCAAGGTGCCAAACTGCCAGAGGCTACATCCCAGAACAAATCACATGAAATCACTCATTAAATTCCATTAAATCCCATGAAATCGCATTTAATCCCGATAAATCTCCATAAATTCCCATATTTATTCATCTTCCCTCCCGTCTCGATCTGGCTTCCCTCCCGTCTCGATTCATCTTTATTCAAAGGAGCTCTATAACAGCGAAGAAGTGCAGGGCCTGATGCAAGGACCCTGTCATGGTATTTCCTGGTGATTTCACCTATGATTTTTTCATGGTTAAATCCATGGTTAAATCCATAGTTCTTATTTAGACATCTGAAAAAAAAACAATAACCATAGTTGCTGACATCATATATTATATATATACATGATTCAATGATAGTTTATAATTAACCATTCTATGTGCGTGAAGAAATCCAGTTCCGCAAAAAAAACCAACCTGTCAGGATTGGTGATGTCTTTGCAAGCCAGGCTTCTGGAGGTTTCTGAATGGTTTCTGGTCTATCGAAGAACCGTGGCTTGACCAACGGCAGAAACCAACGTTTGTTTAGAAACCAACGGCAGCTGGTGTGGAAAATCTTGGAGCCTCACGGTTTGTTCGGATTCTGGCATGGGATGACCAGATACCATATTTATTTCATGGTTTGACTGTACATACATTAAATGGCATTGATGTGTGGTAGATTTACCCTGCCTGGTAAACACGCAAGAAACTATGGAACATCACTATGTTTAATAGGGAAATCAACTATTTCAATGGCCATTTTCAATAGCTATGTAAGAAATGACCAGAGGGTATCTAGATTCGGTACAGTTGAAATACCAGTCATGGATGGTTTGGGTATGCATCCATCCATTTGTATTGGAGGGTGGACAATTTGGAGCCACGTACATTTATGAGAGTTATCTTTACAGTCTATACATATCTACACACATGCATACAGTCATTCAGTCATTCAGTCATTCAGTCATTCATTCATTCATTCATTCATTGATTCATGGGTACAGACGTACGTATATACATACATATACTTAGGAAAGACATTACTACCCCCCTTCTGGTTGTAAACGCCACCATGGTATGGTCCCAAAATGAGTGGTGTCTTCCCTTACATCATGTTTTCTGGTTCTGTTTTTTCATGCGGGGCAAGGGATTGCCGATGAATCCATTTGATGATCTGTTTTTACCCGGCCTGGTAAACATACAAAAAACGATGGAAAATCACCTTTTCTAATGGGAAAATCAACCATTTCTATGGCATTTTCAATAGCTATGTTGGTTTACCAGAGGGTAATGTCATTGGCTATCCTATAAATAAAATATCCCATCAGTTATATCCCTATGATATCCCATGTATATGTCAACCCCATAATGGTTTTGTTATCCCATTGATTAACCCTATAATCACCCCTGGAGCTGCATTGTAGCAATAATAATCCCTTCCCCCCATTATTATCCCAAACTAAAATCCCTTAGATGTGAAAATAGATGACAAGGGGAATTGCGATACTAAAACCCCTTGATATCCCTATAATAGCCCTAAAGTACACCATTATTATCCATGATTATTCCCAAAAATATTGAATATCTCTATACTATTCCATAATATCCCTATAATATCCCCATGATATTCCTATGATATCCCTATGATATCCCCTTTAATTCCAATATCCCTATGTCCCTATGTCACATTCGTTACAACTCCCGATTTTTCGAAGGAGATCAGCTCCAGGCGGCGATGCAAGCGGGGCAGGACGCCGAAAGGATGGAGATGTCCGGGTTCAAAGATCTTCGTTTAAAAAAAAAAACAATCTGATGGGATGATATAAATAGTGATGGTTAATAGTGATGATATATTATTGCTCACAGTCTGAGATATTATTATAATGAGATGATATATCGGTTAATAGCGATGGTTAATAGTGGTTTTCGTAGGCTATAAACCAACAACAGGAATATGATGGTGATCTGGTTGATGGTTTGGAACATTTTTGACTTTCCATTCAGCTGGGAATGTCATCATCCCAACTGACGAAGTCATATTTTTCAGAGGGGTTGTTTTACCTCCAACCAGAATGAACATCTGAGATATTGATGGATAATTGTGTTTATGTTTCTTTTTTTAATGATAGCATATTTTTCAGATTGAACAAATCGTTGAATGTGTCGAATGTTTACCTTTAAGATTTCATCGGAAGGATCTGTTTGCCATCGGAATTCAAGTAACAATATGAATCTGTGGATTGTATCTTGGCGTCAGATGCAGGAACCCCAGCTTTCTTGGGAGGATCAACATGACATCGATGTTCATTTATGTTCTTTCGTTTTTAGTCGTAAACATATGGATCATATGGGTTAAAACCCTCTTACTCTACCTTAACAATCCTTAAAATAGCTGATGAATGGATGTTGATTTCCCCAATCTCCCCCAACACCATCTATAGGTCAGTTGGCACTAAGTTTTCTATCATCACTCTACACAGCAACACCAATGTTTTAAGCTGGATACTCATAGAAAATTATATGCATCACAGAAAGCTATATAATGGTATATACTATACATGTCATATATTAAAATACATTGTACATATACACGCAGTTTGCATGTTTCATATCCTTTCATACCTTATTACTGGACCCTGGCCAATTGTTGGCTCGAGCTTTGCGGTACACCCGAAATGTATGGACCAAGAAGGGTGGCACATGTGGTTAAGCTGAAGAATGCATCCAAAGATCGCCACATTCACAATATCTACTTGCACAATGAGCTTTGAAACGCAGATTCTTCATGTCTATATTAGACAATGTAATCATAGACACACTCAATACGTAAGGAAAAAAACTCTACACCAACAGATCCCAACATATTGGGTCCTTGCCCTTCTCGGATTCTCGGAGCATATCCAGTTGGATCAGCTGAAAACCATGGCACCACGTCATGGTTCCTTGGCGTCGGCGTCGCAAAACCGGATTCCGGGGTGGTCAGCCAGGGGTTGTTGTTTTTGTCTAAGTGAAGGGCATTAAAGTAACATGAAAGTAGATATGTATAGATATGTAACATGACATATGATGAATTATTAGCAGGGCTTATCTATTGCTTGATTTGTTTTTAGATTATCTAAAGTTATGGTTGCTATGTCTATATAATATACTATGTATATATATATATATAGGATGAGTATTCCCGAGTGACATTTCAATGTCGTTGGACTTGGGATCGGACTTGCACTCAGTGGGCTTTGGTTCATGTTGGTTCCACATGTAATTTCTATTTGATGGTAGGCTAGATTTGATGTTGTCCATGAGAACCTGCAGTTATGGCCCTTAACAGTTACAAATGAATTTATAATATAATGATGTGTATATAATATATATATATATATACACATATGACATAAGTTATAGGAGTTATATGTCCATTTATAACTGTTAGTTGGGCCATAAGAACCTGCTGTCAAATTGGGCAAGTTTAGAGCTGATTCCTATCAATAATGACCTGAGATACCCGGCTAAATGCACCCGTATACGGCACCAGACTATTTAAGTATGTATATATTCTTATCCAAAACGGACTCTTGCTGGATTAGATGATCATAATTTATATATATATATATATATATTTATTTATTTATTTATGTTCGGTTTCCAATCTATTTGGATATCATTAAACAAAAACACAAAAATGTGATTCCAATATGAGATCCTCCAATATCATTAATATCATTAAACAAAAACACAAAAATATGATTCCAATATGCGTTTGGATTTCATCAGATAGCCTCCCAATATATCGATCTAATCTTTCCACATCTTTCGTCGGTCCCACCGAGGCTTTCGTCCCAGCCTGGCAGTCGTCGGGTCTCTTGTGGGGTGGTTCGTGGCGTCGCGGAGCGAAGGATTTTCGTTGCCCTTGAGGCACACGCGCACTGGCGCAGCGCTGGGTGCGATGTGAAAACTGTGAAGGTTCACCAAATGATTTGGGATATAATAGCTATGGATTACATAGCATTGCATGATTTTGCCATAGGTTTGATGTATGGTTATGTCATGTTATGTCATGTTATATAGTCTTAGAGAAGGGGTTGGGGTTGCATGAGGTATTGTACTATGAGGCTTAGGGCATGCTATGGTACTAGGGTATTAGGGTAATGGGGCTGGAAGGGTTGGTGTAGGTTTGTCACACAAGTGAACCAAGGAAAGTTGAAACGTTAAACGTCCAGACTAAAATTTGGAAAACCATGGGTTCGAAGTCACCTGTTCTCTTCCAGAAGTGCTTTCTTTCCCACAGAATGTAGGTTCAGTGATGGGGCTGCCCTGTTTCAGCTTCAAAATCTGCCACCTACATTGTTCCAGTTGATGGATGTTGGTTGAAAATTCATGAGAGCTTGCTTGGATCCCCCCGATCCCGTTCTCTTGATACGAAACAACCGCGTTTCCCTCTGACATTTTCCCGTGGCAACCACTAGCAGTTTGCTTGTGAAATCCAAATTTCTTGGCTAAATCGTCGTGTTTTGCTTGACGTCCAACAAACTGTTCCCCTCAAAACGGCCATTTTGGTACCCTCTGTTCAGACATGGATCCATTGATGAATTCCCTCAATGTTTCATGGTTCAATTTTGCCATGATTCACCATGTTTCATGGGGGTATCATCCGAAGAGCCGCAAGATTTCAGGCTAGTGAATCATCCCCAAATGGAGGTGGATTTCCCGCAAAGAAAACCATCCAGCGTTTTTGGGGTACCCAGCATCTATCTGGTTGGTGGTTTGGAACATGACTTTTCTTTTCCATTTCATATATGGGATAATCCCAACCCCATTGACTTTCATATTTTTCAGAGGGGTAGGTCAACCACCAACCAGTTATGGAAAGCCCCAAATCTTACAGGCGACAGCTCCACATGGCAGGCGTCGTGCGCTGAAGGGCACAGTGATCGATGCACCACGTGACTTGGAACCAGATCCACATCGCCCAGGGTTACAGTCATTAATGGTTTCGATGATGAATCTATGGTTAATCTAATGCTTAATCAAAGGTGTATCTATGGTTAATGGTTTATCTATGGTTGATCAATGGTTATCAATGGTTATCGATGGTTATTAATGGGGATATGGAGGTTTCTCAAGTCATTGTGGATCCTCAAGTCACCCCCCCATGGGTTTCAATACTAAGTCATGGTCTCATGACTTGGATGATTTGGGGGTACCCATTTTAGGAAACCTCCATTTATTCATTAACTTGATCGATTCACGATGGTTGAACCATTCAGTGAAGATCATTGATATTAATTTAACAGTAGATGATCTAAGCATCATTTAACCTGTTGAGGATGTTATGAACATTAATAATTGTTTATCTATGGTTTGTCTATGGTTTCTCTGTGGTTTCTTTGTGGTTTATCTATAGTTTATCTCTGGTTTGTCCATGGTTTATCCATGGTTGATCAATGGTTATAGGTAAAGCAACCACGGGGATGAAACCAGGAATATGGAAAGCCTAGTTTGATCCCTGCCATCCTTTGAAAACAGCATCAAATTCGGCATCCGATCCATCCGTGAAAATTTCAATGGAACACCATGGAGTGTGATGGCAAATATTGGAAAATAAGATATTCAACCATAACAAGAGATCAAATCAGGCCTTTTTTTTTCCCCACCTGCCAGGTGAGGGTTGTTAGATTTTATGTCAGTTGCCTCCTCCTGCCTCCTGCCTCGTCCTCCTCCTCCTCCTCTCCTCCTCCTCCTGCTCAACCGCGACCCTCGACGCACAGTGGTCTCTGTCGGACCTCAACCACGACCATCCACGCCCAGTGTTCCCTGCGGGACCTCAACCACGACCATCCACGCCCAGTGTTCCCTGCAGGACCTCAACCACGACCATCCCCGCCCAGTGTTCCCTGCCGGACCTCAACCACGACCATCCACGCCCAGTGTTCCCTGCCGGACCTCAACCGCGAGTATCCCCGCCCAGTGTTCCCTGCCGGACCTCAACCACGACCATCCACGCCCAGTGTTCCCTGCCGGACCTCAACCGCGAGTATCCACGCCAAAAGATATGCCACATAGAGTGCCAGAAGATATGCCAGATAGAATGTTAGAAGATATGCCAGATAGAATGCCAGAAGGTATGCCAGATAGAATGCCAGATAGAATGTCAGCTAGAATGCCAGAAGATATGCCAGATAAAGTGCCAGAATGTTTGCCAGATAGAATGCCAGCAGATTTGCCAGATAATATGCCAGAAGATATGCTAGATAGAATGCCAGATGGAATGCCAGAAGATTTGCCAGATAATATGCCAGAAGATATGCCAGATAGAATGCCAGATGGAATGCCAGAAGATATGCCAGAACATATGCCAGAAGATATGCCAGAAGATATGCCAGATAGAATGTCAGAAGGTATGCCAAATAAAGTGCCAGAATGTTTGCCAGGTAGAATGCCAGAAGATATGCCAGATAGAATGCCAGATCGAATGCCAGAAAATATGTCAGATAGAATGCCAGAAGATTTGCCAGTAACAAAATGTATAAATGTCATGGTGTGGATCACACGAAGTAAAGTAATTTTTGTTTTTGGCCATTTGACCAGCAGAAACAGCAATTTCACCATCAAATTTGGGTATTTCATTGGAAGGATCGTGACACGGTTTGGGTCGGTTCGACATGATTACTACTGCGGCCCTCTCCAAATGTCAACCATATGGGTTGTGTTATCCCACTATGAGGTAGCTGTGTTGCGTACCAAGGTGTGTTGCGTACCAAGGTGTGGGCCTATCTTCCTAAGGGTCGATGAGCTTTCAGTATGCAAAAGGCAAGCGTAGGCATACTGACAACGAACTTCATGTAACTATAGTTAATGGAATCATCAGTGGTGACATGCATATCATGACTGATTAATATCGTTGCATATATGTTTTCCTATTGCAGCTAGAGGCAGACATAAACGTAGCCTGGATTGGAACAGGATTTTAAGCCTGGGTCAGGCCACACGGTAGCTGAGGTGTTCGCGTGGATATGCCTGTCACTCGTTTGGAAAAAAAAAAACGTTCAGAGCGTTGTTTGAAACGTGTCAAAGTGACACAGTTGATATATGTTGATATGCAACGATTGGGATCTCATGTTCCTTCTTCAGATTGCCATTTTGGGGTTCCCAATTTGAGACAAAGCCACGGTGATAGGCTGTTGAGATGTTGGAACTCGCTTTTACTAGCATGTTCAACGGCTGCCTTGCAGCCTGTGGTTCAGCAGATGTGTGTATCAAGTAGTGAAGTAGTGGTGACTCTGGAGCGACGCCCCGGGTGTGTCTCAAGATGGGGTATAGTCCCCAAGAATGTCAATCTGAATAAGGGAAAATTACGATTGCTGTAACGAAAATTGGATTTTCGACTTTCGAGGTATCCAAAATTTTCAGACTCACCGAACTGTAAATTGCGGTCTGTTATGGACATAAACCCTACTTAAGTACCTGAAAATATCATGTACAATGTAAACCTGATTGCGGTGTCTGGATTTCTGGACATTTCATCAATCTCCGATGATGATCATCTCATGGTTTTTAAACAAAAGAAATGGTGAACGTCGTGAACGTGGGCGAGCTGGGACGTAGATTTCCCCAATGATATTGCTACAAAGCTCCATGGAGTTCGGAGATTTCCATTGTGCCCAGAGGTTTTTGTCGGATTTTCTATGATTTGCCCCATAGTTTGGATGAGGTTTCCTATGTTTTTCCCTTAGTTTAGACAAATTTTCTATGATTTTCCCAATGTTTTTCAGAATTCCCCATGGTGTTCCTATGGTTTCCCCATGTTTTTCCAGGGCTTCTCCCAGGTTTTTTGGAACCAAGGCATCCTTGATGGAAGTGGAGGAACCGCTGGCCCTGGAGGCCGCTCGAAGTTATCAAGCCGTAGAGCTCCAGGTGCCATGGCTGCCATGGTCAATGGCTGTTGTTTTTTGGGTAAAACGGCTACTATAGATATGGAAAAGCCATGGTTTTAGTGATAGTGATGGTTAATAGATGTTAATAGTGATGGTTAATAGTGATATATTAAATCATTGATAATAGTGATGGCCATTTCTGGTTACCATAGTGGTTTTTTTAGTGGCTACTACTAGTGTTTTATCACTGACTACTAGTGGTTAATAGTAATACCACTATGGTAATATGTGACTTTTCCAGGTACCATAGTGGTTAATAGTGATATGAATAGTGGTTTTACCACCAACCAGTATGGAAAAACCATCAAAATGGATGGTCAATGGCTGGTAAACGGTTACGATATGGAGGTTACTACAGATATGGAAAAGCCATGGTTTCAATAATGGTTAATAGTGATGGTTCATAGTGATATATTATTGGTTACAATCTGAGATATTATTATAATGGGATGATATATTTGTTAATAGTGATTCGTGAATAGTGGTTTTCATAGAGTATAAACCAACAACAGGAATATGATGGTGATCTGGTTGGTGGTTTGGAACATGACTGGATTATGACTTTCCATCATATTGGGAATGTCATCATCCCAACTGACGAACTCCATCATTTTTCAGAGGGGTAGTTTTACCACCAACCAGTATGGAAAAGCCATCAAAATGGATGGTCAATGGCTGGTAAACGGTTACGATATGGGGGTTACTATAGATATGGAAAAGCAATGGTTTCAATATATTTCAATAGAATAATTTTCCACAACATTGATACACATAGTCACATAGTATGTTTTTCTTGCATGGAAATGGAATGGTAAATGGTGGTTCCATGGATGGTAATGGATGGTAAATGGCTGGTAAGTGGATGGGAAATGGATGGTAAATGGTTTTCGTCAGCCTGGGGTAAACGGTTACTATAGATTTGGGGGTTTCCTGAAAATGGATGGTTTGTAGTTGTGGGAACCTCCATCTGGAAAAGCCATGGCCTCAATAGAATAATTGTCTACCAATTGATATTTAAATGCTGGGTTTTCTACATCTATGTCTATGTAAACGTGTACAGGAGGGTAAATCATGTTAAATCCAACATATGTGGATTTTAAATAAAGATTCTATGATGGAATTCGAGGCTGGGGCTTGTGGAATTTTGGGAACTTCTGGATCAACCGATGATGGAGAGTTTAGTAAAGCAGTAATATGGTGCCATAAACCGATATGTACTTACCAACCCGCCTTTCTGTTTTTTTTTGTTTGTTTGCATGGTATTTAAAAAAGGCCACAATGGTTATTAGAAGTCCTTTTGTTTTTTTCGGTCAAGAACAATCAAAGTGACATGTGTAGTTTCCTCCATTTGAGGTCACAGAAAACATTTACCAGAAGCACTTGTAATGGTAACTTAGCATTTCCCAAAGGTTCACTGTGGACCAAGAGGGTATCTCATTGCTTTTTGGATGTTAGTTTTGTTCACTTCTACAGTTCAATCCCGTTCGTGATGGTCACGGTCTTGGATACATACCACTAGTTCTTGGGTATCCTCCCAAGGAGGTTGCAACATGTTGATAAACACAAACGTATACTCCTAGTCTGAGTTCTTCAAAGTGACCCTATCAACTTTTCAAGCACCATTTCGAGGTCACTTAACCCCAAGAAATGTCACATTAGCCACCTATTTTAAGGGCCACTTTGAAGAACCTGGCTTCGTTTCGATGTCGTACAGGTGCCCTCGTGGGTGTCGGAGAAGCCTATTTCCACGTCCTTCATCGCGGCCAATGATATGCCCTACGAGGGAAATGCAGCCAAGAGGTGTCTTGGGCGAAGAAAAAAGGGGGGTTCCCTGGGAAAAAAAAACAGAGAAAAATGGTGGTTGAAGAATTTGCTAATGTTGAGGGGTGAAGAAAGAATCATGTTAGAGACACCATGAGACACCCACAGGAGAATCATTCGATTGGGTTTGGCCATGTGTATAGACAGCTAAGATAAAGAAAGTTATTTGAGACTCCGTAAGGCCTGTGGTGTAGTTCAGTACCAAAATTTGCACTTGCCTCGAGGCCCCAGGCTTGTGGCCCAAAGCTTCAGTGGTGTTGGTCCAATGACATCTGTGATGAGTCTTTGAGCCCCATCAGCAAGATCCAAAATCAACCAACAGCTCACCCCATCTTCCACAATCATCAAGATTGTCCTAGAAAAAACCTACTCCGCGATTATCCAAGAGACATTTCATGACATCTCATGACATCTCAAAACAAGGGTTTGTCTGAGATTATGGCCAGCTGGTGTTGGGAAAATGATGAGACCATGATAATTATAATCTGCTGGATTGTTGAGTACCCTATTATCAAAGCCATATCATGTGACATTGATACAAGGTGAAGGTCCCCCACTTGAACAAAGTTGGTTTCAAACCTTGTCAAGTATAGTGTTTTGTCTGTCATAAACCCTACTTTATGGAGGATAATAACTCAACAGTTCAATTTATATAAATATATCTATTATATATACGTATATATATATATATATATTGTCATTTATATCCTTCATTGCCAGCCAACACTTCACCAAGCTAGCCTCCTTTGAGGCCTCCACCTTTGGTGCCGTGGCTGCGCCCCAAAAAGAGACAGCTGATCTCTTTGAGGTTGAAGCATCGGATTACCCGGCCTGGTAAACATACAAAAAACACTGGAAAGATCCACCATTTTTTAGCTGGGAAAACTCACTATTTCGACTGGGCCATATTCAATAGCTATGTAACAAATTACCAGAGGGTATGTTTGTTTTTTGAAGGAGCTTGTTGTACTAAGATTACTAAGGAACCATGAAGATTGATGGTTTCGATGATTGGTTGTTGGCTTCCCAACAGACAATTGATGTGGTGCTGCGATGTAGTACAACCCCGTCGGTGGTTGGGGATGATGTGGACCGTGGCATGTCCAAAACTTCAATGAGAACCAATTGATGAAAGCAACATTCACTGGATGTGTAAAATTCAAGAGAACCAAGAGTTCGTATCCCCAGATGCCAATAGATCATCAGCCCATGAAGTTTCACATGTTTCACCGCAGCAGGTGCGCGTTTTTTTCTTCAGGGCCCAGTCACCAAGATTATGGTGATTGGAGATGTAGAAATACCCCCAAATCATCCAGTTTCATAGGATTTCCAGTATAAACCATCCATTTTGGGGTACCCCCTCCCATTTATGGACACCCCTATGTTGTCTCGTTTTCACCTTTCCAAACATTAATCTGGTTGGTGGTTTCATACATTTTTTATTTTCCATCATATATGGGATAATCCTTCCCATTGACTAACACCCTTCAAGATGGTTAGAACCACCAACCAGGTATAATTTAACGTAGCTATTGAAAATGGTCATAGAAATAGTTGGTTTACCCATTAAAAATGGTAATTGTCCATCGTTTTTTGTATGTTTACCAGAGGGTAAGATACTTGAAATCCTCGGAAGATTACTTCAGTTCATTATGTTCGACACGAGATGGAGGAGATCTTTGGAGTTTGTATCCAACCCCGCGATGGTTGTCCAATTGCTCTCTGTTACCCATACACAACTTGAACATGGCACAATCATCCCTTTAAACGCTATTAAACCTTAGTCAAGCCTCGTATACATATATATATATATACATGTTTGACCATTATTTATATATATATATAATCCCACTAAATCAAAGTTAAATCCCATCAAATCGACCTATTATGTTGACCACTATATATTAAACTCCATTCAATCACCCTAAAATCCCATTAATTCACTATTCAATCCCATAAAATTACAATTAAACCCCATTCAATCCCATTAATTCACTATTCAATCCCATTAAATCACCATTCAATCCCATGAAATTACAATTAAATCCCATGACATATCCATTGTATATGGCCCAACCACCAGCCTCCATGAAAGTCCTAGGTCTTGCTCCACGGCTTTGACTCCTCCGCCCTGGAGTTCCGACGGCTGCTGCCCTTGCTCAGCGAGGCTGGTGTGGAGGCGCAGGGACGGGGAAGTGGGTGCCTTCCCATGGCGGCCCTTGACAGTTTTTATTTATGGTGATGTTATGGGATTTTATGGTGATTTTATGGTGATTTATATAATGGTGATTTAATGGTGATTTAGTGGGATTAATGGTGATTTTATGGGATTAAATGGGTTTATATATATTGACATATAACATGTTTTTATGGTTTTATAATGATATCTAACCCGATTTCTAGGAGTTATATGATATAAGATGTCCAGTTATAACTGTTAGGGGCCATAACTATAGTGATTTTTCTCCCAATATTCCCAGGGATATGTACCCAATATCTCCAATAAAATGAATATGATGGGGAATATGATTGAGAATTGGTGATTTCATGGGAATATCATTGTGATTTAATGGAATACAATGGGGATATTAGTAGGATATGGTATATTATGGGACTAGAACTGACGCATACTAGGGAAACCTATCAACCAAGTAGTATAATGAGGTGGGATCGGGGTATTCAGCAACTGTCAATTTGGATTGTCATGGGGGAATTCCATGGGGAATCCTACTGCTGTGAACCGTGGGGAATCTTACGATCTTAACTTTGGCGAGTTAAGCAGGAATATTGGGGTGAATTGATGGGCTCATAACTATCAAACAGAAAAGAAAAACATCGCCTGGCATGGAAAGCATGTTCGGATTATCCAAGGGTTTTTCTTTAGGGATAAACTCTCCCTGGTTTATCCCATTTATCAATTATATATGTATACATAGTCTGTGTGTATATCATCAACAATTGTATATGATCAAGGTAAATAATCATGATTTGTTGTTTCATGATCAATGTTCATGATCAATATTATTGGTAAATATATTATATTGTACATTACTAATGATTCATCTTTCATGTTTTTGTTTGACGTATTTTCCTAAGTGCAGGCTAAACTATCGCATCGAGGTTTGCTTCCAAGTCGCCCCGCGTATGTATTTGAAACAGTGGTGTTGAAACCCCAAGATTTGATGCTTGATGATCATGTTCCCCATAATAATTGGACAAACCTGCTTGGAAAATAGCAGAGTTTTCAAGCTTGTTTGCCATGAAATTGTTGGTTGACACCCATTTCTGCATTGTTTCCTTGCTGGTGACATATTTTTTATTGCTGGGTAAAGCTATTTTTTGATTCCACACCCAATTGATGGACGGAATAAATCTATTTATCTTGATGGTACCATTGCTGATGGTGCGAAATTAACCGTAATCAGGTGGGGTTGTGTCAAATTTCGGAAGCCCGTTCCATTCCATCGATTCTCAGGTTCCCCATTCAAACAGCCATTTTGGTATATTCCATCTATAGTTTTTCTTTGTAAAGAGATATAGAAATTTAAACTTTTTGTCCTGCTAAGAGTGATCAGGGTGCAATTCAACTGACTTCCACAGAATGTTGAGACACCCACAATATATATATATATATACACAGATTATATGCACATACATATATACATACATGATGGGTATATTCCTTTAATATCCTTTAGCTAGTAGCTACATCCAAAATACATTATCAATCATCAATTAATAAGTCATCAATCATCAACCATCATTCATCAACAATCAATCATCAATCATCAATCATCAATCATCCACAATCAATCATCAACAATCAATCATCAATCATCAATCATCGTTCATCATCATCATCATCATCATCATCATCATCATCATCATCACGGCTGGTTTCCCACATATTGAGCCAACCCTTGATGCGGACCACATCACAGGTGTATCTCGTGGATCTGTTAGGTCCGCGGCATGGCGTGGACAGCGGTGTGGGGAGTAACTTTGAAGAAGTCGCCCAGCCACCAATGACGTACGTAACATGATAACATTACTGGGTTCAGCGCAATTCTTCATTGGATTGGAGATTTTTCATGGTAAAGAACCATGCTTCCCGGTAGATTTTCCCAACAAAGCCAATCCAATGAATGGTAGAACAGTGGGACATCATCAGGGACAGTGATCAATGTGCACCTTAAATTCTCGGTTGAAACTCGAACTGACGGATCGATCCGCCTCACCGCCAGTCCCATGGTTATGTTCTTACTTGATGTGTTTGCTAAGGAATCATGAAGGTTGTTATTATTCAGAACATAGTGTTACATTAAATCAACAATATTTTGCTAAAGAACAACAGTAAGGAATCTTTCTTTTACATTGCTATTAAATGCATTACAAGGAGTACGACCTGCAGAAAAAACACCTCATCATGGATGTAACCATCGCTGGTCGAGTGTGGAATGATCCAACTGAAGTAAGCAACAGGTCAGACATGTGGACCTTACTTGCACCCATGATGATTATAGAGGTTTGTTTCAGTTTCCATTTGACCAAGTAAGTCTTATAGATAGCTGTATGTATATATATATATATATGTACATGAAGACACACATATATATATATACACACCTCTACAACCACTGACAGTGGGTTCTACCCCAATTAGTTAAGGTTTTTGAACTCAACAAACATTTGTTTTCGAACTGTCAAAAACGGTGGCAACACTCGGTTTCCGATCTCACAGGCTGGGGCTTCGGGGAAAAGGAGGACGTGACCAACTTCTCCCCTGAAGCCAAGCGTGACCAAGCGACGGTGAGTCGGGATACCCTCTGGTAATTTTCTACAAAAAGCTATGGAAAATCAGCATTTTAATGGGAACACTCATTATTTCTATGGCACTTTAACAGACATAGCTATTGAAAATGTTCCATTTATAGTTGATTTACCTATTAAAGTTGTGATTTTAGGGATACCCTGTGGTAAACGTTAACAAAAAACTATGGAAAAATCCATCATTTTATAGCTGGGAAAACTGACTATTTCGACTGGGCCATTTTCAATAGCTATGTAGAAAATTACCAGTGATGAGTATTGGTGAAGCATCGAAAAACTATTGTCCCAGGATGTGAAAGGATATTACCCTGATATTCCAGGAAATTTGAACATAATCTATACTTATTGTTACCCAAGTGTTGGGTTGATGGGTTGATGTTTCATAGCAAAATGACTCCGAATCTTCTTTTCTGGTTAAACTATCCCCGGGATTATTCAGGTATATCATTGTCGTCCCATAAGATATCCTCCAGCCCATCTATGCATATTGTTGATTGCTAAGATCATCTTGAATCTCCATCTATCCTTGTACCCTCCGCTTTTTGGCCACCTCGAGATGTCCCTTTTTCAAAATGGCAATCTATTGGGATTGGTCATCCACCCCCTTGACTCCCACCTCTAAATCCCACTTCTAGGATGAATAATTTTCCAGGATACCACCATCATTAAATCCACAAACATCCTCCATCATGGATTGGGAGATTTTTCCGTATCCCGGTAATTTTGTGTATCACCACATTGACTTCCCAAGGTTTTGTGGTGAATTTCTCCCATGAATTATTTAAGTGACACATATATCATTTACTGCTGATATCTCCATCGATTATCCAACCCATTCCGGCAAAATCCTCATTATGGAATGGTTTTTATAATGGGAAAACGATCTATAGATGGTGAATTTCCATCATGTTTGCTTGCTGGAGAGTTTCATAATTCATCATTACCCTCTTATAGGATTGGTGATTTATCCCGCACTTCCAAGCTGAACAGATATCCCATTATTAATCGTATCATTGAATATATCCCGATGATTATTGGTCAATATTTTGTAAGTATAAACCTAACTCCTCACTGAACTATCAACTGACTGTTTTTATTCACAATGATTTTCCGTTATTAACGAATTTCCCAGCCAATTGTTACCTATCCATTCTCCAACCCTGTGAGCCAATTAGCAAACTTTGTTAACCACTCTTAGCCATTTTTAGCCACTATTAATACGTATTATAACCATTATAAATCCAAGTGATTTAATATTAATGATTAATTATCAACCAGGTTGACTATTAATCTTTAGCATCTTTTGTTGATATTCCCAATTTTTGTTAATGTTTATAGTTATATTCCTATTTTGTTTATTATATAACAAGTTTGAACTATTATTGATCTTAATATTCCCATGATATATTCCCAGGAAATCCCATTCAATCACCATTCAATTCAAATCCATTAAATCACTAATTCCCAATCATATTCGGACTATTGCATGGAATATCATGAACTCGTCCATAAAACACATGAATTCATATTCCCAATCACTAAATCACCATTTAGATTTCATGGGATATTCACCTATAGGAATAAGAATTGGATTAACCGACCATGAAATCACCATTCTTAAGTTGCTTCTCCCAAAAGGTGAAGATATCCTTTGAAAACCACTCTGAAGCCCATGATGAACCACCCATTGTCATGGTTAACCACTATCATTATCCATTATATCACCCATTAATGAACCATTAACCACTATTAACCACTATTAACCTTGATTAACCATGATTCACCACAGATTAACCATAGATTACTGTAACCACTGTTAGCGACTGTAATTCTTCCACGATGAAACACCATGATATCTCCCATGATTCCATCGAACTAAAACACCGAGACATCGAGCCCATGGGTGATACTTAATATATTTTAATACTTACATCACTTTTGTAACTTATTGTAAAACCATAATATGTCCATTAACTATTATGAACTATTGTTGAACTAACTTATTGTATCAATTCATTAAATGGATAACTGATATTAACCATTAACCATTATCCGTTTCCTACCCATGATGTTCCCATGAATGAACCATTATCATTTCATTCACTCTATTGCTATTGGCTATAACCATTGACCATTAATGAATCAGTACATCACGTTTTATTGTCAAACCACAATATGATCATTAACTATTTTTCACTAGTGTTGAACTAACTTATTGTATAACATATTCATTAAATGGGTAATTGTTATTAACCACTAAAAGAACCATTAACCATCATTAACCACTATCAGTAACCACTATCATTAACAATCATTAACCATCATTAATCATCATTGACCATAATTTACGACTATCATTAACCACTATCATGTAACCATCGGTAACCTTCGTTAACTCTTCCCTGAGGTGAACATCTCCTGGCCTTCTGGTCGCAGCACTTGCAGAAGCGTCCCATGGTCCTGGGCGGTGCCTCGCTGGGCGGCGGCATCGCCATGGACTTCGCGGTGCAGCACCCGGAGGCGCGCCGCGCGCCATAGGAAGGGGATGGCTGGGAAATCTATGGGAAATCCATGGGAAATCCTGGGAAATCCTCATGAAAATATGGGAAACATCTAGGAACATGTCGGAAAATCCACTCGAAATGGGGCTTGGAATGGGAAAAACATCGGAAAAGATCTGGACAAATATGAGAATTGGAGATCCGTCTAATTGTGGGGCTTTGAATAGGATAATTTTGAGAAAAACATGGGAAAATACGGGAACAAACCAATCTCAATGGAGGTTTATAGCTGGTAAAACCATCTATACTACATATATAAATGGCACCGAACTGAATGATGGATTTTCCATTGCCATGCTTGATTATGGGAGGGTAAATGATGTATATTAATGTTAATTATTGGCGTTGTCACGGGACGGTAAATGATTGACACTTGAGGTGTCACTGTTGTTTCCGCAGATGTGCACCGTTGTTTTTTTGCGTTTCTTTTGGCGGCATAGGCGATGACGCTGTGTGAGATTCAATGATTTATTTCCATGGTGGCACAAGCACCCGTGGAGTAACGCACAGGTTTTTGTATTCACGTTCCATCCACATTTTGACTGACTGTTCTCAACTGGCCAGCACTCTTCATGAGAATAAGACCACGGCATGCAAGCGCATTCCAGGATTTTCATAAATGGTGCGTGATTCGCAGAAAATTAGATCAACCTGAGCTGAACAACCGGATTTTGGTGTTGGTAAACTGTTTGTTTCGTCACCAGATGGTACTTAAACGTAGCCATGGAAAATTAGCCAGTGTAGATGATTTGCATCTAGTTGTTTCCATGAATGGCAAACTGTCACATTGCCAATGGCTAGGTTCTACCTTCACTTGTTCGGCGATATCAAGTGATATGAAGTGATATCAAGTGATATTATCATATTATATCAAGCCAGTCAAGTATTTATATGTAAATACATATATATATATATATATCAGTAAAATAAACATGGAGTTCGTGAAAGTTTCGCGAAAGTAACATGTTTATTCGCGAAGAGTGGCCGTTCCCGGATAAAGGAATTTTGATCAACATCCATATATACAGTATATCCCTAGTATTCCTTGCCAAAATCCTCAAACGCTTTCATTCCCTTAGTTGATCATGGTTTGTTCACAGAACTTCCGGCCACGTTCGATTCCCCTAGTTCTTTCAAAAATCAATGAACATCTAAAAACAAATTAAACAACAAAAATTAATATATAACAAACATAATTGAGGATGTGCATTAGTTCATATTAGTTCTATATAATTATATTTCATTCCCCTAGTTCTCAGCATGTCCTTGGTTCAACCCCTCCCTTTAAAGGCCTTAAAGGCCTTAGACCGGGCCAGGCCGTCGCCAAGATGGTGCTGATGAACCCCCAGGGCTTCATCGATGGGGCGCCGAAGGTCGGTCCCCTGGGACCGCTGGGGATCAAAGTGTGCCATGGCGATGGAGGGGACACCTGGTGACCGCCTGTAGCTATGGAAACTCATGGGTTAATAGTGGTTAATAATCGTTAATAATGGTTAATAGTGGTTAATAGTGGTTAATTGTGGTTAATAGTGGTTAATAATGGTTAATAATGGTTGATAGTGGTTAATAGTGATTAATAATGGTTAATAGTGGTTAATTGTGGCTAATAGTGGTTAATAATGGTTAATAATGGTTGATAGTGGTTAATAGTGATTAATAATGGTTAATAGTGGTTAATTGTGGTTAATAGTGGTTAATAATTGTTAATAATGATTGATAGTGGTTAATAGTGATTAATAATGGTTAATTGTGGTTAACAGTGGCTAATAGTGGTTAATAGTGGTTAATAGTGGTTAATAGTCGTTAATTGTGGTTAATAGTGGTTAATAGTGGTTAATTGTGGTTAATTATGGTTAGTAGTGGTTAATTGTGGTTAATAGTGGTTAATTGTGGTTAATAGTGGTTAATTGTAGTTAATAGTGGCTAATAGTGGTTAATTGTGGTTAATTGTGGTTAATAGTGGTTAATAGTGGTTAATAGTGGTTAATAGTGGTTAATATTAATAATGGTCAATAAAGGTTAATAGTGGTTAATAGTGGTTAATAATCGTTAATAATGGTTGCTAGTGGTTAATAATGCTTAATAATAGTGGTTAATAATGGTTAAGAATGGTTAATAATGGTTGATAGTGGTTAATACTGGTTAATAGTGGTTAATAGTGATTAATAATGGTTAATAGTGGTTAATATTAATAATGGTTAACAATGATTAATAGTGGTTAATAGTGGTTAATAATCGTTAATAACGGTTGATAGTGGTTAATAGTGGTTAATTGTGGTTAATAGTGATTAATAATGGTTAATAGTGGTTAATATTAATAATGGTTAATAATGGTTAATAGTGGTTAATAGTGGTTAATAATCGTTAATAATGGTTGATAGTGGTTAATAGTGGTTAATTGTGGTTAATAGTGATTAATAATGGTTAATAGTGGTTAATAATGGTTAATAATGGTTAATAGTGGTTAATAGTGGTTAATAGTGGTTAATAGTGGTCAATAGTGGTTAATAGTGGCTAATAGTGGTTAATAGTGGTTAATAATGGTTAATAGTGGTTAATAGTGGTTAATAGTGGTTAATTGTGGTTAATTGTGGTTAATTGTGGTTAATTGTGGTTAATAGTGGTTAATTGTGGTTAATAGTGGTTAATAGTGGTTAATAGTGGTTAATTGTGGTTAATACTGGTTAATTGTGGTTAATTGCGGTTAATTGTGGTTAATAGTGGTTAATTGTGGTTAATAATGGTTAATATGGGTTAACAATGGTTAATAATGGTTAATAGTGGTTAATAGTGGTTAATACTGGTTAATAGTGGTTAATAGTGGTTAATAGTGGTTAATAGTGGTTAATAGTGGTTAATAGTGGTTAATAGTGGTTAATAGTGGTTAATTGTGGTTAATTATGGTTAGTAGTGGTTAATTGTGCTTAATAGTGGTTAATTGTGGTTAATAGTGGTTAATTGTGGTTAATAGTGGTCAATAGTTGTTAATTGTGGTTAATTGTGGTTAATAGTGGTTAATAGTGGTTAATAGTGGTTGATAGTGGTTAATAGTGGTTAATTGTGGTTAATTGTGGTTAATTGTGGTTAATTGTGGTTAATAGTGGTTAATTGTGGTTAATAGTGGTTAATAGTGGTCAATAGTGGTCAATAGTGGTTAATTGTGGTTAATACTGGTTAATTGTGGTTAATTGCGGTTAATTGTGGTTAATAGTGGTTAATAGTGGTTAATTGTGGTTAATAGTGGTTAATAGTGGTTAATAGTTGTTAATAGTGCTTAATAGTGGTTAATTGTGGTTAATTGTGGTTAATTGTGGTTAATTGTGGTTAATTGTGGTTAATTGTGGTTAATTGTGGTTAATAATGGTTAATAGTGGTTAATAGTGGTTAATAATCGTTAATAATGGTTGATAGTGGTTAATAGTGGTTAATTGTGGTTAATAGTGATTAATAATGGTTAATAGTGGTTAATAATGGTTAATAATGGTTAATAGTGGTTAATAGTGGTTAATAGTGGTTAATAGTGGTTAATAGTGGTTAATAGTGGTCAATAGTGGTTACTAGTGGTTAATAGTGGTTAATTGTGGTTAATTGTGGTTAATTGTGGTTAATTGTGGTTAATTGTGGTTAATAGTGGTTAATAGTGGTTAATTGTGGTTAATTGTGGTTAATAGTGGTTAATAGTGGTTAATAGTGGTTAATTGTGGTTAATTGTGGTTAATTGTGGTTAATTGTGGTTAATTGTGGTCAATAGTGGTCAATAGTGGTCAATAGTGGTTACTAGTGGTTAATAGTGGTTAATAGTGGTTAATTGTGGTTAATTGTGGTTAATTGTGGTTAATTGTGGTTAATTGTGGTTAATTGTGGTTAATTGTGGTTAATTGTGGTTAATAGTGATTAATAATGGTTAATAGTGGTTAATAATGGTTAATGATGACATACTGACATACTGTGGCTGGTTGCGAAATCCGATAAACCACCAAAAGGATGGTTGAAACCCTATAAATAGTGGGAAATACTAACAGTCAACTGGTGCAAGATTTTACAACCATTCACAGTATTATGTCATATTTACCAGTTATTTCAGAACGAAAACTCATCAACTGGCTACTCTATGTTTACATATAACATATAATATATATTTTATATATATGTATATGTATACAAACAGTCCTATGGTGTGCCCAAAGAGAATGGGGGGGCTGAAGCCCCTACAAAAAAAATCGAGCAAATCCAATCGATTTTTGACATAACTTTTGGGTCAGACACCAACATTTTATTTTTGGGGTGCATTTTTTTAAATGACCTCACCCATGAACTTAATTGACAGAGATAGCATGATAGCACAGATGCACAGCTGTGAACAGTCTGATCATTCCGCCAAACTTTCCAGAGATGTTGAATCACTTGGACATCATGGAACATATGAAACTGAAACAGCAATTAAGATGCTGAAGGCCAGCGCTAGTCCAACCCCAACAGGTTTGGAGATTTTGGAAAGGAATTGTTTTTTTTTGGAATGAACTATTTTGGAGGATCCTAAGGTGTATACATTGGAAAATTCAATGGTTGCCTCACTTGGCCAGCAAAAGATACACAAGATCAACCCAGGGGAAACAAAAATGCGGGCCCCAGGTGGGGGGCCTGACGCCATATTCTCTTAGTGCCTGTCCTGTGTGTGATGCTTGTATTTTCCTATCTTACCTTATGCCCTATCATGTTATTTACATTTTGTTCTTAGGCCCCTGCATTTTATTTTATTTTTTAAGGAACCCCACCTCCCCTGGCACCACACGACTGTTGTACAATAGACGTAAACAAGTTCTATAGAGAAATTATCAACCCGCTATCCATAACTTACATGACTTATCCATTGGATCAACCGGTTGGTGGTTTGGAACATGTTGTATTTTTCCAGTTGGGAATATCATAATCCCAACTGATTCATATTTTTCAGAGGGGTAGGTTGAAACATGTTGAAACCACCAACAAGTTGAGTTCTAAGATATACATGAACTATAGATCCATATAGCCTCTGATGATTTAACACATTATCGACAATAATCCATATATATAATCCATCAACCAGATATATATATATATATTAAACATGATTAACCATATAATAACCATAGATTAACCATTATTAACAGTATATTAACCACATAAAACCATCAGCCAAGATGGCTAGTCATCAACTCTAAGGTTGGGTTCCTGGCCGCTGCGATGGATGGCCAACCAGATGGCCTATTTCAACAAGGCGGATGAACTGCCGAGTTTGCACCAATGGTTGGGTAGAAGGTGGTGCCCCCGGCCACGATGACCGCGTTCAGTTGGTGCGTTTATAACCCCAATGCCAATAGCTAGGGTTTTTGTTGTTGATATATCGAACCAGTTAATGGGATTATAAACCAACAAACATCACTTGAGGGGCACCACCTTGTAGAAAATGCTACTAATACGATGAAAGGCCGATGAAATCACCAATGGTTGGCTAGAAAAGACCATAACTTATGCGGAGACTTACGAAAAACAAAGTTGGGAGAGGTCCAAAATGGTTGGCAAACGTTTCTGTGGCGATTCGGCTTCGAGGTGACCATATGGAAGCCCAAGGGCGGCCGTATTCACTATAGGAAAATGCTGATACCTGTAGGATACATCAAATCTTGCTGATCAATTCCCACTTATTGATGTTTGCATCCGACCTATGTCGACCAAAATCCCGGCAAAAATCACATGTGTTTCTTTAAACGCTACTGTAGTTGAGCCACTCATAGATGCTTGAATCAAGTTCAACCACCAGTTTGGTTGGTTGCAACACCATATGTTTAAATCAATCCCAGGTTGGTAATGTAAGTCCCAGTGAAACAACATGATTTCTACTCTCTAAAGTCCAGTTATTTTCTGGTCAAATCCCCATGATTTTCCCCTCAGTGGTCACCTCGTCACCACGTCGATCCCCGCACAGCAACGCTATGCCACGGACGACGCTGTACGCGTTGGGCGGCTGCACGTGGATACCGAGGGATGGGAGGAGGCGGGGCCTCCCGGATAGATCAGGATTCATCCCTAACTGGTTGGTGGTTGGTGGTTAATAGTGATGGTTTTTATAGTGGTTTTCATAGGCTATAAACCAACAACAATGGGAATTTGATGGTGATCTGGTTGGTGGTTTGGAACATGACTTTTATGACTTTCCATATATTGGGAATGTCATCATCCCAACTGACTTTCATATTTTTCAGAGGGGTTGAAACCACCAACCAAACATAGGGTTTCGCCAACATCAATTTTGGGATATCATTCCCTGATCCAGCCGTACCTTTCTGAAGTATTTTAGGGCTATGATTTGGGGGGTGTCTTGTACCTTCTCAGAAAGCGTTTGGATCAGGGATAGATATCATCAGTAACAGTGGGGAACTCGTTGGGAAAAACTTTGCTGGATCCCTATTAAGATATGACCAAAATGACAGGATGCCTCAGACACACAGATACGCAGCAAAGCAAGGCGTAATGTCATATAATGTCATTAGTTTCAAAATCATCTTTGGAATTGTATACCATGAAATACCATGGTATCATAACTATGGAAAATCACAATTTTTAATGAGAAAATCCACTATAAATCACCATTTTCAATAGCTATGTTTCGGGCATCACCGACTGAATAAAAGTTGGTGGGCTCGCACCCGCCAGGCGAGCCTCGACTACTTGAACTCCGGTGGCTACACACTCTCTCCCTTGGTTCGCCTGATTTGGCCTGAAGATTTGGGGATGAAACAAGTTTTACCAAATGGATGGATTACTATTTCTGGATGGGGGAATAAAGTTGAATAAACATGAATAAACATCCACAAGATTCCCAGCAGTTTTTCGAGCTATTTTGTTCGGGTACCATCCGGTTTTTTTCAGGTCACTTGACTCTGCAGAAACCTTCGACCAGTTTCCCGAGTTTCCTGTAGTTGGGGACGAATCTCCTAAGATATTCGCTCAAAAATCATGTGATACTCAACTCAAACATATCATGCTTTAGGAAGGGAATCGTATATGATCATATCTTGATGACCACCAATAATGTGAACAAATCTAAGGAAATATATGCTTTGGAAACTGAGATGATCAGAGTTTCCGTGTTTTCCACACGACCCCATCCCTTCGACGCCTGCGAACTCGCCAGGTGTCACAAGTGCACTGTCCCACGTTGATGCAACTTGGATCTGTGGGTCGGGTGCAAATTATGTACCAGTTGGGAACTCTTGGAATAGCCCAAACACCGACAAAAATGAATGGGTTCATATCGGAGATGTTTCCGTGTTGTCCTTAAAAAACCGGTTGTATATTCAGGATTCATATGTGTATGTGTTTTTTCTGGAAATATATAGTTACCCAAAGAATTCACCACATGATCAGAAATGATCAGAATGTTCTGTTTTCGGGCACAGGGGCAACCGCCATTCTCACCCCAAAAATCGCAAATATCATATCAGGTTATTGGTTATGTATCCGGTTATATTCAACTATATTCTATATTATATTCCCACATAATTCATGTTGTCTTTGGTTGGAGAATCGTTTTCAAACGCATTTGTTTTGCATTTGTCGAACAGGTACTGAAGCTTGTTTGAGGCTACCACGGCAAGTCAACCTGAAATCCCTGCAAGTCTTCCCGTGTGCCGAGACATGTTGAGACTGAATGCACTTGTTGGAAGCACACTCCACTGCAGTGTAAACACCATTTTATGGATTGTTTAACCCATCCAGATTCAGACAGATTTATAATATGATATAATGATATAATGAATGATATAATGATATACATACATATAATGTATACATAAACATACATGTAATATACACATAATATGCACATTAAATACACATAATATCACATAATATAATGAAAATGATCATACTTATCGCCATTATCAATATTAATATAGTATACAGTATACATATATATGTCACAATGTCATCCCCAACTATGGATGATGCCAAGGATTTGGGGAGAAGAGGACGTGTCTCAGTGGCAGAGAAAAATCCCGCGGAAGATGTGGGAAGCCATGATGTTTCAACAGGTTTCATGGTAAAACTGCCTCTTGAACATCACTGTGTTATGTTTTTTTTCTTTAATCCAAACTCCTGAGATTATAAAATTGAAAAACGGTTTTGAACCAAACTAAAGGTGCTAAACACATGAGAAAACATGTTCTTTTCTTCAGCCTTTTGATTTTCCAACATCCAGCTCAAAGGTAGATAGAAACGCCTTTGTTCAAACATCGTTGGCAGATCCGGTCGACCTTCGCAGAGCACCGAGGAGATTTTGGACGCACAGGACCAGGTCTCGCGATTCCAAGAGGAACTGCGTTGCCCTGTGACGCTTCAGTGGATCCAAGTCACTCGGTAGGGGCAGATGGGGAGATGGGCGACATGGGCGACCGGCGGACCGGCGTTTGGAGTTTGAGGGATACCCGGCCTGGTAAACATACAAAAAGCTATTGAACATGGCCCATTTATAGTTGGTTTACCCATAAAAAAATGTGATTTTCAATAGTTATGTTAGTTTACCAGAGGCTATCCCAAGACTGGGATTTTGTTTTGTCTTGACGCAAGATTGGTGCACATGGTATTTTGGAGGAAAACCCACGGAAAACCTATTGATTTGCGGGTCCATTTGAAGAAAACCCACCTCAGTTAGATACATGGAAATTCTTGATTTTTTGCAGGCAACCTACAGATAGCCCAGCAAAGGGCTGACGGGGTTGCAGGGGCCCACCCATTGACAAATGCGATCCCTTGGGGCCCACTTTAGCATCCAGGAAACGCAAATCAGCTGTTGAGAGTGCAATAGTATGTGTATATTATGTATCTGATTGGTGGTTTGGAACATTTTTTTTTTTCCCTATATTGGGAATAATAATCCCAATTGAATAATACTTTTCAGAGGGGCTGAAGCCACCAACCAGTATATCCAACCATCTATGTGTACCTAGATTTTTTTGGGGGGAAATACCAACCATCCAGAAATCTTCGCTATTTTCATCTGACAACCGTCTTTGGGCTTCGTGAAACCAAGCGTCGTTTCAGGACAGTGGCCACGTGCCACACTTGGAGTGCCTCGAAAAACACTGGATGTGCCGTTACCCCTGACGAAAAACCTGGTGTATTGGGTGAATCGATGGGAAAACCATGGAAAACCCATGGTTTACCATGGTTTTTGGGGGTGAATATATCCATAATACGTGTAAAGCCCCTACTAAACGATTGTTTATGAAGTTTTTTTGGGGGGTAAACTTAATATGAACAGGTTAGGGGATTAGTGTGTGGTAAAGCCTTTCCAACATGTCCAAACCATCACCGCAATGTTTTTCCTTGGATATACCGATATACGCCACTATGATATAATGTAATTACAATGACCTCCCACATGGTTAGTTACTGGCTTTGGTTTCTCTAAACATCACTGTCGGTTTTACCAAAATATGTTTGTGATTTGGTTTTCCCAACATATGTTTAAGTGATTTGGTAAACCCATGTAAACCCCTTGAATGATACACCATATCCATCCATATCCATCCATATCACCACGGTGGGTGATTTCACTGATATCACCACGTTGGATGCGCACAGGTAGGGGCGGAGAATGATGAGAGGAATATTAGCCGGTCATGTTTCACAGTTAGCTATGGAAAATCACATTTTGTTTTTTTTACAAAAGTGAAATCATCATGAATTTCATAGTTATGTGAATTTGCCGGAAGATATTCCAATATATTTGAACTACCACCACTAGGCTTAAGTCGTATCAATCGACCTGAAGTCGTATCACACCTGCGTGCGCGCAGTGTTTCGTATAGATTTTGATAGTTCTTTATTTGATGGGTTATTGATTCGAACACTTTTTCATCGCTGTGCGCAATGTTTTGTTGACATGATTCTATTTGACCCTACTAGCCCTAGCGTTAAGTCGTATCAGCTCGTAGAAGTTGTATCGGGAGGCCGTGCGCCTGGAAAAAGTTCAAGTTTGGCATCACCACAACTTTTAGTAATTGGACGATTTCATTGTTTTGGGGCCGTGCGCCTAGAAAAAGTTTAATTTTTGTATTGTGTTGATTTATAAAATTTATATTATATTTCATTATTCTTTCAACGGAGCAAACGCTGGTTGCTGCTTTCTGCTTGCTTTCTGCTTGCTTGCTGCTTGCTTGCTGCTCCTTGCTGCTGCCTCCTGCTGCTGCTGTTGCTGCTGCCTCCTGCTGCTGTTGCTGCTGCCTCCTGCTGCGGCTGCGGCTTCCTTCTGCTGCTGCTGCTGCCTCCTGCTGCTGCCTCCTGTTGCTGCTGCTGCTGCCTCCTGCTGCTGCTGCTGCTTCCGCCTGCTGCTGCTGCTGTTTCCTCCTGCTGCTGCTGCTGCTGCCTCCTGCTGCTGCTGCTGCTTCCTCCTCCTCCTGCTGCTGCTTCCTCCTCCTCCTCCTGCTGCTGCTGCTTCCTCCTGCTGCTGCTGCCGCTGGTGCAAATATTTCGCCGAAAAAGAAAATTACAGTCTCGGTCGCCTTGTTTGGCGCTGGCGGGAGATACGGGCGGGAGACGCCAGCAGAGAGAGGGAATGTTTACAGAAGGCAGAACTTATGAAACATTCAAGCGGAAGCGGATGTTGACAGCGGTGTGCCACTGGGTTTTCAGATTTTAACGTTGTTGATATGATGATGTTGCCCATAGCTATTACATGGAAATCTATGTTTGTTAGGAAACAAAATTAAAGATCTGGGAGGCCGTGTGCCATGGTGATTCCTAAATATATCCTTTGAAAACATAGTTTAAACATATGTGAATACCTCAATGTGCGCAATGTGTTCTTCATTTTTGGAGATATAACAACATTCCTTGAAAGCCGGTGTGCCATTGGGATTTTGATATTTTGATGTGACTTTTGCCCAATTGATGTGACTTTCTTCCAACTCGCTGTTACATGGGGTTGATGTGACTTCTGCCCAACTGATGTGACTTAAACCCTTCGCTAGTACTGTAAATCCCTCGATTTTTTAAGGATCCAATCTAAGATTATATCCCCAAAACATATTCATAAACCCTTCAGAACTTCAACGCCACAAACGCCTCCACGGCCTTCTGATGGGGGACCTTTGAGGCTGTGTTTGAAACGCCCATCAGACGATGGGAAGATTGTGGTGTATGGTCCTGGTGTTTTGATTTGATTATTATATAGCCTCTGGTTATGTCAAAATAGCTATTGAACATGGCCATAGAAATAGTGGAATTTCCCAGCTATAAAATGGTGGATCTTTCCATTGCTATGTTAGTTTACCAGAGGGTAGCGGATACCATTGTAGTATAAACCATAATTTCACATTTGAGGTTAATCATAAGATGTGAAATTCTGTGTATCATAAGGTTTATGATGGTTCAACTTAAACTGAAATTCTAAAATATCTTGGCTATGTTGACTGTTGGTATTATATTATTTTCCGATTTTCATTGATGGCTGATCCACGTTCATTGAATGCCCCCTGTTGTTTGATGCTTTTGATGCTGTGAAAGCCATTTTTGGTTTCGAAGGCTCCGTTGATGATTCAGCATCCATTTTGATGCTCAAATCACCCTGTTTCTCCATTCTCTAGTCATCAGGTGGACACGTCTTGATCCTTAAATCACCATGAAAATTGCTGCAGGTTTAAGGATAAAGTTGGAAGATATAAAATCTCCCAATATGTCTAAATATAAAACTCCATGATTACAATATAAAATCTCCAGTTTATTTCTAAATATGGTTTATAAACTGGAGATTTTCCCAGTTTATTTCTAATAAACCATATTTAGAAATATTATTCCCAGTTTATTTCTAATCCAATATAATGTTCTTTTCCCAGTTGGAAGTCCAGCGAAAACTCAGGAAGCCAGCGGAGACAGCTGCTGCCATTCAGGTCATGGGGAGATGTTTTGGGGCAACGGATGGGATTTTAATAACACCATATAATAGTAACACTATATATATATATGTAGTAATAATATATATATAGAGAGAGTAACTATATCTATATATACATTAGTAGTATGATTAGATTATATGAATATATCAATACAATTTTTATAACTACATATATATATATATAAGGAGATGTTAGTATATGTACACTCACCTGGTACATATTCTATGACATTCGTCGACGTTCATATCTCGATCAACATATTCCTGTGGGTTAATGCCAAGTGCTTTTACATACATGTATGGATAATGTATATATGACTGGTTGGTGGGTAATAGTGATGGTTAAAGTGGTTAATAGGGTATAAACCAATAACAGGAATATGATGGTGATCTAATTGGTGGTTTGGAACATGAATCTGTTTTTCTCATATCTTGGGAATGCCATAATCCCAACTGACGAACTCATATTTTTCGGAGGGGTAGGTCAAAACCAAGCAGAATTGTATAGTGATGCTATTTATGGTATGGTATATGTATAGTGATGGCATATGATATGTATAGTGATGGTATAATATGGTCTGAAGAAGCCAAACATATTGTGTACCAATGGTGGAATTGAATAAACACCTATCTGGGTAAATTTCATCACGACCTCACTGTTCTCCCGAACCCTGGAATCATGGTTAATAAGGGGAAGCATCCCCAAATGGCCCAAAATTTCAGGTTAGTGAAATATTATAATTTACCCAGAATCATCATTAACCATATATTAACCATCATTAACCATGAAATTAACGCTATATTAACCATGAAATTAACCCAGACATATGGATCAGTTGTAGTGACCGGTGATCTGTGACGTCACTGATGGTTGGGAGTCAGGGCATCCCCAACCGGCCGTCTGATAACAGCTGTCTTCAGGGTAGTGATTATTACAACTCAGCCAGATATAATGGTATCACAATAGAGGAACCTGATATAACAATTCTAACTGTGATACATAGACTATAATATTACCATATACAATTATATTGAGTTGCAATACTCTTTCAGGAGCTGTAACATCCTTATTTTCTATGATCATAATAGTATTACAATACAAATAGTAATCACTATATTAGTAGTAAGAACATTGTAATGTTAGCAACACTATTCTTAAGAATATGGATAACACAGAGAGAGGGAGAGGGTGAGACACAGAGGTGGATGAAGTGGATGAATACGTGGAGGGATATGTAATTATACGTAGATAATGGCTAGGTAGATGTCCAGCCAGGCATTGATGTCATAGGCCGCATGCCATCCCATCTCAAGGTGATGTGAAAAGTACGGTAACTCTTTGGGGTGAGTACGGTACCCGGCCTGGTAAACCTACAAAAAACGAACTGGAAAGATCCACCATTTTATAGCTGGGTAAATCCACTATTTCTATGACCATTTTCAATAACTATGTTGATTTACCAGAGGGTAAATAGTCCCATTTGGTTCCCAAAATAATTAGATCCAACACTAAACCAGGGTGCATTTCATCTGGTTGGTGGTTTGGGACATTTTTTTTATTTTTTCCATATATTGGTGGTTTGGGACATTTTTTTTCCATATATTGGGAACAATAATCCCAACTGACTTTCATATTTTTGGGTTGAAACTACCAACCAGATATAATGATCATATGTTGTCTTTCTTTATATATATATACATATATATAAAATATAATATATGTGTATATATATATGGATTTTCCCTCATTTATTGTATAGATCACTTTGATATTGACAGAATGAGATTGACCATTCCCCCATTGACAGCCATGACCACCCCCATAGTGCTGCGGATTCCCCGGATCTGCCAGGTTTTTCTGGAAGCGCCGGTGAAGAAGTGAGGGTTGATTAATTATAGATTTATTTATTTTTTTTTACTGGTTGGATATATGAACCACCAAAATATCCCATTCTAGGGGGGCTATCACGGCTATCAGTGGCCAACTGGTGGACAGTTGGACATCAAGTGGAAGACCCGCATTGACGAGTTCGTAGTTTAAGGGATGGGTGGTTCAACGACCAACCATAAAAGCTTTGTCAGCTTTGTTACGACTGGGATTCGATGTGCGATGGTAGGCGGAATGTTAGGCTGTCGATCCATTGTTCTTTGGAACCATTAGCCTAGCTGGGAATTCCCTTGGAGGTTTTCGTATGTTTGAATGTGTTTTGATATGGTTTGCTAACGTTTTATATTAAAATCATAGAGACAAGACATGACAAGACGGTATACGGTGTAATGGTCTAACCAATGAGACCTGTACTTCTAGTCCATTGGGCAAGTTGTTTCAATTCTTGGCGACAACTCCTGGCTTAGATCATCATGGAAGTCTAATATATCTAAGCGTAGCCCCAAAAAATACGGATGTATTGTAAGTGTTTTTTGTTCAGCAACTGTTATTACTGTTTGTTGTTGTAATTATTAATTTGTTATAATAGTGTAACACTATAATTAGTATTATAACACTGTTATTAGTGTTTGTTGTTGTATTATAGTTACACTATTTTAATACTAAATTTGTTATTTGTTCCCACCATTGCGCGACCCGAATTTTCAGATCGCCAACAGCGACACGGAATCTTCAGGCCACTTCTGTAGGAACTATGTGTACTCAATACGTTGTTCGATGTGTTGAAGATGCGTGAAGGCAAATTGATGTATCAAATTGATGGTTGTCTAGTTGCTATACAGGTAGTTCTTTCTAGCTCCATCATAGTCAGTCATTCTTTTTCCAATTCTATCTAGACAGGATGCATGTGTGTATATATATATATCATGTATGCATTGGAAGACTTATTGAACGTTTAGAGAACGAACTGGGACAATCCAATTTTCCCAACAGGCCATAGTTGTTGAAGACCCCATCGCTGGGCAAGTCGTTTGTCAGTTTTCAAGCTGCGACACCCTGTCGCAGCATCGTGTCCGTGCCCAGTGCAGTTGTGTCTAGTGGGACGGTCATCAAACCCAAGTGCCTCAGTGCGCTTAAGATTTGCCGTTGGCTGTGTCTGGTTGGGTGTTCGAGATTTGTCCATAGATCAATCAGCTCAATTAATCCTATCTATTTTCGGGGTTAAGTTGGGATGGGTGTTTAGTCATGTTCTGGACCTCCAGGTACCTTGTTTTTTGGAGGGTCTACGTACATCCATTGCGCAACCGCCACAACATCTCCATATCTTTCCATTGTTGAGGTGGCCATATCTTACAGGCATACCGGGTGGACAAAAAAATGGTTGGGGTGTGAAAAACACATCTCTTGTGGCCTTAAAATAAGTCATGATTAGTCCCTACTGAAGGCCATCATGATGAGTTTCCTACATAATCCATGAGTACCATCCAAATCATCCAAGTCATTCTACGTCATTATGTCAAAAGACTCAAAAAAGATCTCTAAAGTAATACGCTGGGGTTTCCAAAGTCATTGGGCTACTCCAGATCAGCATGGCTTTAGTTTCACAAAGCCATGGTGACGGATCGGGGATCCCCTAAAGAAATCCCCTGCCCCAAGCGATTCTCCTGATTGGATAGGAACTATTCCTATTGTGGGTTATAATAACCACCCATCAATTAATTAGGTAGTGAAATATTATATTAGTTATGTAATAGGTCCTGATAGTTTTATAATAGGTACTGTTTCGTAGTTAATTGTGGCTTATATAATGCCCTATAGTTATTCTTTAGGAAAAAACATGGCAATAGAACAACATGTGAATACACTACATGTTTTGACAAAACATGTTCAAAACTATGCAGTGCAGAAACTGGGGCCCACTATGCGTACCTTTCTGGATATTTACTATATTCAAGAAATATCATTGTGGCTTAATAAGTACTATATTGAAACTCCAATATTAATCGGTATACTTTATTTATAATATATAATTACATATAATGCCTTATTTATCATCTTGTTATTTTACATAGCCATGGAGAATCATCATTTTTAATAGGTAAACCATCTATAAATGGGCCATTTTCCATGGCTATGTTAAATAACCAGAGGGTAATTATACTATATTGAAACAACCCATGTTTTTTTTGGGTACCAGTGAACTCCACCCCAGGAGGCCGCCTCGAGTGCTGCATCGGCTGCACAGGCTGGATGGGTTTTTAGTAAGATTGCTATTGGTAATTATTGTGAACTTGTTAATGTATTGAAGTAATTATTGCTATTGGCATTGGTATTGATAATTGTTTTTAGTAACTATACTAATGCTGTAATTACTAGCATTACTATTCTTAGTAAAAAATACTTGGTAATCAGGAATCAGATTACTATTGTTAATTATTGTAGTTAGGCTTTCAGAATCATAACATGTTCATTTTCTATGTTAGGTATAGTTGGGTCATATTATGTAATATCATAACTATTTCACCAAAATCAAAAAACAATGAGATATTAGTGAGTTATGATAAATCTTACTATAGTAATTATCAACCATGTAAAGTAACTTGAACATAAACATGAACATCTGGTTGGTGGTTTGGACCATTTTTCATTTTTCCATATTTTGGGAAGAATAGTCCCAACTGACTTTCATATTTTTCAGAGGGGTAGGTCAACCACAATGAAGGTAATGTTAACTTCACTGTGGTATTAAAGGTATTATATACTCTCTGGTTATTTAACATAGCCATGGAAAATCCCTTATATATGGAGGTTTTAATGGGAAAATCATCTATAAATGGGCCATTTTCCATGGCTATGTTAAATAACCAGAGGGTAACATTTATTCGTCGTTACGATGGTTAAGCGGCAAACATGTGTCGTTCACATGACTGCTCAAATCACCAGCGACCTGTGGATGCTGGGGACCAAGAAACCAAATTTGAGTTCATCTGAGTTTATCAGTTCTATAGAACTCTCTCTCTATATATATATATAGATATTTCTAAGCTCACCCATATTTCATCCATATTTCTATTTAGGATTATATACATCAAGTCACTGTGACCCTCGTCATATCGCGTTGTGACCGGGACCAAAACAAACGGGACATCTCCCCCTGCAGGACGCGATGTCCAAGTGACGCGATGTCGGTGGAGAAAAGATGTCGATCAGCTGCTGCGGTGATTCCTGTTGAAGTCAGTGGGGGTGCGTTGATCCAGGTATATATATATATATATATATATGTGTGTGTGATAAGGTGTATATATATATATATAAGTTATAATATATATATATAAGGTAATCAGATATATCAAACTGGAATCTTCTCGTTCACTTGTTCACTTCCAGCTCATGTACGAAGAAAAGATACCTGTCTCGATCCGTGTATCATCGCAAAACTGTGGCTGTGTTTGTCAGGTTAAGCTGACCGGTTTTCCAAGCGCCAACATGGTCTGGAACATACACCAAGTGTCCACGCAATATGATTTCATTACCGTGCAATGGCACCCTAGCAGCCTAGCATCTAGATGTTGATCTTAGCTGGTATACATGAAATCCACGCCGCAATCATTACCATTCAATTTTCAACACCGGCACTTCTGACGCACATGGGATTCAAAGTGATAGAGACGAATGTGGCAATCTGTCGTAAACCGGAGATGAGCCGTCCGAATTATCAGCAACTTTGATGGACACATTATACATAATCACAGATTATTGGTGGGATTTCCCATGCACCCGAACTGGGGATGATTTGTCATTCGGTTTACTCGGTTTACCAACGGATTGATTAGGGCCGGGAAAATGGTGATTTCATGACCATGATTAAAAAAAACGAGAATGCTTTGAACAGTTTTACATTTTTTCAGTCAATCATCATTTTATAAACATTGCAGAGAATTAATTCTCTGTTTTTTTAATGACCAAATTAGTTCTTACAGAACGCAGGATTCGGGATAACATGGGATAACCATCGGTCAAAGCGGCACGTTTTTGTTTGGGAAATCCATGGTTTTGCCCGAAGAAAATCACAGTTATGTCGGTAAATATACCAGCACCATGGTTCGCATATGGGTAGGAGAAATGATGAACATGATAATCATGAGGGATTCGCCGGTTGGCCTATTTTGAGACAGACCCCTCAGTCTTGCAGACATGTCATGACGAAGGGATTTCCAGTGCGGCAATACTCAGTCCAGTAGTATCCGTATCTATGGTCGCTAATCTGCATTTCATCCATTTGGGGTTATTAATATGATATATATATATATATATATTCATAGTCATATATTCATTTGGGGTTATTAATATGATATCATCATATATATTATCTTAATAACATCACTATGTCCAATTGGGTTTTCTAAAAAGAACGGCGCCCTACTCCTTCCACCGATTAATCTTCAAGTTGGCGGTCAATCTTAAAGTCTCAGTCACACCCAATGCTCAGATCACATCAGATCCAAGTATATCCCATCACATCCCATGTTATCCCATTTTCATCACATCAAAGCTCCCTAAAATGAGCTTCATCCCCCTTGGTAGAATAGTAGTTGTACGTATATATTTTTCTGGCAGACTGCACATGGGAACGATCTCTCGTTGCGGCAGCACGCATGCAAATTCTGGTCTTTGCCTGTGCATCTAGCCTCCAACATAATCTGCACCAATTCGCGTGCCCATGGCGGAGCAAGTCATCTGCTTGCAACGCTCCACAAAATCTGTTGGAAGGCTAGACGCCTTCATCACCTCTTCGGATGATGGAAAATGTGAGAAAAATCCTTCAGCTAAAGCTTTACATAGGGCTGGAGGATACTCTTTAAGTTTCGCTGTGCGAAACTGTCCTTGCTCGTCGATGCCAATGGTGTGAGCTCGTGGAACATGGGCACAGACTGCATTGGCACGGAGAAACTTTGGCAGGTCAGGAAGGTTCAAAGACAGCAAGCCAGTGCGCTTGGCGCTATCTGCTCCCAGTAATCCCTGCGCAAATTCGTAGTGTCGAAAGCCTGGCAATGTGGTGATCATCTGGACGATCGGCAGTCGCCAGATGCTGGCTGCTTGGTCGTCAGCTGGTTCAGCCGGATGTTCCAAGGCTCCGCAGCTCTTGACCGTAGACAAAACCACCATGGCCTTCAGGCTAAAGCCAAGGAGGAGATGGCCGTCGAAGAGCTGCCGTTTCTCCTTGAGCGAAACCGAATGAAAGCCCCACAGCGCTGATGCAGTGCGAAGAACTCGAGGTCCTCGTCTGCGCAAGCCAGCCACATGCTTCCCGCGCGCCACCGACCACGTGCAACATGGGGGCCCGCTGAGGAACCCGATCACAAAGCCAGCGCGCATGGATTCCAGCCAAAAGCGTTGTGTCTTCTGATTACCAATGTCACCCCAAGTTGAATCTATTACGATATCGAGGGAAACTACATAAAAACCTTCCAATTTCTGCTGGCGACCCAGTGCATCAAGGAACCACTGGAAGTCCCCCGGCCTACGTCGGCCCGAGTATGCGTGAAGCACGACTCGTTCTCTGAAGACTGGTCGCGGGCAGGATAAGGTTGGTTTCCACGGTGATGGAGCAGCTGCCAAATCACAACACCACTGTTCATAGAGATCGAGATGATGAAGGTGGTCTGTTCCAGCGGTCTCATACTGAATCTCATTAAGAAAGCCCCATGTTGACGGCTCCAGCAGACGCTCAAGCGTCATGAAAACAGTAGCCTGCGGTGTAGCTGCATCGTACTCCTCAATCATCAGGATCGATTGGTGCACATGTCGGATGGTGAGCTGCGTATGCGTCCAACTGATGTCACGCATGGTGATGCAATCACGCATCTGTTGTTGTAGATCTTCTGGCGCAAGTGCCGGGGAGTCCAAAATCAACAGGATGAGTTGCTCAAAAAGGGGAACATGATGTAGATCAATTTCACCCGGAGGTTTCAACTGTGGTCTTGGGCCTGCTGCTTGTTGAACGGGGAGCAGGTCATCATGTTGAGCCTTCAGGATGGCATTGTCCTTGGAGCCAATGCCAGGCATAATCTGTGCTGGCATTGCTCTCGTGCAGAGTTGTGCTCGGCATGGATCTGACCGGCGAAGATGTGCCTGCAACTTATCAAAGGAGTGAAATTCTTTGAGGCATACTTCACAGCCAGTGTGGGTGATCCAATGTCGTTCTCGCGCACAAATACCATGCACTCTGAAGAGGTGTGCTCCTTCCCCAGCTTTTGACTTGCATCGAATACCACATGACATGCAACCATAGTGTCCCGTCTGATGTTCAATCGGAATGTTGGGCCGTACTGGTGCAAATTGGAGCGGTCCCCAATGCGCAAGGTGTCCAAAAACATCATGATGGAGTCGCCGTAGGAGTAGGTCATCTTGCCGATGTAGCTGTGACAGTTGAGTTCCACGTTGAAGCAGCGTCTTCCAGTAGCTACGGTGGTAGCGGAGCACGTATTCCCAAGCCGGAAAATGTTCCGCTGGATCGCCCAATTTGGTGGTGTTCTCAACCAGGCGCCAGAGCCATTGGAAGTCGAGTTTGATCTGGTGCATCCATTGAGTGTCCGCTCGAATGAGAGCCCAGGGTGTGATATCTTCACAACGATAAAGCAGTCCAACATAGCGCAACCGCGATATCCGAAGAAGATCTTCTGGAGCTGGGAGTTGGGTCTGCACCAAAATCTCATCATCCTGAATGGCGCTGTCTGGTGGACACTTCATCAGTCTTCTATAGAGGCGAAGAATTGCTCCATTGAAGTAGGTTTTTGGATCTAACATCATCCAAGAGCCAGGATTCCGTGCCATAGGAGATCTTGCTGGTGATAAGTGTCATGAAAAGTTGCTTTCTCTTGTCTGCCGAGAGGGCCTGATTCTGGAAAAGCAGTTTTCGATGAAGATTGAAGGCGTTGTTGCCGATAGCAATGCGTCTTCTCATCTCCTTGCGAGACGTGCCAGTATGGTGTGTCAGTCCACCAAGATGGGTGTAGTCTCCCACGACTGAAATGTAGTGGGTGCCATACTCCGTGAGTATCGTCATCCTCTGGCCTTGTTGTGGACTGAAATACTTCTGCTTGAGTATCCTGGAACCTTGTCCTCTAAAGGAGAGGAGGATCTCAGTCTTCCCCTTCTGAAGATTGGGTGTGACTCCGTGGTTCATACAGGTTTCCAGAAGCACGCTCGCAGCTAATCCTGCTTTGTTTTCAACTCCATGGGCTGTACTGGATGTCACCGTAATACATAGGTCATCCATCCAGGTTGGCCCCAAAATGGAGTGTGGTTGTATGGGTGCTGCATGAAGATCTGGAAATAGACCAGTTGTACCAACGTCATGAATGGTCTCCAAAATATCGAGTTCCTGCATCTTCTGTTCAACCATGGTCAGCAAACGGGCGAACATGTATCCAAACACCACATCGGCAAATGGGTCTCCCGGTCGTGTGCCCACCCTGGTGTGGGTGGCATCAGTTTGGCCATGTACTCGAAAGTGTGTGTTGGTGTGTAAGGCCTGTAGTGCTCGTGCAAGATGAGGTGGAAGGCCAGCCATCGCCGTTGCTGCAGGCAATTGCAGGAGATGATGGAGGTCACGAACAGCATCTGGAGGGAGCCTCAATCGGTCCGCAATGCTGGACAGCAGAGAATCTGTGATGACTCCTCCAATGGCTATAGGTCTAATGACTCTATAGAATGCTTCCTGGAGATCGAGAAAAATCATGGCGTGGGATCGCTTGGTCTGTCGAGCCATGCGAGCAGTGGAGCGAAGATAGTGCACTCCCATGGTGACTGGGAAGTGCCTTCTGCCTCCGACTTGTTGATGTTGGAGAAAAGCCTCATATACATTTGCTTGATGGTCTCGGATGGCACGATGTACAGTTTTCCCAACATGTGAGCTGATGAGCAGCGATCGATATGAAGAGCACAGGTTTTGTGGTCCTTTGCGCTTCCATGCTGCGACCAGGAGGCCACCTTTGTGCTGGAGCGCCTCTTGGCCATGTGTACAGAGTTTGAGCATCTGGGTGAATGTCAACCGGGCCATCTGAACAGGGTGCCGGTGACAAATTTCTGGTGGAACTTGATCATCCCCCACAGCTTTGTGAGGTCGCACACGGCGGAAGGCATGTTCTAGATCTGTCAGGGTCGGAACATCTTCCGGTCGAAGCGCCAAATCCTGCTGCATGAAGGTGCTCAGATCTTTGATCCAAACGTTGCGCAATTCAGATGCACTCACTCTGTGGCCTCCTTCCATGGTACCAAAGAAGTCAGCCCAGCAATTGGTGAGCTCCGTTGGGGTTGTACATGGTTGTCCGTGTTCATTCAGAATCGATGGCAGTGGTGAAACTCGACGTAGTTTCGGATTTGTCGGTCCTATCACTGGCTTGAGAGTATTGAGAATTGTGGAAGCCGCACAATCAGGAGGAAGGGCGGTGATGATCTCTTTGACATGCACACGCTTGGCTGCTGTCAATTCACATCGAAGTTGGCGAGAGACAACATAGAGCTCGATGCATGTTTTCAATCCATGAACTGCCAAAGAGTTTCCAAATTTTGTACAGATTGTACATGTCGATCATCTGCAAGACGACCTGCCCAGCGCATGAAAATGCGAGTCATGAACTCCTGTTGTTGGCGCTTCTTATTGTTTTTGACAGCTCTTTGAAGTCGTAGCTTTTGGGCTCGAAGCTGCCAGACGTGTTCAGAGATGAAGGATTTCTTCGGACCATGGCGCTTAGCCGGACACTGTTGATGTAGGACAGCAAGCACATGCTTGTTGAAATGGTCAACTTGGTGTTCGATGTCCACCTGCCATGGTAGCGGAGCATAGTCATCGAGGCCTTTTGCCAGATCTGCAGTCAGAATACCAGTGCGGTCATAGGATTTGATCTGCTGTTTCTGGCATATCTTGCGGCTAGCACCTTGCCATGATAGCTCAATGGCCATAGCACGATGATCTCCCAGGTGACCCATGTCCAGTTGATCAAGACTACAAGATTGCGTGCAGTCTGATGCCCAGTTGAGCGGAACAAGGACGTAGTCGATGCGGTATTCCGCTTCCTCAGAGGGGTGCATCCATGTGGTCTGATGTCCTTCATGAAGGGGAAGAGTGGAGGGCACACATAGTTGATGTTCCTCCAGAAATTCTCTGAAAAAGGCCGTGTTATTGTTGGCCACATCATCATTCACGAAGACGTGAATGTGGTCTGCAGGCCCACTGCGAGCGTTGGCGTCCATCATGACCACAGTTGGGGCTTGTTGGACATGTCTATGAACTGTTTCTGAAAGAGTGTGCCACCATGTTTCACGTTCATCATTGGAGATACCACTGTGCGGTGAGTGTGCACATAAAAGCCAGAAGCACATGTCCTCATTTACCACATGAACCAAGAGATGTCGCGGTGACCTATCCACAACGACAAAGTCTGATCGTTGGAAATGTTTGGGTTGTTGACCTTGATGAGCATATGGCTGCATCAAATTGATCCAAACCTCCACTCCTAAGTGCCCTCCTTCATGTCCACTGGCCAAACGGTAGATCTTGTCTTGAAAGGAGGTGCCTGGATCGGTTCGAGCTTCTTGAAGTCCAAGAAAATGAAGACCAGATACACGGAATTGTTCTCGGACATATTGAAGCTTGCCAGGATGACCTTGTTCTCCTGTATAAAAGGTTCTGACGTTCGCTGTCCCGCAACTGATGGTGTAGCGGGTGAAGACTTGTGCGATGGCTGTCTCTGGCGCTTTTGGTGTGGTCTGTAGAGGAAGAGCGCAAGGTGATACGTCAAACCCATTCTTGTGCAAATGCGGCAGGTCAGCCGTGCTTGCTACAGCCATCCACAAATGCCGTAAGATAGAGGTGAAGCTTTGCATATTCACCTGCTGTCGTGGAAGGAGTTGACTCTGATGTGGTTCACGTTTTGCAAGCCAGTCAACTAGCTCGTTGTAGGGATCTCCCGCATGGCTTCTGACATGAGCAGTCAGCAAACCTTCTCTGCCCAGGCCGGCTTCAAGTGCTTGGAACACGGCTCTCAGATTGTAGTATGGTTGATCTCTAATCGCAGAACCGCATCGTCCAGCAGCTTGATCTCCAATCAATCTGGAGTCGCTCACGAAGACCGTGGGGACATTGTTGTTGCGGCTGAGCCGCCACATGCCCGCCCAGAAAAGGGCCTCTGTTTCTGCAGAATCGGATCCAATTCTCGTAGTTCCAATCGAGTGCGCCGCTTCAAGGTCATACAGGACTTGTTGACATGTCCAGCCTAAGAACTCCAGAATGGGATCCGCATTGTCATCATCGGAGTACTGTTCGGCAAAGACTGCAAAAGCCCATGAATCGCTCACATCATTATCTGCAATCCAAAGGGGAGGACTGTGTCTATGAACTGCTTGAGATGAGCCATCTGTAAAAATGACATAGCGATCAACTCGTTGTACAGTCTGACATCGATCCAAAGCAAGTTTGATGAACTCCGGAAGGTCAAAGAGTGAGTAGTCTGTCCACAGAATATCGTTTGATGCGTCCATGAATGCACAGAGCTCCTGGATGTCAAACTGAATGTGGCAGGTAGATTGTTCGAATTGAGCTGCAACTTCGGGTTTGATCAAAGTTGTTGATGTCGGGCGCTGTGTCTGGCGTGACGGCCATGGAGTGCGTGTGCGTAGGCCGCGCTGAATTTCTGCTTGATCTGGTTGAACATCAAGGAAATGTACACACCGCACCTTTTCCATCCAGGTTTCATTCTGCATGATCACTGCTTTGTGATAGCCCTTGGAATGCAAATATCGCATGTGTTGTTGTTCATGAAGTTCATTGTCAGTGATGTGCACAAAGACTGGTTCACTCACGGTGTGGTCAGCTGCACAGTACACATAGATGTAGTCACGCAAATGGTCAAGTAGTGGTAGAGCAAATACCGTGTCATGTTCTCCACAAAGGAAAATTTTGTACTGAAATCCCCAGCTACTGAGTTCTTGTTCAACATCTTCGGCTGAGTAGACCGAGTGGAGTTCCAGAAATTTTGGCGGCACAATGGTCGTGGTGTTCCAGTTGGCATATACAACTTGGATAATGGTTTTCTGTTGTGGATCAACCCAATCTTGCGGTCGGTGCTCTCCCACTTGTGGGAAAATCTCTAATCTGTCCTGCGGCCGCTGATCATGAGCCACCGTATCAGCTGTTTGGCGCTCGCATGGAACAGTCTCTTGGTCAGAGTGTGACAAAATGACTTTTGTAATGGCTTGATGTCCACGTTGTAGTAGGGAGTTTCCGGCTCCGATCTGTGGTTGGGTTGGCCTCAAGCTCAAATGTATGATGATACCATGGCCATCGCGAAGTGGGAATGGACGATCAGTGTGGATCTGAAACAAGTCGTACCACGCTCGACAAATCATTGGAGCTCCTGGAAATATACATCTTCCACCGAGTCCAATGAAGACAAGTAGTTGATCCAGACGAAAGTGCTCATGCGTCGTGGCAACCAATTGCATGAAAGGGCCAGGTTGAGGGAGAGACCCATCAAAGCCAGTGAACAAAGCCGAGGAGAGACTGTCCTGTGGATTTTGTACCAGAATCACATGGGCTGCCACGTTGGGATGCAAATTGGGTGGTCGTGGTGTAACCACATGCAGCATGATGGGAGCACCTGTGATGGTCCGGTCAGGCCATATGCTACGCAATTGCATTGTCCACTGTCGAAAATCCGAGTAGAGCCGCACTGGTCTCGGTTGGAGACAAGTGCGTAGTCCAGGGTGGTATTGATCCACCAGCCATGTCATAACAACTGTGGAAGCTTCTTCTCCCTGCCATGAAAAGGCAGTCCTGCTCCACAGTTGGTGTAGTTCTTGCACGTTCTCCGGTACAGATGCTATGTGTGGAGTCGCAGGATCAAATGGCTGTGCATGAGGATTGAAGGTGAAGTTGGTGCATCCCCCCCCAGGTTGTTGGGCACTCGAGCCATGTTGATCAGTGCTTCGACGTCTCCATCTTACGGCAGTTCTTTGCATCAAATCCAGTACTTCATGAGAAGCTTCGTGGGATGAGAAAGAAAACTGTTCTCGATGAATGGTCAGGCTGCTAGCGCGTGGAAATTCGTCCCAATCAAAGAGACCAAAGGGGATATTGCCCAAACGAACTCTGCAGCGTCCATCTTGACATACTTCATGAAGACCAACTTGTCGTAGGACATAAGCTTGATTCATGATGTCAGGAAGAGAGTGCGCGCTATGCTGGAATTGACTCCTTGGTGTCTGGGAAGTCGCAGTCGATATCATCCCAACCGTATGCTCCAAACGTGAGGATTGCTCCAAAATGAGATGGGCCATGATGCACTCCATGTTGGTGCGTGGCGGCTGGGGCTTCACAAGGTGGATTGTGACTTCCAAAGCAGGATCAATTGTAGTGGCCCAAGGTTCAACAATATCTTCAATCCAACTTGGAGAGTCATGACTGATTCGCACTGATCTTGATCCTGTGCAACTCCTGTGGGTTTGATGGGGGATGTACCATGTTTCAAGGTAAGCAATAGGCCCTTCATCTTCGCATTCGATGATGGAGGTGGTTTCAAAGATGCGCGCAAACAATCTACGATCATCGAGATGTAGATGGGCATTGAAGGCTCTTTGTGGTGGTAGTGGTCCACCTTGTGGATGTGAGCCAATGGGTTGGCCAGTCCTTTCATGTTGTGGAGCAATTCTCCAAGTATCAGCTTGAAGCCATGTCTGAAATTGCGACCAAGCCTGTTCCGTCTTGTACATGGTAAGTTGGAAGAGAGTTGCCACTTCTTGATCCATTGGAAGGTCAGCTGAATGTGAGCTGTGGTTGCTGTGGTTCACGCTGGCCAAATCTCGATCTGAGATGCAAGAGAGTGAAGGCGGCTCATCTCCTATGTGCACTTGAATGTAGTCCCCATCTTCCAAATGCAGAGGACTTGTCTGGTCTGAGCCCACACTGAGATGATTGTGCCAAAGATGACAGTGTGCTTCTCGTTCTTGATATTGATCCTCAAGCTCAAGTATACGAAATACTGATCTTCTGTTGATTGTCATTGGCATCCACTTTGCATATCTTCGTAAGGCAAAGGGTTGTAGTTCATGATCATCAAAAATCTCAATGTCAACCATGATCAGACGGAGGAATCTCGATGGTCGTGGCTCGGTAGTCATTTGCATGAGAAAGCATTGCAAGTCAGCTCTTTCAAGATCATGAGGTCGGTTGGATACATGAAAAAGTTGAGCTATGCTTAATTGTCAAGGCAATTCCATGTTCTTGGGCAATGACAGAATGATGGTCGCTACTGTCAGTCCAGGACAAAGTGACTGGTAGAGCTCTCCCGTCGATTGTGAAAACAATAGATCTTCTTGGGTCCTCTGAAACAAATGACGATGTAGATGAGGCAGAGGAAGTCAAAGATGGTTCCTGCGGTGGTGTCAAGGTCGCTGGACGTCTGGCCATCATAGATACTGTGTCCTCTGGTTCCTGATGTGACTCCGTAGGCTCAGGATTTGATGGTCTAGGATGTTGTCCTTCGGGGTCATCTTCGGCATCAGGTGGATCCCAAAGGTGCGGTATCCTTTGTCGTCTTTGTTGAGCGACTCGACTGACGAGATTTTGTTCTGCTTCTTGTTCACTGAGAAGAGAAGGAATTCGAATCTGCAAGCCCAGCCCATGAAATGTGGCAACATGTTGTCCTGGTGGATGAACAAATGTTCCAGCATGGATGGTGCAATCTCCTGCTCCTGCTTGTGTTCTTTGTCGACAAACTTCTTCAACTCCTGCAAGCTGGTGTATTCTCTCTTGTGGTAGTTGAAGTTCAGCAGAATGTGCACTCACTTGGAAATGGGTACGTGGGTCTTGAATGTGAACCGTGGTAATCAAAAATGCAGCCCTCAGAGGATCTGGATGTTGATGTACGATCACTGTGGCTGAAGTGCCTCCATAGACGTTGAAAGGTGGATCTGGTCGCACGAGGACTACATCGATCGCTGATGAATGATCGATGAGGTCTTCCCAGATAAACCTCACATCTCTTTCCCATTCATTGACATCACTATCAAATCGTAGTACTCGAGGCTGATCGTGGTATCGATGGTGACGATGATCAATGAAGTATGATGTGACAAACACCACGGGCTGTTCTTCGTCATCATCAACTTCACCCTCTGTGTGGAGGAGATCCATGATAGGAGATGCCCATGATGGAGGAGTGTCCAAACGATGAACATTGAGATTGCCAGCTTGATCGGTGTGAGCTGCAAAATCAGGAGGTCTGGTGGAACTGGTCGCATCCTGCGTCGCAGGAGAACTCCATGGTGTGCTTCCAGAAGCACCAAGTTCAAGGGGAATAGCGATCTTGTACATCTTAATGCTGTCTTCAATTCCTAGCCACAATTCCAAATCTTCTGCAAAACCCACACGCAGATTGGTTGGTCGATTGGGCCTGGAAAAAAGATGTACTTGTGCTGGATCTTGACCTGGAGGCGCTCGTACTTGGGAACTTGGAGTGCACTGCCAGGATGTGGATGGAAATGTTGAAGAGAGTTCTTGTTGGAGGGCAATGGCCTGTGCTCTAGCTTGCCACTCTGACATGAAGGTCTCTTCAAGGAGTGCTCGATTGTGCCACTTCATCACTTCTGCTGGGGCTCCCTGGTCCCAGTGTCGGCATAGCCCTAGGTTGTCATACGTATACGTCATGCACAACCGGGCGAGACAAAAGGCGGTTTGGAGACATCGCCTGAATGCTCCGGTCCGCTTGTCTCCATGGCCTCTGAAGGAAGGGGACCTTCCGTGCGTGGGCGCTTTGTGGCTTTCTGTTCTGTCTCGATAGCTTCGGCCTGCTGCTGCAGTTGCTGAAGTGAGGCAGTCAGATTCTGGAGTCCCTCGTGAATCTTTCCTGAGGAAAGATCTGCTTGCGTTTGCCCTTCCAGTTCCTCCTCGTCGTCCTTGATTTCGATGGGAGTGATCTTGCCCGCTTCCACCTGCGACTGTTCCGCTTGTGCTTTGGCGGCTGCAAATGCTATGTGTGCTTGTTGGATGCGCTCTTGTAGGTCTCGTTCTTGTTGTTGAAAGAGTGCAGTGTATTCCTGCCAGGTTTGTACTGCTCCCGACAGGAATGATTTCCATGATGAAATCAAATTGAACTTGGCTTGCAGTGCTTCCTCCACATCCTTTCTCGCAAAGCCTAAGTTCCTCACTGCGGAGTGCAAGTCTTTTGTTGCTTGTGCTCCTTCTTTCTTTGTCATCTTCTGCATTTTCTGTCGCATGTCTGCAGGTAGTTCTGCTTGGCGTGCTCTTGCCATCTCCATGAATTCTCGTTGCTCTGAATCCATGTTCAGTTGCGGTGGCGCAGGGCTCTGAAAGCTTGGCGCCATTGGTGCCACTGGTTGAGGTGGTTGTGGCGGCTGAACGGGTGTTGGTGCCATCTGCATGTGCATCATGGGAGCCATGTGCTGCGGCATCATCATCATTTGTTGTCCAGGCATGTTGTAGCCTGTCCACGGATGTCCACGGTGTGATCGGTGGTGGCATTGGCGGCAGGGGCTGCATGTTTGCTTTGCCATGACCTTTGCCGGGAGGCGGACCAGAGTAGTACTGCCCTGGAGGTCCCTGTGCATTGCCTTGATTCCTGGACTTTGCACTTTGGGATCGTCGCCCTCTGGGAGTATGCGTTCTGCTCTTTGATCGCGTCCTCCATGCTTGCGGATCTGTCTGGTTTGTCCAGCTCGTTGAGTCGTATGTCCAGGTCGAGGTTTGATGCCCTTGTCGACCTCCTGGTTGATGGACACACGTCCTGTCTATGACATTTTGCCATGGTTGTTGGCACGTTTGACAAAAATTTGCCGAGTGCTTCCGTAGTTGGCGGCACCCTGCGCACCTCCACGGCGTATTGTCCGCCATTGCTGTCTTGATGGTCGCAATGAAATTGGAGTTCTTTGAATGATGATTCTTCAGGATCGTCAAGATCTTGCGCAACTTGAGGGTGGTCAAATGGATCACACCAATTTTGTGTAAATGCCACTGCCTTCTTGCTGTCGCCCTTGCACGTCTTAGGGCTCTTCGCCTGGTGGCCAAAGTCGTGGCTGAAAAAGATCTCCTCAGCAACGTCAAAGGAGTTGTTCTCAATCTTAATCAAAAAGGTGAAGATCAGGATGACAAAAATGACCAAAATTCCCATGTAAAGCCCGATCAGCAGGGTATACTCAGGAAAGATGGTGTAGAGGTCCAAGCACTAATAGTCCAGGGCTTCGCCAGTTCAGACTAAATAAGCGATGGATGGGATTAACCCGGGAGTTTGATGGCTCCGGGACGCCAAAGCTCAAAAAACCCAATGCGAGAGTTGCTAGCAGAACAAGTCAATGCGAAGCAATACAAGTCGAAAGGGAGATGAGCAAGAAGATGAAAAAGAAGGCCAATCCGAGAATCACACAGAAAAACCAGGAGGCCCGCGGCGAAATTGCAAGATTGCCGCTAAGGTTAGAACGGGTCGTGGTGGCTAGAAAACCTTGACCCGAAAACCTTTACGTATATATATATATATATTTATTTATTTATTTATTTATTTATTTAATATATTCATATATAATATATTATATATGTTTATATATATATATAATGAAATATATACGTTTACATATACATATATATATATATATAGGTATTGACCATGGTGAAATTCGTTTTTAATGCTGGTTACGTTCCCATACATTGGTTCACCGGCCCCCATTTTTGACGACGTCGCACGTGATGCAGCCGTATGGCCAAGTTGAACATCATCGGAGTCTGCGGAGCATGGGAATTTCAGCACCTACAATGGTGATATCATGGGTAGATGTATGATGAAATGGTGATTCGATTTTCATGTGTATATATATATTAAATATATAAAATATAATATATATATATATAATTATAGAATATATTGTTTCAAAGTGATGTAGTAGATGATGTAGATATTCCATTTATCTGGGTAAATTTCATCACGACCGCACCCTGTTCTCCCGAACCATGGAATCACTTTTTTTTTTAAGGGAAATCATCCCCAAATGGCCCAACAATTCAGGTTAGTGAAATATTATAATTTATCCAGATAAGATGGTAAAATGATATAGTCTTTTAGGTATTAAGCATGTACAAGTATGAGTTCAGTGTTGACAACTCGTCGATAAGTGATGACTACTGATTTCAGAAACCTAAGACTTTCAAAATCCTAATCACATATGCAACAAGAATCAAATACCCTAGCTCTGGTTATTTAACATAGCCATGGAAAATCACCATTTTTAATAGGTAAACCATCTATAAATGGGCCATTTTCCATGGCTATGTTAAATAACCAGATGGTATTAAAATTATACGGTAGCATGATGGACCTTGTGACTCCAAGCCAGTGCAGTCTGAGACAATTAATGGATCCAATACTAAATTGCTAAACTAGAACTTTTGTGTTGGGCTGTATTTATGATTTAACCCATATTAACCAATATTAACCAATATTAAGCCACATTAAGCCATATTAAGCCATATTAACCCATACTAATCCATATTAACCCAGTCATATGTGGAATATATCCTCAGCCTGTTTTGTTGCGATCCTACCTTCACCACCTCTTTGTCGATGGGATCGGGACATGATCGACGAGAGCGACAAAGGCTGCAGTGTCGGAGTGAGACGGATTGGGATGCACCATGCCAAGGGAAGATGTAAAAGATATACCTTCTGGAAACATCCCTGACTGGTTGGTAGTTAATAGTGATGGTTAATAGTGATGGTTAATAGTGATGGTTAATAGTGATGGTTAATAGTGGTTAATAGGGCATAAACGTATAAACCAACAACAATGGGAATATGATGGTGATCTGGTTGGTGGTTTGGAACATGACTGGATTTTGACTTTCCATATATTGGGAATGCCATAATCCCAACTGACGAATTCATATTTTTCAGAGGGGTTGAAACCACCAACCAGTATACCTTCTGGTAATTTTTTATATAGCTATTGAAAACGGCCATAGAACTAGTTGATTTACCCATAAAAAATGGTGGATCTTTCCATAGTTATGTAAACGTTTATTAGAGGGTACCTTCTGGTAAAAAGGTTTTACAATAAATGTTGGAAAACATATATCACACAATCAGGGGTAGAACTAATCACCAAGGACCCTAGAATCAAATTCCAAAGACCCCTTATCGGCTGCAAAACCTTTAAACTAACATAGACCCCAAAAACCCGTTTTTAGTGGAAACTAATCTTCCAACCTGCCAGGGTCTATGTTAATTTACCATGTTTTGCTGCGTTTAGTTGGGGGAAAGAATTGTGGAAGTCGGTGCCTGCTGCGTCCAGGTGGTGTTTTGGAAAACATGTGGTTTGCAATTTGTGATTCAGATAGACGGTGCGCTGACTTTCCCGACGTGATGTAGCTGTTGAACCAATGTTTGTGAATAGTTCATCATAATCTCCCCATAATTCATTGGATTGGTTTTGTTGTGAAAATCTACAGGAAACCAAGGTTTTACCATTAAGGTCATGGGGGGTTCCGGTATTTCCGGTTTCAATTTTCCTTACAAAACCAATCCAATGAATAATCCAAGAACTAATCCGACTCTACCATTGCTGGGTTGTTGGATTTCTTGGAAGAGGAATCCCATGATGAGACGGCCATGCTACGTGGGCACTCCCAGATAGCCAAGTTTGTCTTTAAGTAGGCTGACTCCGGTTAATATGTATGTATGTATATATATATAACAATATATGTATATTTTACAATACATTATATATATATATATATATATATGATGAAACATACATATATATATATATACATATAACAATATATGTATATTTTACAATACATTATATATATAAGATGAATCATATATATATGATATGTATATTTTAATGATTATACATATAGATATATAATTATATAATTATATAATTATATATATATATATATATTACATGGTCACCCCACCCCCAAGAATCTATAGAGATACATATACACTGGATCAGAAAAAGAACTTATAGCGGGAGGGGCAGCACATCGAGTTCTTTCCCAAACAGTCAAGCACAGGGGGTTTTGCCCACCGGAAATGTAGTGCCCCCCCGATTTAACATGATTTAACGCTGGTTTGTAAATCGACTTACTCGTGGATATATGAGGATGTATATGTCATCGAAGGAAGTTTAGAAGTCAAACTTCCGACTTGTGGGCAGATGCAGTAACAGTCGTGAGAGCAATCAGAGAAGACAGCAAAAGGGGTGAGAGCAGTCAGAGAAGAGAAAGAGTCAGAAGAGAAAGAGTCAGTAGAAAGAAGATCAAGCCGCGCGAAAAGGTAGAAAAGTCGCGAAACACCCTGTCTTTTTCCAATAATAATGGCTAGCAGGGCCTGCGGTAACTCTCACATTTTTTTCAGCTTGATGATTAAACTCTTTCTTGTCACTGCCACACAACTGGCTTTCAAAATTGGAAAGAGTTCAACTTCTTGTTTTCCAAGAATCGAAGTGCGGAACATGAGCCAACATTCATGACACCAGAGAACATGCAGATTGCCCGTCTGTCATGAAACACACTGAAAGACAAATTCCTTCCCATCGCCCAAAACTCGTTTGGCGTTGCTGCAAATGTTGTGACTGGTTTATCAGCACCCAACTGCGGGGAAAGACCTTATAAGGGAGTAACAATCTAGATTCTATTAGTTTTTTCCGGGGGCCGCGCGCGAGGACAGCTTCATGCTCATGTGGTATTGCACCTGCGAGCAAGCAGGGGGTTCAAATTGATTCAGCACAGTCAACGCTTTTGGCACGTTTTTTGACCAAGTTTCAGCAACACGGGGCTATTCGCGCGTTCTTGAACAAGTTACAGCAACACGGGCTATTTTGCCCAGAGGGTTTGCATTTTGGCACCTGGGGAAGCGAACCTCAAGTGCTAGTAATGAAATTATAAGGCCCGGTGATCTAGGAAATTCTACTGCGAAATTATTTTTTGGGGTTTTATAAATATATCAATCACAGCATTGGTTTACGCGTGGTGCACAGTGGTTGCCCGAGACTGGAGATTGGGAACAGTGGTCAGGTGGAAGCGATGGCTTGGTGCAGTTGTCATCGACCTTGCGAACGCGCGGGTCTCCGGCGGATCTTAAAGGGGGTCCAGAAATATCTCAATGATTTTCCTCCGAATCATTGCAGAAACACCTATTTTCCATCTAATTATCTACCATTTCTGGGAATCTCTGGGGTATGTTATCCCAAGTACAAGATCACTCTATATCATTGTTTATATAACCATTTATTGGCGCTATTGGGTGTCCCGACAGTGGTCACCGTTGCCCCTTGAGGCTCTCCACCTTAACCTCCGATCCGGGCGATGTGGTGCCGGAGGAACTAGCTGAGGGCTGGCGCCAGGTGACATGCCAAGGGAAGTCACAGAGGATTGGTCAAAATTGAAGATTCAAGGAACCACAGATGTTAGTCTATGTTTAATATGTTTTAACATGAAACATCCATTTTTAAGGGGGTTTTAATCTGAACCATCCGTTTTTAGGTACCCAATTTTGGCCCATACCTAAATATCAGAATTGAAAACATCATAAGTGGAGGCCGAATCAGCAAAATGTTGGGGAAATAGTGAATAGAAAAAAATGGAAATTTGTGGTTTTCAAGTGTCACATTCTCAAACGGTACCTCGATGTACCTCGTGATAGAAACAACAACAATTCGCGACAGGATTATTAATAGCTCGAGCGCAGCTCCTCGCATGACTGCATCGCCAAAATAGCAAATCGCAGCTGAAGGGTTTCCAACAAATATTGAGCACCCTAGCGGCCCCAAATCAGGGCAAAAGTACGGGTTTGAGATCGTATACGAACCAAAGTTGAACGGTTTCGTGGTTTGATGTTTAGTGCTGGATTGGCCATGGTTGAGTTGAGCTGGTCTGAGTCTGGCGGCCAAAGAAACCCATTATCATAATGGTGGTGAACAGCAGAATTGCCTGGTTTATCCAGGTTTATATTTATATATATATATGGAGGTTTCCTAAAATAGGGGTACCCCCCAAATCATTCATTTTGCGAAGATTTTCCATTAAATACCATCCATTTTGGGGTACCCCCCATTTCCCATTTCCGGACACCCCCCCATTTATTTATGACTTATATATATATATATATATGGTATTTTGTGTCCGAATTTTGCCGAGCATTGGGCTTTGGGTGCCAACTTTTTCCTATCCCCCAAACCCATTTGACCCATGTGGGAACATGGCCCAAATTCGCCGATGCGAAGGTTAATCGAAATTACCCATTGATGGATGTGTTTGTGCAAACATGTTGGGAAAAATTAAAATCGCAGTGGTTTTAATGTGTTTTAAAATCTTACTTATCACCCGAACAAACAAACAGACACAAATTGGGCCATTCCACCTCCAGCATGTCCCCAATCTACCACGATTTTGATAGTTGTTACTTCATCACAACCCGTACCGTCACAAAACATGGTTAGGCAAAATTCCTTGCAAATTGAGCAAAGCACAACATCGAACATGTCTGGATACATACCCTGGGATAAATTAACATAGATGTGGAAATTCCACTAGTCGTAGAGTGTTTTCCCAAGGAAACCATGTTTTTTCCTTATTTATATTAGTTTACCCTAGGGTATCGGGATAAATAACTGATCTTCTGTGACATGATTTCAGCGATAATGGGCAGCCCAACCTTGGGACAGGTCTCGCAGTTGCTCAATGAAGCCGACTGTAAGGCTGGGGGTTGTTTTGACAAAAAAACAGAGCTGGTTTCCACCAAACCAAGACCTCAACCGACAATTTTTGAAAATTTGTATGTTTTGATAGGAATTCAATAAACACATGTTCATATGCTGATCTATTGGGTGTATACTAGTACGACCAACTTAATCTTATTTTTGAGAATTTAATTTCTGGTATTCTGTGACATTTTGCCTTGAACAATTGCCAATTTAGTTCTTTGATTTACCTGTTAAAAATTGTTTTCCACAGCTATGTCAGTTGACCGGGGTAACCCAGCGCAAATGTAAATAACCACCGTTTGGACTGGACGCATGCGGGCTCACCACTGTCTCAAACTCCAAGCACGGGTGGCGGAGGAATGAGGTTGAAACTTGCAATAACTGCACACAGCAGAGGAAATTGATTATGAATTAATCCCCACGACGTTTGATCTTCATGAAGGCCATATATTTTTTGTAACGTAGTGCGATGCAATCTTCATCAACCAGCTGCAATTCAAGTTGAGGTTTGAGATCTTTAATGTATATTGGAGTTGCAAGTGCCCTGACACCACCCAGTTTCTCAAGATAAGATTGGATGAAGGTCATGGTCTGATGGCTGTTTGGTAAGATTGGTCTGCGAGGAAGACCTGCACATTCATTTCTCCATCCCAGTCTGTACATGGAACTGCAACGTGATGATTCGAATGTGGGAAAAAACCGTTCTCCCAAAAGAGTGCAAAGATTTTGCATAACATTCCGAAAGCACACAGCTTGTAATGCACCGGTCCGTTTGTTTGGTGGTAACATTGTTGCTTCGTCACTGTGGTATCCAACAAATTTGGCAAGAGCACCTGCTCCAGCCACTTTGATGGGAAAAAGCATCCCGGAAAAAATGTAAAATGAAATCATCATCTCGAACCAGGAAATTCCCCAGTCCTGTGGATCTTTGTGCTCATAATCGTTTGGCCATCGAAGCGATTCAACCCAGTGTTTGATTGCAATGCCAAGGTTTGGGCCCTGTAGAACCATTTGAAAAATGTTTGGGTCACATTGGACGGGTTCCCATTTGGTGTATCCCTCTGGCTCAAAATCACACAGCAACTTGAGTGCATCCTGACCATATATGCCTGAGAGTCAAATCTTCCAACGACCCTTTCCAATTCAGGCTTGGGCGCTTGTAATTTGGTTGTGTGCCCTTTACCAGTGAGAGTGGACTGGTTGAGCAACTCACAGTGTGTCTTGTTGAGGACCACCATGTAATCAAAAACGCATTGGAGACAAGATCTTTCCAAAGTCTGAAAAGCCACTGCCCTGTCAGCACAGTTTTTGATACATGATGGTATTGTCTTAAAGGCAAGACCAACCACCATGTCTGCACAAAAATTGCCAGCAATGCGCCATAAATCATCCAAGTCGGATGCGTCATCAAATGATCTGTGACTTTTGACTTTGTGAACATGAAAACTCTCACGTTGCCAGAGCTCATCAAGTTCCAAAATGAGGTCAGCATTGGGCAACTTATGAAGACAGGATCGAAAAAGACCTGAAACCACCATCGCAATGATAATACAAACATAGCTGGCATCAGTAAAAAAATCAACATCCTGCCAACCAGACGTAGAAAGTGCAATTCTGCATGCCACGACAATTGCTTGTAGTTCACCTCTTGCGACTGTCTGATCACCAGCAACCAAGCCCATGGCTGCCACCCTGAAAAGTGGGAGCTGTGGGGGTTCAAGAAACAAAAAATCAACGCAAGATCTCCTTTCCAGCTCAGAGTTAGGCAAATCTTGAACAACCGCCCATGCAGCCAAACGCCCCACATGATGTGAAGGATGAAGCGCACCTCCATCTGTGAAAAGTCTCAAGCGTGACTGGCCAGAATTAAAACTCTGATCCAAAGGTGGGATTTTGATAGTGGCAATAAATGCCTTCAAAATGGCAATTTCATCAAACTGTCTGGGAAGTGGCATGTAACACCATTCAGGTGGGTATTCGGAAAGAATCCGACAAGCCTCCACATGTTGAGCCCTTACATGCAGGGTTGCTTTGCACGACAAAAGTCTGTGTTCCCTGGTGTCCGGCTCACCACAAAGCAGGCATGCTGAGACAACATTTTCATCCCACAAAGCCTTTTGTTGCTGCGTTTGAAAGCCACCAACAACATTCAGTTTCAAGAGATGCTGTTCCGAATCTCCCATGGACGACAGTAGTTTGGCTGCCAGCTTGAAATCAATGCGATAATCCACTACACCTTTGCGTGTCATTGTATCCACCACATGATGTTCCCACATTGCCACAATGCACTGTCGAATTTTCTTTGTCGAATCTCGAAGGATATTGAATTGCAAAAGTTCTGGTCCAAAAACTGTGCCATCTTCATGTAGTGACCACCCAACCTGTTTGAAATAGCATTTCAGAGTGCCAGCTGGTCCAAATGGACGACATCCTTCATAATCAAATGCGAACTTGACCGCTGAGGCAGCACCCTCAGGATCAACATTGGCAAGTCTACGGATTGTTCGGGCACAATGACAAAGAACGTAAACGAAAGGGTCTTGCAGAAATTTTGAAATCCCACAGCAGGCCACCAAAGGAGAGGCATTATGCCAATTACCCACCAGGGCATGAGTGATGGCCCTCCTCATGGTAGTGAAGTGGTGCTGACCAATGTAAACTGTATCAGCACTATAAAAAGCCATCGGAAATACCGAAGTTTGAATCATCAAAGCTTTCTTTTGAAGCGAACAAGGCAAAGATTCAATCCTGTTAATTCGGGCAACCGAATCCTGTATTTTTTCTTCACAAACCCCAGTGACATGGATTTGTTGTAATGTACCACTTCACCAAGATCTTTGACCATCGTTTTGACAATAACCGCATGATCTTCTGAAGGAATGCTGTCGACACAAAAATTGCGAAATTCCTTGGTAGTACCCCAATGCCAGCTTTTGTTGAAGTCAATCTGCAATCTCAAAACAGTTGTAACCCTCTTAACTAGTTCAAGTGCTCTCAGGTGGGCCTGCTGTTGTCTCGTAAGCCAACTCCAGTTGTCGGCATAGGCAAATGGGTGGACCACTGGGCTCAGAAGGTTATAATAAAAGAAAGCTGAGGTACCAAGCATGGCAAGGACACTGATCGAGCATCCCTCGGGTACTCCTGTGGTGGATGAAATTGCATCGCCAACACAGCCGTTCAGAGTTGGATATCGAACCATCCTGTCAAGGCTTTGTGTCCATGTATCCAAAAGTACATCCGGTATTCCGAGGTGATTGAGAATCCTTGCAACAGCAAAACGACCAAAAGTATTGAAAGCCTTAATCAGGTCCGAGGAGAAGCCTCCACGTTCGACCTGACTGCAAAGAGTCTTCAATGAAACGTTTTTGGACAAATGCAATCTCTTTGACTCCACGACCTGGGAGCCCTCCAGAGATGGGAGCTGGAAAAAAAACGTGTCCAAATCCTTGAGACCGATTTAAAAATCATCTTGCCAAACAGCCTGTACAAGCAACTCAGGATCGTAATCGGTCTTGCATCATGCATTGATGTAGGGCACTCCTTTTTGGAAAGGAGTATAGTTTTTGCCATCATCATGGAGGTTGTGAATCCTTTCCCCAAGATCATGTTGAAGATTCGCACCAAGTCCTCAATACAGACCCTAGGAAGGCATTTGAGTTCATCATTTGACCAACCACATGGACCCACTGCTTTACCAGATGGTAGTTTTTTTCACCACCTTGAGCCATGTATCAACGTTCTCCATTTCAAAGACGATGGATGGAAGTCTCGGAAGTTGACAATTTTCAAGGAGATGTAAGAATTCCGTCCAGTGTTCGTCATGAAACTGTTCGCATCGCTCATCACGCTGCCAAAAAGGTTTCCAAAATTGATTGAACTCATGTCAAATTTCATTGTCGGTCACCGCATGAAATTTCACCTGTAGTGTGCCACTGACTTCCATTTTGCCTGACAAATGTTGAAAGAAAACCTTTCTTCCATGTTGCCCACAGAATTCCAAAACGGCATCATTAAAAGACAAAGAAGAGTGTTTCGGAATATCCATGTCGTTCTCCAAAAGAAGAGCTGTAGATCCCAACGACGATCGAAGCAATCTGGCATTGACAGCCCTAACAACGGGAACATCATTAAGAAGAGGTGTCTTCTTGGCCTTGACAATTCGATAACTCAGCTTGAGAAGTCATATTCATTATCAAAGTGGATGGCTGCTCGAAAACGATCACGCCGACATCAGCTTTCTTCCAAGCAGGCACAGTTGCAATCATGTTCTGTAATTTGTGTGACAACATCCAGAGTGTCCATGTCAGGTAGGTTGGTTGGCAAAAAACCCACAGCTTCAAATGCCAAAATCCAATTGGACCATCGATTGCCATATCCTTTTGCAGAAAGAATTGCCTTCCATTCATTCAAGGCCGCGGCATACCCAGGATGTCCAAACTGTTGGTGCGGAGGTATGTAATCCAAACCCTTGAACCTGCGTAAAAGAGATTTCAAACGCCTCACTTGCCTGATTTTCAGGCGAGATTTCAATGTAAAAACTTCGCTAGGTGGCATATAATCATATAACCACCATGTCTGTCAGATTTGACAAAGGATTTTTTGTTTTCGGAAAATTTCTTCTCGAACTTGCATCTTCCTTTGAATGAGGCATGGAGGGAGGAGTGAACATTCCGAACAGGGTCAAATTGATGTGCCACATTCAGTGCTGTGTCAACCGCTGATTCCACGGCACCGGACCATGATGAAAACGCCGAATCAATGAGCTTGCAAGGATCATGTTGAAATTTGTGTTCAATAGCATCAAAGTCAACCTGAATATACGCATCATGTATCAACTGTTTGTCAGGGGAAAAAGCTGCCCACGATCTAGGGAGTTTCCAGGACAGGTCAGCAACATGGTCATCGAAAAACTGAAAGTCTATACATAATGGTGAATGAGGTTCAAAAATAATATCAGTTGAAACCTGCATGGATTGTACATGTTGCAACAACCATGGGTGAAGAATCGCAGTGTCGTTCCTAGTTGAACCAGCACAATTCAAGTGGCGGGAAGCAAATGTCCTGTTTTCGCATGATACCACTCAAAAGCTTATCTTGCCCCAGTGTCACGGAAAAATTGGTAGGAAGGCAATTTGGTTGGTGGCTCATTGAAGTCCCCTAAAATACAGTAGGGGAGACCAATTTCAGTGATAGCAGGGATCAAACTGGCCAAAAGAAGGTCATTGGGTCGCTTACCCTCACGATACCGGTTTGCAGAACCATGCCATAAACTGAGACAAACAAAATTTCATGACCACCAAGTCTAATAATTGCCATGGAAATTCTTTGTGTTTCCCAAAGTAAATCAGTGAAACCTGACCGAGGCTTCCGAGATGGCAAATGCGTCAAAATCGCAGAGCCCAAAGCTTCCCCTCTAAGTGAAGGTCGATTGTCAGCTGAGAATTTTTTGGCAGAAACTGAAGCGGACCAGAAAGCCCTAAATCCAGATCCACACAAATCGTTGTTGACTTGACTTTGAACAGCATGAGTTGCACTGGTTTCTGAAAGAGAAATAACATCGGCCCCCAATTGCATGATTTTCCCAACCTTCTGATGAACAGTCGTAGGGTTGACAATTGCAATCTTAATTGCTCCGGAGGAGGGTCCCGGGTTCTTCGCCTCACCAACTCTGCATGCAAAAAACATGGCAAACAACAAATGGGTACAGTGAACAAGGAACCAGGAGTTGAAATAACAACAGGCAAATTGATCCAGGACGACTGTGCAATGTCGTGGCCTCGCAAGCCCCAAAAAGCTCGAATTGGCCAAAACGTATGGGTGAAAAAGTGGCAAAATGCCATCGCACTGCTGGAAGTCATACCCAAATATCCACATCACTTGAGTTGAAATGCATACACATTGAGATGTCCATGTCTCAACCATTCCGGCCAGAACAACATCGATGTCTGAAACCTGAGATAGTCACAAGCTGGAATCATCATTGTCGCGAGCATTCTGTTTGGCTCGCTTGGGCACGGGAGAACTGGTCGATTTTGCAGAAAGGAGAAGTTTGATTTCATCAAATTGACTGCTCATCTGCTTGTCATGTCCTGCAAGAGCCTTCTGAAGGGAATCATGGAACATGTTGGCCATGTTGCCCAGTTGACTCTGTGTTTCTGCGCGTATGGTGGCAAACTCATTCTTGCATTGGTCACTGTTGGCTTGCAATTGAACTCCATGGTCATGGATTGATTTTTCAAGTTTCTGCATGTTCTCTTTCATTGCATTGATCTCACGATCAGTCTTGTCACGCATGTCCTGCATTTCCGCTGAGTGTTTGGAAAAACGGTCTTCGATGGGAGCCTCAATTTTCCTCCCATTCAGAGGTCCAGACTGGTTCAGCACAGGAGATCTTGTATGAGAAGAAGACTGAAGTCCTGTTCCGCCCTGATTTGCAATCCAATTCTTCCAAGGATCGTCATTGTTGTTCTGCAGATCAACACCACCCAAAGGCATTGGAGAGTCCTTATAAGCTTCTTCGGCATTTCACCAGCAAGCACAACTGGAGCTCTGTTCTCCTTTGGTTCGATCCACTTGATCAGCACTGATTTGTCATTCCACTGCGCAAATGTCTCGGAAAACCGGTTTTCCGAGGCACACAGCCATGCATTCCCAGTGAGAGCTTTGACTGGTTTAGCATCCCAACCACGTGCCGTGATCCATGCTTGTACTTGTTCTGCTGTAGATCCTCCTGGAACCGGTTGCACTTTGAAGTGAAAATTTGCAGCCACCAAATTGGGGAGTGAATCATCAGGTCGAAGCAAATTGAATGCCCCAGCAAAATCATTCTTTTCAAATCGAATGCCCCTGTTGTGCAAACTGCCCCTTGCACTTCTCACAATGCCAAGATGGTTACTACATTTGGACACACTGATGGTGATCTCAACAGGGCTCTGCTGAAGCCAGACAATGCGGAAGTCACCTGAAATTTTGCGGTCCTCACCCTTAGGTGTTGTGTAAATGCCAGAAGTCCCTGAGGCTCTCAAAACGCGCCTCAGATGCTCCTTTGCAATGCGGCCATGGAATTGCACCGTTGTTGCATGTTCTGGGTCAGCTTTTTTCCCATCCATCTGGAACGACCTGCCCCATGGTGGAGTAAGAAAGCTGACATCGCTTTGATCCCCAAAAAGGAGTTGTGACATCACCCTGACCGGGGAATGAATCAGTCTGTTCCACAGATCGGTTTCAATCTCCTCCTTGTATGCGGTCATACAAATGACCTGTGACTCAATTTCCGGAATCATGTCATGTTCGTCATACTGCAATGTCACACATTTGGCTCCTAAGTTGTGTAAGCAAACTTGGATGATGAGAGGGTCATCCCCATGCATGACTGGAATCTGAGCTTTCTGACAGGTCCCAGAGTTTTCGCCACAAGGACCCACTACGGCCACCACCAGTTCATCTTGTGAAATGACCTCTTGAGCGACAATCCAAGGTTTTGCATCGCTGTATCGCATCATGACAATGCCTGAAGAGTTGGGTGATACCTTCATGGCCTGCAAACACTCAGTGCCATCAGCATTCCGAACACATCCTGATTGAAGAACCAAGGCATCAACTCGAATATCCTCTGCTGAAATGCGATCAGGGCCGGAAAATTTGCCCTCCAGCTTTTTTTGCATCTTCTGCTGTCTGGGAGTCACTTCGGGTGGTTTGACATGCATGGTGTGGGCAAGGTGTAAAAGGCCCTCCCATTTTTTTGCTGGCAGGCTTCTGTGAAAGAATCATCGCCACAGCAGAGTGGCCTGCAGACTTGATGATTGCATCCACAAAACGTGTGCACTCTTTGAGGTCAGTGCCTTCAAAATTCTGTGCTTCAAACTCTGCCAGATTGGAAAGATTGCCTGTGTCAGCCAGTTGGGCGGAGGTCAAAAGTCTGACAGGACCTCCTCCCTTCACACCCAACACCATGTGCACTGTGAGAATTGCGCTGCCATCATCCATGTTTTCAAAGAAGTTTCCCAAAGGCCAATCAGGGTTGATGGTCCTGTTGTTGATCACATATCGCCATGGACGGCTGATACCGAAAAGTGTGGCGATTTTCTCCCACTCCACATTGAACCTCTCCATTCTAATGGCCCTATCAACCATGGAGTCCCAGATCCATGCATGCCACAACTTGATCCTGCATCTCACCGTCGGATCTCTGCCCATTGTCTCCCATGACTTGATCTTCAAAAGAAAAAAATGCAAGGCAATGCAAAATGTCATCTCATCATGGGTGATGGAAAAGCAACCAGGTTTCTGCATCAAATGAATTGTGTTCACCTGAGTCTCAATGATCTCCATGGCGTTCACCACAAACATCCAACCAAAGGCCTGCATTGTTTCACCCAACCCCGTTGAGACAAGTAATTCCGAAAATTCCTTCAACGCATCATGACTTGCTCGGAAACTGAAATCATGGTCATTGACTGAGATGGAGATGTAATCCAAAACTCTCAGATCATCACAAGCTGTTTCAATGTCTCTACCCACAACTGCGTCCGGGCACAAAGTCTGCATCATGTGTCGTTCTCCGAAGCAACCCACAAGGTGTGTGCATGCAATGCCACAGTGATGGTTGATCACCGTAACGACATCTTGTACTGTCATACCCTGGTCCCGTCTGAGTAAGTAGATACCACCCTTCGTCAAGACGCAAATGCATTTGCCTTGATTTTCCAAAGTGGAAAACTTGTCTTTGGAGATTCTCAAGGCGCTTGGCACATTTGCAAAAAGGCACATGGGTTCATCTGAGACATCCATGAGGTTCGGCAAGGCAACTTTGTGTTCCAAAATTCCACCTGGCAAAAACGAGAGTTCACCTGGCATGGAGTCACCTGTCAGGAATGCAATGGCTTCTGTAATCAGAACTTCCCTTTCGGCAAAAAAACACCGAACATCCATTGGGGATCGCAAGGTCACCTTGTATGTTGCATGCATCTGCAAAGTTGGAAGACAGGATTCATCATCCTTGGTCAAGTGCCAACCATCCATGCTGGGCTGGAATCGCAAGTTGAATGCCGTGAATCGGCCAGCCAAGGCAGAAATCATGAGTTCCTGTCCTTCCACACCAATGATATCATCTCTGAGAAGGCACATCGTGTTGACAATTCCCACCAGTGCATGGGGCGTTGCAATACAATTGCCCAACATTCTCATCGCTTTCCGGTGATCATTCGGTAACCACATGTCAACCAGGCCCCCTTGTGCAATGACCACCTCAGGTAGTGACATGAATCTCAACCCCTCAGGCAAGGCAAGGATTGATCCAAACAAGCCATAATTTCGAAGTGAATGGTCAGGCAACAAATGTCCATAAGAGTAATTTGCCAAAATGCATCCAAACACCGATTGTGGGTACTTGAGCCGGTGGGTTTCAACATCCCTTCTTGTCTTCTTGGCAGAGGCTTTCCTAGACTGCACAGACTTTGGGATCAGGCATGGATCCATGTACATGGCAAGAATCTCAGGACGGATGACTGTATCTTCCAACCAAGGTGAGGTCAAGCTCATGAGATTCATGAAAGACTCCAAAGTTTGTCTTTGGACAGCAGGCCAAGACAGGCATCGATGTGGCGAATGCTCAAAGTCATCATTCGTGCAAATCATGATGAGCCTTTCCCGATGCTGAGGGAAAATCTCAGACAGGTTCAAAGTTGCTGCACTACGGATTGTGAATCGCATCCCCTGTACAAACTGTCGGATCAAGGGCCAGTGTTCATGGTTTTTCATGGAGGCCACCATTTCAAGCACGAATGCACGGGGTCGGATCAAATTGAATAATCCCAGGCCATGCAACGAAAGTCTACCTTCATGACGAAGCAGTCCAGGGCAGGCAGTGGCCAGACTCCATGCTGGGCACGGTGGACTTGCAGTGGCAAAGTCATAACTTTCGTCTGGCAAGAGATGGCACCAACCATATTCACAAATGTCGGAAATGACAAAAAGATTCTCAGGAATTGCACTGTTGCCCCAGTCAAAGTCCTGGGGGCCGATGACATGCCTAAAGCCGTGTGACTTGCAATACATCTCTGAGCAATCCAAGTCAAAATCCAATGAAATCCTGTGAGAGAAACCATACCCTAACTCCTGCAACCTTCTGATCGCATGAGTCCATCCGCTGAATCCTCCAGAGAAAAGTTCGAAAGATGTGAGTACACCTTCATCCATGGACTTCGCCCTAGCGCAAGATGAGGCAAGAATTCCTGCACCACCACATGTTGTATCCAAACAACCATCAATCATTTGGGCATGTAGGACGATGAAGTAACTTGACTTTGCAGCTACGTGGGTCCACTGATCACTTGTCATCTTAACCACCACCCGGTCATCAATGTCATGTGGGCACCTCTTTGGCGAAAAACTTTTGCCCCCAAATCCATCGCAGGTAGAAGGGCCATCCTTTCTCACCAGACCAGAAACTGTCACAAAAAGCTCTGACATGGTTCGGACTTTCCTGTCGTAGATTTCCACAGTATGATACCGGTCACAGGGGCAGACATCCTTTTTGGTGGTATACAACTTTGCTATGTCCCAAACATAGGAGATAGGCGAAGGTGGGAATTCCATGGCCCAATCAGTTCACAAGCCCCGTTCCTATCCAGCTTCACCAACGGGGAGGTTTGGGCCCAGAAGCTACCACCGTTTGGACCTTAGGTAACAAACAAAACATAAACATGATGATGTAGTCAACATAGTGTGCAGAGTCCAAACAAAATCGGACACAAAACTCAAAACCAACTTTTATAGATTGCAATGCCAACATATCAAGTCTTGTTGGAGTCTGTCCAGCACAAATTTGTTCGCTGGATCTGTTTTTTTGGTGACCTCCAGCCAATGCCAGATAGACATTATCATCATCATCATCATCATTATCATCATCGTCATCGTCATCATCATCATCATCATCATCATCATCAGAGATAGGCAAGTAGGAACGTTTGCCGCCTTGCGTGCATATATTAGTGATGAATTTGGTTAACAGAGGAAAGGTGCCCTTCATGTATCCCTTTGTTCATAGATCATGTCTACCAATGATTATTTGATCATGTTGGAATTACCCGCGTGTCATTGATTAAATCCTCGTTCGTTGCGTGTAGGCGTCCCATGTTCTTGAGTTAACTCTTACAGATGACTGTGTTACAATGGCATGTCATGGCAGGTCTGCATTTGCGGCCGCCACCGCGTTCTGTCTAAGTCGCTTGTGATCTCCATTGGGATAAAACACAAACAGAACAAACTAAGAAACTGGTTGGTGGTTTGGAACATTTTTGGTTTTTCCAAAATATATGGGATTATCCTTCCCATTGACTAATATTTTTCAAGATGGTTAAAACGACCAACCAGTCATTTGATGATTTCCAGTGACTCATATTTTTGTAGGTGGCTTAGGCACTGGCGGCTAATGAAGTCGCGGATGTTTGTTGGTATTTAAGTATGTGTTATGACTTCTGACTACGTATGAATGATACCTCAACCTTCTCACCAGTTTTGGCGTAATAACTAGTTGGTCTTGATAAAGTTGCGAATATTCACCAACAAGCAGCTTTGTCCAAAATTGGATACCTATACAATCATTCAACTGGTTTCCCTACTTTTCGCTTTCCTATCCCATATATGATTTGCCAAGTTGGAATGTACCAAAGTTCATGGCAAACTACAAGGGGGGAAACTGATAATAAATTAAACAAAAACCAGAACAAAGACAGTTTCCCTCTGACATTGCCAGCCATTTCAACAACAACAAAAATCCATCAGAAACTGATGGCAGTCCATGTGTTTTTGGGGTACCAAAAACGCCAGGTCAGCGACTTGTTGGCAGTGACGCGCGCGGCACAACAGGAGCGGATGGATGTTGGGGAAGGGACCAGATGCAGAGTTGAAATCTTATGTTGTGCATAACATGTATTCATGTTATATGACACACACATATGGGTCAATACCTATAGATGCATTTTAGTGGGATGAACATCCATTTACCACCTATTTTGGGGTTCACTAGGTACCAGGGTTTTGACCCATCCCCATATATTGCCGTATAAAATTTACTGCAACGACATTTAGATGTGCGGAGGGCGGGCCAGATCACAACGGAGGGACTATGAAACACATTGAAACACCAGTTCCATCTGTACATTTAAATCTGGTTGGTGGTTTGGAACATTTTTTTCCATATATTGGGAAGAATCATCCCAACTGACTTTCATATTTTTCAGAGGGGTTGAAACCACCAACCAGAAATGTACGTCTTAATAAATTGGATTTCGCATCTTGAAAATTATTTCTTCCCATCTTGGGGATGCAGACAGCTAGAGGGGCCGCTTGCCACAACGTCGATGTCACAACACAAGGCCTTCACTTCATACTCCTAGTGTAGCTGTAAAAATCCCTGTGTTTTTAATGTGGCTAAATCCCAAGTGTCTTCATTAAATCAGTTGTTCATTAAGTTACCGTTTTTCTTGATCTTTTCCATTAAATATGTTTATCCATTAAATTCCGATTTTCTTCAAATCCTTTTATTTTCATGACACCACCATGTCAACAAACAAAAAACCAGGTCACGGGCGACCGACATCGACCGACCGACCCTCCTTCGGCACCAGGAACAGTTGCTGCATTCCACGCTGCAGGGCTGGAATCGGCAGCTCCTGGCGTTTCTTGGATCATCATATCAACCCACTGAGAAAGTCACTGGTGATGGTACTTACCATATGGGTTTTAAGTACTGGTTATAACAAAATACTATGGTACCGGTTTTAAGTATGGTTTGAATACTGGTTATCATTAGTCATACCATTAAATACTGGTTTTGAGTACTGGTTTTAATAGTATTGGATTTACCAGTTACAGTTATTGCATTTACCAGCTTTTTGTATTGTATAATAAGTAACTATGACCAGAAATGTGTATTTACCAGTTGCAGTTTTGGTTACATATAAGTGACTATACCTGGTGATTTCTTGATTTCTATGCGATTATACATTCCATAAATGGGGTGACTTAGCACTTATAATTATAGCCGGTAAAGGGCCACAACTGTAACTGGTTAATATAATGGTGGCCCTACGTTTACCAGTCATACATGTGACCTCCTGTAACCAGTTGGTCACTGAAATTAGGCATTTGGCTGTTTCTTTGAACTGGGATATCACCAAACTATATCAAACTATTGGGCTTCTCATGAAAAACAACCAAGTTTGACAAGAAACAACTTGTGTCCTCCATGCCACGAAAGGCACAATCCCTGCCATTCATTTCCGATTATAATATATATATATATGCATATCAATTTCCAATATTGGATTGTATAATATTAAATCACCCTTTTCCAATTCACTATCCCATAAGATAGGAGAATCATGCCATCAACAACCCATTATCAAAGTTCCATGTTGCATGGTAAAACTACGCATTGTCATGGTCAAGTTCCCGCTGTCCTACCAATACCCGGTGGATATTTCCCATTGTCAATTGAATCAATGGGAATTGCAGGATCCTAAAATGGAGGTAAGTTAGTACCATATACGGCCATATTTTGTGGGGATATTCCCTTATTACATAGCCCTTACATAGGCCTTATATTTGGTAGGTACCTCCAATTTAGGTTTCTGATGTGACCATTGAATCAATTGAACATATCATGAATATCCAATTAATATCCCATATCAGCCCATTAGCCCATTGGCAAATTGTTGTTCATGATTAAGTTAGGATATGGCCTACGTTGATTTCTGTGAGTGGAGCAACAAAATGTTGTTCATGATCAGTTGACTATCCCATGGGTATCGTTATCCCATTTATATCCAAGTAGAGTAAGAATATCACTCATATTTTCCATTTGAATTCATATAACTGTGGGGCGGTCAATTATACTATATGTCCCATTCATTTTCATATCCTAAATATCCATGACCCCATTATTACCACGGCTTAATGTGGCAAACCCAATGCCAAAAACCATCCCCAAGTCATCACCATGTTGATTGGTGGTGTGCACACTATCCCCAAATGGCAGTTGTTTATGGCATTGGGTTGCCCACACTGCTTGGACTTTTTAAATATATACAACTACTATTGTTAATATCCCGTGAAACCATTATTGATATACAGTTTTGCTTTCCCATTTTTTTTATACTTGTGGGAAAAACAAGTCTATTATATGTTCCATTTATGTCTCATTACATTAAATATTTCCAATTTAGTTGATTTACCATTATTGAGTTGTATATCTATATATAGGTCTATCTATCTATCTATCTATCTATCCATCTATCTATCTATCTATCTATCTAACGATCTATCTATCTATCTATCGATCGATCTATCTACATTTATGTGTCTATATATATAATAATATATATATATATATACAGCTACGACGACTAATATAGCGTTGTATCATCATTTTGATATAACATCATGCTTGTTCCATTTCCTAGTTCCCATTGTTGATGTGTTTCCCTTTTTTGTATCCCGTAAATTATCATTCCCAATTTTAATATACGGTCATCGTTTGCCGTTTAATAAGTGACATGATATATCCCATTTATGTTGCCTTCCGATTAACAATCCCATTATCCAACATGGCCTGTTTGGATTTGAATTAAACACCAATTGTTAATATGCCATTATTAGTTAATTGTACTGTATCATTATCGATATACGATTATGCTTTCCCAATATTAACTGGTTGGTGGTTTCGAACATGTTTTATTTTCCATAATACATGGGATAATCCTTCCCATTGACTAATATTTTTCAAGATGGTTAAAACCACCAACTCAGCTATCTATCGTAATTTCCTTATATTCCATATATAACACCATATCCCGTGACATTCCCATGATAATCCCATTAGAATCCCAATATTAACATACCATTGTTGTTACACCAATCCCTCTTCTCCGTCGTTCATGGATTGGGTGGGATGAGCCGCTCTAATGTGAGGCCGGCCGGCACGACAGAGGAACAATCCAGGGAAACATCCCTGGCTGGTTGGTGGTTTGGAACATTTGGTATATGTTTTTTCCATATATTGGGAATAGAAACCCCAACTGACTATATAATATTTTTCAGAGGGGTTGAAACCACCAACCAGCTGATCATCAGCTTGCTCTCAGGCAAGTGTTGGACTTCATCGGGCGCCAGCACACCCGAATCGAGACCCTTGTCTACGATGTCTACGATGTGGCAGACGTGGACTGGTGATGGAATTTATTGCGCCAAGTACCCACATGCGATCTCTGAGTTCCGCCTCAACCTGTGCCATGTTCCTCCTGGACCGCAGCTGAATGTTCCACTACATTGATGATGTTACCATCTAAAATGTCCCATTTTATGTACAGTAGCCCATTATTAATACTACTAACTATTCAATACTCTTTCCAGCCCTTATTTATTAGTTTTTTCCCAATGTTATTATTAATTGCCAATGAACAAAACAATTCATATTTTCTGTCGAAATATTCCATGAATATGGCCTACTTAAATAGCCCATTCATACGACATTTTGAAAAATAAATACCATTTTCATAAATGGGATTTACAGACATTCTTTTTGATATTTTCACGGGAATTTGGACTATGTTTTCATGATATATTTAGGGTGTGTTTATGATATATGATAATATCATTAACATATTCCTTATATATATATACATTTATCTTATTATTATTATATATATGTGATTTTTAGTATATCATGATATTTCATTATATCATTAACATATTCCTGACATGTATATCATTATATGATGTTCATGATATATTCATGATATTCGAATAACATATTAATATCATGAAAACCAACTTCTAACGTAATGTTGAATGGATTATCCCATGATCCCTGGCTTTGTCATCCCATGAACCAGTTATGGCCCAACTAACAGTTTGTTTGAGTTTGTTTAAATGAAAATCATTGTTTTTGTTCATGTTTTTCATGGTTTCTTGATTGTTTTAATGTGTTTTTTACAGTTAATGTTTTTGTTTTAACAGTTATAACATGATTTATCGGAAAAAAAAAATCCATTTAGAATCATTTATAACTGTTAGTTGAAACATAACTGCAGTGATGATTATCCCGATATTCTCCAGTGATTAATCACCCAATATTGGGAATATATCATTTTCCATTCACATGTATCATCATTGTAAATCAATTCATACTAGATTAATTTTTAAAAGTTATAAAACATATACCATCATTTTTTTTTTATGTGTTTCCATTTAACATGCCATTTTCCATTCACCATACGGCCGTGGTTCCCACCCGTAACGTTCCCAGGTTGAAATCCGGCGCCTGCGCCCTGCTCCCTTTGGCCTGGTCCACGTCGGTGTCTTCGCGGCACGCGGTGCTGGTGGTGCTGAGGCGCCGAGGTGACTACGGGACGTTGGCGCTGGTGAACCTGGCAGGTGCGGAACGGAGCAGCGGAGCGGTGCGGAGCTCGCATTTGAGCCAAGTTGGTTGGGAACGAGGTGAACTAATGGAGGTTAATAAGGGTTAATGATGGTTAATATACAAATATATATATAATTGGAATATTGTAGGTAAACTGAATGCCATTTTTACTTACCATGACTGGGAATGGTAACCATACCACGGTTTTTGTGGTGATTGGGGGATGGTTGATGGCATTGTTAGCCACATGACTATGGTTTATAGTAGAGATATCGAACTCGATGTTTTTTTGTTTAACCAACTCATGACTGGAGGGGCATCCCGCTTGTAGGGCTGGGGATGGTGCTTCAAAAATGCGGCAAACATGGAGTGATTTAGCGAGTGGAACCAAGGGAGTTCTTGAGAGATAGTGAGATACTGAGATCGAACCATCAAAAACTGGTTGGTGGTTTGGAACATGTGGATTATTTTTCCACATATTGGGAAGAACAATCCCAACTGACTTTCATATTTTTCAGAGGGGTAGGTCGACCACCAACCAAAAAAATTGAACGAAGGAACATTGTGATTTCATCACAGCGATTAATCGCCAACCAGAAATTCTGATTACCGTTTCACCAGCAAAACATGGAGGATCCCACATGTGTTGCTTAAGAATAACCAAAAATATGCGAGACACGGTGGATTTTAGTGGCTGGATGTTCACCCAGAGAATGCTGGCGGATTCCGTGGATTCCTGGATTCCGTCAGAAATAGTGCCAAAAATCTTGGTTTTTACCCGCCAATGGAAGATCATATCTGGTTGGTAATTTCAAACATGAATTTTATGTTCCATTTCATATATGGGATGTCATCCCAACCCCATTGACGAAGTCTATGATTTTTCAAGATGGTTAAAACCACCAACCAGATATGATGATCAGATGTTTTTTATTTACATATGTATACATACAGAAGCCACTTAAAATAGTGGATTTCAAATATTTGAAACAATGTATTGAGTAGGTGGTGGTGGGCGTTTGCCAGGTTCGAGAACCACACAGTGAATTCCCATTTCATAAGGCGTTCCTACCATCAATCCCCATTATTCTCATGAAAATTCAGAGCGGTTGATCCCAACATTTTGTTCAAAAGATGTCGCTAAATCCATTGTTTGGTTTCGTGCCTTATCATTTTCTGTATCGCTAATTCCGTTTACGTATGAATTTACTATTGGTATATTAAATCCAAATCCAAATCCATTTCATTCATAGTTAATATAACAATATACCAATAAGTAAATCAATGAATCTTGAATTCAAAATTTCACCCCATGATTTCACATCATTTTCACACCCTTTCCGCAAAAAAAACCACCAGGCAGTGGTTCTGAATACCACCCACAGCAGCTCAGCGATTGTGCCACCCGACCTTGGCGGCAGATTTCTCCGGCCCGGGCACACAGGAAAGTGCCGACGCCGCTGCCGGCGAGCTTGGAAGGTGACCCACAAAGTATCCAACATGATCCAACTAAAATTTGAAGATCTAGTTGAGGATTATCTAAACCTATTTCAAAACAGTTCAACTTACATCTAAATGGATAATATTCAGAATTACATTTCAAAAAGAATTTAGGTGATTGAACTTATCTCAAATTGGGGCGTTTGGTGATTAAGTGATTTAAATTGACACAGCATTGGGTTAAGATCATTTTGATCAAAAGATGTTGGGATTTATGGTGATAAAGTTAACATAGGTCAGGGTTTTTGATGGTTTAAAGCGGCAAACATGGGGGTTTATAGTGATCAAAATCAGCAAAGTTGGAATTCGAGATATAATTTAAGTCAACAATAATGATTTGAACATAATTTATCCTATTCACCGTGTGTGGGGATACGGCCAAATGAACATTCTACCATGAGCAAGGTACCAATTGCAATTTGATGTGTGAAATCCCTCAAAAACATGCCCTAATTGAATTTTAGAGTTATTCATATATATATATATATATTATATATTATTATATATATAAATTAGATATTTAACACATATATAATTTATGTATTATACACACACCTGAAATCACTGCCCTTGAAAGTGACCCGTTAGTGACCGGTATCGCTGTCAGGTGACGTGTTCATCCATCCCCTGGAGACGGGATCCCAGAAGACCTGCTGAAAAATCAGGGGATTTCAGGTGGATATATATATATACACTGGTTTATTATGGGAAATCCATGGTTTATTATAGGAAATCCATGAACTGATATATATATATATATATAATTGAATGATACAAGTTGGGATATGGTGGTTAATAGTGATGGTTTTTATCGTGGTTTTCATAGGCTATAGACCAACAACAATGGGAATATGATGGTGATCTGGTTGGTGGTTTGGAACATGACTTTTATTTCCCCATATATTGGGAACACTAATCCAATTTGACTAATATTTTTCGGAGGGGTAGGTATACCACCAACCAGTATATATATAATTCTATAATGCTGGTGTAATATGGTTTGAATGACCCAAAGATATTATGTCATGATGGTGGCCTGAATCTTTGGATCAATTACAATGACCTCACTGCGACCTGGGATGATGGTTAGGAATCCGGGAATCATCCACAAATGGCTGTATTAGCTATTTTCAGGCTATTGATTTGTTGGAATTCAGCCAGATTGGATTGAAGTTTTTTCGGGGGACGGGATTTTATTGACACTTCAATGAAGATCCAGAAACGGAGGCTAGCTCGTTCCTTTGTTGACACCTTTGATCAGCAGTTCCTCTTGAAATGTGTGGTGAAATTTGCCGTATGTGATACGGCCATGAGTGCCTGGCTGTTGGGCACTTCAGACCCTGAATCAGTCGATTGTATTTGTTTGGCAGCAAGGTCCCAATGGGACATCTCTTGACATTTCTACTTTCTCGCAGCCTGCAGCTATTCATTGCAACAAGTTGAATGTCAATCTTAGATAGTCTCAATACTCATACCCACATGGTCCAAATGGTCCATGTATAGACTTGTATAGTAGTATATCTACCGTTATTTACCTACATAACTGGAGTTTAACTGGCATAACTGGGTGATTTATGGGGTATATCTTGGTAAATTATCGATGGAATTCAGCACCTGTTTTTTTGGAGGGACGATCACCCTTAAAAGAAAGGACCAAGCTGACGGACTTGACCAACGTGGGACCGTTGGTATGGATCACTATGGTTGGTTTCTATTTATTGTGAATGATGGTGATAGAAACCAATGTGAAACTATGGTTTCTATGATAACTATAGCTTTGTTTTGTTTACTATTTCGATTTTTTTTTGGCAACTTGATATCCATGATATGATGATATCCTCCATGGATTGGTAACCAATCCATTGATAGCCACCATTGGTTTGCCATGTATCCCCCGGTACATGGGAAAACATCACGGTGACACCATGAGGTCGTTTGTCCAGTACGGTCTTTTGGCTCTTCATGTTGCGGCCCTTGGTGACAGGCGAGGAATTTGCCATGCGGGTGCAGAAAATGGCTGTTGAAGAAAAAAACATAAATAAACCAATATTGATTATTAACTTATGGATTGGATTATGTGTGGGATTATGTGGTATTTTGTTAAAATCCAATCCATAAACCAATCCATAAACTTGTGGGATTTTTTTATGGATTGGATTTTAACCATCACAAATTTTAACCCAAGAATAATGATTCAGTGAGCCGGACCGAGGTTTACACTGGTGGGATACACAAATGTGGGTCCTGTGGTAACCGGTTTACCCATTTGGGGATGGTCTATGGCATGGGAGTTACCACATTATGTAGTGGCACCATGGGGCACCATGGGGCACCATGGGGCACCATTTATGGGGCACCCCATGGTTGTAAGGTGTGCTGGTTGGTGGTTGGGAACATGACTTTTATTTTCCATTTCATATATGGGATAATCCTTACCCATTGACTAATATTTTTCAAGATGGTTAAAACCACCAACCAGTGTGGTATTTGATGCCAAAAGTTCGAAGAATCATTGAAACTGAGGCGGAAATGGACACCAGAAGGACACTTCTTTTCAGGTGATGTATCACATGGCTGACATGAAGACCATCGAAAGCCAAGTGTCAAAAATCACCTGGCAATATGGCTGGAGCGCTTGAAATGGAATGCAGATGTTTGCGGCTAAATTATACATTAGTAAAACATATAAATCCCGATAATGTATCATTGATTACTATCATTTACACTTGCGTAAATGTGTGTTCATGTGGTCCCTTGAGGTAGTTGTTTTTTCTCACATGGCTTCGTCAAACACTGCATGGCTACTTATTATGGGCTGAGAAATCGATTTGACAATGTTAGATTCCCATGAATCATTCAGAAAAACAATCCGAAGCAGAATTGTTGACACTGAACAAGCACACAAGTAAGGAACAAAAACAGGATTTGTGGTACCTTTGCCAGCCATTTGTTTAAAATATAAAGCCACCCATTTGAAGATCAGAATGACAGAGATGATCGTCTCAAGTGACATTATGTCATTGGCACCCATCAAAGAGAGCTGAGCAAACCACCAAGATTCAAACAAACATTTCTTGTGGAGATGGGAGACAATGAAATCTGATTTCTGTTCCTACCTTTGCTATCCTTGTAAAGTTTTGTACCATGCTAAACACACTTAGGCAGAGAACTTACTGATATCAACGGTTTCATCAAATACCCTACTGCAAACTAACAGAGGTGTGGGGAAAAAACAAGAAAACACCATTTGTTGATGATGTTCCTTGGGTTTCATGGCTTTTCCACATGGTTTTTTCTACATCGGTCTTTGTAGATCTCGGCCAGGTTTAGCGCTGGATGAACCGCATCCAGCTTTGCTCTACGAAGCCTTGCTGCCTTTCCTGACCAAGAAGGACGGGGAATTTTTCGATGGGAATTTATCGATGAGAATGCTGTAGGTCTTTCCTATGGGACATTGGAAAATCCATGCTGAAAGTCGGAAAATACAGTAGTTTTCCGATGGGACATTGGAAAGTCGATGTGTTTCTTTCATGTTTTCCCTCGGAAATGAATGGCAATTGTTTAGTCTGGGAAATATGTTGTTTGTGGCAAAGCCAATGCCACAAACAACATCAAACAACTAGCATTTTGGATCTATTTGGGGATGGTTTCTAGAATTTAGGAAAGCTTTATTATTGGGTTTACATTAGTTTTTTCTCTCTTGGAAATGAATGGAAATTACCTCTACATACTATATGGATGCCATATCTATGTTAATTTCCTTTTTTATAGAATATAAATTTGACTTTTTCGAAGAGTACCATTTGGTTATTTCACATAGCCATGGAAAATCCCCAAAATAAATGGATGTTTATAGCTGGGAAAGTTATCTATAAATGGACCATGTTCCATGGCTATGTTAGTCATAACCAGAGGGTAAACAAAACATATCCTCAATGGATGTTGGCTTTTAGCTGTACATAGCGGACTCGACCTTCGGACGAATTTTCAATGTTGATGCGACCCTCCAAGCAGCTAGGGCAACTGGGGAATGTACCTTATCGTGTTGTTTTCTACCTATTTTCATGAGTACTTGGAGGGTCTAAGTAGAGTATTTTTTCTTCAGATGCTTCGCTTATCTTGATCAATTAATAATTAAGGTCTGAAGGATGTGCCAGTTCTACGAAGTCATTGCCACTTTAAGGACTTTGCCTGGCATCTTAAGTGGTAACCTTTTCGAGAGACCGGGCCATCATCCCCATCACTGGCTCCATGTCATGATGAGCACCGCGCAGGAGTGGTCGCTATGATTGAAAAATGGATGGTGGGGTTTCAGTCAATCTACCCCGATATATATTTGTTTGTTAATTTCCATGATTGACCAAATCTGGCGTGTGATCACTGCTGTCCTGCATCAGCACATATTCAGCCAGTTATAGCCAGTTATAGCCTACTTTTACACGAGATAACCCATCTACAATTTGTATCTACATTGTTTTTGAAGCCTATCCACCATCACCAGGGTGTTGATAATTATAGATTATCAAAGGAAGTTTAGGGGGAGAAACTTCCGTGTTACGGACCTTTAGAATGTCAGGGAAAGAGTTAGTCAAAGAAAGAGTTAGTCAGGGAAAGGTCAGTTAGGGAAAGAGTTCATCAGGGAAAGAGTTAGTCAAAGAAAGAGTTAGTCAGGGAAAGGTTAGTTAGGGAAAGAGTTCATCAGGGAAAGAGTTAGTCAAAGAGTTAGTCAGGGAAAGGTTAGTTAGGGAAAGAGTTCATCAGGGAAAGAGTTAGTCAAAGAAAGAGTTAGTGAGGGAAAGAGTTAGTTAGGGAAAGAGTTCATCAGGGAAAGAGTTAGTCAAAGAAAGAGTTAGTGAGGGAAAGAGTTAGTTAGGGAAAGAGTTCATCAGGGAAAGTTAGTCAAAGAAAGAGTTAGTGAGGGAAAGAGTTAGTTAGGGACAGAGTTAATTGTAACTTTTAGAATGTCAGGGAAAGAGTTAGTCAAAGAAAGAGTTAGAATGGCATTGCAAGTGGTGCTGGTGGAGGAGTTGCCGATGGAGTTTTGAAGGAAGTCTCGCACGAAATGCGTTTTTGAGAGATAGCAGATGCACGAAACCCTATGTTTTTCCATACAAAGTCCGTCCCCGAACCTCGATGATCTACCTCTGCGGTGCGACGGTTGCGAGACGGTCTCGTGTGTGGTCGGATCATGCTCGGATCATGCTCGGATCATGCTCGGATCGGTTCCGCATTGCAAATGGGTTTCAACTGTTTTTCGTGCATGTGCGGTCGACAGAATTCCATTGTGATTTGCAACCTGTAGGATCGTTCCCGCATTGTAAATGGGGTTGCAAGTGGTGCTGGTGGATGAGTTGCCGATGGAATTCCATTGTGATTTGCAACTCTAGGATCGTTCCCTCACTGCAAATGGGATTGCAAGTGGTGCTGGTGGAGTGGTTGCCGATGGAGTTTTGAAGGAAGTCTCGCACGAAATGCGTTTTTGAGAGATAGCAGATGCACGAAACCCTATGTTTTTCCATACAAAGTCCGTCCCCGAACCTCGATGATCTACCTCTGCGGTGCGACGGGTGCGAGACGGTCTCGTGTGTGGTCGGATCATTCTCGGATCATGCTCGGATCATGGTCGGATCGGTTCCGCATTGTAAATGGGGTTTCAACTGTTTTTCGTGCATGTGTGGTCGACAGAATTCCATTGTGATTTGCAACTGTAGGATCGTTCCCGCATTGTAAATGGGGTTGCAAGTGGTGCTGGTGGATGAGTTGCCGATGGAATTCCATTGTGATTTGCAACTCTAGGATCGTTCCCTCACTGTAAATGGGATTGCAAGTGTTGCTGGTGGATGAGTTGCCGATGGAATTCCATTGTGATCTGCAACTGTAGGATCGTTCCCTCAATGTAAATGGGATTGCAAGTGGTGCTGGTGGATGAGTTGCCGATGGAGTTTTGAAGGAAGTCTCGCATGAAATGCGTTTTTGAGAGATAGCAGATGCACGAAACCCTATGTTTTTCCATACAAAGTCCGTCCCCGAACCTCGATGATCTACCTCTGCGGTGCGACGGTTGCGAGACGGTCTCGTGTGTGGTCGGATCATGCTCGGATCATGCTCGGATCATGCTCGGATCGGTTCCGCATTGCAAATGGGTTTCAACTGTTTTTCGTGCATGTGCGGTCGACAGAATTCCATTGTGATTTGTAACTGTAGGATCGTTCCCTTAATGTAAATGGGATTGCCAGTGGTGCTGGTGGATGAGTTGCCGATGGAATTCCATTGTGATTTGCAACTCTAGGATCGTTCCCTCAATGTAAATGGGATTGCAAGTGTTGCTGGTGGACGAGTTGCCGATGGAATTCTATTGTGCTTTGCATCATGAAGATAGTTTTTGGATTTTCAAGAATCCACATTTCTTTTTATTTAATGAATATGATCTACCCTCTGGTAATTTAAGATAGCTATGGAAAATCACCGTTTTCAATAGGTAAATCAACTATAAATGATCATTTTTCAATAGCTATGTTAAATTACCAGAGGGTATGAGGTGATTGTCATGCATAAAAACTGCGCGGTTTCAATGGCAGTGTAGGCTGGTTGCATACCCCATGTTGGTTCAGGCTTTGGACGGAAAAGCAATTGGGTGATCATTCCAGTTCCTACACTGTGAATAATGTGGTTAAAACCCACAGTGAACCATAATGTAGGTAAAAACAATGCCGTAAACCAATCATAAACTCCAATTTCACCATTTGGGAATGTCATAAACTACCCATGACTGGGAATGGTAAACATGCCACCTATAAACATGGTGATGACTGGGGATGGCTTATGATTGTTTTAACCACATTAGGCAAGATTACAAGCCAGTGAAACGTGGGGTTATCTTCGTGCAAGCGGGACTGAGAATCCTAGACTCTGGCAAGTGATATAATCCATATCCAAATCCCGATAATAATGTGCTAATAAGTGATATTATCATTGATTATCCCGATATCATAGCAAAATCCATATATAGGACTGAGTATATTAACCATCGATTAACCATAGATTATCCATATATTATCTTCGTTTGCGGGACTGAGCATATTAACCATAGGACTCTGGCAAAATCCCGATCGTTGCTGATCCACAAATGTTGATGGTTCGATATTTTCCCATTTCTTCATGCTTGGACCGTCGATAATATCGAGCGTCAAAATACCGCCCCCTTCAAAAACTGGGTCGAAATGAGGATTTAAACCAAAATACCTGGTGTTTTTTTTCACTTAAATGGGTAAATCAAAGATTTTGATGACCTCATGTTTGAATTCTTAAACCTGGATTGTTGCTCCGTTCCCAATAGTAAAGTCCCAACACCAACAGTGTTTGGTCAAATCGTGAGATCCACATGACAGAAATCACAGCATTTTTTGGTCAAATATCCAACCTGGTAATGTGTTAATAGCATTATGAAACTCTTACCAGCAAACTCTGAGGGTTGTTGGTTATTTATTTTTGTCATTTTTTTTGTCATTGATCCACCATAACCATTAAATCACACCAGGTTTTTCTTGGCAATAGCATGTGTTCATTGATCCACCTGACTCTTGTTATACAACACTATCAGAACATTTTCCAAAGAATTATCAACCAATCCATATAATCAATGGCCATGCAACAGGAACCTATATAAATTGGTAGATACATATATATATTTATACATATGTATATATCAGGCCTAAATTTCGGGGAATATCCCCCCAACATTGGCCAAAAATATGATACTAATTTATCTTCTCACGGCTGAGCATAGGTTGCTGGATCCGCCCCCGAGAAGAAAGCAGAGGTGTCTTGGTTGATGATTTACTCGAATCTTATGGTGATTTCATAGGTTTTTGTGGTGATTTACTCTTTTTTTTTGGTGGGGTTTTAACGGATTTTATAGGATTTGACGGTGATTTCACATTTTTAAAGAGGGTTTTAATGGGATTTAATTGTGCTTAATGGGATCTAATGGTGATTTTCCATCAAGGTCGAAACACGCCTGTTGATGATTGTAGGGGGTTATACGAGCTCGTTCTTTTTTACCCTAAGTGATAGAACATGGATGTTTTCAACTATTCGAGTAGGATTTCACAATTTTCTGCCTTGGTCTGTTTTTTTCCCACAAATAGATGGTGACTTAGATGGTCAATTTGATGGGTGATTGCATGACAATCCCATACTTGACGGCATTTGCAGTAGCATGGTATATCAGATGGATTTTCACCATTTTCATTGAGTAAACCAGGAATGGTGAAAAAAGTGAGAGATGGTGATTCAGATGGTAAGTTAGAGAATCATCTACCATATAGATCATATACATGGCTTAACGTAGAGAACCTTACCATAGTGATTTTCAACATCTTGTGGATGATAACGGTACTCGGTAACACATGGTAAACACATATATAGTTTGACAGAT